GATGTTCTGATTACATAATTTACCGGAGATTCTGAAAGTTCTGCTAGGAGTGGAAGCACATTAAAAAAATTGACTCCTTAGGTTTCTAATTAGATATTGTAAACATTGTTTGTTATTGGAAACTTCAAATATATTGAAAGATTAATAAGGAAACTATTGAAACCGTTAACAAAGATGTTGAATGATTGAGATTAAGGTTCAAGAAAGATCATGCTCGATACAAAAAGTTTAGGATAACAATTCGAAAGGAGTTTCTACACAAATTGAAAGTTTAGCATCAGCGACAGAATCCTCCTGCACTCATGATCGATTTCCATTGTAAGAAAATTTACAAAAAGAACATTTCCTTTTACCTTCACACCAGATTTGCATACCGACGAAATCAACAATAAAAAAAATTGAAACTATTCGAAACTCATGACGACCGTAGTTTTGAATCCTGAACAATTCGCTCAACTTTCACCTCTGCAAATTAAAGTAATTGCAGAAACTGCCATAAAGGAAACTCCAGCCAAAGCTTCGAATGGAAGTTTGCCAGCAGAAAATCTTTCGAATAAAAGTGAAGAATCTCTTAATGCCAAAGAAATCTCAACCCCCACAACCAAAGAAGAAATAAAACCAGCAGATGCAGAATTACAAATTCCTTCCAAATCCCAAATAACACAACCACCACCAGTCATTCAAAAACCAACAGGAAAAGGACAAGTGATTGATGTGGAAGGAAACAATGCAAGATCGAGTTATCATTTAGCAATTTTGATTTCCATAATTTTGGCAATGTTTTGCATGGTTCCATTGGCTTTTATTCCATTTAGTGTAGTTTATTTTAGATTTAGATCGAATCCAACCGAAAGTCCACGTGTTTATGCATTTTCGGAGAGATGTCGATGGATTGCAATTGGGGTATTATTTTCGAATGTATTCATGTTCTTGGTTGCTGTAATGATTGTGTTAATTGTTCTATTTTCAATTGGAATTTTTAACAGATAACACTTTACAATAAAATTTTTATTCGAATCAAATGTTAAATTTTTTGATGACGAACAGAATAAACTGAAGGCACAACAATTGCAACTAGAATACCCAACAATAAAACACTCAACAAGGATATCAAAATTACAATCCAAGTAATTTTAGCCAACTGAGAATATCTTCTAGCTCTAGCACTTGTTGCTCTGGAATATTTCGTATGGACAAATACGAAAGGTATCCAAGGAATGCACCAACATCCAAACAGACATAAACAAAGCGATCCAATACAGCTCCATAAATAAGCCTTCTCTGCCTTATTCCATCAACATCATATTCATTAACCTTATGAATAGGATCAGATTTATCATGAAACATTGAAGGTACATGAAGATGTGGAAGATGTAAACTTTTTGGATCTTTGATATCTGTCTTGGGAGGTGAATTACTTGATGGTTGACCAGATGCAGCCACTGCTGGTTTTAATTCTGGTGGCTCAATGAGTGCAGTAACAGGTTTCGAAACAGGAACCTGTTCACTTATATAAGTATCACTAGGATTTGATTTTGATTCTGGTGGAGGATATTGTAATTGTACTGCATGTTCAGTTGGTGAGAAGGGTGTTGAAGATGATGGTTCGAAGGTTGCATTGCTTCCACCACTAATTGGTTTTGATGTTGGTGGTGGATTTTCGATGGTTTCAGTGATGGAAGGAGTGTACATTTTTTAAAGATGGAATTTTTCAATTTGCTAATGCCTTTTGGATTTGGAAATTTGTCAATTATGGAAATTAGATAAATTGTGATGTTTTTCAAATGTTTACAAAAATTGATCAAAAAATAGGATTGTTTGGATATTTTCAAAGAAGACTTGAACAATATGTGAAGAACACGTTTTGTCAGCAAAGTGCCCTTTCGAATAAAGTTCCATGCGCAATGATTGAAATAGCCACAAAAGTTCATCAACAACCAAAAATCAAAAAAAATGTCAAACAACAATAACTTCTTCATCAAAGCCGAGCCAAACACTATGGCCAATATTTTTGGAATGGTTGGATGTGTCTGTTGTTTTATTTGTCCATGCATTGGATGTCCATTCCTTTGCATTGCTCTCAAACAAACATCAACCGACTATTCCATTGATGAGGAACAACAATTATTGGTTGTTCATAATTATGGAAGTATTTTTGGAAGTTGTGGAGAATCTACTGAGGAATATAATTTGGCTGACATTAAAGATGTAACAGTTGCAGTTGACACTTCTTCTACAGTTAATGGTGAGAATGGTGGTATCATTAGTTTGATAATGAATAATTCATCCTCTATTGAAATTAGTCATGGATTCATTGCATTGAGTAAGGCTAGAAGAATTGCCTCTGCAATGCAAGATCATATTCTCAAAAAGTAAACTGTGTTTCGTCTTACTTTGTATTGATAAAATCTTTAACTGATGAATCGGTTTCTTTCAATCTCTCAAATACATCTTGCATATTGTTGAGACATGTTACACTCAAATAATCAAATAAGTTCTTTTCCAAAGTTTCCTTTCTTTCCAACTTTCCCATAATATCATCATATCTTGTTTCAGAGTGAGGCATGTTCAATTCTAGAGGAGCAAATTGACGCAAATAAGTTTGGCAGATATAGTCTGCCATCTTTTTCTTTCCAGGTTGTTTCAATCGTTTGTAAATTTGAATATCTTTAAAGCAGAGAATATTCTCTGGACAGTATGATTTTCTTGAAAATTCCAATAATTTGGCGAACATTCGCTTGTTTTTCAAAACCTTTTCTAAATCAGATTCACCACTATACTTCTTTGCTCGCTCATCTCTAATGATGGAATAGATGAGTGGTAAAATTACACTAATAAATACTTCAATTACAGTGGCAGTCGCCATAACGTTTCCTGAGGGGAAGATGAATTCAATGAGAGTATAAATAACACTAATTTGTTCACAACCAAACAAAACTGTAAAGGTAAATTGGAATATCACTACCACGAATGTTTCTATTTTGATTTTCCATGTATCTCTATCTGCAAATACGCAAAAAATCAGTAAAATAATCTCAGCCAGTATGTAGAGAACAGCCTGTACAACAATAATGATTACAGTTTTGTAATTTGTAATGCAACCGTGTGAGAACATGAGTAATCCTCCATCTTCTAAAAAGACTCTCTTCTGAGTGGGATCTCTTTCAAATATTCCTTCCTCAATACCTCCTAATACAAGCCAAAAGGCAAGATGAATAGGAATGAGAACAGCATAAGTGATTACAATAAATTTGTTACTAGTAAGAAAGGTCAATATTCTGATTTTCTTCAAATCTGCCTCTTCCATCATATGAGGGGCATAATCTGAAGCAATGTCAGATAAAATATCAATATCCGAAACTTCATTCCAAGAATCATAAGGTTCCACTGTATCAATGTTGGATGATTTTGCTTCCTGAAATTTGACTGAACGTGGTGTAGTGGAAGTTTGTTGTTGAGCAGGTTGAGGTGAATCATTTCCACTTGTCGGTGTTTCTGATTGTTGCAGTTGTGTTGTCTGATCTGTTGTTGTTGAAGAATCTGCAGGTGATGCAAAATCTGATTGTTGCATTTGTGCTGTTTGTTGGTCTGTTGTTGTTGTTACAGGTTCCACTTTGTTGAGATCTAGTCTTAAAGCTGTTGCTGATACTTGTGAAGTATTCATTGCCAAGTTTGTTGGAACACTACTAGTTGACATTCTCTTATTTCCAACCTTTATCATGTTCAATTTAAACATGCAATACAATCTAACAGATCTCAATAGAGTTGGAATAATAATAAGTGGAACAATAATGAAGAAAGTCAATGCAAACAATGCACACGGGAATATCTTTCTCCCAACTAAGTACCTCAACGTCGAAATGAGAACAAACGAAAAGCTTGCCACCAAGGTTGAAACCATTAGAATTGGATTTCTTGCCTTGATGTGTCCACTCTTTCGTTTTTTAATAATTCCAATCAATCCAAATATTAGAAAGCCAAGAGAGAAGGCCAATGTAATGCCTGTAAAGATAACTGTGAAAATAGTATCAGGACAAATTCCATATTCGAACTTTGGATTCTCAGGTTCCATAGAAATACCTCCAGAATTGAATAGTATTGGATGGCATCTTGTTCCATTCACTTGAATACCATCATTATTCGATGAATTATATTGTTGTTGTTGTGATGAAGCAAATAGTTCATAGTAATTATTAAAATTAGAGGGAAGATTGATATTCGAGAGGGAAGATGATGGAACTTTAAATTGATTCATGTATTGCTGATGAAACCAGTCTAGCAGCCAATCCATCAACATCACCATCATGACAAACAAATGCGAATTTCAACAAGGAGAGGAGCCGTAGAGGGAGTACGGCTTATTGTGTTGGAATTTCTTTTTAATTTGGTAAATGCTTGGGTTGTTTTTCAGTCACTCTCCATTGTCCTGCTTGCAATCATTCACCCATCACCGATTATCATTGAATTGGCCCAGAACAGATGCCCCTAGGCTTGTAATGTGTTGTCGTGTGCTGTAGATTATATTCATTTTTTTTGGCGGTAAACATTGTTTTTGGAAGGCAAGGTAAAATATGGTGCCTACTGAGATTCATGCCAATTAAATGTTATTATAATATCAGTATGAGATTATTTGAAATTGGTAAGTTTGATGAAAATTGAATAGATTTATTATTTATGAAAAATAATTAACAAAAATTTCCAGCAATATTGTTGTTAGCATGACCTATGCTTTCTTGTTGAATGTTCGGATGAAAATTAATTCCAATATCATATGTTGTTAATCTATTTAATAGATTTTTTTTAAAATCCCTAATGACGGGATTTACCCCTGAACTGCAAAAAACCACCAACCTGAGCAAAAAAAAAATGAATTTAGGTCCTACTTTGACACAAATCATCTACCACATTTCATCAGAATCACACAGCTAAACAACAGGGTTGGTGTTTTTCATAAATTGTACCCTGTATTTAACTATTAAGTTTTATTAAATTCGGGAGTTGATTTTTCGAAAAAAGAATAGAGGGCGGCTACTTTTGAAAAACAACTACCTCATTCCGAAAAACAACAGACCACCAAAATTCAATTCCTAAATGGCTAACACACCATAGCACACAAATTTGGTTTATTCAATTTTTAGAATTGTCACATCACACTCATCACACCAATTTACAAGTCACAAACACTATTCAACTTCAATTCGACTCTTCTCTTTTTCAAAGCTGAACTCAAATAGTCTTTGATCTTGTCCTTGATTTCACTGAAGAGACACTCATTTTGAAAAGTCAAGCAAATATCCTCTACCAACTGAATGTCAAGGTGTTCTACTTCATTGATTTTATCTGAAATAACAACCTCTTCAAATCTAATCTTGGCTCCAACACCATCTACAGAAAGCACTTTTATTGGGAAAGAAGAATTTCTAAATTAAGAAGTCTATCATTTATGAAACATTAAAAATGAATCAAAAAGCGTTAAGAAGAAAAACATTCAATACACAAAAACATACAGAGAACGAAAACGTATCAAGAAGGTTGTAAAAGAGACTATGAAGATATTAGCAAAAATGTAACAAAGGAACAATTATTAACTGGAAATTTGAAATTGGAATAGATGAATCAAATTTGAAATCTGGACAACAAGAAGTAATTTTTCATGAGCAAGAGAGTTTCAGTTTTGGAGAATTGGGAGGATGATTTGATTTAAATGACAATAGTAGTAGTATTGTTGACGAATCATTGTATAAGGGGTAGGCGGTGAATGTTGTTACAGCAATAACAATTATTCTCTTTATTATTGTATTTTGCGAGATTGCAACATCAAAGATTGGATTGTTATTGAAATTATTAGGAGAATTGCTTCCCAAAGATCATTTATTATGTAAAACTAAAGATGCTCTGTTGAAATATGTGCTCAACTTTGGCAAAATGGTAAAGGTATTTAATTCTACGACTAATAGATAAGAATCATGTAAGTATTTAAATTAATTAATTTATTGATATCTTTAGGATTTCCGTATTAATACATCCCTTTCAGATTTGGTGGTCAAGACTGTTTCAGGGAACATTGCTAGTGTCAAATCAATGGATTTTTCACTTAAATCAATCTCAATATGCTTTTACTAGCAGTGGAAAGTAAGTGGTTTCATGGCTAAATTGCAACTAATATTTTAGAAGTGTAATAATCACAAGTTTTATTGAGAAGAACAATACTGTATTTGCTGTTTTGGATAATTATGTGGATGGGAAATTTACTCACACTTTCACGGAGCCAATTACTAACCTCAAAGACCTCACATTTTCATTTGTTGATTCATTTGGTCTTGGTCATTTTTCCAACCATTCCATTCTGCTAAGTTGACTCTTAATAAAAGTTTAGGTTATGATTGTAAAAAATTCAAGTCCTCAATTTATTACAAATCAACCCCTCACTTTTTCAAAAAGCCAGGTCTGGATTTGATAAAAACCACTGTTCAGATAGTGGTACCTGATTTTACCCCTCGATTTTTTGCAAACTACCACTTATTTCCGTCATTAGGGATATTTATTTTTTTAAAAAAATACTTCATCATCATTCATCTCTTTATCCTAATGAAAACTGGCCTTATGAGATAACCTGCCGTCCATACTACTAAGTCTTTCTTTATGAAGTTCATCATCAAAGAGATTATGAATATTTAGAAAAAATTATATCATATGGATCAAAACCGAAGACGATGTAGGATGATATGTAAATAATTCATCATGATGTTCAATATCTCCTCAACATCACAAAAAAATGGTCAATTACTACGCCAAACAGCTTTCTCAAATTCTTCCGAATCTTTTTGCTAAGCAGGAGCAACAGGGAAGATGCATGGACAATATCAAATTCAAAATGAAGATTAATAGTGTCCAACAACGAATGGCTCCAGTTTTTTTGGGATATTTCGTCATGATTCTTCTGATTTGTTCATTTTGGATTGAGAATTTTATTGAGAGAGTGAATTTCTTGATACTTGTTGCGATTGATTTGATTGTGAATGCAATTGCAGGTAGAGCAGTGTTGAAGAGCAAAGATTTGAATCATTTGAATACTTTGGAATTTGGGTATTTAGCCAAAACTGTGGCAAATGCGATGGTCAGATTGACCATGCAGGTTTATTTGGGAAGGGAAGTTCCAATCTGGTTGATAAATATGTATGCCTTGTTGACCTTGACTCATACTTCCTATTTTAGAAAGAAAATGTTGATATTGAACTTCCTGGTTATTTTCATTTCGAATATTGTTGCACAGTACCTTGCTTTTGAGTATAGTTCGAAACATTTAGGAAATGGAGGCAAGTTCTTTACCTTAACGCATCTAGAAAGGCAAACACCTTACGTATTTCAACATATTTGGGATTCGAACAGAGATAGAATAATCAAACTGTTGGAACCGATCATAGCATTCAGCACTCCCATATTTATTGGATTTGTATATGAAGATTTAGTGGAACAACAATACGATGAAACCATTAATTCCAGAATTGCTCTTTACAATCAAAAAGAAATGAACAAATCCAAGACGAAATTTATTTCCAATTTGTCTCATGAGTTGAGAAATCCATTACATGGACTTTTGGTTACTGTTGAATTAATGCAACTAGATATGAAAAAGATTTCGGAAACTTTACAAAATTTGGTGGGATTGAAAATAGAGAGTTTTGGAAAGTTTGTCACTAGGTTGCAAAACGACTTGAAGGCTCAATTAGAATTATTACATGATATTGAAAGCAATTCCAAGATTTTCATGGATGTATTTTCGAACTATCTTCAGATTAGCAACTTAGAACTTGGTAAAATTAAGCTCAACAACTTTCCATTTAATATTTTAGAATTGACTGATTCAATATTGTCAGTTTTCACAAATTTAGCCAAAGAAAAAGGACTGATGCTGCAATCTGTTCTTGATTTAAATAAGGTTCCACTATATTTGATAGGAGATCATGTTAGATTGTCACAAATCTTGCTCAACTTTGTTTCTAATTCTGTCAAATACACTAAAAAAGGAAGTATTATGTTGAATTGCACAGTTTGTGATAAAACAGATGAAGATTATCCATTCTTAGAGGGAAGGAGCATTATTGATACGGAGGAATTTATATGTTTGAAAGTAACTTGTCAGGATACTGGTATTGGAATACCAACAAAAGATATTCGTAATTTATTCCGACCATTTCACACTGTTGATGGTGCATCTATGGATTTTGAAAGGTATTACTCTTATTCTGTTATTAATCAAAATAGAGGCTCATTCCACGAAAGCCATGGAATTGGTTTATCACTTTCGAATCAATTCATTGAGCTAATGAATGGAAAAATCAATTTTGAGAGTGAAATTGGAGTTGGAACCAAAGTAACAATCTACATTCCTCTAAAGAAATGTAACATGTCTCAAATTGCGAAAATTGATTCAAGAATTTCTGAGGAAATTGAGGAAATTAAGAACTTTTCAATCAGACAAGTTTTAATTCTAGAAGAGAATGATAATTTATCCTATTCTTTAGAGCAACTGTGTAGATCCATCTATCCAAATGTAAATTCGATGAAAGTTAATACTTTGAAATCTCTAAATGATGTTATTGGAAATATTCCAAAATATTTCCAATCAAATACCCTTCCACAATCAAAAGTTCTGATATTTTACCCATCTAATTCAAAAATATTTACTATTGAATCATTTAGTCCAATCACTACGAATGCTATAATTATTTCTACGAGTCTCAGGCATTCCTCTCAATTGTCAACATCTGACATTTACCTACCTACTCGAATTGAACACTTTATTACCACAATCCACTCTAAAATTTCATCAACCAAACTCACATCAATTGCTCCTTCCAATTCTAATTCAATTTTTCATTCCAAAAAGGTTCTTGTTGTTGATGACAACCAAGTCAATAGAAAAGTTTTACAGAAAATGACAAACAATCTTGGATTTAATTCTCAAACAGCATGTGATGGATTAGAAGCTTTAGAAACATTCAAAAAGGAAATGAATTTTGATTTAATCTTATTGGACTTACTAATGCCAATTATCTGTGGAAAGGAATGTTGCAAACTCATTAGGTCAATTGAGAAGGAGAGAAAATGCAAGATTGTAGCAGTAACTGCAAATGTTTGGGAGTGATGAATCATTACTAGAATCTGGATTCGACTTGGTATTAAAAAAACCAATTTTAATGAAAGATTTTCAAAGGGAATTAGAGAAATTATTTGATAATGAAACAATTGGTTAATTCCTTACAATAATTGAACTTTGAAATAGGTTACTGCTAGTTCTAAACAAGTTCATAGTTTAAGAAAAGTGAACATTTTAGAGATCTTTTACAATCAATAAAAAAAATGTCATCACAAGAAAGTCCATCATCACACAAGAAATTCTACGATTTTCGGGTGGAGGATTGGTATGATTGTTGCTTTGATGGCAACCCACTGACTTTTGTCACTAAATTCATGCCAATCACAATCGAACAAGCAAATGCAGTTGTTCACTTGTATGAAATTTTTCACAAATATCCGAGACAATTAATTCCAGAGCTTTCGAATAGGACAGATTTGGATGAGGAGAAGGTGTATTATTATTTGAAGGGAGCTAAAGTTAAATTGATGAAAAGATTTGCTAATTGTGAGCCTTCGAATATTGTTGAGAATTTTTATTTATTCGAAAGTGTTTCTAATGAAGGAAGTGAAGTTGATTTGGAAAATTATGAACCAAACTTGCGTAAACAAAAGATTTTCACACAAAAGGATGCAACTCTCATTCAACAACTTGCTTTAAATTTACACGAAACTTTTGAATCTATGCCTTCCGATTGTGAATATAGAAATAATGGATATTTCGTACGTGCATCCACAAGATCTCCAAAAGATGGTTGTCTCAAACACAGAGAATCGTTTATGGAACATTTGAAACAAGAACTTGTCAAGAATTCACAAGATTCGAATAGAGAATTGACCTACAATGAACCATTGGCTGTCGTTAGAACCCTCAACGCCAAACTCTGTGTCCAAAATGCAATGCAAGCCATGAATCTGGTTATTCACTCTGAGAGAATGTATGCTGATCTTTTTAGAGCCCTCTTATTCATTGATGAAAAACTGAAAAAAACTCCAGAATGTGAATTGCCTGGACAAAAGTTTGTGGCTCGACTTTTTAAAAAGATGAAACGACCAGAGTATGAATTCCGAGTGTTTGTCAAGTATTTTGAAAAGGAAATGAAACATCAAGTGACTGGTATTACTCAATATTTCAGAACTTGTTATTTGGAGGATATTCAACATGGAACGTTGAAGGAACAGATTCAGAAGGGAATTGAAGAGCTAGCTCAAGAGGTTTCCAAACGATTGAGCACTACAGAGAACTTCGTATTGGATGTATCAGTGGAGTATGATAAGAATGAGACTGGTGATTGTACAGTGAGTAAGATTTGGATGATTGAAATTAACAGCTTTTCAAAACAAGCAAGTCCTTGCATGTTTGATTGGAATGATCCAGTGAGTAATGAAATATTGATGGGAAATCGACCAATGGAATTCAGAGTACTCACCAAACCACTCACTCTCAAGGAAGGTCGTGAAGAACTAGCAAAGGACATTCGAGAAATGTTGGAAGAAATCAATGGAGCAGTTCCTCCAGAAGCAGAGGAATCAAATGATGAGGATAAGAAGAAAAACTGTTCAATACAATAATTTACAATAATTTGGAATTCATAATTTAAATTTATTGGAATACTTTTTGAAATATTTAACATTACAAATTGATGGCGAAACCGTATTGAGGCGGAATTCCAGCATTGGCATAACCAAGAGTTTTGGCAGCTCTCAAAGCCCAGTAAGGATCACCCATCATGGCTCTACCAATCAAAACGAGGTCTGCTTTCTTTTCCTCAATGACCTTATTGGCCAAAATTGGATCTTCTAATTTACCAACAGCTCCTGTCAAAATGTCAACCTTTTCCTTGATAGCAACTGAATATTTAACTTGATAACCAGGTTCAACAACCAAACCATGAACGTTTTGAATTGGTTTAGTTCCACCGGTTGAGCAATCAATCAAATCAACACCATGATCTTTGAGAATTTGTGAAACTTTGACAGTATCATCACTTGTCCAACCTTCTTCCATATAATCTTCACATGACAATCTCACAAACAATGGCATTTCCTCAGGAATAACACCTCGCACTCCATCAACAATTTGCAACAATAATCTCGTTCTATTTTCAAAACTTCCACCATACATGTCAGTTCTCAAATTTGACACAGGTGACATGAACGAGTGAATCAAATAACCATGAGCTCCGTGAATCTCAATCACATCAAATCCTGCTTTAACAGCTCTCTTAGCAGCCTCAATGAAATCCTTAATAGTTTCCTCAATTTCTGGAATGGTAATTTCCCTTGGCATTTTGTGAATATCATCAAATTGCAATTCAGATGGACCGACAACTTCCCAACCACCTCTATCTTCAGATAAAGCCAATCTTCCACTATCCCATAATCTACCTAAACTTGCCTTTCGTCCAGCATGTGCCAATTGAATTCCAATCTTTCCACCCAATTCATGTGATTGATCTACAATGGTTTTCAACATTTCCACATGTTCATCCTTATATAATCCTAAACAGTTAGGTGAAATTCTTCCAATGGCCGAAACTCCTGTGGCTTCCATAATGAATAATGCAGCTCCACCAACAATTCTCGAAGTAGCATGAATTTGATGCCAAGTATTTGCAAATCCATCATTGCAAGAGTATTGACACATTGGTGCGACCACAATTCTATTCTTTAAGGTCATTCCTCTTATGGTAATTGGTTCAAAAAGTGCTGGAATTGAATTAGATGCCATTTTATATCAATAATATATTATATAATGTTTAAATTAGCAGTAGGGTTATTTTTTCTTATTGTTTTTTCAATATCCATGATGATCCAACCAAAACCTTAAATTTTCACTTATCGGAGAACAAATTTGGCAATGAACAATTTCTCGTATTCAAAAAAATTCATCTCGGGCAATTTTAAGAACAAAAAACATCTCCGGTAAAACAAAATATTTCCTTCTCGCCAACACCTTGCAGGTTTGTGGAACCGAAACCAAGATACATAAATATCAGATGAATGAAGACTTCAATTTCATGTTTCCTTTCATCAAGTAATAGCTAGTAATTACACAGAGGAAAGATAGTGAACAGAATCCTAATTGATTTTATTTTTTTACAACTTTAAAAAAGTCAAGTAAAAAAATGAGGTCAAAACTGCGGTTATTATCTCGATCAATATAAAATATCAGAATGAGATATTTGGAAGAATCATAGTCCCACATGTCTAGTTTATATAGTAAAAAATTGAAAGTGCAATTACAAGAGTAAAAAGCAAAAATTGATATCTTTCAGATGCGTCGACCGGGAATTGAACCCGGGTCACGGCGATGGCAACGCCGTATTCTACCACTAAACCATCGACGCTTCTTGTTTAATACCATAACAACAAATATCAGAACATACCACATCCAACATCCTTTTAAAATTTCGCTCCATCATTGCTTGTCAATCTAAGGCATCAACACCAGTTCCTTATTTTCCCCACTTTGAAACAAAACCCTTCAAAACCTCATTCTTCGTGTTGTTCATTGACAAATATCTCAAATAAACTCTCTCAAAAATTATCGCGCCAATAAGGAAAATAAAAAATCAGCAGCACGAGACAACATGACGTTCAAGGGCAAAGTAAGGCTGATGGTCAATATGGAGAGATTCATCAACTCGGGAATGCTCCACAAGGGTTATTATTATGTGAGGGTGGAGGTGAATCCACGTTTTGGAAAGGTGAATAGAAGAAATCATCAACAAGAAGAAAATACTCTTCATCATCATAGTAGGGAACATAAATACAAAAAGGGTTCTTCTGCCTCTCACAATAATTCTCATAGTAGTTGTAGCAATAGTAATTTACATCATGATGGATCTATTGATGCTTCCTTATCGGATTTTCATATTAATTCCTTTATTTTGCATTCATCAAAGGATGGAAGAAGTGGCAAATATGATGCTAATCATGTAAATAATAATTCAGCCTCGGACTTTTCTGTTCGTTTTGTGGATTCAACAGCAATAATAACCAGTCCTCCAACACCACCGAATGCTACTGTTCTGAGTCAATCATTGATGAGGAATGGTATTGATTTGAGTATGAATCAAACTGTTAAGGAAGAGACAACAAGAGTTTATAACAATTCAAAACTGAGTCAAGTTTTCTATATCAGATATAGAGAACAAGAGGTTTTATTGAATGAGGTTTTCATCTTTGATTTTACTGCAGATATTGCAATTTTGTTAAAGCATAATTTAATTGATATTGATTTTCAATTATTTCATCTTCCGAAGGATAAGGAAGAAGTTCAACGAGAGGAAAAGAAATTCGAGAAGGCAATGCACTCAAACAAGTACGAATACAAGATCAAACAATTGGATGTCAATGATTTTGTAAAAGTTGCAGACAGAACAATCACCATTAGAAAAGCAATGAGAGGATACAATATTGCCTATCCAGCCATCTTTGAAAATTGGTATTACAGTATTGTAAAGTCTTCAATCCATTGTGTAATGATTGACGTTTCGTACGGCAGTGATATTCCAAGGTCATTGGAAGATTTTACGTTTTTGAAGAATCAGGAAGTGGTTGCATCAAAGATGAGTTGCTCATCACCTGTAATTGAAATTGAGGAGAATAAGGATCCAGAGACTGAATTCGATGAGACTTGGTTCTCTAATATTTCGTCCTACGAGAAGAATTTAATCAAGATACTGAACATTCTCTTTCCAAGTTTGTTGAAAAGAAATAGGAGGTGGAAAAAGAAGGAAATTGTGGCTTACACTCTGGAAATCACAAAGGAGATTCTCAATTGCCTCATGGGTTCAAGAATATCGCTCATGACAATAGGAGAAGAGAAGAAGTCGAACAACATTGACAAATCAGCAAGTACTATGAATGTATCCTCCAGCACATCAATTTCCGTATCTGATATTCCAGAACTTAATATTGTTTCACCTACTGATTCTGAGGTTCCTCCCTCCCCATCGAAAAAGGTTCCCCTTTCAGGAAAGAGAAGAAAATCCTACTCTGATATTCATTCAAAAATTCAAAGTTTGTCATCACCAGTGTTACCAACTCTGAATCTATCAACAGCAAGTGGTAACACAACAACAAGAAATACTCAACCACCAATGCCAACAACAAATTCATTAAGAGAGCTTGCCTCCACAAGTGGATTATCAAATCAATACCATCATATATTGGAAAGAAAAGAAAACAAGGAAGTGGAACAATTTTTAGACGAGCTGAGTGCTCTCATTGAGTCTGTTGGAAATGTTGAACTAATTCCAGATCTTATTATCACCAAATTTACACCAATTCTTGAGAGTATTGAAGATTTATGGTATTGTCAACAAAACACCATAGTGAACGATCCTAAAACTTTGGTAGATAACTTGGAAAAACATTTTATACAAAGATTTGAAAAGTTTTGGAATGGAGATAGTGACCAATGTAATCAATCCGTGTTTGGAGGTTCCATTATTAATGATCCGTACCCTGAAAAGACATGTATCACCACCTCAATTGATAATTTGATTGATAATAATTTATTTTTCTATCCAAGATTTTCCAAGTTTAGTTTAATTTCAGAAGTTTCAGAGCCAGCAGAGCCATTGTTTTCAGTGGCCGATATAATGGGTGATGATCTTGAACCACAATTAATACCCAAGGATGAATATAGAGAAATTGAAAAGAAAGGACTATTGGTTGGAGAAAAGGTAGATGCTGGAGCACTTACAAAGAATCACTTAATTATCTTTATCCCTGGCTACAAGTCCAGTCATTACGATTTTGTTACATTTAAAACAATCCTTGGCCTTCACTTCCCAGATGATAGACACCAGTTTTATATTGTCAAATCTCTTGATAAGCTGCACACTAAAGATACTTCAAGTGAGCTCCACAATGCACCAATCAAAATAATGGCCAAACTAGTAACTGATGAAATTACTCAAATGATTCAGGAAAATGAAATCTTCTTCCACAAAGTTAGTTTCATTTGCCACTCACTTGGTGGAATAATTATGAGATCAGCCTTCTATTACTTTAGACCAAGCTGGAAAACTGTCTTTCCATACTTGCATACCTTTGTGAGTTTGTCGGTGCCTCACCTTGGTATTGGTCCAATTAAAACACTGATTAACAAGGATAACGAGAGTTTTGCCTCCAATAATTTAGTAAGGGCTGGAATTTGGTTTTTGAAATCCTTTAAAAAGGAGAAATGTTTACAAGAATTATCCATGGAGGATCATTCTGATGTAAAAGATTCGAAAGATAACAAGACCAATTATGAAAGCCACAAGTTAGAACAATGCTTGCTATTTAAACTTTCAATGACAAACGATTTGTCATGGTTCAAACAAGTCTTGCTGATTGGATCAGAACAAGACACATACGTTCCAATTGAGTCTGCATTGATTTGGTCTGATAACATTTCATTTGGAAAGAAGAGTAACAAGAAAAAGTCTTCCAAAGATGTTCTGGAGAGAATGATTTCCAATCTTCAGGAAACCTTCTCCTATGTGAAAATTATCAGATGCAAATGCGATATGAGTAATCTTTTCAGTAAGAGTGAAAAGAAGGAATACTCATCTGTACAGGTTTTTAATAAGAAGCATAACTCTGGTGATTTATATGAAGATGTTTCGTCTATTGGAACTTATTCCTTTATGAAACCAGAAACTGGAGACGATAGTAGTGAAGATGAAAAGGAAGAGGCCTTTGATGGTTCCAAAAAGAAGAAGATTAACGCCTCAATTATAGATAGAATGACCAAAAAGATGAACCACACAGCTTACCTCAATCACGTTGGATTGATTAATGGTATTTGTTGTGCGTTTAGAAGTTATCTTGATTAAAAAATATAATAGAAAACAGAGTCATTTGTTTTATCAGTTACAATGTGATATTTCTATTCAGTTTTTTCACAGAAAAATTCCAATACTTCAGAAATAAACTCTATTGGATAACCATTTTCTGTTGTGATTCCAGTTTTATAATTTTCCATATCATAAAGAGAATAAACAGCCCATTTTGGCTTGGAAATACTGAATTCTAACATGTCAGCAGCAAATTCATTTGGATTTTTGGAAGTTTTAAAACTCTCAACAAAAGTTTCAAAACAGTCTTGTTTTTTGCTTGGTTTGACACTTCCTTCTTCCATTTTGAATGTTAGAGCCAGTTCACCATTGACCAACATATCCAACTCTACACCTATTCCAGTATAGCTTGGTCCAACAATTGCAGTTACAGAAACAGAAACAATCTCTCCATTATCCTTTCTTTTCAAATTACAATCAATATAGGCAGTACTATAGTTACTGTACCCATCATAATATAAATAATTGATATTGTGTTTAACAAGTGCCACAAATTCAAACAAATCAAATTCTGCTTCCTTATTGGGATTTTCTTCATCATCTTTTGTTATTTCTTCTTCTTCATTAACATCCTCTTCTCTCTTTTTCACACGACATAAATTTTCAGTAATTGAAACCAATTCACAAATTGATGAGAAAGAATCCACATCCTTTACATCAACAACTTCACTCATAAATGTGTCAATAATTGTCTCGTGCTCTCTTGCAAATCTTGGGTAGAGTGATGGCCGAGATTCTTTAGAAATTTTCTTTTCATTCATAGAAATACTGAACAATGAGTTCAATAATTCAATGCCTTTCATCTCCTTACAAATTTCTACATTTTGAGTCAATTCATCCAAGGCCTCCAGATCAGTAATGCCTCTTCGATTGAAAACTCTTGTGTTATCAATTGAAACATCCAAAGATCTAACAACTTGAAAATCTCTTCCATGAATAGTTTTCAATTCACTAAATTTCAAACTAATCTTCTCATCAGAATTGACCTTCTTTACAGCAACTTCCAAATATGTAAATCCTCCTCCATAAAACTCACTACGATATGCATAAACAGCTTGAATCAATCCATTCTTACAATGTTCCATCAAGGATTGAGGTAAATCTTTTGCTAATTTTGGAAATTCGAAAATGGAATAATCATGTAGCCATGCATATTGCTGAAACAATCCACACATTCTATAATGTAAAGTAATCAAGGAAATATCAGGATTTTCCTGTGTGAATTTCTTGAGTTGCAACACTCCATTCAAAGGAATTTGCTTTTCACTTTTGACAAATATCGTAAAATTAGCACAGGTTCCATAGAGTGCTAATTGTGATGATAAATCATTGTAAAGGAAAAAGAAAATCGTGTGAAGTGGTAATGCATCCAATGTGGAAAGTGATAGTTCTGGAGAGAAATGTCTCCTCTTGTTTGCTTGTTCTTCTGCACAATTGCTTGTGGGTTGCTGTTGTTTGGTGGTGGAAATTTCGAAGGCAGACCTCTTCATGTTTTGCTATTTTTTTAATGTTTAGTTCCTGATTAGTTTCGGAGAAACTTGCGGCTATTAAATACAGAATCATTTGAGGATGAACATATTCGAATCATCCTTGATAAAACTATCCTCTCAATCGAGAGCAGATAACTTAGATTTATTTAATAAATAAAAAAAGCAATTGGGTGTTGTGTTCCAAATATTCCTTACCTAACAAAAAGAGGATATTGCCGTTAATGGCTATTTTGAAAGAAGGAATGAAAAGATGTTATGAAGCTTAGAGGGATTTTTGAAATTTTAAAGTGTTTTAATGAGATGAAGAAGTTGATCATCAAGATTTGACGAAAAGAAGAGGCACAAATGTGTGAAGGATATGAATGTTGAGTGTTGTGAGAGGAGTGTGATGAGACTAATTATCCTGATTTTCTCCCATCATTGTGTCTTGTTGAGGCATTCTATCACTACTTCTTCTTGGTGGTCTATTGTTGTTGGATCTTTGATCATTTTGGTAGTATGAATCATAGTGGCTTTGTGACGAGGATTGACTGCCACTTCTGTTGCTAAACTTGATGTTCAAGTGATGAGAATCAATGGAAATATCATGCAATTCAACTAAAACAGTAGTTGCTGCATCAATACTATCCATTTCGATGATTGCTGATTTCTTTTCTTTCATTTTATGATCAGATGTTTGAGTTTTCTTGTAGTCGATGAATTTAAAGTCCACAATTCTTGACTTTTGCTTTCTTTGATTTGGTGATTCGAACAATTTGTCAATTTCTCTTCTAATCTTATCCTCAGTTGTTGTTCCTGATACATTACTGATATGAAGAACAGGAGAAGGAGGACAAATGTTCATAAGCTTCTTCATGTTGGCTTGGTAACTTTCTTGAGTACCTTGTCTAGGAGTAAAGCGATGAAGAGGAGAGTTTTCATAGGATCTAAATAAAATATCCTTTGAACCGTCATTTTCCTTTGACTTTGATGATCTTGGAGGAATAATGTCAAAAATACGGAAAGATGGTTCAATATGTAACTCTTTTCCAAATAGAGTGGACCCACTGGAAATAGGTGTATTTCCAGGTGTATACTTGTTGAAAGTTGGATAGAATGGAGCACCTAGGAAACGGAGAGCATTACCAACCTCGTGTGGATACTTGAATTGAATAAAAGCCATGTATGGAGTCTTGTGATCCTTCTTAGATAAACTAATACTAACTTTGATAACATCACCATAGAGGCCAAACAGAACGAATAAATGATCACATGTACATTGGACTGGAAGATTCTTAACAATAACAACACAAGTACCTGGAGGGAACATTGGCATGTGCATTGGAGGTGGTACTCCGTTTGATGAATAAGAAGGAGGTGGAGGGAATTGTTGAGGATGACCATGATGAGGCTGTGGCACTCCGTGATGTTGAGGAGGCATTGGAGGTGGTCCACCCATTGGAGGGAAACCTGATGAGCCCATATAATCGTTTGGACCATTGTATGAATGCATTGATGATGGTGGTGGTATCATCATGGCACCATTAGAACTAGATGATGGTGGTGGATAATAAGAAGATGGAGGTGGATAATTATTATAGGATGGTTGAGCAAAATGATGAGAAGGGTAAGAATCACGTGATGACATGTATGGAGGAGGTGATTTTCTTCTATTGTGCATCATTTCATCCATATCATTACCAGGAATTCTTCTGTCTGGAGAATTGCTATTCGATGATTCAGAGACATAGTATGGGTCTTCAGGTGGAGGAGCATAGTGATTATTAGAAGGAGTATTGTTGTTGTATCTCATGCTGCTGCCACTACCATCATATGGTTTCTGAGAACGCATTGGATGAACAACATAGTCTCTATTTCTATGGTTAGTCTCCTTGATTAAAAGTTCTTCACGTGACTTTTTGCTGAATTGAATATTCATTCTATAAAGTTTCATCTCTGGATAGACAAAAACACCTTCCATTTCCTTGACAGCTTCTGTTGCTTCAGTGTCTGACTTGAATTGAACAAGTGATTGGGTGAGTTCATTCTTGATGAAAATATTAATCTTTTCAATGGTTCCAAACTTGCTGAATAAATTAAAGAGTAAATCAACGTTGAGGGGATAATTATACTCATCGCAATGAGTAAATGTAATATGTATAATGGTTGCGTTATTGGTATTTACAACAGTCTTGCTAACAGGTACTGTGTTCAAGTCTTCATTAACATTCATGGTCAATCCTCCAGGAGTACCTTCCAATTGTTGTTTTTCAGAGAACTTGAGGTAGGCGGTTCTGTTTCTAATCTTTATCTTTTGTCCTTCAAACTTGTCTAGAAACATTTGTGCCTTCTCAACGCTTTCAAATTCGACAAATGCCAAATAACCATCACGTTTTCTCTTCTTGTTGTTGTGTCTATTTGGACCACTTGGAGCTGGTTGTTTGAAGAGGAAAACCTTTTGGAATTTACACTCATTGAAGGTATCAAATTCTAACAATTCTGATTTTTGGCAATTTGGTGGAAGGTTCGAAAAGAGGAGGACTTTGGAAGGAGGAGCAACTGGACGGTTATTGCTGCTGGAGAAATGAGATGGATAAGCAGAATGAGTCGAAGAGGAGGATGAACCTTGTTGGTGTGTTGGTGGTGGCTTGTTGTATGAAGATGTTGTTGTTGTAGAAAGGTCTAAATCTTCATCATCTTCATCATTATTCTCATCATAGTGATGAAGGTTTGAAGGATTGCTTGGATGAGAAGATTTGTTAAACTTGCTAGAGTCGTCAGTACGAGAATATGAAGAACTTGTTTGTTCCATCTCTTGGAAACTTCTCTTCTTGCTATTGTTATCATCATCATAATTTTGCAAACCGCCTCCTCCAAGACTACCAATAGATGTTGCTGCTGTTGTCAGCAATGAGGATGTTGTTTGACTGTTATTATTGCTGCTGCTACCAGTACCTACAATCACTGGAGAAGGATTTTGTGTTGACTGGATAGAAGAGGCTAGTGAATTTAGAGAGGATGTATTCGTAGTTGCTGGAGAGGTAGAATTGGAAGAATTGGGAGTTGTAGTAGTAGAAACAGTAGTACTATTCGTTGTTTGTTGTTGTTGTTGGGAATTTGCTTGTTGTTGCTGTTGGCTAGCATGCTTGTGCTCTTTCATACGTGCCAACATTTTTTTAGGAACAGGAAGTTTTGATTCTAAAAATACAACGATTCTTATACAAAATTCTTATGTAATCGGCTCGTAGATTCCGAACTCAAAAAAGTTTGCGTTGTTGCTATAACCTGTATGATGAAAAATATGCAGCAGGCATCCAATGAGCACGAGGTGATTAATCTTATGGATGATGATGAAGATGATGTATCAACTGATGCGGGCAATGCACTAACAGAGGGTGAAGATGTTACTTTAGAAGTTACTAGTAGACAGCCACCTTCTGCTGCCATTATTCAAAATACTAATTTTAATAATAATAATTTCTACGGTGAGGACGATAAAACTGAGGACGCTGAGGATGTTGAAGAGAGGAATCAATTATTTAGGCAAATGAATAGATTTGTAACTTCATCATCTAACAACACTCCTGTTCTTTTTATTGGTGATCATAATTCATCCAAAAGGACTTCATCACACATAATAATAATATAGGATTTTCTGGTGTGGGAGCTAGTGATGATGATGAATTGGTTAATACTACATTGAAATTCTATCAGAGAGCTGATACATCATTTCCGAGTTTTAAACATGCATTGGCTAGGAAAGTGAATTTTGTAATTCCCTATGTGAAACAATCACTTGAACTTGAGGAGGAGCATAGTCTCTTGACGGCAGAGGTGATTCCACTGATTAGTTCAGAAATGGATAATCAAAAAGCAAGTTGTAGACAGTGGGATATGCCACTGGTTAGGAAGGTGGATCAATCAATAAGTACATATTCGAATATTGAGGCAACCAAGCTATTTTCGTTGAATTTAGGACTTGAAAAGGTTCTTGGAACAAAGATTAATGATAATGAATTTGAAGAGGAGTTTAGTAAGATTTTCTTCTCTGTTTATGGAGATGATGCAAGACAGATTTTTGATATTGTTGGAGATATTATTGATCTAGATCCACCAGAAGATAATTGATTTTTCTAATAGTGGAAATAATTGATGGAGAGAATGTTATTGCATGGAAAGATCAAGATATCAAAGAAGAATTAATTGAATATTTGAAATTAATTCCAATATTTTATTGGAATATCTATATATATGAGATTAATTTAAAATTAATTGAAATATTTTAGTTATTATTATTGTAATATATTAATAACAATAAAATAAGCACAATTCCAAACATCAACATTTACTTTCCATTTACTTTGATTAATAGGATTTGTCTTGAATGACTCATCAAATCGTTAAAATCTAAATTTAATATTCTTTAAGTAGTCTAAACACTTATTCTGTATGGACCTAAAGAAACCAATTTTTTCCAATTCTCCACCTAATCTACCCAACAAGGTTAATAATTCAATAGAAAGTAATCTGTATTCATATGTGTTGATGGCCCTTACTTTTGAAATTAGTAATGAAGTAACAAAGTTGTAAAATGCTAAAAATCTCTCAATCACTCAACGTGATTGAAAATTTAAAAATAGAATAGAATCCAGTTAGGAATTCTTCACTTTTCATTGTAAAGACAATTTAAACCCATCACGTGCTCTCACCAACCAAAACAACTCTTTAAAAAAAACCAAATCCAAAACAATGCAATACCAAAGCACAGGACTTGAAAGTGCATCTATCAATCACATTACTCAAGCCATTGATGACACAATTAACACAGGAGTGGAGGTAATGATATTCTCCTCCTCATATGAGAGACCTGTTTCATGTCGTTGTTCTGCTCGTTATGGCAATATTTTGTACTTAAATAATATTAGAGTTTACAATGATTTTGCTGTTAGTATTCAACCTACAGCTTGCATTGATATTGGTACAATTTCCAAGATTGGTGTTTGGATTGGACATAAGGACCCTGCAACAATTCGTAATGGGTCGTATGTTGAACTGACATCAGATAGTGTTACTTTGAATGATGAAAGAGAAAAGAAAGCATATCATTACCCTGGCTTGTTACTGGGTTTGTACTCCAACTCTAACAAACTCCTTGGCAAATTACAAGCATTTCGTAGTGATCACTGTAATCTTCCATTAGCACATACCAGATATTATGCTAACATGGGTACTGTGTATGCCAAGGAGAAATGTCCCATTTTCGGTAGATTCACTGTGGATCTTTCAAAACCATTTTCTTTGAGAAGTTTGGTGTTTATTTATTATGGAGATACCAATTTGATTCCATCATTCCAAAACTGTGAATCCAATGCACCTTTTGTCTCAGTCAACACTGTTGATGGATTTACCTATCAAGGTAAATTTCAACCACTGGGAGAAGAAGGTGGTCGTTTATCTGATTTTGGAATCAATTCTTGTCTTATTTGGAAACATCATCCATTTGGTCTTAAGAATTCCAGCTCCAAAAGTGTGGACACTAAACAATATATTGATATTAGAGGTGAATGCTATCTATCTCTTGGTGCTTCTGTATCATTGAGCATCCTTCCAAACACAAACATTAATCCAAGTAATACTGTACAAAACAAATACAACAAAAATCAATATAGTCAACCAACATTTATTCAAACAACTGATCAAAGCATAGAGCTCCATCAAAAGACAGGCAGGGACTTTGAGACCTTCTTTACAAAATTTAAGGATCTGGTCTGTGACTGCGCCTATGAGTTAGTTGGTACCTATACTCGTGAATTTTCTGATTGTGTCAGAAATTATGGTAAACAGTATCAACAAGTAACTGGAAACAACATCAAGCCCTTAGTTGAATCAGTTATCTTTAATATTCGTCATCCTGCAGCACATAGAGGTTTGAAAATGAACGAGGCAGATGCACACATTGAATTAATGAAACAACTTGTTGCAGACTTGTTAGGACATATGATTAATCACTATAATGTTTTCATTACAAATCTTTACAATAATCAAAATCCATTGCCTCCAATATATAATCAATCAAGGATGAATTATCAGGCTAAAACTCAAAAAATAGCCGACAGTATTGCATTATTCCATCAAGACTTGGATAAGATTTATAGACCTATCAATGCCTATAAAGAATGGAGGCAAACGATGATGGAATAATAACTAATCCAACAAGAAAGCTATATTAACACATGTGTAAATAACAAAATAAACAATATTCAACAAATAATCTCCCAATTATTTTCATTTTCAATTATTTTATTGACTGGAGATTTATTACTTGTTGTTATTTAATTAGAACAATCATTGATTCAAACATTGTAAAACTGACATCATAGTTCTCCAACTTTCTGGAATTAAGAAATGAGCCACGGGACAGAAATAAAATTGATACTCTTCAGAGCAAAGACCACTAATTTATTATAAATTTACATTGATTAATTTGAAATTAAATAATTTAATTGTCCATTCTAAGGGCCATTTCTTTATGCTTGCACTATAATTGATAATCCACTTGGAATAAATTTCAGAATCTTGAATATTGGATAATATTAGAGAAATTACCAATGTCTGATTCAGAAATACATCTATCAAATAGTTGGACACTTCTCCTGACTCAAAACAATTTCATTTTCATAATTCCACTCTTCCTTAGTTACAATTTTAGCTGAAGTGCCGATGGAGGAGAACTGGCCACACATTAAAATCTCCATATTTTATTAATTGAAAAGCCATATCATGTCAAGTGACAGACGGCAGCTGAAAAATCTGTTCTTTGTAATTTTCTATAAGGAATGTGTCAACATTCTATTGGAATATCTTTTGAGAAGTTCAATTAAAATTAATTGAAATATTTCAGTTACAGTATTATTATTGTCATGTATTAATAACAATAAAATAATCATAATTTCAAACATCAACATTTGCTTTTTCCTTTTTCTTTGATTAAAAACAAAAAGGTTTGTCTTGTGTCATGACTCATCACATCTTTTAAAATCTAAATTTGAAAAAACCATCAACAAAAAAACAACAACAAACCTCTCAAGCACTTCTTCCCAATGGAATCATCCAATCATTCAGAAGAAAATTCTCCACTCCTCACCCAGGATGAGTTTGAAAGAAATATGAAAGCATTTCAACTCTTGGCTGGAACAATCGAAACCAAACACAAACCAAGTGTAATCACCAGATCAAGAAGCAAAATGAAGGAAGAATTGAATATAAAAACAAGCGATTCACAAGACAAACTCAAGAGAAGCAATGAAGATCATGATTCGAAAATTTGTAAGAAGCAAATGAAGAAGAAACGAAAACGAAACGAATTGAAAAAGAAAATGAAGTTGGCAAGAAATATCATATCCTTTTATACGTTTAAAGAATTTCTTTCCAATCAATTAGAAGAAGAACAAGACAACACACCAGAGAAGAATCAAGTGATTTTCAATGAAGATGCCATTAAAATATTTCATGATGGAATCTTGGAAGTCATGTTAAAATATTTGGAGAATGTGAAAGAAACAATGGAGGCCAACACAATTGGAAAGGCCTTAAAATTGGAGGCAGGAAGATTATTGGGTGAATAAACAGATTTGTTAATTTTTAAAAGATAAAACTGATCGCGATCTACAGGACTCGAACCTGTGCGGGTCTCCCCAATTGATTTCTAGTCAATCACCTTAACCACTCGGTCAAGACCGCCTTACACAAATGTTTGAGTACATTAACACATAATTCCAATATTCACAAGTAATTGTTGATAAAAAGTGACTAAATCGTAACTTGCCCTTTAATAATAAAATACGAAATGCAACTTGAATTATTTTAATTGTTTATTAAAAATCTTAAACACCTTGAACTTTTGCTCTCTTTCTCTTTCTAATAACACAAACCACAACAATGAAAACAATGACAATCAACACAACAATTGGAACAATCAATGATAGGAAAGCAAGATATTTCAAATTATCTTCTGACAATATGTCAACAATAACATCTTTCTTAACATTGGCCACAATTGCATAAGAACCAGTTGAAGGAACCCTAACTGTAAAGCTGGTTGCAGAGTGTGAAACAATCACACATGAGGACAATGATGTCAATTGTCCATTTTGTAAAATCTTGCATTCGTAAGTGGCAGCATTTTGTACAACTCCATCATTATTTTCAATGGTGAGTTCAGCAATTGAATCAGAACTGATTGGTATTTCAGTATTGGTAGAAACTACCTTGAATGAGAAAAGTTTGGTAACACTTTCGTTTTGTTGTTGGACTTTCATCACAAGTTTAACAGTATCCAAATTAGAAAATTGTGATAGTGTGCTGAATGGTTGACTGAGAGAGAATGAAGATTCTGAACTGATTGTATCATTCAAATTACTCAAAGACGAAACGCTCATTAATCTCATATATGAATAGTAATCTGTGCCGAATGTTCTAGCAGCAGGCATGTCTGCAACTAAATTCTTCACTTGTAGGTTAACAAGAGTTTCCTTAATTTGATCTAACATTGTAATATCAACTTTGGAGAAGACATAGATTGCCCTCTTTTCTCCATTTTTGACAACATAGGATTGAATGGTGGTGGCACTGTTGAATGATGATTCAATATCTTCATCTGGTAAATTAAGCTTTGAATTGGCGCCATCGACAGTTGACTTGAATTTAGTAATGATAAAACTGACTGTGCTTTCAGGCAGATTTGAAATACAAGTACTGATGGATGAAATAACAGAAATTGAAGAGGCTGTTGATGAAACTGTTTGGGAAGTGACGGTTTCTTCCTTTTCTATCTGTGAAAAATAGGCAATTGCAATCTTTGATCCAGTTTCACTCAATTTTTGCTTTTCTTCTTGAGTTTGAGGTTTCAATGATTGAATAACACTCAATGCAGATGAGGTCGAAGAGGAAGTGACTGAAGAAGTACTAATAGCATTCAAAGATTGAACGGCTGATGTAATGTCAACTGGATTAGTGACTTGAATGATTTGTGTTGTTTCTGTGGCGGCTCCTAAAGCATCATAGACAATGGATTTGATTTCTATATGTCCACTTGGCATGACAGTACTGAAAGACCTCGTTTCAGATCTTTCTTTCAATACTTTCCAGAACACATCTCCTTGAAGTCTGTACAAAAACTTGAAGGTCAGCGGGAGTTGAACATCCGACCACCCATTTCCACATGAAACCTTAAATTCATCAGTGAGGGCAACACCTGTCGATGGATTAATTTCCAAACTTCCCAATGTTGGAGGCGAATTGACCACAAATGAAATAACTCCCTCACCTACCTTTGCTCCATCCACAACCTTAACAGAAACTGTGTAAGAAGCACCAGGAACAAGTAAACTCTTTGGAATGGACAAGTATTTCTTGTTGAGATCCAATGAGGAGGTGGAGGAGGAATCAAAATCAGTTGTCCATGAGTAGATTCTTTGAACGCTTAGTGAGTCGATGCTTTGTGCTTGAAGAATTAAATAAGTGGATGGGTCAACTGAGGTCAGATCAATATTGGAAGGAGTATTAATGTATATTCTCAAGAAGGATGATTTCGATTGACTTGTGACAGTGATTTTAACTTTGGAAGAGGAGAATCTCGAACCCTTGGTGTACACAGCAGTAAACAAATAAACGCCAGGTCCATACTTTTGGTTAAATAACAAAGTGGTCTGATCAATATTTGCACCATTCTGGACGAAACCATCACAACTTTGTAAAGTTTCCATATTGACACAAGATAGAGCTACTTGTCCACTTGCATCATCTGGATTACTTGGATCCTGTTTGAGTACTGTAAACGAGATTTTATCTTCCATGGATTGAGACATGTCACGAATATTGAACGAAACTTTCAATGGAAGGGCTACTGCGATGATTTCGAATGTGATGGATGCTCCTGGATATCCCTGTTCAACAGCACTCAAACTAAATACATATTTACCTTCTTCAGTCAACTTGGTATAATCTGAACTAAACACCAACAATTCATTCTTTTGTTTAATCTGGAGTGCAGCACCGCTAACTTGAGTATAGGTAAATTTCAGATTAGATATTAAAGCAGAACCAGAATAACATGAAGGGAATGAAACAATTGGTGTAACCACAAATGAGTTTCCAATAGTCACAGTACTCGAAACACCATTCTTAATACTCAAATTTGGTGGGGAGGCATCAGTCACCATGAATGCAAACGTAGCATACGAAACTCTACCAGAGAATGTGCTCTGAACAGCAACCTGAACAGAATAAGATCCACCTGTAAAATTATTCACTGAGAATTTGACAGTACTTGCACTATTTCCAGAAATGAGATTATTAAGGTTTGATAAGGCTTGATTATTTGGAGCTGTGACTGCAGAGAATGTGAATAACAATCTTCTTCTGTCCAATGAAGTGGATGAAGAAGCATCCAAGAACATTGTTCCACAACCAATGACAGACTTTTCAGATGTCAAGGAGGCGACAGGATCAACTCTTTGATAGAAAGTTCCTGACACTTTGGCATTGGTTGTTAATTTGCTGTCAATGTAGTTTCTGATAATGAGATTTCCATTAATGACAATAGTTGCCAAGGTGCCAAGATTAATGATCAATAAACTCTTATCACCATCCAATACACAAGTTGCACCTTGTCCTAACACTTCAGTGTTTACAATGAGCGATGAACAGTTGATATTCTTCTTCATGACAGAGTTTACAGAAGCACTAATCGAATCACCATTCTCATTAAATTCAAAAGATGTAAAATCTATTCTAAAGTCGCAATTAGCTCCATACCAACCATCTTTACAATTCTCACAATGATCTCCATAGGAAGTTGCCGAGCAGATACAAGATCCAGTTGATGAACAACTTCCCTTTCCAGAACAAGTTGTCTGTGCAGAACAAGTAATGTCGCAATTACTGCCAACCCAACCATCTAAACACTTTTCACAATAGGTGCCTGTGAATTTTCCATTACAGATACATTGTAATTGATCGTTACATTGTCCATGGCCTCTACAAGTGGTTTCTGGGCTGCAAATTTTTATGGAACAATCAGTTCCATTGTAGGAAGGAAGACATTTTGAACAGAAAGTGGACGAATCATAATTTGAGGAACAAGTGCATACATCAGCATTGGAACATGTACCATGTGATGAACAAACTAAAGCATTATTCTTTTCAATGCCATTACATTTAAAGCTTGCACAATTAGGTCCATAATAATTTGCATTACATTGACAGCTGTCAGGTGCTACACAATCACCTTTGGAATTACAAACAGTTGAATCGATGGCACTCACATCATGACAAATTGGAATATCACACTTTGAACCAGTGTAACCTGTCTTACATGTTGAACATCTGTCACCATCAAAGTTTTCACTACATTCACACAAATGAGTATTCAAATTACAAATTCCATGATAAGAACATGCACGATCACCTTCTTTGACACTATATCCAAAACAGGAAGTGGCGTTTGAGCTACTAACAAAGACACAGCCAAAACCAATTTGTTGATAACCATTCGGACAAACGCACTTGTCCGATAATTTGACAAAACCATCTTTACACTCTTGACAAAATTCTCCTTCAAACAAGCCTGAGCATTCGCAATGAGTTGAACCATCAATACTACTTTGAGACAATCGACAAATTCCATTTTGACACTGAGAACAATTTGATAGATTCATGTCAAAAGTTTCACTTTCTTCAAACATGTATTCTTGATTTGAGAGAGTGACTATGATGGAGGCATTCGTATTGGTGCTGTATTGAGTGAGTGAATGGGTAAAGTTCAAAAAGGAAGAACAATTAGATTCGAATAGGGTAGTGAGAGAATTTCCTAGACTCAATTGGACTTTGCATTTCAAAACAGGAATGTTAGAACTCACAATGCTATAGAAAGAGATAATTCTATCAGAGTTTGAAATGCTAATGTCTGTCGTGTTTCCAAGATTTGCAAAAAATGTTGGAAAGTATTCAATTAAGGTTCTTTCTTGAATATAATTATCATACATTGAATATTTTAAATTATGATAGGAAAACACTATCTTAGTAAGGATATCCAAAATATGGAACCTTGATTGTTGAAGATGAATTGCAAGGAATGTCAAATGTAGTTAAGTTTTTCAACTTTGAAAGTTCTTGCAATGAAGAAATCTTTTGTTGAACTATTCCAACTTGGCATGTGTTGGCAGAATCATCCCAGCTCATTGGTTTGTCAATCAAGAAATTGAAATCACCCATGTAGGTCACCTTAGTATTCAATGTTGGAATTATCCCATCAATAAACACAACATCCTTTGAAAAAATTATGAAACCTGCAGACCACACTGAATAGGTTAGAGTGTAATTGATTGGTGGAACAGTTGTATCGGCTACGACAAAAAAACAGGGATAACTAAAACTTTGATTAAATTCTAAAACAAAAATAGTCCACTCGCATGAATAAGAATTTCCATCATTAATCTCCATCTGGCCAATCATTAACGGACCTTTTTTGAGAGGATATGTATCTGGGAGATTCACCTTATTATTACATTTACTTCCAAAGGTATTTGGAGGACAAACAACTTGTGATCTTTTTGATGATGAAAATAATTTTCCTAAATATGAATAATGATCATAATGCTTAATTCTTCCAAAATGTCAAATTACACTCCACTTACCATTTGTAACTTGCATAGATTGACTCAAGAAACTTCCCCATGATTCAGCAGTAACATTCTCTACACAACAATAAGCTAGCACACATAAAAGGATGAGCGTGAAAAGCAGTAGCGTTCTTCCTTGCATTTTTTTTAATCAAAAAACGGATTTGAGCGCCACTCAAAATTTACGAAAAATTGCCAGCAAACACTTTTTTGATTAAGGCTGTGTAGATTGATTTTACTATTGATAGCGTGAAGGTGCGTGGCGTGAACAGCAGCGAGTGTTACGGTTTGGAAATTCAATGGACAATTTCCAGATGGTTTACTGTGGAATTATTAATAAGGTTATTACCCACTTTAAAGGAGATGAGTTGAAGGCAGAGTACTGTAAAACCTGGTGTAAGACTTTAGCTCGGGTAAACCTTTTCTCGACAACAAAAAGTAGTACAATATCTTGTATGAATCTCTCAAGTATGCAAGTTAACTTAATAGAAAGATTATGTGATATGATATGTGATTAATTCATTATTAATGGTGTAATATGTTTAAATATTTGTAAAAGATAGTTAATTTTTTAAAAGATAAAACTGATCGCGATCTACAGGACTCGAACCTGTGCGGGTCGCCCCAATTGATTTCTAGTCAATCACCTTAACCACTCGGTCAAGACCGCCTTACACTCTGATAAAAGCCTCTTAATCAATACTAGGGAAACACTTTACGCTCCCCAATTAAAGCCAAATCAAAATCTCAGACGCAGACTGCAGGATTCGAACCTACGAAGGTTTCCCCAACAGATTTCAAGTCTGTCGCCTTAACCACTCGGCCAAGTCTGCTACATTTACTTGAGAAAATTTAATATATGTGAAAACAATTGCTTACATATCATGATTGTTTATTCGAAATGTTTCACTAATAAAGTTTATCAAAGGTCTCCAAATAGGTCAGTTTCATATTCTCAAGAAGTTTAATTCCTTCCTCACCAATCCTATTGTTGGCAATAAAAAGGAAGGTTAATTGATGCATGTTAACTGAAATTGCCTTGGCTCCTATATTGCCAATTTGATTATCATTAATCCAAAGTTTAGATAAATTGTTCATTTCACTAATTGATTCCATTCCTTCATCACCAATTTGATTGTCATTAATATAAAGACTTGATAATTGAGAAAGTTGACTAATAGATGTTGCACCTTCATCACTAATATTATTACCACTAACATCTAGACAAGTTAGCTTCTTTAATCCACTAATTGATTTCATTCCATTATTGCTAATTTCATTTCGGCAAATATTCAGATCGGTCAATCTTTCTAATTTAGTAATATCTTGAACTCCTTCGTTGCTAATCTTGTTTGAGCTTGCACGTAGACATTTCAATAGTGGAAATGAATTACATATCAATATCATTCCTTCATTTCGAATAAAATTATTACTAATGTTAAAGTTGGTTAAATTCTTCAATTCACAAATTGATTTCATTCCTTCCTCCTTAACGTTACAACTCTGCATAACTAGCTCAGTTAAATGTTTCAATTTACTTATGAATTTCACACCCTCATTTCCAACAATATTATTACTGACATTTAATATTGTTAATTGATTCAAATTACAAATTGAATTGAATTTATCAATCTTATTCGTAGAAATATCAAGACTATCCAATCGTGTCAATCCACTTAATAATTCCAAACCTTCATTTCCTATTTGATTATGTTCAATATTTAAGATAGTCAAGGAATTACTCAACTCTTTAATTAATTTCAATCCTTCTCCTCCAATATCATTAAAACCAACACTAAGTTTTGTTAATTGTTTCATAGATTGGGAAATTTGAATAAGTTGTTCATTTCCAATATCACTCAATTCCAATTCCAATATTTTCAATTGATTCAATTTACATATAAATTCCATTTTCTTACTGGTGTAATTATTGTTAATGTGCAATTTAGTTAAATGATTCATAGAACTAATCATTTCCATATTACAATCCCAAGATTCAGTGACATGTAGTGTTGTAAAATTAGAAACAAATTGCGAATCCATTAAAGAATTTAATACTTGACAGCTGGCATGATGAATAAAAATAGTAAATTCACATCGATTCCGAATTACATTTAACCATTGTTTAGATATTAAACAACAAGTATTTAAAATAAATAATTGATGTGTTAAAAATGATCCATCATCATCGTATTCATCGTATTCATCGTTACAATGTAAAAAAGTTAATATTTCATAACAAATATCATCAGGAAGAAATAGAGAGCAAGATGGTGATGGTGTGGTTTTTAATTCTGACATTTTTTTTTAAGAGAAAAATATTCGAATCTTAAAAGTTTGGGAATCTGGAAGCAAGATAGAGAAACAAGACGAAAGGTTTCGACATCGAAACAAGTAACGCCAGTTTCTAATGTTCAACCTCATTCGTCTTGTTCAAAATATTATTAAGATATTCAACTAGTTTCTCATTGGAATGGAAATTAAATTCAAAGTCAGTCAACTTCAAATGTCACTTTAATATCACTGCCAAAAGTCATTAATAACAGTGATGGTCAAATAGTCCGACATTGGTGTTACTGTGTTGTGCGAATTATTTTCCAAATAATGAAAGCTCTTCGTAGGTGAATTATCGGATTTCACTGCCAAACGTCATTATAAAAAAATTAAACAATATCAAAAGAACAACACCCAAACAATGAGTGTAAAACGTAGCGGGGAACAATTGCTACCGATAGGTCTATTGTTTGTGATATGCTTCCTGTCAATATTACATCATGCCAGCTGTTCAATTAATGTGAAAAATATTTACAACTTTGGTAACGCTGACAACAATGGTTTTAATTTCTATTACCCAACATCAATCGGATATCCAGCAGAACCCAACTCTTATCTTTCCACTTTATTCTTCAACGGCTCTGAATCTTACAGATTGACAACTGGCATTCAAGCACGTGACGTTTCTGTCAAGCTTCAACAAATAGTTCCAGCAACTTATTCAATTTACTACATTCTACAATACTCCAACACAACCACATCCATGCCAATCAATCAAACAATTCTCGTAAGTGGAGGAAATCCAAAAACTTCACCACCAAAAATTTTCACACTTCCAGAACCAACATACATCTATACAGAAGAAGGAAAGAATGAAAATCCATTCATTACTGGTAACAGAACTGTCACTAAAATGGTTTGCTTATTTTCATGTTTAATTTTGACAAGTGATGGAAAAGTTTTCATTCAAGAATATCTTGACACGTCTAATTCAATGACACCTTGGACAGAAACATTCATTCTCAATAATTACATCAATCAAGATGATTTTCAACCTTATCAGAATGTAGAAATTGTTGATATTGAAATTTGTGGTTATATTTATTGCCAAACTTATTTTGCACTTACTAATTATGGACATGTTTTCAGTTTTGGATGTGGAGATTATATTAGAGGAGTAGCAACTGCTATTAATAGTTATGTGATTAATCAGATTGCTTCATTGCAAAATATAGTTTCGTTAAGTGGTTCGAAATCTTCCTATTCTAGTGGAAGGTCAGTAATGGCAGCAATTGATAAGGATGGTAAATTATATACGTGGGGAAGTAATTATCGTGGATCTATGGGTGTGAATGATACTTCTCTTGATTATACTGAAACACCTAGACAAGTCACATTGCTTCCTTCAAAAGTCAAAAAAATTCATTTTGGAGTTTCACATGCCTTGACAATTTTGGAAAATGGAAATGTGTATGTGTTTGGTGATAATGATGCACAACAGTGTGATCCAAGTGCTGGACAGGTTGTTTGGGTTCCAAGAAAAATGAGTTACATTAATTCGAATGTTACCGAATGTTATGCTTCTGGTTTGATTTCGGCTTGTATTATTGGTGGAAATTTGTATTCTTGGGGATATGGAAGACAAGATAATTATGGACATGATTTTTATGGTCCAAATTTTGATAAGATTGTAATGATGAATGGTGGAAACTTGACGAAAGTTGGGTTTACAGATGCAAATGGAGTTTCAGTCACTTCTGAAGGGATGGCATATGTTTGGGGAACAAATAGAGATGGAATATTGGCTAAAGGTGAAGAAAGAGAGATTCGTTATCCTAGAAATTTGACAATTCCATCAATGAACATTTCGAACAGTGTTTCGATTATTTCTGCCAAATCGAATGGAGATTGTTCAGTGATAATTTCAAAATCTAATGGAAATATCACTTCAATGGAGTATTGGGGACTCTGCTCTGGACTCTTCCCATCTTCTATATTACCAGTTAAGGAAAGTTTAATTTCGTCCAACTTGACGAAACAAGAAATAGTTTCAATCGAATTGGGAAACCAAGTTGGATTCATTCTGCTTTCGAATGGAGATTTGTATGGTTGGGGATCCCCAGCTTACCAATTCTCTCTTCCAATTACCTTCACTTCAAGTCCACAACTTTTCTATTCGAATGTTGAAAAATTCGCCTTAATAGGAGACGACAATATTTTCTTCTTGATGAAAAATGGAAGTGTCCTTGGAATTGGTAGAAATTCCAATTATCAATTTGGATTTGGTGTAAATGCTCCAACAGTTTTCAATTCATTTACCATGTTAGATATTTCCTTTTTAGGAGTTGGTGAAAGAGTTGTGGATTTGAAAGTAATAACCTATGCAGCAACATTGCTATTATTAACCAATCAAGGAAATGTGTATGGCTGTGGAAATAATGATAATTCAAAATACTTGTCATTGAGTTCAGAAACAAATATTGTAAACTTTATTCGAGTTAATGGAGATGTCAAAGTTAGGCAATTGGTTACAGGAGGTACTTCTTCTATGCTTCTTATCTCAACAATTGGAAAGCCTTATTATTTTTATGGTCAACCCTATCCCATCATATTACCTTCCGATGATTCGTATGTAGTTTCGGGCTATACGATGGACAAGAGTTATTATTTGATCACAAGGAAAGGTAATTTATATGCAGGTGGTGTGAATGATTACTTTCAAACTTCTCCTATTCGATATAGACAACCACCAATAGCCACTCCAGATCTCTATCCTAAACTATACGATGGAATTCCTTATTTGGTAGCTCTTAGACAAACAAGAGTTTCCCTTTACACAAGAGATGAATTTTCATGTTTTGGATATAATTCAACAAATGCCCTAGCATGCTCATCCCGTGGTTATTGTGCTGCACCGAATAGTTGTGTTTGTGATGAGGGATATTTTGGAAAGGAATGTGAAATGCAAAGTTGTTTCAGAAATTTCAATTCGAATGGAAATCAACTGTTGATGAGTGATGTTTTCTGTAAGAAAATCAATAAAATGTGGAAACAGTAGATAGCTCCTTATTAATAATCAACCTTGGTGTACTTCATTGTTGAAAATCTACTGCTACTGTTGAGGTTTTTTAGAAACTTCTTCCAACAGTGTTAATAATCTTTGACGGTATGTATTTCTAATGCATCTAATAATTATATCACCCACTGAGGATTTTTGTTGAACTCGGAATAGAATTGCCTTGAGTAGTGAAACTGTTTGCTTACTGGTGATAATTTCTTTTATATTCTTGTCCAAAAGTTTGGGTTCCGAAATATTAGATAGCTTTTGAATAGTTTCTCTAAGGTTTGAAATTAAAGAACTATATAATTCAATTTGTTGACAAATCATCTCCACTGTATTTCCATAAAATTCAAGCTGTATGTCCTCCAATAACTTGTTAATATTTAAATTCCAACGAGTGAATTCCAAGCACAATTCCTTTATATGCTTTGGTAGTTGTGAGACTTCTCTGAGCGTGCAATCTCCATTATCGAGAATTACCTGTTTCATTTTACGAAGGCAATTATATGAAGGCGTAGTTATGGAGGTATAGAGTGGCTTTGTGTCCACATCAGAAGAATAGGTAAATATTTCAATAACTTCCACTTGATTGTCATGGAGAATATCTTGAATTTCATCGTGATTCAATACAAAGGTTCTGTATCCATCAAATGTTAAAGCTACACTAGGTTGCTGAATTTTGAGTATTGGTTTTCTAAATGTTAAATTAAATTCATCTCTATTAAAATTCTCTTTAGAGAAAATAATATTTGGAGCAAAATCCTCAAATTTGGTAACCAGTTGTTGTCTATAATTTCCAGATTTTTCCAAATAATTAAATCCTATTATAGTAATATCATTCGAATTTTCTAGTTGTATAGTTATTGAATAATTTTCAAATTGATCATTATTCAATAAACATGGTAGGTAATTAATGAATATTCTCAAAGCCAATGTTAAATTAGTTGCTTCATTCACGCACCACTTTGAACTTTGAAAGTTCCACCAAACTAAAAAGCAATTCTGATGATTTCGAGAGGTATAAATTTCATGCCAAGTTGATCCAGGACTATTCTTCAACATCACTTCTCTGCAAGCACTTTCGTTCATCTCTATTCTAATATTAGGAATAAATGGTATTGCTTTGAGAATTGAATGTTGAGCAGTGTCAAATAATATTGAATTATTTACAGATGAGTTAATGCACAGGCTAATAATTGGATAATCCCTTGGACTCATATCGGTAGCACTCAATGCAATACCTTGACTTTGTGCTGAATTTTTGTAATAAATTGAAAAGAGTCTATACAGATCCTCAATGCTGTTCAATCCTTCCAATAATTGCTTCATTTCTTTCAATACCATTGAAGGATCACTAATAATCACTTCAGTTGTTTCGGATTTTGTGAGACTAATATTTGGATAGAGAGATGAAAATTCAGACAATTTCGTGAATGAATCTACTGTCAGACTATACTTTTCTCCATACTCTTCATCGATAGTCTTGTACAGGGCCTTATAATCCTGTCTATCAAATTTATCCAACACATTTTGCTGTAAATTCCAATAAATTTCATTTCCACTAAACACTGACTCATCCACACAATGATATTGCAATAATTCTGTAGCCCAAGCCAAGAATCTAAAGCAGTACACCACCAACTTAGTTCCCTTACTCTCATCATGATCTTTCACAATCTTGTTATAGAACTTTTGCCAAGCTCTATTCACTTCCGATAGTACAGATGGAACAAACTTGTGTTTCTGAAAGTATTTCCTATAGTAACATTCGGAAAGGGAGAGATCATTGGAATTATAGCCCTCCACTCGTTCATTCCAAGTTTCCTTCCACTTTACTATTGAATTCCTATTATGAACACAAAACAAGATGAATATCGAGTGATCCTGAATCATTCTCTGGAAAATCCTTTCCGAATAGATCGACATGGATATTTCCACGTTATTCCTCATAAAAGTGTACAGAATCTTGTAGTATTGCTTGTTAGAATTGAGTAGGAATTCTTCAAGTTTAATATTTTCCTCTGTGTGATGATGAGAAGGTTCTTGTTGAAGAGTTTTGCAATAATTCATCAATTTGATAAAGGTACAATTCTCAACAATGACAACAGTATCATAGTCTCTGTTAGATCCGAGCTGCTGTTGTTGTTGATCTTCATCAGATGGAAAGTAGGCTCGGGATCCATACAAGTAAACATGAAGAATTTGAGAGGAAGATGTCGATGATGTCGGTTGATTTTGATGATGATTTGATGATAATGATGAAGGAAGAATAATTTTCGCTTCAATTGCCTCCTCTATGAACAATAACAAGTCATACTCCCTGGAAAATTCATTCTTCATAATTTTTTTAATTTGAAAATTAATAAATAAAATTTTAATTACAATGCAATTTCTAGGATGATATCAATTTGCATCACAAACAATATTGAAAAATAATTTAATTAATATTCAAAAGGAAGCTATAAAGGAAGTAATAAATCGATCACCATTAAAAACTATTCATTCTCCTCATCATCATCTTAAAACAAATATCCACGTAGGAAAATGCTCCGAATGCGTTCAACATTAACATTTGGTGATACTACCATTCGCACAATTTCCAAATGAAAAACGCGAAAATAAATTGTAATCTTTTCGCGTTTTTCTACAAGCAAAAAAAATGCAACAAAACAAGGTCACAACCCACCAAAAATTCAACAACACCTCATTATTGATCACACAACTACTACTGCTTGTACTGCTACTGATCAGTAACAATCAAGTAGTAGTGGTAGTGGATGCTCTCTCGCTCGTATCTGGCAAGATACAAACAAATTCTCCAAACTGCTACAGATATACTAGTTCTGACACGATATTTGGATTGGATGATACGTTTGTGGGGTCTGGTGTGGTGCCTTATCCTAGAAATTGTCCAGCTGCACCTGATTGTGATTTGTATATTACACCTTCGAGTTGTTTGGGATGGAATGGGTAAGTGTGAATGATTGTTAAATAATTCTCACAAATGGGGACATAGACCAATAGCTGCGTATGGACCTCTGGGAACATTAGGGTAAGTTGTTTTTGAATGAGAATATCGAACCAATTGATAGACCATTGAGTCATGAAGTACCTAGTCCTAGTGGAGCTTATGCTCTCTTTCAGGAATATTTGGAAATCTTGCTAGGTCCATACTATAAGGAATATAATCCTCTTATTTATAATTCGGAAAATCCATTGTCTGCTGATGGGCCTCTAGGTGATTCTTTCTATAATTTAATGCCATTGATTAATGATTTTACTAAACACATGCAAGGATTGGGAGTTTGGTCAATTATGGGTCCTCTAGGTCCTTTGGGCCCTCTGGGTGGATTAGGGCCATTGGGACCAATTGGAATTCATGGGTTTACTAGGAATGAAAATGGAGATTATGTAGATTCAAAGGGAGTTATTCAGAGATTTGTCACTGTTGCATGGGATGATAAAACGAATGTGAGATGGCCACTCTATGAAGATTACACAAAAAATAGAGCGATGCAATTAAGTTCTCTTGGTCAATTGGATACCAGTTTTATGGTTACAACAACTGGCTCACTTAACGCAGACGTTTATGTTGTTAACGTTACAGAACCTCAATATGTTTCCGTATTGGTAGTTCCAGATATTTATGCCAAGAATTTCAAGATTCAAATTACTGAAAAGAAGAGTAGAAAAGTAATTGCCAAATCAGGAATTGATACAAGCTATTTGAATCCTTGGGTTCAATTCTATGTGAGCCCTGAAAACTTACAAAAAGGATCTCTCTTATTTGAAATTTCCATTTCGGTAGATCCTTCTGATTGTGGAGCATTGTCAGTAATTCAATGTTATATGAATTATTATTTGCATGTGGTTGGAAGTACAGCTCAAATGTTGAGACGACCAAATATTACCTATTCTGGGAAATATATCAAGACAGTTTGCTTAAACCATTAGTCAACTATGGGCCCATTTCCAAAATTTCTAATATAAATTACATTCAAATTCAAACAAAATTTCCTTCCTTAATAAAAGTTTTTCAAAAATAGAATTTTAAAAAAATGGGCCAACAACAAACAAGCAACCCTTCTGCTGCTGCAGAGGTATCGACACTCAATACAATGAATAATTCTCATCATGTTATTGATGATGATATACTCGGAGAGATTTTATCTTTTCATTCCGATGATTTTAAATTTATTGCAATGAGTTGTGCACTAGTTTCAAAACAGTGGTTGAAAATTGTTAGAGAAAGATGTAAACTTTCGGTAATATGTAGGAATGATAGAATGGTGAAAGGTCAATTTTTACAAAATATTGTAACTTTAAAAGTGGAAAATAGAGATTTATCTTTTAAATTTGATTGTAAAATATTGGAATTGATGAAGCAGTTGACTGTTCTTGATATTCATTATAACAATCTTGGTAGTGAAGATATAAAACACATTAGTCAACTGAAGAAATTAAGAATTCTTGATATTACTGCCAATGATTTTGGTAATGAAGGTGCTAAATACATTAGCAAAATGAATCAATTGACTCATCTTGATATGTGTGGGTATTTGTATCCTATCGATATGGGGGGAGCCAAGTATATCGGTAATATGCAACAACTAAGATATCTCGAAATATCAGAAAATGAAATTGGAGATGAAGGAGCAAAATCTATTAGTCAACTCAACCAGTTAACCACACTGCTCATCCTTTCGAATAATATTGGTCATATAGGAGCTCAATACATTGGTAGAATGAATCAATTGACTAGTCTCAACATTAGTAACAATGATATTGGAGTTGAAGGTGCTAAACACATTCACTCTTTGAAACAATTAACCTATCTCTATTAATAACACAAAAGTTGGTGATGAAGGAGCTAAATATATTAGCGAAATGTCCAAACTCACAAATCTTTATATTTACACATCTAATATTAGTGAAGAAGGTGCAAAACATTTATGTGTACTCAAGCAATTGACTACTCTTGGTATTGGATATAACAAATTAGGCGATGAAGGCGCTCAATATATTAGTGAAATGAAACAGTTGACCAACCTTACTATTTGTGGAAATAATATTGGACAAAAAGGAGCTGAACACATTAGTGGATTGGATAGATTGACTACGCTTAACATTGGTAATAACTGCATTCGTGATCAGGGAGCAAATTTCATTAGTCAATTGAATAGTTTGACTGATCTTAATGTTTATTCAAATGGTATAACTGATGAAGGACAGAAATTTCTAAATCAAATGCAAAATTTAATTCATCTTGTGATTGACAAGTAAACTGCCAAATATGGAAGTCATTCAAAAACAGTTTATTTTTTCTTGGATTGGTACATTGTGAGTAATGAGGACAATACTTTGGAAGATAGAATGCATAAGGATCAGCCTTATCTTCTTGATTATAATAAGTAGTAGTTCCCAATTGAACATTATTCGAATCATCAATGACATAACTAGTTCTACTCAAAAACCACCAATATCCACTTTCCTTAGCAGGAACAACCCAATAATAATTAATTTCAGTCCATGTTGGATACAAATCACTTTGATTGTAACCAATTTTCAATGCATTAATTCCAGCTATACTACCCTTTTCCAAAATTGGTAAAGTGTGACATTGTACAAAAACACTGGAATCAGATGGACCAAAATTCATGCAAGAACAATCACCATTGTCACTGGTCAGAGTATACACGATGGTATCATTATTCATTGGATTTTGAATGGAAATTTCACTTTTTACAACATTTCCTTTTACGATAAAATCTTGACGTTGTTGTGAAGTCTTGACATTGTATTGGTTCTTGATAACCTGATCATTATTTTTGAATTCCTTCATGATATAGCTAGCATCCTTGGTAGTCTCCCAGAAGGTAGCTTGTGGAGGCATGCAAAACTTGACATCCTTTCCAACACTAGTTTCTAATAACATCATAGCAGAGACAATTGCTAACAAGAGCAAGCAACAAACATTCACACAACGAACAGCTTTCATTTTCCACCACAACACACACACGGATAATCGATTAATTGTTTTTTTTGTGTTACAAACGAATTGGTGTGAAATGATTAGGTGCAATTTATTTGGAAATTTAAAGTGCAATTTCGCTCATTTTCTTTAGGAGTTTCATAATAGCCGGTTAGATCATGGATTTTGTAAGGATTTTAGGAATGTTGTGAATCGCTACCTAATTGGTTAATATTTCTAAAATCAATGTTAGATTTTCAGGAATGCACCACTTTACAATATTAAAATATTATTGTACGCTCATCTTTAAAAAGGCATTAGTGCAATTAGCGAATTACTATCATTTTCAGAAAATTTCATATTGAAACATACATTAACATTTAACATTATTTAATATTTAAAATATTAACCAATTACATTTAACTTTTAAAAGTTTTAATACTAAAAAAAAATGTCCAACAACAACAATAATACTCTCTTCGATGAAATTATTTGCAATTCCATTCTACTCTTCTTACCTCCGAAGGATTGGCGAATTAGCAAGCCTTTCCTCATCTCGAGCAAATTTTCTCTCGTTTGCTCATCGGAAGAATTCGCCAAGCAATTTCTCATCAATTTATTCAAACTCTCTTCGGAACAGGTAGAACAATTAGAAAAGGCATGTCTGATGATGTATAATAATTCACGTTCGTTATTAAAGCCTAGAAAAAAGAAGAGAAAAATTCATCACGATGATGATGACGATGAGGCTAATGAAAAATTGGGAATGAATAGAATTGCAAAATCAATGAGGGAAGTGTTGTGGATTTATTTTGAAATGTGTAGTGCATATGATTCAGAGTCTATCAAGTGGGATGTTATTGAGAGATTGAAAGAGTTTCATAAGGGAACGGTTCATGTGTTGGAAACTGCTCAGGAGGAATTGATGACCTTACAATTGGAAAGTTACTTATTGAAATCGTTTAATTATTTCACGAGTGAGGAGCCACAGAGAATCATGACTCGTTCTAAGGATTTTATCATTTCAGAGAAGGTTTTATTGAAGATTTTTGGAAATGTGAAGGATTTGTTCTTGATAGCAACTACTGCAAATTCGACAGAGATTAATCTTTGTTTATTTACTAGTTTTGGATATCCACTCTTCTTTAAGAGTGAATATTTTAGTATGAGTCATGGATCTATTAAGGAGAAATTGGATGTGTTTGGAAAACATGTGTTCATGCATCAATTGAGTCATGGAGATGCCACCGATAAGTTCGATAAGGAAATGTTAGCAACTCTACAAGAATTACTCTTCTCCAAAAATGTTGATGAAGTACTGGTGAAGGAAGGTAAAATTCCAGAGAAGGATCTTACAGATGTCAAGCTCTCTTTGTTATATGAATTTTTACAATGTTGCTTCGGAAAGAATGGTACCATGTTCAGAAGATTTAGTCTTGGATGGGTACCGTTTGTTGGAAAAGTTAGATTGGTGGTTCGTGAAGTGGGCTCGACAGATTTTGGATCTAGTAGTGAGGAAGAGGATGATGAGGATGATGATGAGGAATATCAAGAAAATGCTGATACATTTAGTGACAGCGAGGAAGAACCAATTGAATGAGAAGCTCTTCCGTATTTCAATGCTCCAACTCTATGAGTTGAGCAATCAACTTTTTACTTGAACAAAATAATTGGTTCACATACAAATTGCTTTCAAATTGATTAATTTCACAATGATGTTTTTTAATTGATTTATATCTAAGAATTTATAAGGCTCTGTGAAAAAATAGAGCGATAGGTTTATTGTTCAATAATGGAAATATGTTAACTAATTCTAATTGGCCATATTCTTCTTCTTGTTATGTTTCGTCCACATACAAACGCCAATAATGGCAGCCACGATTATTCCAACCACAATACAAATCAAACCAGCACCTCCCAATGTAACAGCAAGTGCAATGATTCCACCAGTAGTCAATCCTCCTAATTGTAATGTGTCATCTCGACTTGTCTTTTTATAATTCATGTCAATTACTGAGAAAGATGTCAAGTGATAGGTTTCACACTTGAGTGAGAATGTGTAATAAGTAGAGGAAAGTTGTGAGGATGTGATGGTACTCTTAATTCCACTACTGCTCCAAGAATTTGATGCAGTGTCATAATACATACAGGAATAGTTGAAACTGCCACCTGTCTTGTCAATTTTGATGCTGTTGAATTGAATGACAATTGGATTTGGAAGATTATAGACTGGGAGAATATCTGAAGTATTTTTAAAGACAGAAACTGAAGCAGTCGAACTCACTACAAGCAATTCTTGAGAAGTGTCAAGTGTTGGATCATAAATGGAAGAAACAACTGTCAACTGATCACCAATTTCAGGATAAGTCTTTAACACATACGAATAAAAATCAGATGGGAACGTTATAGAAACTGATGGAGTTCTACTAAACCTCAAAACCTTTGAACTTAATTGATTGACAGCCACAATTTCCTGATTGACCTCAACAGAACTCGAGGATGGAACAGCACATGTCAAGGTTTCAGAATTTGCATTCCAAGTACTTGCACAAAACTCATACTGACAATAACTTCCAACTCTTCCAGCATTGCATTTACAGGAATCAGTCGAAACGCAACTTCCCTTTCCAGAACAAACATTCGACGAATTTGAGGAAATTCCATAACAGATATTGTAAAGTGGTGTGGAACAGGTGGTGCCAGTGTATCCAGATGGACATGAGCATTGATCTTGTATGGAACATTTACCGACACCTCCACAAACAGTTTGATAGTCGAATCCTGAAACGTCGAAACAAGTGGAATATTCACATTCGAAACCAAAGTTGGTATTTTGACAGTTGCATCGATTTGGACCAACACATGAACCGTAACCTGAACAAACACTTGATGAAGAAGGTAAATTACCAAAACAGGTAAAACTAGAAACTGGATTCAATAAATAAATATTTCCATTTGGATTCGTCAACATGATTGCATCTCCAAATCTTCCCAAAATGACCACATCACTAATAAAGGCAGCACTCATAGGTCCTTGTTGTGTGTCCACAAATTGCTGTGTCCATAACAATCCATTCTCAAGTCTCTTAACCATATATTGATAGGAAATGTATAATTTTCCATCGGCTCCAATGGACATACCAGTTGGATTAATGTAATTGGCGAATGCATCTTCTCCTACATCGGATAAACTAATCTTTCTCTTGAATGAACGAACTGCTGGTTGAGAGTTAATTCCAGCAACTATTTCGGCAATTCCATTAGGATAAACTAAACTAATTGACGATCCTTCAGAAGTGTACAAGTTGTCAGTGTCTGGATCGATGATTGTAATTCTTAATTCACTATTGGTTGAGGAATAAATTTTTTGGACAAATTTGGTTGTGTGGTCAACTCTGAAAATGTAATAACTGGATTGAAGAAACATGTCATTATTCGAATAGAAACCAAATCTAACTGCTGCAACTGGGTTTTGGTCAAGATAAGTTCCATTTATAGGAACACCCCAAGTTCCATCTCCTGCAAAGGTAATAACAGTTCCATTGCTTAATAATTGATAAATAAAGTAATTAGAAAGGAAGTATACTTCTCCGAGGGAATTTACAGCAATATCAATACAGGAATAACCAGTTACTTTTTGAGAAACTAAATTATTGTCATATTCGAATACATTTCCATTCGAATCACACATGTATACGAAACCATTGACCTTATTATGAACTGCATGTGAAATACCTCTACTAGTAAAATTCTTTGCTGAATAAACTGTTTCACTAGATGTTGGAATTTCAACAGCTAACAAATTTGTGACCAATTGACTAGCATGGTCAATCTTGAGAATTACAGAACTATACAAATCAGTCAAGTAAATATCCTTATTATCATCAACAAGCATGGTAGTACCATAATTAATTAGTAAATTGGTAGAATTCATGCCATCGACGAAACTTCCTGAACTTCCGGCAGCAATAAGTTGATTCGAATTGTTTCTGAAAACGTAAACACCAGTTAAAGTTAACATGTAGAGTTCATTATCAACAGTATCAATACTCATTAAATTAGAAATACTAGTATAACCAAATGTCACTTGTCCATTCATGGAAATCTTATCAATTGCTTCACCATTTTTGGCAAACAAAAAAGTTTCGTCTTTGGAAAGAACAATTTGTGAATAAGTGCCAGGTTCAAAATCTGTCAAAATATTAGTAACGCTATAATTTCCAATATTATATTTGGAAATTGAACTTCTTTGGACAATAAATATTTCATTCTTACCATTTATGGCAAGTCCACGAACGTAATTATTGTAAGAAGGATAATTGTAAGCAAAATTGATTTGATTTCCCAATCCTTCAGAGGGAAGTTCGTTATTGGTGCCATAACCAACTGCAATAATCGATTTCTTATCAGAGTTTCGAATTCTTTCCATATAAATTCCATTATTTAAATAGTAAATATCATTTGACTTGGTGTCAATAATTAAACCACCAATATCTATCAATTCTCTGTCCAAGGCATAGTAATAATCTTGAATGGTGGCTATATCTTCATAATTACCATTATTTCTCATGCTTCCTGCCACATTGGTTACAATTCCATTCTTATCGAGCTTTCGAATAACCTTTCCTGAAACAGAATAGTACAAATCACCGTTTCTCTTATCCAGATAGACGAGTCGATATTCAAAGTTGTTGGTTGAGAAGGTTGGTGAAGTTTCGGCAACTTTCAATCCACTCGTAAAATTACCACCAATGAACAAATCCAAAGTGTAACCATTGATGGTTGTGGCATGTGTTATGGTGGACAAACAACACATCAATGAGAGTAGAAACAAGACTAAACGCAACATGTTGGTTGTACTAACTTGTTGAGTCATTTTTTAAGTAAGATACCTTTCGAATAATATAATTTATTGTCCTTGTGTGAAAAATGTTTCGAATAGTGGTTGAGCGGAGCTGTTTAGATAATCCAACCATTCATGTTTGCTTATAATCCTTGTAATTACCCATTTAAAAGCTTGACATTCACAAATGAGGTTTGAAATAAGCGACCAGTGTCAAATCAATCAAATTTCAACCTTTTCACTTTCCTTGTTTGAGGTGTGAAATGATTATTATCCATGAGATCTAATGTTGCATTGTAAAGCATTGTTTGAAAAAGATTGGAATGTTAAATAATGATTTTTGAAAGGTTTCGTATCTGTTCGAATAAAAAATCTGAAAGGTCTAGAATTTGGTTCTAACTTTATTTGAGTTTCTACAGCAATTCCAATTTCATTTTGTATAACCATTAGATCTGTTTGTTTCTAATTAGAAATTCAATTTCCCTTTCCACTAACTTTCTATCGTCCACTTTCTCATCCGAAAGATAACTCAAATCGTGTTGGCAAATTTGCTCTTCCATTGTCGAATCAATATTAAGCATGTCATGTTCGAGTGGAAACATGTGTACAATTCCAAATATCGAATTTTCTTTTGTCATTTGTGGAAACTTTTCCATTTTTCCATTATTCATTTGTGTGTGAATATTTTCAATCCAATTTTTGTAATGGATGGATTTCCATGTGAGATTTAAATTCTTCATGGCTAGCAGGATGTTATCAATGGTTCTGTAGAGTTTGTTCCAATTGGTTAAATGATGAATTGTAGTGTTGGATTTTGATTGATTATTGATGAGGTCAATAATTCCTTTGGCGCAGCAATTGACTGGAATAACTTGCATGCCATGTTTGGAATATTCAATTGGAATTTCACCCAAATGAGCAAATCCACATATCAATCTACAAATCCATTCCCTCACACTGCTGAATCCATTCATGGTATGTCCAACTACGAGTCCAGGTCTGTAAATTTTCAATTGACTAAAGTTGCATTGTTCCATAGCTAAACGGAGAGCATGCTCTGCAATGTATTTGGATTGTGGATAACCATCTGAAAGGTCATTGAAATTTTGAAGAGAAAGAGGAATGAAATCTTGTGCGACAAGCTTGTTCAGCTCCTTATATTGATCAATCATTGAATATGGAATGACACTAATAGTTGAAACAAAGTGCAAGTGTTTGATTCTTTGAGAGGTACATAATTTCAAACATTCAATAACACTTTGAACATTGACGTGCTTCAAGTTGAGTATAATTCATGATGAAGTTGACATTGGCTGCACAATGAATGACTGTATCAATATCGGTTTCTAATTTGTTATAAATATCTTGATCTAGTCCAAATCTATTCATTGAAATATCTCCTAAAATTACTGAAACTCGACTATTAAATGTTTCCAATAGAGATTTCTTCTCTTCAGGTGAAAAATGATAACAATAATTCATTACATTACTGATTAATCTTTCCCTTTCATTATCCAATGATTTTCCTCTTATAATACATGTCAAATTGGATTCTGGATTGCTGAATAATTGCTCACATACCAATCCAACTCCAATGAATCCAGTTGATCCAGTGATTAAAATATTTCTATTCTTATTCAGTTCGATAGTTTTCGAAAGAGTTTCGTCAACTATTGGAATATCCTTGATGAGATCTTTAACTTCCCGCAACAACTCTTCATCATTTCTAAATAATTCATCTTGGGCTTGTCCATTTTCCAGCAGCTTCTCAATCATTTCCATAATGGCAAGTGCTGGATTTTCATTATTCTTGCATTCTTGTAAGATTTTATCTGCACCAAGTTTTACATTGAATTTCTGTGACAGAAGGTTGGATAATCGAACAGAGCTCAACGAATCGACAACTCCTCCACTTTCGAATAGTTTTTTCAAAAATTCCTCCAATTGAACCTTATTGGAAACTTGATCCAGAGTGGACATATCTTCTCCTTCAATTTCCTTATACAATTTCTCTAAATCTTCCTTGTAAGACTTTACAAGTGCTGGTCTACAAAGCTTGTAAGATGCTGTCATTTTACCATTCTCTGGAGTGAATATTTCCATCTCAATAATGAAACCTTTTGGAATTTCGTACGATTCCAATTTGGCTTCTCTTGCACACTTGTTCAAATCATCTTGAATGACCTTGTAAATGAAACCATTTCTCGATAAATCCGAATCTTCAAAGATTTGATTTCTTTCTATAGCCATACTCTTAGCTTTCTCTTTCAGTAATGGTAAATTCCTTGGAACAATTACAGCCACAAGGAAGGATTTTTCAGAATTTCCGTAAATGTAAATTTGATCCACAAATAATGTTTTGGAAATGAACAAATTTTCCAAATTTTCTGGAGCTACGAATTCTCCCTGACTCAATTTGAAAATATTCTTCTTTCTATCAATAATTCTCAATCTGAGCTTTTCCTTATCAATTTCACCAATGTCAGCTGTTTGGAAATAATTTTCCGAATCGAATGAAAGTTTAGTCTTTTCAGTATCTCTGTAATATCCTGAAATTATAGTCGAGCTCTTGACACAAATTTCTCCTCTTGGAAATGGCACATCAGTTATAAAATAGCCAAGTTCTGGAACGCTTTCCAATTTGATTTCCACATCTTTCAATTTCATAATATGTCTAGGAAGTTGTTTGTTTTCCTCTTGAATTTTCTCACTCAAATAGTCAACTCCATCAACACCAATTGGTCCAATATATCCACATTCTGTTGAAGAATACCCATTGTAAACATTACATTTGAAACACTCCTTTAAAAATTCAACTACTTGTGGTGAAGTTGAAGCACCACCTGTCACGAGGGATTTAATTCTTCCTCCAAGCATATTTCTGACCTTTTGCATAATTTCTTCTTCCTTTTCAGGGGTGAGTGAATCACCTTCCAAAACTTTCAATCTTTGATATTCTGCATAAAGAATATTGTAAAATCTTGGAGTGTTTGACTCAGTCACTGGTTGAATAGATTGATAATCATCAAATACCTTATCCATCTCTCCACAATTGAATCCACTTCTTCCACCATTTACCATGCATGCTGTAGTGTTCATTCTATCTGTAATGTGTGACAATGGAGCATAGGTAATGAACACTAGTGGATGGTAATGATAGATTTCCATTTGTACATTTTCATTATATTGTCGATCGGTCATGACAGCTCCTTTAGGTTCTGTTGAAGTCGATCCAGAAGTATAGACAATGGTGGTCAAGTCGTTCACTGAATTATTAGTTCTAATGTTAAATCTGAGCGCATTGTTAAAAGTTGGATAGTCCTTGCAAGTACTCAATTCGATACTTGTCATATCTGTCAATTCTATCGAGAGTTCTCTAGCTAACATGATTGACTTACAATCCAAGTTGATATCATTTTCAGAAATGTAATTGTGAATGACAAATTCATCATCGCTCTTATTAAAATCACACAATTCCTCAATGGAAACATTCATATTAAGATTTGAATTCTTATAGCGACTCTTCATGAGATAATAGAGTGGTGATGACGTGGAATCATCTTGAGAAGTTAATTTCTTAGCATGTTGTTTCACTTTTCCCTGATGAACAGCTCTCAAATTTTTCAAATATTTGGTCAATTCTTCCTCTCCTGCATTCTTATAACTTGTTTCATCAAATTCTTCCTTCTTTACAAGGAAATCTTCCATTTGAACAATTACCTTAACAGAAGGAATCAATCCATGTTTGATTAATTTCAAAAATTTGACTGTCAAATCACGACTGCAAACCAATAATGGAATTTGTGAATTGTTGATAATGCAAATAATTTCATGTGAAATACTTTTCAAAACATCAACACTTTCCATATTCACAATATCTTCACTAATGCAATCGACTTTGGTTTGAGGCAATGCAACAGAAATGAAACTCTGAGTGAGAGAGGCCCAATCAGCTACAAACCAATCGGCTCTATTGCTCGAACAAATTCCAACGAATCCTCTGCCTTCCTCTTGACTAAATGGTCTTGGTTGATTTAAAAATTCCTTTTCAAATTGATAGAGACCCAAACCAAATCTCATCACTCGTTCATGCAACTGTTCGAAAGTGAACCATCTATGAAAAGTTTCAAATTCAGTTGCAGAAATTCTTCTACGATAACCCAAGCAAGGACGATCTCCAAAGGCATTCAGAGCATTAATAATTGTCTCTGAAATGTAGGCACTCCTAATGAGCCAATGCAAATATCCAGGATGTTTCGAATTCTTCACAAAGAATACATCTCTACAGTCCTTAAACTTTTCCCTCGCCAATTTCTTCCACTCCTCCTTCTCCTTCTCAAAACTTTCCACACCAATATTGAACTCATCATATTTTGGAGCTTCCAAACAATGTACATGACATTGCTGTGTGGAAACCTTCTCCAATCGATCCAATTCTCCTCCTCTGACCTTCTCCACATCATTCCAACACTCAAATCGATACATATCCCTACAGAAACTCTCATAATTATCCATCCTCATACCATGCTCCTTCTGATACTGCTCTGCTTGTTCAATATCTTCTTCTCTATCAACGAGTGCCCTTCCCAGATCCAAACTCTTATTGGGACTACACACCAATGGATCTGGCAGAATGGTTGTCAGATAACTGGTTGGGATCCAACCACAGGTGCTGAAGAGTTGTGGTTTCTGAGGTCTATTACGATGATCATAGAGTTTATAGCCGTGCTTGTGCAGGGCATGAATATTCACTCGTTGCACATAACTCATTGATGATGATTGCTGTGAGGAAGAGGAATTGTCATCGTCGTGATGATGATCATTTGTGCATGGAACTGTTTCTAGAATTAAAAGCATATCTCCGAAGGAAATTCCTGTCAAAAGTGGTTGGAATTTGTTGTTGGATAGAATTGTTTGTTGTTGTTCCTGTTGATTCGGAGGGGAAGTGACGAGTGCATACTTGTGAAAGTTGAACATTTTTTATGATTGGATAATTGAGTGTGAAAAGAGATGGTTGTGTGAAAAAGTGCAATTCTAGAGGTTGTAAATAATGATTTTACTTGAATTCAGATGCAAGATGTTTAGGAGTTTCCAATAAATCAACTTCCTTTTCCAACATTTCAATCTTGTCGTGTTCCTTCTTGATCATCATTGTTTCTGCATTCATGCCAAAGAGTTTCATGTAGAACATGATAAACCATGAGTGAACGGCAAGAATGTACAATCTTAATTCAAAGTACATTCTTCTCCTCCATTCATTCATTTGAGAGAAAATTCCAGTTTCGGATGGTGTTTTGGAATTGATGTTCATTCCCCTAGCGGCTGATCTAGCCATAACAGTAAAACGATTGACCTTAGCTCCTAAATCCTTATTGAGTCCTCTCAAAATATTGTCAGCTCTCGAGATGAATAACATGTCGGCTGGCATTTTCTTGTAAATATCCAAAATTCCTTCAAATTGTTCCTTGACGACATCATTGAATTCCTCAAAATTCTTTCCTGAATAATCTTCTCCACCTTCCAATTGATCAAAAGCTTGCATCATCATCATACTGGCATACATTTTGTAATCTGTAATACCTAATGATTCACAATAATCCTTCATTCCCTTTTCATCTCCTAGGACAATAGAATTGACAAACTTGGCATAACCAATTCTGAAATCCTCATCGAATTTCTTGTACAATCCGTGATCCAAAAGGACCAATTGAGGTTCGGAAGGTTTCAAAGGATTACGTCTCACAAAGACATTTGAAGAATGAGGATCGGCTTGAATGAAACCGTGAACAAATAATTGATCTGAAAAGGCAGACAAAATTCTTTCAGCAACATCCTCTTCCTTGAATCCCATTTCCTTGATACGCTCTACATTGTTAGCAGTACAGGCATTTTCAATAAATTCCATAGTAAGTACTCTTTCGCTTGTCAATTCGTCAAACATTTTTGGAACGTAGACATCTGGACGGTCTTTCATATGGTCAGCAGCTTGTCTTGCATTAGATGCTTCATGTCTAAAGTCCAATTCAGAATATAAACCATTTTCCAATTCTCTATTGAACTTGTTATTCATTTCCACTAGAGTGTCAATATTTTCAGCATCTTCTTGCATGTAGTAGAGTTTGAGACTGAGAGTACTCATTGAATCGTTGGTTCTCATATCTCCTTCGAAATAACTTCTAACAAATGGGTATTGTACCTTTACGGCAACTAATCTACCATCCTTGGTACGAGCTCTATGTACTTGAGCAATACTATATATGTTGATTTCAAGTTTAATATCCAAAGTTTAAAAAGTATATCAACAGAAATTCCAAAATGTTAATTCCAAAGATTAAATCAAAGTTAATTGAAATTAATTGAAGGTGCAGTTAAATAAAAACAATTGATTGAAATTAAACTAACCTTGCTGCAGCAATTGGTTTTTCATCGAATTCGTCAAATAATTCCTCAATAGACTTGCCAAAATCTTGATGAATGACCTTTCTTACATCATCAAATGGAATTGTTGGTGCTCTATCTCTCAAAACTTTCAATGTATCAATATATTCATCAGGAATGGCAGAAACCAAAGATGACAAAAATTGCCCAATCTTGATATAGACACCTCTTTGTTCAATAAATAAATCCAATAATCTTTCTGCATTTCTCTTGTGAGCTTGCTTCTTCTTTTGTATAAATTCTTCACTATTCTTATCTGGTTTTTCCACAAACCAATAATGAGGATTATATGGTTCTGTTATCAATAACCAAAAGTAATCGATAGCAATTGCATAAATTGTCATGAGTGATTTGATATAACGATTCAATCCTTCACCAATCTGAACAGCACCTTCCAATTTATCAGCCAAATCCTTGTTATAATAAGGAGATGATGGATTATCAAATTGTGCAAAGTGAATAATGGCCAAGAATCCACGAAGTGCTCCATACATTGTTAAAACAATGGCACCAAGTCCTAAAAGTATCTTGCCATAGATTTTCAAAGCCTTGATGAGAAAGTTTCGGAGCATGACAAAAACCGAAGATGATTTCTTATTATTATTGGATGAAGATGATGATGAGGATGAATTGTTATCTAATGAAATTGATTGTCTATTAGTAGAAGAGGTGGAAAAACTTCTACAAATGTTATTATTATTACCACCAGTAAATAAACTTGTTGATGATAATTGTTTAGTGGATGATGATGACAATATCGAGCATGAATGATTATAGCAAGAGAGAACCGATGGCGATGAAGAAGAAGAACCCAATGCTGCAAGAGTTTTACTTCCCTTGTTAGAGGCCTTCTTCATCAGAGAGTAGGAGCTTGTTTTCATCATCTTGTAATAAAGGTTGTACGGACACTTTTTTTCTAAGAGAATTGAAATGAATATTTACTGGTGTGTTATTCTTAGTTGAAATAAAGTCCATGATGCAGGATTCTCTCTAATCTATCAATATGAAGATGATGAAAACAAGCTCACGAGTAAAATTGATTGAAGGCAAAGGTGCGTTACGGTGGAAGGAACGCCATTTTTCTTTTTTTGGATAAAAACCGTCTTGAATACTTTTGTTTAAATTGAAATACTGTAGAGTGTTAAATATTACTGATTTTGTACATATCATTTTCTTGCATTAACAAGTTGTTCGAAAATTACAAAAAATTGTATTTTTTATTTTGATAAAAAAATGTTCATCATATGTAACGGTTGCACCAACCATCAAACAACATCCTAGCGGAAGAAATATAGAATAGTATTTACAGAGATCTATTTTAAACAAGATATTATTCAAACAAATTTAATATCAAAGCAATAATACATGCTTTAGCACAGAAGTTCAATCCCGAATTAAATCAATGAAATAGTAGTTATTTTAATGATTTTTAGAATTGTACTTTGGAACCAATCAAAAAGTATTATGCTCCCAGAGTTTTTCGGTTTTAACAAACGAACTTTTGAGATTTCACCAGTTAAGAGGAGTTTGGAAAAATAATGGATTTCTATTGGATACACCCGACAAACACCCAACAATTCATAATAATGGTTATTTATGTGGCATAGATACGTAACATGTGAATGGTTTTTATCACATGCTTACAAAAAACTATTGAATGGGAAAATGTATATGATACAATTTACAAATACATTGCTACTTGACTTTTATTATTTCGTAAATTCTTTATGGGTACATAAGTATTCGAGGTAGATTATCAATTTACAGAATATATGCCAACCAGTCAATAACAAAAGAAATTTGGTTAACAAGCAAGTAGTTAATCATTTGTGTAACAAACCCTTAACATCTAAACGTCAAGGCACTATACGGATTATACAACAGAGTTTGCTAAACTAAACAGCGTTACAAAACACATTGTAAACCAAGCTTTATAAGCGAAAAAACCAAGACGCAAAAAGTGTTGTTTCTCTCAAAGCTCGTTTAAAAAAAAATACCAACAACAATAATAATCAAGCATGCTAAATAATGATGATACTTCGGAGGCAATAGCACTCACAAATATTACACTCTTTCTAAAGAAAACACTTACGACCCTGCAAAAAGTCGATGATAATACCACCATCAAGGAGACACTCACAAGTTTTAAAAAAGTTTTTGCTGGTGTAGATACCGGAAAGCTTTTATTTAAATTAACAGAGAACAGAATAAGTCCAGATCCAGATGCCAAATACTGGCAAAAGTGCCTCAATTTAATGGGAGAAAATTGTAAAGTAATAACGAAAATAGAAGAAGAAGAAAGTGTGATTGAAATCACGGATGCGTCCACTCGTGGTTTTATATCATCGCATCTGACAAATAACCAACAACCAAATATTGGTACACTAACAAACCAAACAAGCCAAAGTAGCAATCAACGAAGTGTACTGGATACAAATGGTGCTGTTGATATGCCAACCGACTATAATGATGGTAGCCCTTCTCTCTTTCAGGAAAAGAAAAACAAGAGAAAAACAAGAGCAAGTAGTAGATCCAGAAACACTATCAACAGCGAATCGCCATCTGCTCAGACACCATCCTCTTCGAGCGATGAATCCCCAGATGAGAATTCTAGCAACAAAAGAACACCTCCAAAAAGAAGAGCCAAGTCTACTGCCATTGAAGCAATCGCTGAATTAGCGCAGTCTGACACTGAGTCAGTAGATGTGGCTGTCCCTAAATCAAAAGCACTCAGGACTGAGAAGAGATCATCACCATCCTCATCTAAACAAACCAATTCGACATTAAGTACATCAACCAACAAACAGCAAGAAGATGTTGCTCAACTCAATGAAACACCAACAACATCATCCTCTTCAAATAAGAAATCATCAGAATACATAGAAAAGGCAAGAAAAACTGATAGTCTTACCCGTAGCTGGACGGTAACACTGGAATACTTGAAAAAAGAAACACCAATCCCAAACGTGGAAAAGATTAAGGACGACCTCAAAAATGCATCCATTGCATCATCACAACCTATTGGCTTTAATTATGCCAAGCTGGTTAAAAAGACCATACCAAAAAATGTTTTGAAATTATGGAAGGATTATCCACTAACATTCTTCCTGCTAACTTACAAGATTATGCAAGATATTAAAGGAATTGTAAAGATTATTACCACAATATTAGAAGAGGATGAAGAACTGGGTACTTTTTATAGACAGACACCATATGCTGGTTGCCCTGCAGTCGAAAGACTATATACGATTGTCCCACCTCCATAGACAACAAAATAAAACAACAAATATATTTGTATATTAAATATATAAATATCGTGAGCATGCAATAATTGTTATTGCATAAAAAGATGTTTCTCTAATAGAGAATAAGGAGTTGATATAAGATTCTCTTAATAAAATATTTTTAAAAAATTATACAATCGAGTTGTTTCAAGGTATGCTTCTTAATTGTTTTAAACAATCATATTAAAATGAGAGGACCTGACCCATCGGCTGACAACACATTTCAAATCAATAAAATCTTTGAAATCTAATCAAATCTATTGTATACATTTCGAATCCTCTTCCAGTTTCAATTGTAAACCCTATTTCTATCAAACAAGATTGATGACACTTCATGAAAGTCTTGAAATAGTTTTTCATGCTTGTAACACAACCTCTCAATCCATCACCACACTACTGTGATTTGACATTCTATCCATGCACGTAACCATAAATAGTCTCAATGGCCCAATAGTGTCCTCTCTAAAAATATCTTTAAAAAATCAAACAACACCCTTGATTGTAGTCAACCTCAGAAATACAAATCATCACCAACAACTCTAACAAAAAGAAATATATATTTTCTTGATCGGAAGGCTCATACTATAGGTATATCAACATACAAAATTTGTTCTTTTTCCTTGTCGGATCACAAGAAGAAACAAGCCTTGTTATATAGAATAGACGATCACACACACCCGATATTGCATGCAGGAAAAGTTACTCCTCTTGAATCATCAACAATATAACAACTCTTTGAAATTAATTTCTTGCTTTGAAGCCTTGTTGTTTAGACTTGCTTCTTTTGAATTGCTAATTAATTTGTACATTGAAAAGGAAAAACCAAATAATTATTATTATTCTACTAGTAACGCCAGTGCTATTATTACTCATCAAAATAATGACTTCTGCCTCAACATTGACACCATCAGCAGCCTCAGCAGACGAGCCACCATCACCATCATCATTGACAATTATTGATTCATCAATTGTCGTTAATGGAGATGATCATGAACGTATTGGAAACAAAACAAACGGAAATGTACAACACTGTACAAGTTCTACTATGGATCAGAAGGGTCACTGCTCACGTTGTGGTGCCTCGAGAAAGAGAAGCAATACCAGACCGATCATGCAAAATGTGACAACTGTGGCCACTCGTCAGAGCTCTCGTTCTGCACCTCCTTCTTATCCAATTTCCAGTCGTGACTTTATTAATTACTTGAGACAAAATAAGGAAATTGCCAAGAATGTAACTGTTAGACTCGTTAGACCAATAGAACCTGTATCTATTGCTGAAGAGGAGGAAGCTGTAACTCTCACATTGGATGCCTCAATTATCAATCCATTCTACAACGCGCTCAAGGAAAAGATGAGAGGAACTGTATTGAAACCATTTTCATTGGAATTTTCAATTGAGAATAGTATTGGTAAAACAAGAGCTAGTGGAAAAACAAATGACATGTTCTATTGTCCTTGCGATATTGCCATCTCTTACAATAGCTCAACAATTCTCGTATTGGATATGGGAAATAATAGAATACAAGTTTTTACAACAGGATGGAGATATAGAACTACCATTAATCTACCAGCTAAACATTTGTGCATTGAACCAAATTTTGATGGAAAGAAGAATGATGCTCTCATTATTAGTTGCAACGACCATTGTATTTACAAGTATGATTTGGAAAAACTTATAGCATGCTCAAAGAATGGCCAAAAGTGCGACTTTATTTGGAGAGCTGGTACACCAAACTCTAAGGGAAAGAGTCCAAACCAATTCAATTTACCAAGTGGTATGGTTTGCTCGAATGGAAATAAGGAGAACAATTTTGAGAGAATTCTCTATGTTTGTGATTGTAACAATAATAGAGTACAAATTTTGAGAACTAGTAATGGTAATTTATTGGAAAGCATTGGAGAAACCCCAGAGGTTGATTCCATTTTTTTCAAGGGACCTTGGAGTATTGATTTGAATGCTCGTGGAGAGGTGATTGTTTGTGAAGTTGATGGACATCGTTTACAAACATTGGTCAAGAATGATAGTGGAAATTGGACCTCTATTCAAACTTTTGGAATTATTAGTGGATATTCCTCTTCATTCAATCATCCAAGAAGTATTGTCATTGATAAGGTCAGAAACAACATTATTGTTTGTGATCAAGACAATAACCGTATTGTATCCTTGAACAACACAACAGGTGATGTGGTTCAAATTTTCGGTAGCGCAGGTAGGAGAATGGATCAATTCTTCAAACCCTTCTCTCTCTGTTTAAACGAATTCTCAGGAGAATTATACGTTGCTGATTTTTGTAATCATCGAGTTCAAATTTTCAAATAACTTTACAATAACGTGAGAAACCCAATTAAGGTCTTTATATCTACATTAAAAAAAATAACAAACATATATTTATTCATCAAATAATGAACAAGCAATTTCTCAACCTTGTTAAATTCTCATCCTCTCCAATTTCAACACAATATTATTATTGTAAACCTTCCAGGTATTCCAAACTCTCAATCATGCATCGAAATACAAGTAGTGAGAATTTAAATTATCACACCAATTTAATATTTTGTAAATATGATGATCATCAGCAACAACCCGATAAACGATCAACATTGGAAGTTCCACGAACAACAACAAATATTAAAAAAATGCACAAGTATTTATCTGCTTCGGAATCACTCGAGATTGATGTAGAATTGATGGGAGAATCGTATGGATTTTCCACTGATCAATTGATGGAACTTGCTGGATTATCGGTGAGTCATGCTTGTGTGGAGGCTTTTCCATTGAGTGGATTGAAGAATGGTGGAAAATGTTTGAGTATGTTTTCATCACGATACTTTTGATTTCATAATGATTAATATTCTGGAATTATTAATATTTATTAATAATTGTAATAATATTTAATATATTTTCATAATAATATTTGAAAATAGTTGTTTGTGGACCTGGAAATAATGGAGGTGATGGTTTGGTATGTGCCAGACATTTGAAACAATTTGGTTATTCTCCAATTGTTTTATATCCAAAGAAGGAGGCTGCACAAAAGGATTTATACAAGCGATTGCTTTTACAATGTACCCACTTTTCAATTCCAATTCATTATGAAACTAATTCACCATTATTGGAAGATTCTTCATTCGATTTCATTGTTGATGCAATCTTTGGATATTCCTTCTCAGGAAAACAAGGAATTAGAGAACCTTTCAAGACAGTTATTGACACTTTAAAAAAGCCAGGAAATAACACTCCAATTCTTTCAATTGATCTACCAAGTGGATGGGATGTTGATAATGAAAATATTGAGGAAAATTTACAGATTGGATTGAGATGTGATGTCATTGTCTCATTGCCATCTCCAAAGAAGTGTGCCATTCATTTTAAGGGAAGACATTTCATTGGTGGACGATTCATGCCTCAATCTCTATTGGATAAATTACAAATTGATCTTCCACCTTATGAAGGAACCAAAATAATCATTGAATTGCCATCCAAATTGTAATATACATTCCAATAAAACCATGGAAGAAAGTTCAGCAGCATTCAAACACCTACTTTACACAAACCAATCCCTTCGGAGCTAGTTGAGGTGATGAACCTTCAACAAATTCTCGTCATCATTGTCAAACACACTTCAAGTAAACTTCACACATAACAAAAAAAAACACAAAATTACGCGCCACAGGTTTTTTTGTAGTTTTCAAAGATAACAGCAAACAAACAAACAGCAGCTACGAAAAGATAATAGTGAAACTTGGTTAGGTTTATAAAAGAGAGAGAAAAAGGAAAATGTCATCATCGTCTATTGATGTGGGTGTTTCTGATTTGATTGGAAAATTAATGCAACAAGGAAGTATTGGAACCAATTTGGTGGGGAATATATGGTTGGATGGAATGGTTGGAAAGTTGATATCATGGCCAGGTGTTTTACTTGGTTCGCACGAAGGCTTGGTGATGATGATTGAAACAATGAAAAGGCTGGTGAAGCCTGTGGATCAATGGATGGAAAAGGCTGCTTCATTGGTTGGTTTGGATGTGAGTGCTTGTACATATATGATGTTTTTGATTGTTGTGAATATTCCGATGGCATTCTTGATGAGAAGTTTACCTTTTGGAATGGCTAGGATATTATTTGGATTGATTGTTGGATTGTTTTATTGTTTCTACACATTTGGAAGTGCTACTTTGCATTCAGTTGCCATTCCTTTGATTGTTTATGTGTGGTTGTTTTTGACAGTTGGAATGAGTAGTTCAGTGAGAGAATATTTGAAGAAATCGAGGTTGGGATTGATTGTTCCATTATTTGCCTTCTTCTTTTCATTTGGATACTTGTTAATTTGTCATTATAATAGAATGATTACTGATTATCTTGGTTGGAAGTTGGATTTTACTGGACTTCAAATGCTTGCCACTCTCAAGACTATCTCAGTTGCTTGGAATATCTACGATGGAATGATTGCTCAATCTGATGAAAAGATGAATTATTATCACAAGGTAAATCGTATGGAGAGAATGCCAGGGCTATTGGAATATTTCAGTTACATGTTCTTCTTCCCTTCAATTTTGACAGGTCCAATTTATGAAATTAGTGATTACTTGAGAATGATTTATGGAGAGTTTGATGAGGATATTTCATTCTTAAACAAGATGGAATTGAAACCAAATCGTCAAAATCCACCAATTCACTGGAAGAAAATTTTCACAAATCTTTTAATTGCTATGGTGAATATGGTATTGACCTTGAAGGCATTGCCAATCTTTGATAGACCACAATTGGAGGATGTTATTTATGATAGAGTGGGAGATCAACAATTATTCGGAAGTTCTCTATTGTACAAACTTGCTTTCTCGTGGGCATGTATGGTTGCAATCAAGTTCAAATATATTGTCGGTTGGTGTTGGTCTGAATCGGCCATGATTATCTGTGGTATGGGATATCAAAAGGATAGAAAGACAGATCAGTACAGCTATGCTGGATGTGAATCAATTGAATATTTGAATCATCTTCTTTCTTCAAATCTTCGTGATATTACCACAACATGGAATGTTTCAGTTTCCAAATGGCTCCGTAACTATGTCTATTCAAGAGTTGGATCTGGAGCTGGCACTAAGAATACCATCATTACTTTCCTCGTTAGTGCTTCATGGCACGGTCTTTACTCTGGTTACTATGTCATGTGGACAAACTATGCTATTTGTTTGCATTTCATTGGAAGAATGGCTCACAAGAAAGTGCGTCCACTCTTTTTGAATGATGTGGAGAATACTTTCAGTGAAAAGAATTCCAAATTCATGTCCATCTTTTACAAAACCCTCTCCTTCATTGGAACCAATATTTTCACCAGTTATTTATTACCACCATTCCTCTTACTTTCATGGGATAGTTCCATTCAATTCTTCTCATCAATGCGTTGGATTGGACATCTCCTCTTCATTCCAATTTATGTATTTTTAACACTTATTCCATCAACAGGTAAACATCAAAAGAAGGAATAAAGCACAACAATATTTCCCTCAACACAAGTTGGCAACCATTTCCAAATTCCTTAGTACAAACATGTTAAAGTTAGTAGAGATCAAGTTCACTTTGCTGTTGTATTAGATATTGAAATAAAATACGATGAGCACGAACAACGTTAATGCTCAACAGCAACAGTTCAGCAGTGATGATAATAAAGGTTATCAATCTAAACAAAACGTAGTGGCAAATATTGATTTTCCTCTGCTGGAGAATGAAAACTGTGTCATGAGCTCGATTCACTGTCCTCATTCCGATAAGGATTACATTGTTGCTATCACTGTAAAAGTTAATAATCCCTATTCACCAGACAACAATCCGCAAGTGTTTGTTGGAGAAATTATTATAATTAATGCTGATGATGATAATTCCACAACGAAATTCAAATTAAAACACTCGGAAGATATGCACTGGCCCAACCCTATTCTAGATTATTTCCTTTAAAGACAGAGAAAAGCTTCCTTATTAATGGTGATGGAACAGAGGTGAAAAAAGTAGATTTGGAGAGTGGGTCTGTATTGTGGAGTGTTCATGTTGAAGCACGTAATCAACGATTTTTGGAGGATGAAAGAGGCATAATCTATAGTATGCCGGATTATGGAGAACATATATACTTGATGGATACCAAGACAGGTCAAGTATTGGATAAAATTAAGGCAAAAGGGGTCGATAAGTCAAATGGTGGATTATATGGATTTGGATATGATGAATTGAATCATAATTTGATTCTGAGTACTTGTACATTTGGACCACATTATTATTATACAATATATCATTTGTCAAAGCAAATGAAAGTGGTGAACAAAACTTATTGCAGTAATCCACCAACCCAATTTGCTTTGGATCTCTATAAGAAGAAAATCTATTTTGCAACTGCATCCAAACCCATTATTGATTGTTATGATAGTGATTACAAAAAGAAAGTACCAGTGAACGTCCAAAATAGTCCATTGGCTTTTTTCTTTTTAAAGAAATGCAAATATCTTGCAATTGTCACTGATAAGAAATTTGTAGTGCATGATTGATTTTCATAATTATTTAATTACATTTCATTGAATAGTTCACAATTGAATCTTCTTATTTGACTTTCACAACAATGTGGACTTCTTTATGACTATCTACAGTTAATTCTTCTTGAATGATTGGTGGCCAAACAGCTTTAATACTAATAATAAGAAAAATGAATATAAAATATACTCCTCAATAAACTTACTTGTACTTCCAATCGATTTCAACAACAACCTTCATTCCATTACTTGCTTTAAAATCGAGATCAATTGAACTTTCCGATCCAAAGTTAGAGCTATCAGCAACAAGTTCCTGATCATTATGAAGAACTCTGACACTTCCAATTCCCTTCATGACTTTTTGATCATGAGGCTTAACAATGACTTGATACAAATCATGAGCCTTCTTTGCCTTGATACGAACATCAATTAATTCACCATGATATTTTCCTCCTCCACAGTTTGGTTTTACATAGGTATGACTCACATTCATCTCACCAGTGATCGGATCTTCAAACATTTGTGATTGCATCACCATTTGTTCAATAATTGGTGGAGCATCTAATGATTCTTGTTGAGACATTTTTTTTGTATTTATTTTGGCGCCATGAACTTTTTATCAAAGTTCATTTCAGGTCATTTTGTTTCAGTTTTACATGTTGTTGAGGAGAATATTGTAAAATCATTGGATTTATTGTAATTTGAGGGAGAATTGATAGTCAGAGAGGAATTGCTCAAAGGAACGTTGTGGCTTGCCAGTGATTATTTGGAAATCACTGAAAATGAGACGAGTCATTGGATTCCACTTGTAGGTTTGATAGAGTTTGAGCATTGTCCAGATGAACTCGTTGGGAAGTTGAGCTTGTTTGAGAATGTCAGCATAGTAGGATTCTGGAACTGCTTGATAGGTAATTTCCTTTCCTGAATGATTGGAAAGCATGGTTGCAATTTCTTCATAGGTTAAAACCATTGGTCCTGTAATGTTATAGGTTTGATTGCCATGCTTCTTGTGATCCTTCTCCAATAATACGATGGAAATTAATTCGGCAATGTCTCTGGCATCAACATGAGAAATGTGGAATAAACTTGTTGGATTGGAATCTGGACGAATGAGAAATCCTCCCTTAATAGATTCCAATTCATCATTCCACAATAAATTTTGCATGAATAGATTAGGTCTAATCAAGACAAGTGAAACCAAATGATTCTTTTCTTTCTTGTTATGATTTTTAAGGAGCTTGATGAGTGACTTTTCAGCTTCTCCTTGCCAACGGAAAACACTATTTGTTTCACAATCTTCAGATGCTCCCAAAGCACTGAACTTGACAATTTGTTCCAAAGATGGTGAATGTTCAAGTGCCAACTCTGCCAATCTAGTTTCAATATCTGATTTATCAGGACTATCAATTGTGAGAATAAATAATCTTTCAATTTGATTGAATACCTCTTGTGGATCCTTCAAGCTATCCAAATCATTCAAATCTCCTTCAACAAATTCAAATTTTAACTTTTCAAAATTCTTTACATTTTCCCTTGCCTTCTCAACATTTCTTACAATAATTCTAACAGTCAATTCTTCTGTTGTTGATTTTTCATTCAAAAATTCAAGTAAAAGCTTTCCAATAGTACCTGTAGCACCAGTCAAGAGAATAATTCTAGACATTTTGTTTGTTGTGTTGCTTTGTTTGGAATCAATCTTCATCACATAAATAGATGATTGGAATTTGTCCTTTTACAGGACATGGCGTAGAAACTCAGGACTTGCTACCTTGGACCTCCTATAATCAAGATATGAGTACAAACTAATTTCCTTTCTCCTTTCTTTACATCTATCCGAGAAATATTGTAAAAAACGTAAAATTCTAATGAATCATCAAAGCCTTCGGAAATATCTTGATTCCTAAAATTTGTTTCCATGAATTCTAACAATTAATTCATCATCAAAAACAACAATGAAAACCAAAAATTAATTCATCAAACTGGATTTGTAAATTTTTTTAAATATTATTTTTTAAAATTTAAAATATTAAAAACAAAATAACATTAACAAGAATACAAGATGGATCATCCTCCTCATCAGCCATTCCACGGTGGATTTCATCACCTTCCACCACAGCCGCAACAACAACAACAATCAACACCTGGAAAGAGAGGACCAAAGAAGGGAAGTACAAGAGGTGGATCTTCAGCAGGTAATCGTACAAGTCATCAACAAACCGTATCGGCAAGTGCTTCATCATCTAGTTTGGCAAATTCAACATCTGGTGGTGGTGATGGTGGCGAAGGAGAATATAGCTTTGATTTACCAAGATCAAATGTGTTGAGAGTGATTAGGAGAATAATTCCTGATGAGGTACAACTTTCTAATGATACCAAATTAGCCTTTTCAAAGGCTGCTGTTGTTTTTATTATGTATCTAACTGCAACGTATGTTTTAATTCGAGATGATAATTTAATGGTTAATGTTCTTATTATTCTTATTGGATTTTAAAATCAATTAATTGATGACGAATGATAATTATACTCAAATGATTATTTATATTATTTAATATAATTATAGTGCTCAAGAACAAGCAACAAAACACAAACGATCAACACTCACAGCTGATGATGTTCTTGAGGCTTTGGATGAATTGGAACTTGGTGAATATAAAGATGAAATGGTTAGAACTTTGAATCAATACAGACAAAGTCAAAAAGCCAAGAAGGAAAAGACAACATCTAAAAAGAGAGGACCTAAAGGGGATGATGTGGAAGAAATGTAAATTTGTGTAATATATTGCAATGATAATTAAGTTGATTACTGAAAAACTACTAGGAGAATATGTTCACTACTCAACACAATAATAATGGACAATATTACAAACTGCCTTTTGAACTTAATCCACTTGGAAGTCTTTAAGGAACCTATGGATATTGATATCTTGTTAGGAATAATGAATTGTGATATTAAAAAACATTATTTTAGATTTAACAAAATTTAAATCATGTATTTATAATTGCTCATCGTTGACAGCTACATAGTCCTGTAAAGTTTCCAAAAATTCACTAACTTTCTCCGAGTTAATGAGGAACAAAATTGGCATTTGACGTGATAATGTGTGGCGAAGTAAATTACCCTCTAGCTTGGTGCTTTTCATGACACCAATTCTTTCTGGATTTTCTGAGATCATAGTATTCTCTATTTCCTTTGGTTCTTTGAAATGGACCATGAATAAATTATCAAATTGTGACTCGTGTTTGTGTGGGGAGGATACAAAATTGAATACTTCTTTAGAAATACACACGTTATTTCCTGAAGCGAGTGAAGCAATAGATTTGACTGAAGATATTTTAGTAACTAGGGAAATATGTTTGAAATCAATAGTTCTATAAAATTGACAATTTTCAGCACAATGCTTGATTGCTGTCAAATCAGGTTGGTGTGAAGTAAAATAGTAATCATGCAAATATAAATGTGTTGCTGAAAAAGATGCATGTCCATCGCTGAATATCATACTAGCCAAAAGTTCTGGAGACATGAAATTATTTACAAATTCTTCCGAAGGTTTTTTAGACTTCTTTTTAGGGGTTGATGTTGTTGGTGAGTTTTGGGAGGATTTTGACATGGATTTCAATATTTGAATGTTATATTCATGAACTGGTATGAACATACTAGGAGCGTGAGAAAGACTTTCATCATCCACTCCTGTAGAATTAATAGTTGCTAATTCTACCTTTTCATCAATATTATACCTGATACATAATCCGGTCAGTGTGTCCGAGTCTTCTTTCACCCAATGTTCAATGCATACTACTAAACTAGGTGATAATTGTTCGCATAATTTGTAGAGATAACTCTTTTTCCAAACTTCGGAGCTGGTTTCATGTAAATTAGAAGAAATTCTTTCTTTTTTAACAGGAGAACCAGGTGTTACTACTTTTGAAGGCAAATACTCTCTCATCTCACGTGTACTGCCAGTGTAGTGATAGGTACGTATTGGAGTATCATTTGTTAGAGAGCCAGATTCACTTCCATAATTATTATGCTTGTTGATGGCAATGCCTTTACTAGCTCCTCTTTCTTCATCCAGATAGTCCCTATTAAAAGTAAATCCTGTCGACGATGATGAACCATCCTCATAGGCTTCACTTCCTTGATTTTGTCCCATTTTCTTCCAATATATTATTAAATTGTATAAATTCTATTATTAAAATATTATTATTACTAGCACAATCCAAAACGATGTTATATAGGTGTTACTACTAGTACTCGAGCACGACACACGTGAATCAGCAAGTTGATTTTTCAGTGTTGCGTGTTAGGGCTTCCGAATTGGCCAATAATGAAAGGTATTCTTTTCTCGAATCGAAAAATAGCAGCTACCGTTCAAAGCAGAAGTTGTAAATTTTTTTTTGAGGATGAACAAAATTGAAAAAATCTGCACCAAGTGCGAATCGTACTCACTAGGAAGATTTAACGTTAATAAATTTTTAAAGCCTTTTTGAACATTGGGATCTTTCTTTGGTGATGAGAGAACAATTTCATTTTAATAATTAAAATTAAAAGTGATATTTAATAATTTGGAATTGAAAAATGGAATAAGCAAAGATAATTAATGGGAAGGTAATTGGAATGGAATATGAATCAGTCGAGATTCGGAGTTGGAGTTTTATTTGGAGCTCGGAAGGAATCGGAGAAGAAGTTGATGGAAAACTCAATCCAGTTGAGTGGTTTGGGTGGTAATGAGGAGATCTGCATGCTTTTGATTTTTCAAGAGTCTTGTTTTCATTAGCTTTTCACTGGCTGTGGAAATACATCTTTCGAATACAACATAAGTACAGTCTGAGGTCGAAACGACTTCCTTAATGAGGACACTGGTGGAAACTCCTTCGAGGTTTAGTATTTCTTTGAGTTCTGTTCCATTAATTGAGTAAACTCTTTTCTTATTTACAACCAAATAGTAGAAACAATATCCTGCACATATTTGAATATTTTCGAGTCCATATTTCTGTACAAATCGTCCAATGTCAATATTGGATCGAACAGAGAATGGTCCCAAATTACACTCTGTCAAGATATTTGAATTATTCTTCAAGAAATAAGTTGTTTCATACATGTGAGATGGTACGAAACTGTAAACATTCTGAACTATTTCATGGAAACCTCTATCCTTATTGGCCATATAGACATTTCCCTTATGCGTTAGCACAACAATTCCCTTATCAGCATGTTTCACACTCTTAATTGATTCCTTTTGTTTGAAAATGTCACATCCAGGCACCAAATAATTAGACGAATTCGAATTGGCATCCATTTCTCCACATGCATAAATCTTCCAACCATCCACAAGCAAACTCGATGAAAATGTTGCTGTATGCACACTATTCACTTTACAATTATCCCTCTCCAGAAATTTCATCTTATTCGACCTCTGAAATGATGAACCCATCTTGACATCAAAAGTCTGACCAAAGAACGAATGTCCACTACTGAAAATCTTTCCACCATCACATAGAATAATTGAGTGAAACCAACCAGCAGCAACTCCATCCACTGATGAAACTTTTTCTGGTAGCTCAACAGGTCTCAATCTGGGAATGTATTGTTCTTCCTCCTTGAATCCCAATTGTGAATAGTTATTGAAGCCCATCGCATAAATCTTATTGGAATTGGTCACCAGCAAGAGATGAGATCTGCCGGCGGCTACATGTTTGATATCTCTGAGAATTCTTGAATCCATTTCTAATCTCTCGTATTCATCTTCGATGGATTTTGGTGTTTCTTTATGGTAGAGTTCAAGAACTGGTCCTATCGGATAAGTTTCAGTATCATCTTCTTTAAACAAGTTTCGTCCAAGTTGACCTTTATCATTACTTCCCATAGATAATAGATGAGTAAATTCTAGTGATTCAGAAAGTGATGAAGAATATGATTTATCATGAATATTTGCTATCTGTATCTGCTCACTCGGAGCGATCTTGTTAGAAATTGATTTTGCTTTCAAATGTCTGTTCCCCATATTTTTTTATCTTGTTCTGAAAATTGAAAACTGGCGTGTTGTTTTATTCATGCAACGATCAACATTGAATAAGGTATCTATCTCCCTATTGAGTTTGGCTGCTATCAATTAGAGGTTACCAAAAATATTTTCTTGGTAATTGCAAATTTAACTTCACACCCAACTGCCAAACATCACAAAACATCAAACAAAATATTGGTTCACAGTTTATTAACGTGATGTGAATATACCATGAAAATCAGAACTTGCTTTGATATTTAATATTTAATAATTAACTCATGATTGAAAATTAAATATTTATTAAATATTAATTTTAAATAATTAAAAAAATGAACAATCACCAAACAGGTACATCTTCTTTATCGGATGAGGATTTTCTTTTAATTTCCAAGCTTTTAACTGGAGAAGTCTCCATTCGAAATATTCCCACCGAAAAATTCACAAATAAGAATTTCATTTTGGCCATTTCATCATCGAATAATGATTTCTTCAGATATGCTACTCGGGAAATGCTCTCTGATCGGAATTTTGTTTTAAAGGCTGTGGCCAATACTCTTGGAAATGCTCTCCAATTTATTCCCGATGAATTGTTGAATGATAGGGAATTTATATTGCAAGCTGTTGGAGTGAGAGGAGGCTCGTTGAGATATTTGTCGAAACTTGAGTATTTTGATGATAGGGATCAGGTGAGTCCTCCTCGAGTAATCTATGATGAAGATAGAGAGATTGTTAAGGTAGCTGTTTTGGAGAATGCATATTCACTCCAATATGCCAGTAATTCAATGAGAAGAAATCGAGAATTAATGATTGAATTGATAAGAGAAACAACAGATCCTAGAAGTTTGGTTGAAGTGAGTGATGCGAAAATGTTGGATGATGAAGAATTTATGGGAATTGCAGTCGAGAGGGATGGATCAATTTTGGAATTTGCCTCACCTAGAATTAAATCTGTGAAATCAATTGTGAAAAAGGCAATGTCAAACTATGTCTATGTTTTTGAAGATGCCAGTGAGGAATTGAGGAGTGACAGAGAATTAGTCATGCATGCTTTAGAGTTGGGAGGAGGAAATTTGTACGAACACTTTGGAGAAGAGTTGAAGAAGGACAAGAATATTATTCTCAATGTCTTGTCCACCAATGAGGATGTTTTCGAACATCTTGATCCAGAAATGAGAAATGATAAGGATATTGTCATGTGTGCTGTGGAAAGGGATGGTAATCTTCTAGAACATGCCTCCGATGCTCTTAGAGGTGACAAGCAAGTTGTTCTGAGAGCTGTCACAACTAGTGCAGAAGCTCTCGAATACGCCTCTGATGATTTAAGAAGTGATTTGGAAGTTGTTCAACAGGCAGTATCAACTAATGGATGTGCTATTGAATATGTATTGGATGAAAGTTTGAAGAATCGTGAACTGTTATTGAAGACCATCAGCACATACCCTCAAGCTATTGATGGTACTGAATTCAGCTCTGATCGTGATTTTATCTTGCAGTGTATAAGAGATCAACCTATTATTATGGAATATGTGGATGAGTCACTTCAGACCGATAAGGAATTTATTAAGGAAATTATAAAACAATCGAAAGGAGCTGCCATTGAACATTTAACTGAGGAAATGAAATCAGATCAAGAAATTGTCATGCTCTCCATGGAAGAATATCCAGCTGCTTTGCAATATGCTTCTGAGGAAATTAAGAATAATAGGGACATTGTTCTTAAGGCAGTCACAGTTGATGGTGCCGTGTTGGATTATTGCTCTGAAGCTCTCAAGAAGGATCGTGAAGTTGTAATGGCAGCAGTGGGTAATAATGGGCAGGCACTCTCCTATGCATCCGAGGTGTTTCGTAATGACAAGGAAATTGCATTGCTTGCTTGCAAAACATATGGCTTTGCCTTTTTGATGGTAGGGGAATCACTAAGACACGATCAAGACATTCTAGAACAAGCAATGGAAACAGATCCTTCAACCGTTGTTTTCATAAGGAAAGATTAAGTAAATATGTACTTCAAGTTCAGTCAACTCAATACATGAAGCGAACTACTACAGTAGACAATTAAATAGAGAAGACAAACAAGGACTTTATAATGCCAAAAATGGTTGACGAATACAGCGTGCAGGAACAACCCGACTTCTTTTGCCTTACAGAGTTCTTATTAAACATGTACTAGGGTATATTGATCTTGATAAGGACCAAATTCATTCGTTTAAATCCTATTGTGTTCTCTCATTAGCTTTAAAGAAAACTAGCCCGAGTACTACGAGAGCTGAAGAGTAACACTGCAAGTTCTGTTCTCCTCAATACTTTGCTTGATTGCATTTGTATAATTCAGTAACACCACAAGGAATGTTATGTAATAACATAATAAGGCGCAAGAATAGGCTGAGTGTTTAAAAGTCTGCTTTGTTTCCATTCCAACACACAACTATTGACATCTTACACAGTGTCGTACTTTGCTCAACAATTTCCTTAAAGGTTTTTATTGTCTTTGTTTGTTCCAAGTAAGTGGAGAAGGAACCTTACCTCTACGCCCATCGCCAAAAAAAAACAGTCACACAACCATCATCAGAACACTTTTTGAGGTTTCTTGCAGATTTGCTCCAACACAACCGACCAAATAATTTTCGCACAAGCCATTATCAAATAACCAACAAGGAATCATCAACAGATTGAGAATCTTGGGAGTAAGCAACAACCTTCCATTAACTCACGACAGTTTTAGATTCATTTGTGTTCTCTTTGAAAAACAAAATACATCACCAATTTCTCATCTTCTTCAAGTGTTAAACTTGAAAAATCAACAACTGCAATTGGTACACATTGCCTCTCATCATAAGAAGGTTGATGGGGTTATTAAAATTATTTCCTTACTATTAATCAACAGCATATCAACTTTAAATAATATGGGCAATAGACACAGTAGTAATCGAAGATATCATCACAGCAGTGCTGATCATATTCCAAAGGCTTCATCAGCACCAAGTATGTACTCTGCCAATTTAAATATGGATGAGTCTCCCACAACCATTAGAGTGGCCTCGAAAACTTCTCCTACTCATAAATCATCTAATAGTACCAACACAATAACATCAATAACACTGTCAAAGATGAAACACACTGCTTCTAGCAAAACAGATACAACAACGGCCACTCAAGGAGCAATATTGAAATCAGTTTCCTCAATGAGCTATGCCTCATCATCATCGAGTGCGCATTATCCAAAATCTTCCCTTAATTCTACAAATGTAAAATCCACCAATGCTTCAACCAACACAACTGCTACCCATCCTATTATTCATCAATCATCCTCTAATTCTTCTGTATCCATTCAACAACAACAACAACCTGACAATAGAAGTGGGAATTCCACACCAACAAGTATTTCACATCAATCCTCCATTGAAAGTATTGCAATCTCACCTAGAAAATCTACCACTTCTCCAATCTCTTCTCAAAACAACTCTACCAGTAAGCTGATAAGAAACAGTACCAGTAACACTACTGAATCAGAACAGCAAACATCTCAACAGAAGAGCTCCTCTCCTCCATCCCCTAATAAGTGGTTTATGGGCAATGAGGAATCAGTTTCATCAATCAAGATACCGAATAGATCTTCTAAAAATCTTCTCGAAGCAACAAGGGTTATGCATGTTGAGAGTGTGGAAGATTTCTCGTTAATTGAAGAACCAGAAAAGGAGAAGAAGGAAGTGATGCACCATTCAGTAACACTTCCAGATATTCCTCTTCCATCCTCTGCAGATTTTCAAGCACAAGATGCAGATCATCCACAAAGACAACGATCTAACAGTTTTGCACCAAGTCCTGCAACCAAACAGATTGTCTTTCTGGCAGTTCAAAACAATGCACACGCATCATCAAGGAGAAAGCTCAAGCTATCCAAACCTCAATCTTCCTTAATACCAGAACAAGGTGAAATATGTACTAATATTCAAGCTATGCCAAAGATGGAAGAAAAGACCATCACAACGCAGAGCGAGGTTATGCAACAAAATCCTGAAACATCTGACAAGAAGAATGAAACAAAAAAGGGAAATATAACGAATCTGAAGCTGGATAAGATATCCAAAAAAGAAGAAAGCAGTATTGATAACACTGATACTCCGTTATTCTCACCTGTAAAGTCTTCTAAGGAAAAATCGGTAAAAAGGAAGCAAAAAGGTTCCGCTACAACAAAACTAGAATCAACAAACAGCTCAACCTCAGACAACGCACTCTCCAGATCTTCCATCTCTAGCTCTACCACCACAACCTCCATGGCTCAGTCTCTATTCTCTTCTTCAGACGAGAGAAAATCATTCTGTTCAGCTGCTCTCGATTTCCAAAAGAATTGGTTCAATGAATTGATGGGAAGACGTGAACAAGTCACAGTCGAGCAACATTCAGATTCATTACACAATCCATCACATCCATCTCATTCCTACAAATCCTCCCCATTCAGTATTTATTCTAAAGATCAAAGTGCTGCAGCAATTTTTGACACTCGTAGAAGACACAGTGTTTTTGAGAGTAAGAACATTACAGTAGTTCCTCTCATTGCAGTTTCTTGTCCACCTAACCCAGCTCAATCCCTTGACCACCTTACTCTCGACCATAAGAATGGCACCACAACTCATCTGAGTGTAAATACAGAGAAGAAGGCACGCATTGCTAAGAAAAAACGAAACCTCAATAACGCAAGTCCCAACAAGAGGAAGAGTACTGTGTCAGCTTCATGCAACTACTCAAATCTCTCCTCTTATAGAATGACGGCAAATAAATAATATTTGTTATTAAGCTTCAATATCTTGTTGTAAATCAAAAACAATCCAGGTATCTCTTGCTGTCTCAAAACTGTGGAATTCCTTGTTAGGAAACCAACATGGTTCTCTATACTTTTTTGAAACGGATAATTTATGTCCATATGAAGCGTATCTTGGTCAAGGAAGGAAAAATTTGTTGTTCAACTAGGCGGCCACACTAAGGTGTATAACATACCGAAAAAATAGACAACTCTAAAGCATTTTCAAAAACAAAAGAATAACGCGATTGCACTCATTGAACAAATAGTCATAATCCGCAACTGAAAATTTATTCAATAACAATAACAAGTTATAATAAGGAGAGCATTAACAACCTGATAAATATTATGAATAATAAGATTTTTCCATTTTCGTAACAACAACAACAGTAAATATATATAAAACACCAAGAGATGGGATCCAATTCATCAACAACAATACGTTCGCCCAGTTACTACAAGAAGGACAATACTAAGGAAAATAAGAAGATTGAATCACTATTGAAAAAGTCAGAGCATAACTATGAAAAGACACAAAAGCAAGCCTATCCTAATAGAAAGGCAAATAGTCATCAGCATTTGAGAAGTAAGGTAGTACATCCACAGACAGCCACTAGATCGAGTCCAAGTTTACTCTATGGAGTCACTGAGGAAGAACAACATCATCATTCACCTTCTTCTCATTATCACCAACAATATTCATCATCACCAATACAAATTTCACACAATGATTATTACGATATTCATCATGATGACAATTCAAGCCCTAAAAGGTCACAATCACCAAGACTTAGTAAGAGAACACATCCTCAACTATCGCCAGTACGTTCCAATTCACCTCAACTCTTCTCACCCGTTGCTCATCCCAATCAACTCTATCATACTCCGAGTAATAATCAATTTGATGAGCATGATATTCTTGGACATAGAGGTTCAATCTCTTCAGAAACTTCTCTTTCATCACTTTCAACAAGTTCTTCAGTAGTTTCCTTTTCTCCTTCTTTGGGTGGAGTGATGATACCTGCCTTTCAACCACATCCTCCAATGATTAGTCTCTTGAATAGATCCACTAGTGTAAAGAGAAATCAAGTCACACCAATCTATCAACCTTCATCCCCTTCCAACTTCAGCAGCAGTATTCATACCACTCCAAAGAAGAGAACTACCCTCATTTCTGATTCTCCATTCACTCCTCAAATTTCCCAACAAGTTGTCCACTCTCCTCCAGTTGCACAAATGTACAAGAGAAGTTCAAACATTGTTGACTCATCAAATACGAGTCCAACACACAGATCAAGAAGATCGGTCAGTGTTAACACCTCCACATCTAGTTTCCAAACCAATGCTTCTATTACCTCACTTTTTAATCCTAATGCAACAGGCCCAATTCCTCTTCTTGCAGTAACAAGACCAGAGACACCCCCTTGTACCACTAATCAGCCAAATACAGCATCGAGATCACAATCCACTCCCAAGCGATATTTATCAGTTACAATGTAAATAATATTAATCAACGCAATCAGTAAACAATTTTGTGCTTTTTGAACCAATTCCTTTTTTCCTTTTGATTGATATCAAATTCGAATATATAATCCTTATAACATTAATACCTTCTATTCTCGTTAAAATTGAATTGCAAATTATTAATGTGCTCAGTAAAGGCACCAAAATATATTTTCACCAATATTGGTGACAGTAATCACTTTCAGAAATAGACATAATTTCAAACTGGCCCTTTTGTTTATTAACCTGATTCAGTAGCGCCACGCTGTATCTCACACAAGTTCGATTCAAAGCGACTACCCAATGGATTGTTGAGGAGAGATTGAGAGTTTTTGGCTGTTTTTGCGAGACCTCAATCTGTTGCCTTAATTACCCTATAAGGTCTCATCATTTCCACATTGATGAGCGAGATTTTCCAAATCATATATTATTAAAAAAACAGCACTACGTGAAGAGTGTTTATGCAAGTTGTTGAAAATATTAAGGTAGTCCTCACGTTATAGGGTCACCCCAATACCCTCAATAACAACAATCCATATTCTCTTCATCACTCTTCCTCAATTAATTTATTTAAAGCAACATAACCAGTATATATAACGAGTGAAGATTTAATTAAGGGATGGGAGCCAAACAATCATTATCCATTCTTCCCATCTCTACCTCAATGATTGCCGTAGAAAAATCACCAAACCAAACAAGAAAGCATTCAACACCGAGTCATCACCATCATAAGAAGTATCAATCCCCGACAACATCTCAATCTCATCATCACCAGCAAAATGTTACCAAATCAGCTAGCTCTCCCAACAATAGAAACCCACAACATATGATTGATAGCTTTAATTCCATTCCAACTCATCTCTCCTCCAGCTCTCGCAGTGAAGATGTTTATTGTAATTCGAGTAATTGCTCCACCTTAATGGAAGAAGAAGAAATTCAGAGTTGCAATTCAGTCAATTCCTCATTGACCAGTTCTCTAGATGAAAGTTGTGTCAGTTCAAGTGTTTGCACAAATGATGTGATTAGCATTTCAGCTAACTTTCTCAAATATCGACAACAATCCAACCTGAATCATTCTCATCAATCCAATTCTCGTCCTTCCCAATACAAGAAAACTCACGAAACTAATCAATCCTACCCAGTCATTCTCCCTTCCCATGAAACCTCAAAGAAACAAGCTTTTGAAAACAACACCTCTTCCTTCCCTCATAAATCCTTTGATCATCATGCTCAATTGAGAAGAATTCAATCAGAGAGATGTGAACCCTTATTAAATCCCCATGAGAATACACTCCCAGAATCTGCTCAATTTCCTTCATCTCTCTCCAACAATTACAATAAGAACAACAATTTCTCTCCGATCCTAAGATTTAAATCCAATAAGATACACTGTCTATGTCATCATGAACAATTCGAATGCAATAACAACAATGTTACTATTGATTCATTAGCATCACCTTGTGAAACAGTAAGGAAGACACACTCTCCGAATAGAACTCCTTCTCATCAAAGATGTCATATGGAAGAGGAGGAGGGATTGATGAGAATGAATTCTAACATGTCATTGTGTCCACCTTCACAGGGAGATGCCTTTGCTTCATATGTGGTTGTTGGAAACATGTCAAACTCCTACCAAAGTAAAAAGCATCTCCATTAATTAAAGATAATGATGATGAACATTGAAAAGAAAGAAGGTGCAATAGCCGCAGCTCATAATAAATCATTTATCTGGTAATTTGTGGAATTTAGAAATTGTTCAATTATTTCGAACAAAAAAAAATAATCATGCTAAGCAGTAAGCAACAAACAACTGTATCTCTCCTTATTGATGGTGAAGTGAGGGAAATTCCCATTGGATCCATACATAATGAAATTCCCAACCATTTTACTCTATCAATTTATGTTCCTTCCGGAAAACTAGTGAAAAGGATGATAAGGGCCTTTGCCATACAGTCCGTAGTTTATGGAGAAGTGAATAGAATAGATTGTGTACCATCTTTGAAAAACAATCAGGCAAAAACCTCTGTTCAGGTTCACGTATTTTCAAGATGCATAACCAGATTGAAACAGTTTATGGAACTAATGTATAATAGTTGGATTTCAGAGTATGCTATTGATTTCGAAGGAAGAAATTCCTCAACGTATGAGCATCACAAATTTTCCATAATGAAAGGTAATTCTAAAAACAAGTATTCAAGTGATGAAAATACAGCACCTCCCACAAATACTACTAAAACAAAGACGAACAAAGATAAAACTTGGACTGATGTATTTAATTATATCAGTACTTGTGAAGAGGTAGAAAATCTGATATCAGATGTAGAAAGCTCTTCCACAGAAGGTTTATCAGATGAAAGCAAAGATTACAAAAAGATATGTAAGCGAGAGAAGGAGATTTTACAATTCAAAAGAACACCAGTTACACTAAAGAGGAAGAAAGGAACTTTGCAGGTAAAACAACTTGAATTAAACAAGCAAGATTGTTGCTCTTGGACACTGGATGCCATTGAAGAATTATTAATCATTTCAACAGGAGAAGGCGGTATTGGATTAGATGAAAAAAGAGCGAAGAGGTTGTTAACAATATCAATGGCTTTGACCTTGAAGTTGTTGTAAAGGAGAGAATGAAGAAAGGATTGTATATGCCAGTCAAAAACTGTCAGAGCTAAAACAAGTGGTTGCAGAGGGAATTACAAGATGGTTGTTTTCAAAATTAGTGTCTAAATAGTTTTTCTATTCATTAGAGTGGATTTAGAATCAAATTCTGATTCATTCTAATCAATGGAATGATTTAAGTCAATATTCTCAAGAGAGTCCACTCCAAACAATGAGGTTTAGTGAATCGTTGTTGATTAATTTTAGAATGCAATCAACGCAGCATTGGGTTCCATCATCAAGTAATCCGACCTCGTCTGGTATTAGAGAGTTTCGAACAAATGATGTTTTAACAGATTGGCTCGGAGCAATCAAGATAATTCTTTGGTTTGAACTGTTGTACAATTTCTAGAAGCTGAATTAGGATATCATCCAAAATCAATCAAATATTATACTTTATTTTCATCTAAAGAAAATTAAACAAGTTTCTTTCAATTAAATAACTTTTCTAATAAAACCTCTCTATCTTTTTTTAAATCACGAGAGGCATATTCATAGGTGTTTATATCTTGCTTAATTGACTCCAATACAATTTCTCTATCATTTCTAAAAAGAGTGGCATATTTTAGTACCATTCCATTTAGTTTCACAGCTTTTAGAATAAATTCTCTATCATTTCGTAAATTATAAGAAGCATATTTGATAGTAGATGCACTTTTTTTAACTAATTCTAATATAAATTCCTTGTCATTTCTTAATTCATCTGAGAAATATTCTAACATTTGGGAATTTTGTTGAACTATTTCCAACAAAAATGACTTGTCACTTTTCAATTGATCAGATGCCATTTCTAATGTTTGCTCATCACGCCTAATTGCCTCCATTACAATTTCTCTATCATTTCTAATTTCCTCTGAGGCGTATTCAAGTAAACTTGCATGTTGTTTAATTGCTATCAATGCCAACTGTCTATCATTTCTTAATTCTTTTGATACATGTCTATAAACACAGTAAGCATTTCGTTTAATAGCTTCTGTAACAATTTCTCTATCACCTCTTAATTCTTTTGAAGCAAATTGAAAAATCCATGCAGATTTTTTAACTAATTCCAAAACAAGTTCTCTATCATTTTGTATTTCAATTGATGCATATATAAAAGCATTCAGGTCTTGATTAATAGCTGTCAATACAATTTCCTTGTCATTACTCAAATGGTGTGAGACATATTCAAGTGCAAGACCATTTTTCTTAACTGCTTCCATTTCAATTTCTCTGTCATTTCTAATATTAGTATAGTTTAGACTCGTTCCATTATTCTTAACTGCAAGAAGTACTATTTCTCTGTCATTTTGTAATTCTTTTGAGGCATATTTAAGAGCTAGTCCATTAATTTGCATTGCTTTCATAATAATTGCTCTGTCACTTATCAAATCATAAGATAAATATTTCAAAACACAAGGATTACACCCAACAGCCTCTAAAACAATTTCTCTGTCTCTTTTCAGTTCTTTACTTGCGTTTTCAAATACTGTTGTTGGATTTATCTTTACAATCATCATGACAATGAATTTGTTATTCCACAAATTCAACATGTTCATCACTTTAATTGCCAAATTAAGCATTCTATTATCATTATAGGTGAAGAGTTTTGAAATTAAATAAAAACCATGTTTCTTACAATCAAAGTTATAATAGTCATCACTAACAAGGTCGTCATTACTATGTAAAACTTGATTAATAATTGGCTTGGCTATAGTTTCGTATTTTAGTGATGAAGGAACATCTCGGATTTTCTTAATTAGCATTGGACTTGCAATAGATTCATCAAGAATAATTTGATGATTGTTTTTAATGTTTCTCTTCTTGCTATCTGAGGACGCAATCAGCTTTTCATAGCATGAATTGTAGTGACTTTTCTTTTCATTTTTTTTTAGAGTTTAAACATGCTTAATAATTTGCGTTTTTAAAGGTGCCTTAATACAGTGTTATTATTAGTCGAAGGTTTTCTAAGAGAGAACACTTTGACTTCTCGAGCCATGTACTGTTTAACAGTTTGTTGTTGGGTTGTGAGAATCAACTCTAGAGAAGAATGAAATTCAACAATCATTCCTGATAGAACTAAATTGTCGGAATGATAAATAACAATACTTATAACTGTTGCAATACTCTCCCAAAAGGATGAAAGTCTTTTTTCCTATCTCTCACTGCTGCAGTAGTACCCAATGAAAACCAATTTGTTATTTGCAAAGAACAGTGTATTCACAAAAAGATCCAATTAAATTGTTCTTCAAAATTAAATTATAACGTCTCAATCTCAAAATAATCTCAAAAGTCCTGTGAAAGCTTTAAGATTTCTTGCCAAACTTTTTCAGGTAATTTGGAAATTCCATTGTGATCGCTGAAAAGTTGTTTTCTGTTGGAGATGCTAAATTTGACAATCTCTCTCAAAAAGTGCTCAAATGGTTGTAAATCAAAATAATTTTCACATGCTTCAAGCATAGTAAAGTAATTATCAATGGATAGATTAAAGTTATTCTTGCAATAATCGACCAGATATTGAATTTCATGTTTCATTGCCATATCAAGTAATCCAATAATTTTAACAGGATCAATTTTGTCAAATGAAATTCCATAACAATGTTTGATCACAATTTCCAATAATTCCAAATCTTCTGATTAGTCAGGTGTGAATTCTCCATCATCACTCAAATCACTGAAACAAGATCCACTTTCAAATAATGCATTAAAGAATGTACTTGATGAACTCAATACAGTTTTGTGGCAATATAAGTATTTGTTTTGTCCCATTTTGATTTTCACATCACTTGTGTTCATGTCATTATATAATGATTCAATTGTTTGTGGTTCATTTTCAATTGTTTCCTCAACATTAATTGCAGTTGGTTGAGTAAAAATCATTGTTGAAAATAGGGCAACACCATTTCTCATAATTATTGGAAGAGTCCGTAATAAAGTGTTTCCTTCTTTGGTCCTCATTTGAACAACAGCATATTCAATACAATAGTTATTCAAATGATCAAGAATGTAATTTTGAACATTAAATTCTTCCTTGCAAACTTTGAGTAAATTTTCAATTGTTTCCCATTTGAAAGTAAGACCTTCTAATGTGAGTGAGTTCTCAAATTCACTTGTCAATGATCTTTTCAAATCAATAAATTCACCATTCTTAAATAAACCCAAAATGAATAAAACATCCAAGATTTCTTCTTTGCTAAAATTTACCTTATTCTTATCATACATCAAAGAGTCAATTAATTTTTGAATAATTTCTTGTTGCGATGAACTCATCAAACAAAGTATCTTTTCATTCTTCAAAATATTACAAAATTTTGGTGAAGTTTTTTCAATAAGTGGAATGAATCCATAAATTTGCAATCCAAATAATTGATCTCTTGAATGTTTTTTCAAATTATGAAATTCTATTTTGGAATACAGGCTACTATTTCCAACATGAGGATACATTCTAATATCAAATGGTGAATCACCACTGAATCCCCTGGTGCCATTTCCAGCAATTGTTACAATATTTCCATTTTCTAATATTTTTCTAATTATATTATTGTTAGAATCAGAAATATAAACCTCATTATTTGCTGAAACAAAAATACCAAAAGGATTATACAGTTGTGCACTTGTTGCAGGGCCATTATCACCACTGAATCCAACAGTTCCATTTCCAGCAATTGTTATAATATTTCCATTTTCTAATACTTTTCTAATTCTATTATTTCCAGAATCAGAAATATAAACTTCATTATTTGATGAAACAAAAATACCAAAAGGATTATACAGTTGTGCACTTGTTGCAGGGCCATTATCACCACTGAATCCAGCAGTTCCATTTCCTGCAATTGTTACAATATTTCCATTCTCTACTACTTTTCTAATTCTTTGATTACCTTCATCAGCAATATAAACTTCATTATTTGATGAAACAAAAACACATCTAGGATAATTCAGTTGTGCCCTGCTAGCAAGTAAAGACATTTTTAATTGCAATCCATAAAACAAAATTCAAAGGATGAAAGGTGAATTTGACAACTTTGTTGATAAATACCACAGTCAACAGTACGCAAAGGATGACCTGTAGAACCGAGGAATAAAACAACCATCATAAGGAGGAACTGGCAAGAAACTGAAAAGAAGCCTGAATATTGCTCATTCACTCCGATATACGTTACTGACTGAATATTCTTCAACAGAGGAAATGCTATAGATGAAAGAGTATTACTATTCTCAAGATGAAGAATGTAATGCAAAAAAAGCACACAGAAGCAAATGATCATTTCTCCTCCTGATAAAATCAGGTAAAAGAAGATTAGTAGTGGTTGTTCAACATTTTTGATGGTGGTGATGGTAAGCTATTTTTTTCTTTTTGAAAAACAATATTTGATGAAAACATGTAATGGAAGAGTTACGGTTTGTTGACCATAGTGAACAGAAGTCGTTGATAGAAGAAAGATAGTCGCTGAGGCAACTCAATTAATAGAAAGAGGGAATAATGAAGATACAATTGATTTATATTTTGATGGTATGTTAGTTTCACTTTATCAGTCAATTTACTACAAGTTTACAGTGTTTGCGATACTGAGCAATGATTATGATCACCTCTCTTCTGAAAATTTGAAACACTTGGCAGAGTTAATTTCTCGTTCGAGCTGCTCGAACCATTTGTTACAACTTTAACGAGGCCACAATAGCATTTCAATTTTTATGTAAATATGTCAATAACTACGAAAGAGCTTTATACGTGTTAGAGTTGATTATAAAGTATAACATCTGCATTATATTTTCTACTGTATCCATATCACCAAGGTTTGTTTCCAATTAATATACCTGAACTGCTTACACGTCTCTTAAACAGCTTATTTATTCCTCTTTTGAAAAGAATTTTATTTAATAGTGGAAAAAACATGTTGAATTCATTGGATATTGTTACGATATTAAGAGAGGTGTTTATTGATGAAGATTTAGAGTTAGTTATTGATGAGATGAGGGAAATATTTGATTTTCTTGTAGAGAAAGATATGATTGACGAACAAGTTAAAACAGAATTTAAGAATTATTTGATAATTATAAGAAGATTAACTCTAAAAAGAACATAAATTCCGTATTTAATTAATAATAACACTTTCAAATACTAAGGCAAAGGTGAAAATTCAGTATGTGAAGTTTGTTATTCTAAAAAATAATTACTATTAACAAAATTTGATGAGTGTGGGATTTGAACCCACGCCCTTGCGGAACACGGTATTAATCATACCTTAACGTGTCGTCTTAGACCACTCGACCAACTCACCATCTGAGATTTTGAAAACGAAAATAATATTAGCATAAGTATTATATACCAATTAAGGAGGTTGGGTGGGTAAAAAAGTGAGGGTCGTAATTATGATAATGTCATGCTATTCGCGGCAAAAAACAAACTCTAATTAATGAATATTAAATTAATAAATATTAAATTAATAATTAAAAAAAATTGGCTGAATTCTACCTATCCACTCCATATTTAATAATAATACTTTTAGTGATTAATTTATTGTGGACGCTTATTGCGAGTATTCGTAGCGTGAAGTGTTTTGAATTAAAGAGATTAAGGAAATCACTCTTGGTCCGTAATTAATTCTAAGATACCTATAGCAACTGAATTGTGAACAAGTTGAATGCAAATGCATCACCTTGTGAAACAAGAAGAAAGACAGACTCTCCGAATAGATCTCCTTCTCGTTTCATATCAAATTTCTGATTTCAATGAATTTGAAAAACTATTCATGAATTGTTTGAGATTGTGTTGGCAAGCCAAGTAGTTGTCTACAAATCCTGATATGTGTAGAAATAACATTCATTTCTTGAATAGATAGAATACAATAAAATCAACAAAATTTGATGAGTGCGGGATTTGAACCCACGCCCTTTCGGAACACGGTTATAATACTTAGTGTCGTCTTAGACCACTCGACCAACCCACCTGTTAAAATGAATTACATTAAATTGCCATAATTGTTAGTTTTTCAAGAAATTTCGAATCAGCAATGACAAACAATTCAGAATAATCTTTTTTTAATATAATATTTTGTGAGAATTTATTCAAATTGTTATTAAACATTGCCTTCCTAATTAAAAGAAGCAATAAACAACATTTGATTTGTTAGCAGATGATGAAGCAACACCATTCGAAACATGAGAAGAAACTTCTTCCTTTCTTGGATGATACTCTACACGAAATTGAATTTCCAATTGACCAGTTTCAACTCCAAATAAATTCATCATTTGCTTGAAGGTTTTCGATCTCTTCATTATCAATTGACCTGTTTTTTCATGAACTTTACCCGAATCTTGACAACATTGCACAAACAATTCGTCCAGTTTAAACTCAACCTTTCCAAGGAATTCATGTTCGAAAATTTCATCATGATCATACAATCGAATCGTTACCACATTATTAATTGGTTCAGTATTGGCATCATGCATTTCCTTCAAATCTTGGACGAAAGGATGATAGAAAGTTGGCAGAATAAACTGAAATTGTTGATTCCACACTGGATTTGAACTATTCATCACAACTCGTGAGGTTTTTCTGTAATTTCCAACTTCGATCACAGCATAAACATTGGAATTTTCTTTAAAACCATTTCCAGAATTCTTAATCGATTGACCTTTCAATAAATTTAAATTAAATACGAAAGGTCTGGTTGGTTGAGTTAAATATTGGAAACTAGGAACTTGAGGTGTTTGAGAGATGCTACTCATGGTATTGAAACTATTCGAAGAATCACTAAAGTTGGAGAAACCAGACGAACTGGAAGCTTCTCTTGCAAGATTAGTTTGGAATTGTCCGCCTTGGCTCTTTCTTGTTTGAACAGAAACTGAACTTTCACAATCGAAACTATTTCTACATCCAGCAGGTGGCATTTCACTTGTTTGATTATTAATTTGAGAAACAATTTGTTGATTTCCATAACCAACACTCTTTCTCTTGGCTAAAGTTTCGTCCAAAGTTGTGGCATGATTTTGCATTTCCCTTCTTGGTGGAGTTCGAGTGTAGAGTGGAGAACGATATGAATTCTTAATTCTCTGCAAATCGTCTTGTTTCAATTCGGTTATTTTCACATTAATCATGGAATTCGAAACTTGTGGAGTTGTTGCTGAGCTTGGTGTTGAAGGCAAAGGTGGTGGAGAATCAGAATTAGCTGCAGAACTGAAGGAGAATATCGAACTGAGGAGAGATTTCTTCTTTCTGGCTGAAGCTGGTGTGTTTGGAGTTTTAGGATAACCTTTCGAATGTTCTTCACTTTCGTCTGAAATCTTTCTTGGTGTGAGAGCAGTATTGGTAAGCATGGACATGTTCACATGAGCTGCAGAAACCCCTTCCACATGTTTATCAGTGAGTGATTGTATCGAATTCTTCATTTTCTGAATTTCGTCTCGATGTTTCTTAATTTCTGGATATTTCGAATGAATTCTCTTCTTTGGTTGAGTGGATCGATGAAGTACACGAGAATTTCCTTGGTTTTCCTGTTCCTCGTAATCATCATCGCTTTCGTATTGTTCTTCTTCATCGTGATTGACACGTTTCTTATTGGTAGGTTTCGAATAATTATTATTCGAAGAGTTGCCAAAGAAGAGATTGTAGAAGAAACCTCCGGTAGGTTCGTGTTGTTGTGAAGGTTCTTCACTGGTGTTGTCCGTTGTTGTTGTTGGTTGTTGTGGACTTGCTGGGTTGATTTTACGCTTTTTGAGTGATCTGAAGAAGTCCATTTTTTTTTAATTGATTTTTATTCGAAAGTGATGATTTTTTTTAACGAAACGGCTCGATTTTTGAATTAATATTGTGTAACGGAAAGCATGTCATGTTTCATACGAAAATGGATGGCTTGAGTTTTGTCAAAAGAATTCGTATTCGAAAGTTTGTTTCAGATAAATTCAATGAATCAGTTCTAAGGTGTTGTCCTTTTTTGAGTATTCCTCAAATCACAGAATGTACACTACTCATTGAAGAAACAAGTTCGTTAGAATTTAAGTTTTATAAATTATCATTTCAATTAATGGAATATTGTTTGGTTATTATTATTTACATTCTCGGGCTATACTATACATTATTTGGATTTCACACCTTTAGATTCGAAACAAGGTTGAAAATATCTTCCTTCTCTTATTGATTCATGGCACTGACTTGATTCATCAATTGAGAAGCCATTGTATCCACAATCAAAGAGGCATTATCATTCCTAACCAAAGCACTTCCTCTCAAAGCTCTCAAATCATTGTTAATTCTAGCCAAATTAGCCTTTTGATTATTTTGTTGAATAATTTGAGCTGAAGCAGCAGAAGCAACGGAATTATTATTGCTCACTGGCATGGATTGTCCTCGGGCAAGTTGTGTAGCACGTAAATCATTGAATTCACTTCTAATTCTAACAAATTCTTGTAATTGATTGGACATTTTTCGGATATTGTTCTGGTTGTTCTAGTTGATCAATGAATCAAAATTGTTCTTGTTGTTGTTGTTTGTTTGGAGAAGAGAAAAATTTGCAAAGGTTTGGCGCAAGTTTGTTGTTTGAGGTTTTTTTTTCGAGTTGTAATTGGCTTGAGAATAATTGGCGCCAAATTTTTACACTTTTTGTATGTTGAATGTTTTTTTTCAAATGTAAAATTGAGTGGGAGTTTTTATACGAAAGTGAGGATTGTGTTATGGTCGAAAGTGTAAAATGAGCGGTTTGAGAGTCAGTTGTATGTCAACAAGTGTCAGTTTTACAAATACAGATCTATCTCTTTGGTTTCGAATAACGAGTGCGATTCGAATAATGGTTTGATGATTGAGTTTTTGGATTTAATAGAGGGTGATACTGAAAAATTTGACCAATATTGATGTTTTTTCACATAAACATTGATTGTGAAAATTCCTTAATAAAGACAATGGCTTTCTAATAAACTTTAGGATAACCAAATCGAATTATTCTTTGCTTATTAATGGATGAATAGTGACAATTTTCATTTTAATATATTTAGACAATGATGTTGGTTTGAAAATGCCCAAAAATTGAGTTAACTTTCCAGAGATTAGAAAGTTAAACCGAAATCGTATCAGTTTAGGATAACACACCACGAATTTAATATCAGATATCTATTTTTCAAGAGTTGAAATCTCTTCTCTCACATGTTTGCCTCCTTCCTTATATTTCCACTCTATCAAATATTCACTTTCGAATAGCTCCATATCTTTCTACTATTCTAATCCACATCTTTTTTAGGCTTGAGCCAACTCCATTCAGTCAATCCTCACCTTCTCATTGTAAACTAATTATTCACCATCCTCACATAAACTATTAATATCTTCCTCTGAGAAAATATTATCCTTACCCAAATTTTCACCAATTAAAAACTACGCGCCAATTTTTTCACCATTTAAGCTCCAAATCTTAATTCCAAAACTTGCTAAAAAACAAATCAAAAAAAAATGTCTTCATTAGAACTTAAAGTTCCACCCGTACTATTTACTTTCCTCTGCATGCTAGCTATGTATTTATTCAATATCATGACTCGGAATGCATTCTCTCTCTGTTCGTCCGATGATAATTCATTCGTGATGAGATTGTTATTATTTGCTTCATCATTAATGATTGGCGCGGGAATTGCATTGGCGGGAAAATATGAATTTTCCAAAATGAAAACTACGGTCAATCCAATGACTCCTGAGAAAACTTCGAGTTTAGTTCAGGGTGGAGTCTATCGTTGGACGAGAAATCCAATGTATGTGGGATTTTTGGCATGTCTGTTTGGATGGTCATTGTTCTTGATGGATTGGATGGTGATGGTTGTGTTTCTTCCATTCTTTGTGTGGTATTTAAACAAGTTTCAGATAGAACCAGAAGAACGATTTTTACAGGAATTGTTTGGACAGGAATTTGTAAATTACAAGAGAAAAGTCAAACGATGGTTATTCGTCTAATCTTGTGGAACGTCCTATCAAACACTATACGAATCAATGCTCTTCCACTTAGCTCAATATTTTTGCTGTCATCTTTTCAGAAAAAGCAAACACTAATTAATTAATTAAAAAAAACTGTAAATACTTTCATCAACACTTTTTCAATTTGCATTGTAAAAAAAACAAACTCTTTAAATTTTCTCAAAATTGTGTTCAATGTTCCCTTAAAGCACTCACACGGGCTTTTTAGCATGTCAAAAATTTTATTTGGGTTTAACTTCCTTCAGTACGCTTGTGGTCATTAGGATAATCACAGCGGTTTCGAATAAAAAAATTTAATTGGTTGGATACTCCGAATAATAAAAAACAATTGCTGTCAAGTGCTGCAGAAAAAAATGTCATTCCTGAAACGCATTTTCAAAGTGAAGAGCAAAGGTAAGCCACACTAAACATCACTTGGCATTTACTGTTTGTCATCATCATTCGAATAATATTACAAATTACAAAAATATCTTCTTGTTGGAAACATGAAACATTGAATTTTAATGTATTTCATTTTTCTTCCTATTCGAAATTACACTAAACTTATACGAAACTATTCGAAACTATATTAAAATTCAGCTGCACGTTCGCAATTCGAAGCAGAATACGATCCGAGTATAATAGCCATCAAGGATTGGGATGTGGATTTATTTGTCAAGTGGTTACAATCGCTGGAAGGAGTGAGCACGGCAACTATTGAAAAATTAAAACAAGAAGAATGGGACGGAAGGTCACTGATGTGTTTTTCTAGAAGTGTAGGTTATAGTCTATCTATTTGGTGTTTTTAATTTTTGTATTCATCATGAATATTGATATTTAATATTATTTTACTATTTTGTTATTTAATACTATTTAATATTTATTGTAAAAAATGATGAACGTGTAATGATTTTTGAAAAAAAAATTAATATTAGGATTTAACTTCTATTAGGGTACCTGTTTCTGAGGCAATTATTATAGAACAACGACTTGATCAACTGAAACTTGATCAAGATTACATGATGGGATCTTTCAATAACGCAACAAGTGGAGAAAATGATGTACAATCAACGACAAGTTCATCAATTGGAACTAGATCGAATACTTTATTTCACAGCAGTTTAGTCGATTCGGATAATGATATTTCTTCTGTTTTACAGAAAAATTCAGAGATTACTTCAATTTTGAGTTTACCAGAGAGCAGTTTTGAAAATTTGAATGAGAATCACATTGTACAGACACATAGACCAGAGTTATTTAACGATTTTTCAGAGTTTACAGTTAAGGTATTTCAGTTGAGTTTGAGAAGATTGGAACAAGCGTTTCCTCCACTTTCGTCTCGAAGTCAATCACTGGTCGAGGTCAATAAGAGAGCTTCTTCCAGTAATCATCAAGTTTATTCCTCACTTCCTCCAACTGCTAATGTCCACCAATCGAATAATGACATGTTACTCTTCTTACCATCACAAGCTTCACGATTGAGTCCTTTAGAGAATTTGTGTCTCAATAATTGTATCAAGAAAATCAAGCCATGTGGTGGTGGTGGACTCGTTCCACAAGAGAAGAAACTCTTAGCTCATACATTAATCTTGGCCGATTGTTTCATGTTTTGCTACTTTTTCAATTATCAAACTGTTTTAATGAGCTTGGAAAAGTCAATGCACAGTGGAGTGAATATTGGAGGATTATTGGCAAAGAAGGTGCAGAATGAGGAACTTGTGGAGGATGACGTTGAGAAGCGATTTGTTTCTGCCTTGCGAGAAATAACTGATAATACCAATGGTCTGGGAGGTTTTGTAAATAATGTTGGCTCTTCACCATTGACAAGAAGTTTCAGTGGATTGACATCTTCGTCACAGAAATTGTCTAGATCTCAGAGTTTTGGTTCGAAACCATTTATTTTAATTCAGTTAGTTATATTCCCATTTAGTCATTCACACGTTTTTTCTATGGGCTCAGATAAGAGATTACGACCATATACACTGTTTAGAACAGGACTCATGGTTGGTGATTGGTTTTTGGAGTGGGGAGAAGATTCCATTGTTCATCCTTCATTGTCTAATCCATACAAGACCAGTCCTTCATGTAATTGCATTCAATTATGTATGTTATTGATCTATATTTATTATTTTAACTGTGTTGAATAGTGAAAGTGGAAGGTGAGAAGAATATTGCCCGATTTTTGAAAAAGATTTCACAAGTGTGCTGTCTGTGGAATGGTACTCGATTGTTCAACTTACAGAAAAGTAATCATCAACATTTTGTTGTGGATATTCTCTCTGCTCTGGGTTCCCTCTCGAATATTAAGCAATTGGGTAGTATAACCAAGTTTTTGGAAAGAATTGAATTGATTGGATTTACAGATATGAGGTTAACATTCACTTCACAATTTCTCCAGAATGAATTCCCTAACACTGAACATATTACCTTTCATACTCACTCGGATTTGGATAATTTCTTCTTGAAAATTGAGAATATCAATCCATCATACTTTCACGAAGATAGTGATGGTCGTTTTGATCACTTTTTATTGAGATTATTTGATAGATCGTTTTATTGTAGGAAGGATGCCAACATTTACGAGAAGGCTGATCATCCTCTCAATAGAGGAGATTGTGATCTTTGTCCATTCAATATTGAAGGATTGAGTTTGAAGGAATTGGAGGAGAGAGAAATCTCTGAAATTATTAAATCTAAAGGTCCTAATTACAGAGCTGTTCTGGCCGGTTACGAACCAGCCAATCCAGCCAGTGAAAGAGATTGGAAGTTTTAATAAACTGGAACTACCTTTATTGGATCCAAGTAATCCTAGTTTGGTTGAAATATCAGTTATTCACAAATTTGTGGTTGGTCAGTCGGAAACCATGTTGAGCTTCATATTCTTCCTTTAATCTATCTTTAACAACATCAGGAAGAATGAAAGTTTGGAAAAAATCCATTCCCAAATCAATCCCAGTTTGATGTCTTGGACCTTGAACCTCCAAACATTCTGGAATGAGATGATAAGGTTTGTAGCCATTTTTATCTTCATAATCAAGGGTGTCTGGAGCTAATTCAAGGAAAGGCTTGATTAGTACATATCGTTTAGGTGAGCCGAAACAATAGTGGAGTGGAATATTACCATCACTATTTCTTCGAACGAGTAGTTTTGGATTACTTGTTGCTAATTTTAAAACTAGTCTATTAGGGAGTGGTGAAGATAATATAACACTAAACATGGAAATATTTAGTCCAGATACTTCCACATCACTCTCAATATTGGAGATACTAACAAAATTATCAAACACATATTCTGCAAGCATGGTTGGTTGGAAAATAATAGAAAGTAGAGCATTTGTCTTCTTACCATTCAGTAAATAACTTTCAAATATTTGATTATTGTTTTGAATATAAGGAATAAGTTGTACAATACAATACAAGGCATTAGTATTTGATTTCGTGGATTGCATTAAAGCCCTGATTTTGTCTACATTAATATAATTTGGATTTAGTTTCAATTTTTCAATTACAAGTCTCCGTCCAATATTTCCAAAATTAGTACAATTGGTGAGAATTAGTTCAGGACATAGGCTAATATCATAACCCCAAACTATCATATTCAAGATCTTTGCGCTGCAGTCTTTAGGTTCCGAGTATCTTAATCGCTTTTGGTTAACATTCAACATGTGTAAATAATATTGTATAATAGATTCATCTAATTGGTTTGAGGGAGTTTCATACCAAGGAAATTGGTTACCATAAACAAAGTATTTCAATAATTCCTTAATCTGGTCAGCGTTAAACCAACTAAAAGGAAAAGTGCTTTTCTTATTATTTTCAATAGACGTAAACAAGGGTGCTATACGTGTTATGGAGTGATCTATTTTCCTATACCATCCCTTTTCAAAAATATATTTTGTAACATTAAAGTCTCGAATTGGATGAAAACTAAATGTCAAATTTTTGAAATCGAGTGTTGATTTGATTATCTTATCTCCCAATAAAATAGTAATTGGTAGGTTGCTCAAAGATGCTGTGTGTATTAAACCTTCGTCAATATCAGCGTAAAGAGAAATTGTTCCTCCAAAATCTAATAAATCTAATCTACCTTCAATGCTGTGAAACAATGTTGTTGGAAGATGATCGTAGCAAACAATATTCAATTTCTTTAGCTTGAGATGATTGATATTATTCAAGAGTTGTGAAAATGGATAAGTAAAATCGGTAAGTGCAACTATTATAGTCAACTCCTCAAGATTAGTCAAAATGTCAGTAATAAAATTGTTTCTTGTTCTATTTAAGGAAATAGTAAGAGATTTGATAAAGGGATTATTAATTTCCAAACTCGTAAATTCTTGTTCGGGTTGACGAAAAGCTGTTTGCAACTGCATCACTAAACCATTTTGTTTTGTTGTAATATCATTGATTGCAGCAACATGTTGTTGAAATGGATTATAGGATGTATTATCTTCTTTAGCAGCCATAGTTACCAAAGTTTCCATATAATCGTGATCGAATGATTTTGAATAATCAATCGATTGATTTTCCTCTAATTTTGAACGAAAAGTATTCCCATTAAATTTGGGCATGCTTAGTAGACCCTTTTTTGATAATAGTTGGAATGTATCGGTATCTGCTTCTTCAGGGACTCCTTTAGGAATTAAAAAATCACCACTAAACTGATTACCCTGTCTTACGTACTCTGCATGTGTGGATAATAGAGAAAGTATTCCTTTGATAGTAAAATTAGAGAGTTGGGAACTCATAACAACACTGAGATCAATTCCTTCATTTGTCATTCTTGAAAAGAGAGTCTCTTCAAGCCTAGATTTCATTGATTTTGAAATAATTCTTAATCTCAAATATTGAATCCACCAACAGTTAGTAAAACTTTCAGTCGGAATAAATGTGATAATCTCACACTTTAAATCAAATGGAAGATTGGAAAGTAGAATAGAATCTTTCCATTCATCTCCACAAACTAGAGATAGTTCATTTCTTGTTATCAAATCTTGCACTATCCACAATTTGGCTAGCTTGGTACAATGTCTATATTGTTCCATTAGCTCTTCAATATTCATTCCAGGTACATTAACAGCTTGTGATACTCTTTTGTTTCTCTCCACAAAATTTTCAAATAACAGTGAATTAAATTCATTACCTCGAACAACCAATCCACTGTTTTGATTGGAAGGAGGGAGATCAGGGAAAGATGTATAGGAAGACATAGAAAGTGCTGAAGTGCCAATACCACGTGAAGGTATTCTTCTATTTGGCATTTGTCTAACAGTATTACTGTTTGGAGAAGGTGTTGTAATTGTACCTGGTAAAAGATCCAATGGATCCGAACTCAAATCAAAAAGTGAATTTGGTATAGAGAGAGGAGGAGGTAGAGATGGCAGTTGTTGAAGCAAATTATGTTGAATTGTTGTTAAAGGAAGTGAAGGAAGGAGAGGAATTTCCTCTGTGAGAAATAGTGAATTAAAACCCAACTTATCCAATACCATCCCCTTTATATAGTCAACTGAATAGGTTCTTGCTCGTTGTCGAACAAATTCAGCAACTGATTGAGCAAAATCATCTAGTGTTTTTGATTGCACCATCAAATCACCAAGCTTTTTTCTCACTACTTCCAAACTTCCAGGAATCAATTCTACAATAAAATTGACCAATGCAATTCTATCGGATGATGATACTCCTTCATACCACTCCGTTTTGGATGATGACTTTCTTTTCCTCTTGTTATTTCCATACATTTTTTTTAAATATTATTTAAATCTAGATGAAGCACCACCAACATTACAAGAATTCTTCTTCAAATATTACTCATGTAGTGCCAGCATCAAATCTCATTGGAAATTCGATAAAGGTGAAGGAATATGATAAGGATTTTTTTTTAATCGAGCATTTTCTTAATTCCGAAGGAAAAGATGATGATTTTACCCGCCAACAATTTCTTAAAAAAAATTAAGGCACAAAATGGTGAAGGATTGCTTTTAATTTTTTAAAAGGTTTTTTGAGGGAACGAGAGAAGTCTCTGAATAAGGTTAACTTTTGATATAAATTGTGAGTGGTTGGTTATCTCTGATGATGCTTTGAAGAGGTAATTGAGGAAAGGAATGTTTGGTTATTATGGAATGATGATGAAGAAAGGCTCATTTTCTTTGTTTTAGCAAAATCTTACTTGTTAGATTCTTTTATTCAATGTTCTTCATTTGGAACCTTTCATCATAAAATCACATTACTCTTCCAAAAGTGAAGATGTGTCTTGTCATGTTGCAAAAATCCCAAAATCCCGAAGCATGCTACTTAACTTTTGAACAATTCAAAAAAACAAAACATTATGCCCACAACCATTCACTTGAACTTTGCTAGCTTACCAACATTGTGGAGTCCTTTGCAGTCTGCTGTTCTGAACGAATCGGACTCTGGTTTCAATAAGAATCTGACATCTGTCTTGCCAACTCACCCAAACTGTATTGCATCAACGACAGTTTCTGGATTCTTTGTTGTTTGCTTTGCTATCTTTCTACTTGTGCAGCTGGGCTTTTTTGTTAGAACAGAAACCAAGAAGGTTATGAAGAGGAATCAAAAAGTTTTACTCATTCTTTCGTCTATTCTAGTTGGTGTTCAATTAATGGCTTTAATTTTGAGAATTATTTACTTTGCAATTGCCTTTTCAATCAGAGCAAAATATACATCTCTTATTGGTGTGAAATTTGTCATTGATTCAATGACAACATCACTAGTAGTGTTCGGAGCTTTGGAATTTGCTTTTTCACTCTTCCAAGCAGTCACCATGGTTGTTATCATTTCATTTATCCAATATGTCTTGTAGGTTTTATTTCACACAATTACACTAATTTAAAAACAATAGTTTAACAACTGTACATTTATCTGGGGCCATGACAAAGAAGGTTTATAAGGTGGTGAGAGTGATGACCATTGTCATGGGAATTCTCACGGCTGTTGCAATGGGTATTTTCATTATTGTTTTGACCATTTCGAAAGTTTTGACAACACTTGGAATTTATGGAGATGTGAATCAAACTGCCATTACTGTGGTAGTATTTATTCTTTTCATCATTATCATCTTTACATCTCTTGGCATGCTGTCATTCTTTGGATTTAAAGTAGTGACAACCATCAAATCAAGATCTCTCAATCTAAGACAAGAAACTAATAGAAATTTAATTATTAGAACAGTACAAAAACCTCTCATCAAGACTGTCTCATTGTTGATTTCTCTAGTATTGAGCACGTTTATATTAATTCTTTCAGCAATTATTGGAATAATCACATCAAGTGTCTCTAATGATTTTAAAGCAATAGATTACAGCTTAAACTCTTTTGGAATTCTATTTTTTAGTGTAGTGATTCTGTTCTTGTACAATCCTTTATTTAGTGAATCGTACAAAGTAGTCGATTCTGTAGAGGAGAAGGAGAAGCAATCTTTATTAGGAGATGAAATGGCTGAGAGAGTGCAATCAGCCTCCAGTTTGAGTTCTGCAGCAGACTCACCTCGTACTGTAGATATTTAATTGCTTAGACACATCTTTTGAAGGTAGCTTATTAATTGACAAGTGATTGCTTGCCTGAGTCTTTAATACCATCAAGTTAAAAGCCCAATGAGATTGCAAGAGAATCCACTTTCAGACATTCAATAAAAACAAATATCCACATGTCCATTCATTCAGTCAACATGCCAACAGGTGTGATAGCCAATGGAACACTGGTTAATGGAAAGAATATAACCTACATTCTTCCAACTCAGACTAATTGTATTGCTTCAATCGCTGTTTCATCCATATTTGCTGTATTATTCGTTATCTTCTTATTGGCTCTTATTGTTTTCGTCTGCTATTTCGGAAGAAAGCAGAATATCAAAAGTAATCAGAAAAAGTTGTTAGCCCTTGCTGGAGTTCTTGTCTTTATTCAATTATTGGCATTGATTTTTAGAATTGCATATTTTGGAGAATCCCTAAAATTGAGGAAGGAGTTGAGGAATACGACAGAAAATCCTCCAAATATTATTCCACTGTTGGTGCTCGGTGCTTTAGAATTTTCATTAATCCTATTTCAGGCAATTACAATGGTGATAATTATTGGATTCATCCAAACAGTGTTGTAAGTTTAAATATTATTAATAATATATTTAAAAAGAAGTTTGACTACTGTACACTTGTCTGGAGCTATGAGCAAACAATTATTCAAAGTGTCGCGAATTGTGACATTTACACTATCTGGAGCAACTTCGGTCATTATGAGTATTCTAGTTGTTGGACTCACCACAATCAAAGTATTGAATACTATTGGTGTCTTGGATGGCAATTGGCAAACAGGTCTCTCAGTAGCTGTTTTTGTAATATTCACTTCATTGGTGTTAATTTCTCTTGGATTATTCTTATATTATGGATTGAGAGTGATTAAAACAATTCGGTCTAGATCTCTAAATCTGCAACAGGAATCGAATAGAAGTCTTATTGTAAGAATGGTTCAAAAACCACTCATCAAAACACTTGTCCTATTGGTATCACTTATTCTGAGTGCTTTTGTTCAGATTATTTCTGCAATTGTTGGAATTATCACCTCACTAGTATCAAATGATTTGAAAGCTATTGATTATTGCTTGAATTCTTTTGGAATTTTGTTTTTTAGTGTTGTGGTTCTATTCTTATACAATCCTCTCTTTTCAGAATCGTATAAGATTGTGGATTCAGTTGAACAAAAGGAAAAGCAACTATTATTGAACAGTCAGAAAAATACTACAATAGATAGAACAGTAGCCAATCAAGTAGAAATCACTCTGTCAACAAGTACATCTGAAAATCAACTTTCGAATGCAATCAATAATTAGAGATTTAATTGCCCTTCCACATTTGCTCATCTGGTCTTGGAATATCAGTTTCAAATCCAGCATTTCTTCTATTCAATCCAGAACATTTCTTAAATCCATTTCCACACTCCATCTCATCACACTTGAAACAAGGTGATAAATTATCCTTTCCAAATTGTGCTGAATACTCTCCAATCGAATCCAATCCAAGAGCCATCGCCAACCTCTCCCAATACGTCCTCACAAAATGTTTCACACACACTGGCATACACATGGCAGTGGTGCACTGAATATTCTGCAACCAACACTCCACACACAGCTCACTCATTCCAGTCTGACTCGAAAGACAATACCTCGAAACTCTCTCACCCAACAGCAAGTATCCAACAGCACATAATGTTGCCGTTCTTGTGAGTGTGAGTCGTGTTCTATTGTACACTTCATAGTCGTGTAAATTGGAACAAATCCCACAAGGTCCCTTGTGCATCATCTTCATCATTAATTTTGTATTATTATTATTATTAATATTAATATTTAAAATTGATGATGATGATAAATTATTAGGATTGCTATTATTGTGGGTGGTAGATTGATCATCAGTAGTATCATTCCGATCATCATGATTGGATGATTTGTAATTCTTGCCATCGAAACCACAAAAGCCTTCTTCATTGTAGATGACTCTTCTTGGTTGGGGAGAAAAATTCTCCAAACGATAGTGGATCAAGTAGAAGAACCAAATGGAAAGGAAGGCGATCAATAGTGTGAAGGTGATGAAATATTTGCTTCCCGCCATTTTTTTTTAAATTATTAAATATTTAATACTTATTAAATAGTTTACAAAAGAATGAACGTAGTGGTTGAAATAATCGATTATTACTACATTAACTGTTAAAACATTAAATGTTCAACTGTAATATTCTCTTATGCATGTTGTAAACAACTTGTTTTTTTGATGTTTTTGGAAAGTCAAAAATCATGTCCAAAAAGATCGCAACCAAAACATGTTGGATGAATTTTTGCAATGAGCCTTCTAGAGATTTGAAAGTTCGGGTTTTTGCAACATGACTCGATCAGTTCTTACCTGCCAAGTGTCAACACTTCTCCCATCATTAAAAAACCAAAGAATCAACTCTCCACATTATATTACTTCTTGTTATTACCCCACGTCGTAAAACAATAACAGTTAATAACAATTAGTAATATTATTTCACAACAATTTTCACCCAAATTCTTCTTCTTCTATTGCTGGAAACTAAAATTATGACCGTTACAGCTAGAAGAAGCGACAAACAATTATTAAAAAAGAAGAAGAATGAAAAGGCTTCTCATCGTCATGATCATCTTCAACATAACAATATAATCGGATCAAAATTATCATCAACAACATGTGTTTATGAAAGTAATGATGATCAAAAGAGGCTTGGTAAAATTCGCTATTCTTTCTCGTCTTCATGTATTTTAGCCTTTCTGATGATCATGTTGTTAGTTTTGGTAATTGCTCTCTTCCAAGCAGCAATAACAACAGATTCATCATCATCAGTTTTATCATTGTCGGATTCTTCTTCTTCCTTCTTTTTAATGGTAAATGCTCAATATATATTGAAGGATAAGATTCCAGAAACATGTATGGAAGCTCTCACTAAATGTATGTTTTATTATTTACATTAATTAACATATAACAACAATACTTTACATATTTAATATTAATTATGATTATAATTTAATATATTTAATTTATTATGATTTTCATCATCAGATCGATATGAGAAGAATGTTCTTTCACTCAGCAATCCCACTCTCGTAGTTCCTCCTTCCTATCCATCGTCCGATATTAATTGTGGAACAGTTGGAACGAGACCTTACTTTCGTTTGAGATTGAGTTTCTATGATCAGAGTCCTTATCTTGGCTCGTACAATGGTTCATACTATACAGATGCTAATTTAAAGGCCATTAGTGAGCCATTCAATTTTATTTCAACGAGTGAACTGTTTAGATCATCTAATTATCAAACAGCTAGTACAGCTGGTTACTTGTCAGCTAGAGATGTGTTTGTCAATGCAAAGAATTTCAGTTTTATTAGTTCTGGCTTGGTTTTGGCTGATTACTTTTACACCACTCCAGATGGTTGTCAGAAGGTTGCAAAGGCAAATTCTGTAGATTTTGCTGGAGCTTCCAGAATTTCATCCATTTATAATAGCAAATGTAATAATGGTGGAGATTATGATACATTTATTGGATACAGTAATTCAATCAAGTTACCTCCTGTTGGAAGTTTGGAATATAACTTATTGAGACAGCAAACTGGAGATAAATCCTATCTTGCTCTTGGTTATAATTCAACTTTACATTATCAAACAATCAATTCAACTCTATCTCAAACACCAAAGAATGTTCTATTGCTTTATACTGCTACATGCAGTGGAACCGATGAGTGTAGTGGAAATGGAGTATGTTTATCATTGAACGAGGGATGTTCTTGTTTTTCACCATATTATGGACCTTTTTGTAATAATACTATTCAACATTTGAAAAATGTAGAGATTGCCTATCCAACACCAACACAGTATGGAGGATGTAAATTTTATATTAGTACAGATATTGCTAATAATCAATTTTCAGATATGTGTGGAGGTAATGCAGTGAATACTGTTGGTTCTGTGAATTATATCACAGGTGCATCTGGAAAAGCTCTTGAATTTGGACCAGAATCGAGTTCCAGAGCTGATGTACTCAATTTTCCATTTCCTTCCACTAAAGTCACTGTTGCATTTTGGTTGCTTTCTGAATCAGAGGTATGTTTTACAATAATTCTTTTATTGTTTATATTTAATAATATAGGGTAATCATTTGGAGCAAGGTGCACCATTCGCGTATCAAGTAAATAATACATATTTTGGATTCGTTCTTACTGACTATCGAAGCTTGAAAGTTTCTATTAATGAACCACACGTATTGAGATATTTGTTTACTGCCTCTAATTCATGGGATACAACTGTAAACATCAATAGTAAAACTTGGCGTCATGTTGCAGTATCTTGGAGTTCTGATAGTGGACTTCTCAAACTCTATATTGATGGAACATTGAAGGATTTCAAACTGGATTACAAGAAGGGCCAAAAAATTCCACCAAATGGTACTCTCACTATTGGAAATTTGAGATCTCCAGGATCAGGAAATGTAACATTCTTCCTCGATAAGGTGACTGGAGCAATCGACGAATTTGTTATTTTCGACAGAGTGTTAACTGATAACGAAATTGGAATACTAGCTACACCAAGTACCTTTTGCTTTGGCGTATCTGGTAAGAATTCTAGTGTTTGCTCAGGGAGAGGCTCATGTGTTTCGTTTGATACTTGCTCCTGTACTACTCCTCATTCTTATGGCACTAATTGTGAATTTTGTGATACTGGATATGGAGGATCTACTTGTAAAAGAATGTGTGGTGGATTGCCATTTGATGATCCTTTAGTGTGTAATGGAAGAGGTAGCTGTAATGAACCAGAGAAGTGCACATGCCAGTATGGTTACAAGTTTGGTGGTAATTATTGCCAAGATGTTTATTGTCATGGTATGATTAATGGATGTGTTAATGGTAACTGTACTGTTGTTCCTGGAACAGAAAAGCTCCCTGGTGACAATCTTTGTGTTTGTAACCCTAATTTTTATAATGACCCTGCCGATAATGCGTGTAAATTCACTACTTGTAATGGTATTCTCTCCATTGATGGAACTGTTTGCAATCTTAGAGGTAATTGTGTTGCAAAAGATGTGTGCGTCTGTACAAACACTTTTTTCGGTGGCCAATTCTGTGACCAGAAAATTTGTTATGGACTGCTTGAGAAAGACGAAAATGCATGTTCAGGAAGAGGTATTTGTGGTGATTTCGGATATTGTTCGTGTTTCATTTCTGGTACACCTGTAACCAACGATTGTGCTTGTTTAAATTTGAGAACTGGAAGAAATTGTGAACTTGGAGTTCCATCACCCTCTCAGGTGACTTCAAAGTTTCCAGATAACTTGTATGCTATCATAGATCCAAATAATTCCACTCTTCAGTTTACTGTTAGATCAAAATTCGATGCTACTTCAGTTAGTATTACCACTTACCAAAATGCTTTACATTGTATTTACAGAACCAGTTCATCTTCAGTATCATTTAAGGGAGTATTCCTTTATGCCTCTCGAGTAACTTCTGATACTGATGAAAATGTATTTGATATCACTTTTAATTGTACTTTCTCATTCAATTCAACAGCTATGAATATTAGCAACAATGGAAATCTCACATTGGCTTACAAAGATAGACAATCAGCAACTTTTTCACTGTTCAATTTCACTAATACCTATGTGGGTGATTTGAAACTCAGATCTGATAGCAATATAATGCCTTCTAGTGACTCTGATTCAGTAGAAATCAAGTATGACTTGCCTTTTTCTTTGAGAAGCCAAGTCTACTTGCTTTTAGGCTCTTCATGGACAGCACTCTCATATTACACTGCCTATCCAGGATATCCAACTAGGGTAGTGGCTCCAATTCCTGCAGGATTGCTATCAAATAGTTTTGGAATAATTAAGGCCAAAATATTGGATTATTCTTTGGATTTCATTGTTCTTAACAGCGATGCAACTATTTCATATCAGTATCCTAGTTTCACTATTGAAAATACTGGATCATCTAGTGGGTTGATATTCAGCTTGCTTATTCAAAATGTGTTGCCTTCTAATGTATCTAATTTTCAATGTTTGGCTACCTCTGATGGTACTCTCAATCAATTCAGTGCTAATGTACAGAGTATTCAAGCTGTTTCTCAAACCAGCTCTCTGGTAACGTGTGGCAATATCAATGCAACAGATGCTGGTTCCTACGTATTGGAGCTCAAATATAAGGGAAGAACAGCATCCAGACAAAACATAGGAACCTACCGTGTTGGAAAGTCACTTGGTTTTGATATGATTAGTTCAACTAATGTTATTGGTTCACCATTTTTTGTTACTAATGATGTTGGCTCTTCTACATTGTCAATTTATCTCAAATTCAAATTCTCTGGTGCCCAATATTCGTACTCTTGTGTTTCCGTAGATGGAAGTATTTCAAGTGCTTCGTTTAATGGTAATTCTCTCAATTGTACTGTTTCATTCCCTCCAGTAACATCTCCAAGACAAAACTCAGTTGTTATTAGAGTGAAGGAAAGTGTTATGACCAAGTCAATTCCAATTTATAATGTTGTTTACTATCATGGTGTAAAGGAAAGTATAATTACCACTTCACCTAATATTCTTCAGTCAATTGCAGGTCGTGTTAGTGGGCAACTATCCGTACAAACAACAAAGAATAATACTTTAGAAGCAACTTGGAATTATTACTGCCTCTTGAATGGACAATTCTTTACTGCTACATATTCTCCTGCTTTATCAACTTTTGTGTGTAGCATTGATATTACATTGAATAATCCAGTTTTGGAAAATGGAATTTTCTATGCTGATTTTGGAATTTATGTATTTAATGGAATTTCTAGAATACCTATTACTTCATCTTATTTATTGCCAATAGCCAGTGACTCCATTACTATTGACACTTTGGATTCCAGTGGTGCGCTCTTTGTGCAAAGTACCCAATCGTTTACAATTAACAATTTCAAGCTAAATAAGGCCAAATTCAATTGTTTGGCTATTCAAAGTGCAACACTCAAAAATTATGAAGACAAAATTCTAGTTTCAACTTTCCCAATAGTAATTGACTCTAATTGCCAAATGACAATTCAGTACAATCCTTCAATACCATACGCACAAGGCAAATATTCACCAATGCTGATTTCACCAAGTATTTCCATCACGTATGGGTCTATGCAAACTGATATTATTGCTGTTTCTACATCATTCTATTTTGTAACCAAATATTTGAGTATCGCAGAGTCTTTCCCTTCTATCTTGGATTATGCAACTGACACAACTGATCTCAAATACGTATTTTTGGGAGTGACTTTTGATGCTACAAGAAGAACCAATATCCAGTACAAGTGCAGAATTGGCAGTACTCTTTACGATTCTACAATTCTCTCAGATGATATGGTTAGATGTGAAATATCTTCAAGATCCACACTCTTCACAGGAATCAACAGTCCATCAGAAAGGAATATAACTTTAGAAATGACAAAGGATACCACAACATCCAAAACGTTCCAATTGGATATTTCTAAAACTCCACTCAAACTACCTTTTGATACAATCAAACCAACTCCAAATTATATTGAATCGACTCAATTACCTACCATTTCTTTCAAGATTATTTCCAAGGATAGCTTTATGTCATTACCATCCGAAACTTCTTTCCTTACATACAGCTTACGTTTGAATTTTGAGGGAACTAATCGTGAGATTGGTTGCAATATTGCAAAGACCACCTATCGTATTGTCTGTACCATCACTACTGGAACTATTTCATTCTCCAAAACTATTCAGACCATAACAGCAACCCTTTATTCCTCATTCACAATTGCTGGTGTTAACTATAAGGAACCTCTCACAACACTGAGTTTCAAGATTGTTGCTTATCAAACTGTGAATGTTGACAATGTTTATCCAAAAGTTATTACATCAGATACTGTGTCAAATAGTCCACAAGTTTATTTGTCATTCCATAATAGCTATGACTCATTGTTAGGTATTGATTGGAAGTGTTTAACATCTAAAGATGTAAATATGACCCTGTCAAATGCTCCATTCACAAAAGGTCAAACTATCAGTACTCCTGACTTTTTGTTGTGTGATTTGGATCCAATGATTTCCTCCAAGGTTAATGCTGGAGTTGTCCAATTTGCATCATTCTTCAATGTAACTAACTTGTTACTCGACTCAGCTCCTTTGCAGGTAACCAAACTCAGTTCTGAGGTTTACTATTTACAAAAGGGTAATGTTTCAGTTACTGGAGGATCAAATCTGTTTGCAGTTAGTGGTTCCTTTTCTGTACCTGTCAGTTTTAATCAAACAATTCCATACAGTCTTATTGCAAACAATTTAGTTTATTGTATGCTATCTAATGCAAATGGATATGTTTTGGGAACAATAACCGTAGCTCAAAAGACTTCTATTAATTGTGCCTTTATTCCAAATTCAAACATTTATGGTAAACTTACTTTGAGTATCAATTACTTTGAGAATGTACAAGCAATTTCCAAAACATTCCAATCCGTACTATCTGCGAATACCGACCAAGAGTTAACAGTAGTTCCAACAGTTAACATACAATCTGTTTCCATGTATAGCGTTCAAACATCCAAACAATTCTCAATTGTTATCACAACAGCATTCAATACATCATCTAACTTTGGAGAAGCTTCTTTTGGTTGTGTGTGGAATTCAGTATCAGACCAAAGTTTGAATAGAGTATTCCCTGCAAAAATCATCAACGAAGGTGTATTCAATTGCACAGAAATAGAACACTACTCAGGAATATATCAACTTTCTATTGGTTTGAGTCTTCAGGGAAAACCATATTTTTCCATTACCAATACCTATGCTACTATTAACGTCATTGGTGGATCATTCTTGAGTCCAACAACTGCTCTGTATTCTGGTGGAACAACTGCTACACTCTACTCTGACTTCATAGATCAATCTAGCGTTTCAGTTAGCTTTGTTGATGAACCAACAAGAGCTTTCACTTGTTCTCTCATTGCATTCCAAACCTATTCATGCATAATACCAGATTTAAGATCTAGCAGTATTATCAAGCCGTACTATCAGTATAACTTGGAAATCAAAACCGTACCAAAGGTATTGTCCCTTCCTATTGTTCCCTACTCACCAGTGGACATTATACAAGTCAATCCACCGTTTGTAATCGATACTGTTGGCGTTGCTTCATCAGTAATTACATTATTTTCCTCTTCATTAACACTTGGACCAAACTCAAATCTTACCACTGTATTTGATAATGAGTTTAATTTGAAATTGGAAAATAATATTCCATACAATCTAGTTCAAGGCGTCACCTCTTCGTCTTCATCATTTACATTTTCTAACTCTGGTAACTATAGAGTTTCTGTGTCAACTAAATACTTGTTAGCAAATAATTTCCCATTCACTCTGGATATTACAGCCAACAAGGGAAATTTCCAAGTATTGAAAAAAATACCATTCAGTATTGCCAGTGGTCAATCCGATATTTTACTGGTTAATTCTGTTTCATCTGTTTCATTTGTGTTAAATTATGGATCTTTGGTTGTACCATCTGCAATTGTGAAGAATAATCTTTATTGTAAAATTTCAACTACACTTTACAAAGCTACAGTTACAGCTTTATCTAGCACTGTTGATCAAATTACTTGCTCTATTACTTATTCACAGGTTGGTTCTGTATCTGCTGATTTGTTCTATTATGCTAATGGTTCTGAAACTTCAATTACCTCCTCTCCAGTTACTTTATATTTCGAAAATACCTATAGCGTTGCCACAGTCACTCCACAATTTACTCTCAATACTCCTCAAACTGTTCAGGTATCTTTGAATTCGTTCGGCTCTATGGAAAATATTGTTTACAAATGTGCTATTAGTTCAGCATCTGCTCTAACTGCAGTTGATGCCTTTGTGGTTGGTAATGTGGTTACATGTCCTTCATTGACTGGTAGTAGAAAGACATTCTTTGATATTTATGCTATTACCAGAGCTGTATCTGTTCCTTTCAAGATTACAAGTAACCAATTTGCTCTTTACTTTGAAACTGTCAAAACAATATCCTTTACTAATCCATACTTGTGGACAATTAATGATCAACTTGTAAACACAATTCCAGACTTCCAAGTTTCAGTTTCCACCATTGACGTAGTGGAAACAGGCATTGTTAAATGCGTGTTGACTCTTGATGGATCTGTAGTGGCTAGCACTTTCGTAACAAAGATTGTTGGAAGTGATATTTTGAGTTGTGTCTTTTCCACAGATACTGCTGTTAGTAAGGTTAACAAAATGTTAGAACTTCGTCTTGGAATTCCAGATCAAAGTTCAAACTATCAATACTTAACAAATGCCAAGAAGATTCCAGTGTTGCCAGTTCCTACTCCAATTGCAAACAGAAATAATATGGATATGGTCGCTGCTTCGGTATTCAACAATGGAACATTTGTTATTCCTTACGATTTCAGTCCACAGAATTTGCAAATATCAGTTCAGATGAAGGATGAATCCGTTTCCATCTTATCTGGAATTGACCAAAGCTCAGCACCATACTTTGTGGCACCTTATGTTGGCCCAGTTGATAATCTTTCGCCACCAACCAATTACATACCAAAGAAATCTGTTCCATTTGTTACTTCCTTCTATATGAATGTGGCTAACAAGGAAATTTCTCAATCTAACACCCAAGTAGAAACCTACTCCTTGGTAGTTTATGATTTATTGACAGTTCAAAAGATCAGTCCATTTGTACTGACCACTTCAGACATTAGTATTAGAGATTATAGTTACATTACAATTTACTTGTCAAAATATTCACTCAATACTACATATTCATTCAATTGCTATGTTAAAAATGATAATGACGGTACATCATATCAAACTAGTGCTATCATTATATCATCCACTGTTGTTAAATGCAAACTTGCTAAAACTACCAAGTCGGGATTTAGCTCTGTACAATTAGTAATAGATGGAACCAGTAATTTTATTACTGATATTAAGAAAATATTAGTTTTGGATGTTGGATTCCCATTGAGTTTACCTTACGGCACAGTGTATGGAGGACAAAATGTTACACTCACCTATTCAAATATGTTTGACACCATTAAATCCATAAATCATGGTGGAAATAGTAATTGGATGAGTCAATACTCATTCACATTATTATTCATTGACAATAAGAAGATAATGACACCACTCCAAAATTGCCAATTGCTCACAAGCTCAGGTAAATTCTTGAACTGCCTTACACCAAATGTTCAATCACAAGTGAGTAGCACATCCAAGCAGTACTATGTCGTTCTCTACATTGATGGTTTCCCAAGTATGACACTGATCTCGCTATTCACAGCAATCAAACCTTCAGCTGTTTCCAGTATTTCTCCAAGTATTATTGATGCCAGCAAGACATCAAACTCTGGTACTTTGTCCATAGCATTTGCTTCTACTCTTGACAGTAGACTCGTTACATTTGCTGTCAAGTACAGAAGTTCAGTCAGCCAATTAGTGGTGAGTGAAGGAACAAATGGTTGTGTTAAAAAGTCAGCCACACAAGTTGATTGTCCTTTGCCAACAATCTTGTCAAGCAATCCTGGATTCTTATTTGTTGATTTTAGTTTTGATGATTTCAGCTCGTACATTACTCTCAGTCAAACTGTTGAAATTTATTCATGGTCTGGATCTATTGGTTCTGCCTCTCCTGCAACAGTTGATGTTTATTCTGCCACTTTGGTCAGTATCAATGTCCTTGGTTTACCAAGAAATACACAACCAAAGATCAAGCTCAATGATAATATCAATAGCAAAGTTCTTGATGGTACCTACAACCAAAATACTAATCAGATTACATTCACAACTGTTCCACTCACTTACTTATTTGGAGGACAACTACCAAAGAGAATACCTTTCCAATTATCTTTAGATAATGGTTACTCGTTTGGAGATTTCAATTTGCATTTAGATTTTGCTGTTTTGGCATCAATAAGCATCTCTCCAACTCAGGCAATTTCTGGATCAGCAATTAAGGTATCAATCAGTGGTGTTTCAGTTGATTCTCCATTGCTACCTTTACAAGTATCCTTGAGAATCAACAAACAAGATACTTGGCTAACTTCATGCTCTATTAGTGGTCTTGATTTTTGTCTTGATAGTGCTCCATCTACAACAGGAACTTATTCTGTGGTTGTTTATTCTCAACAAAAGCCAATCCAAGCAGGTTCATTAACTGTCAATGTAATTCCAATGCCAACATTCAGCAGCATTTCTCCAAGCTTAGTATTTTCATCAACACCTACTATCAAAGTTTATGGAAGTTTTTCAAGTGTATTGGTAATCTCACAGATTCAAGGTAAACTTCAACTCAAATCTACAAGAAGAGCTATTTTAGGTCAAGAAATAGGACTCTCACCGGTCTCTGTTACCTCAACCTATGTAGAATTGAGTAATCCTGGAAATGCACCTTCTGGTTCCTACGATTTATTATTGTCATTTGATTCTGGTTCATCCTTCAATACTGTAAACTCTTTAACTTACAGTTCAGGTGGACAACTGACAAGTATTGATAATATTACACCTGATTTTGTTCAGACGAATCAAATCCTTACAATTGTACCAAACAGTTTAATGTTACACTTTAGTCAAGCATTGCCTTGTGGCAATACCAATAATTTGCAATTCACAATTGCCACAAGCTCATCATTCTCATCCCTGACTCTTTCTTTGCAGAATATTATTAATTTCTATCAAGGTTCTGGATTGTCAACAAGTGATATTTTCACATGTGTGGACTCTTCACTTTTCATTCTCTATCCACCATTGAATAATACACTTCCTGATTATTCCATATTAGAATTCCCATTTGCAACAACATTTACTGTTACATTCAATGGAATTGATACATTCTCCTTGCCAATCTTGATTAAGAGCAAATATGACGAGCCACGTATTATCAATGTTCAACCATACCTCCTTGAAAGAAACATACCAACAAGTGTAACAATTGTAGGTGAGAATCTTGGCGCTGCTGTTGGTTGTCAATTTAGTATTAGTAACCAAATTGTTAGAGTAGCCAAAGTATTAACTTCAGTTTCCTCTGAGATCAATTGTGAAATTCCTTCTCAGATTATAACCTCTGCAGATACTTCCTTCTATGTGCAATTATATAATTCTCGATCAGAGTATAGTAATTCATATAATTTATACATTTATGATAGATTGAAAGTTTTAAACGTCAATCCAAAGAAGACTTGGACCTATGATGACATTCCAGTTACTCTCCAAGTTGAGGGTATTACACAAGTAGTTAATATTTCAAAATTGGCAACTGTAGAGATTAGGGCAATGTTTGGAACTGTTATTTCAACAGATGTTTGTACTGTGATGAGTGAAAATATTATCATGTGTATAGCTCCAAAGAGAGAGAAAGGTTTGACAAGTATTTCCTTATCTGTGAATAGAAGAGAGTGGTATTCTTTGAATGGAGAAGGATTCACATATGCTGCATTTAAGAATGGCTCATCAAACACCAATGCTCTACAACTTTCCAGTGATGCCAAATCAATGTTTGAATACGTTCCATGTATGGCTGGTTACGGAGCTTCCTCTTACAGAGATGTATGTCAAGAATGTAAGCCAGGTTTCTACAAACCAATCAATGACAGTAATGCTTGTATTCCATGTGATTTTAATACTTATTCATCATCTTTCCAAGCCAAGGAATGTATTTCTTGTCCGGTAAACACTTTAACACTTCAAAAGGCCTCTACCTCACTCACTGAATGTATTTGTCAAAATAATTATTATCTCAATCCCAGCCCAAAGAAGTTGGATGACTATTGCGTAAAATGTAATGAGCAATCTATGATTTGTAACGCTGGAAACAACATACATCCATATCCAAAGAAAGGTTACTGGATGGGAAAACATGACAATTACACTGTTTACAGTTGTCTTCCTATTGAAGCTTGTGGTGGTTTTTCAATTGAAAATTGTACAGTTGGATATATATCAGGAAAATGTGGAGCTTGTGATGTTGGTTATTACAAATTCAATGGTTTCTGTACTAAATGTGGAGACGATGCTATCTGGAGATTGATTGGATTTGGTATACTCATGTTGGTTGTAGTTTTAATTTTCTTATTGATCAGTAGTATCAAACTTTCACATTTGGCTTCTATTTCTATTGCACTGTCATTCTTCCAAGTTGTTGCCATGTTCACCAAATATAACGTCAAGTGGCCTGTTGTAATGGAATATTCCTATACGGCCAGTTCTGCAACACTTTTCAATACTGACTTTATCAATCCAAAGTGTATTTTCCCAGACATTAACCAACTAACCAAATGGTATCTGACCTCACTCTTCCCAGTTTATGTATTTGTACTGTTTGTGCTGTTGTATATTTTGGGAATTTTGAGAAATGTTATTGTTAGCAAGTTTGGACATCACGTGAAATTTGAATATCGTGAACCGTACAGATATCACAACGATATTGATGAAGTGGAATACTTGAAAAAGAAGGAAGAAGAAAAGAAGCTCAACAAGAAACAAAGATTGAAGAGAAGGATCATTGAAAATCTCAATGATTGGAAGATTTGGTTTATCAATTTGTTTGTTTGGTTACGAAACTTCTTAGTTTGGCTTCTTAAGGAAAAGATGAGCGCCAAACAAATGAAAGTATTCTTCAATCAATTGATCAATGGCTACACTGCGTTCCTCAGTTTTACCTTTGCTTTTATCATTTCACAAGCCAGTGACATTTTCTATTGTACACCTCAACCTGACAATACTTGTGCACTTGTATCGAGTCCAGATATCAGTATTTTGGATCCTCAGTGGATTGCCATGTTACCTCTAGCTATTATTTACTTTGTCGTGTTTGGTCTCGGTTCAATCTTGTTCTTCCTCTCGCTCTATATTTATAAGAAACATTTGAAGTTGGAAGTTAGAAAGGATTTGTTGATACACAACCCAGATTTGACAAAGACTGAATTGGACGAACTCAAATGGAAGCCAAAGAATCCTGTCTTGTTACAGAAAGTTAAAGATTTCGATTTGAGATTCAAATTTATCCAAAACAGATTCAAGAAGAGACTCTTCTATTGGGAAATTATTATTACCTTCAGAAAGTTGCTTCTCTCCATCTTCAACACCTTCTTACTTCCTCTTCAAACTGTTACCTTTGCTCTGATTACTGTATTCATTGCTTTCCTGTTGCAATCACAGTTTGTGCCATTCAAGACCAAATTCCACAATCTCCTCGAATGGGTTTCTCTAGTGTGTACTGAATTGGTTTTGTTCTTTGGTTTACTTTTCTTGGTTGATGATGGTGCTTGGAAAGGAAATGAAACCCTGCGTGGTTTTTGTGAATGGATTGCCTCCATTGTTATTGTAGTATCTATAGTGCTTGTTTTGGGAATGCTTATTTATGATATCTATGTCAGAAGAAAGAAGGACAGAAAGAAGGAAAGATTGGCCAGAAGAGAATTGGAACGAAAGTACGGTAAAGAAAAGGCCAAGTCACTCCAAGCATTATATTCCAAACTATTTGGTAATCCGTTAACTCAAATGACTAAGGTTGTACTATTGGAAGATGAGGAAGCACAAGAAAAGTGGAATATTATTGAGAATCCATTATGTGATAGTTATGAAGAATTCCATGATGATTGGGTAGTTGAAGAGAATCCACTCTTTATTCCAGATGATGTTGACGCTTATGCTAGAATGAACACTTCAAAGAGAAAGGTAGAATTTAATTTGACTCTCTTTGAATCTGATTCTGATTCTAGTGATGAGGATAATAGTAAGAATATTAGAGATATTATGGAAGGATTGGTAAACTTGAGACGTATCAAAAAGAAGATTAGATTGGCTAAACAAAAAGGTGGTAAAGTTAAAAGAAAGTTTACCACTTCCAAAGCTTCCAAGATCACAGACAAACTAGAAAAACAAGATAAGGAAATGGAATTATCTCACAATTTGGATGTGGAAATTTACAATAATACATTGTCAAGACTCAGTTCAAGAATTGCTATGTCACCAAGAGGAGGAAGAAACAGAAATGATTCCACAATGACTGATGAAGAATCTTCCATTGACAGCCCAAGATCTTACAGTGCTGCCACCTCCTATGATCACTACCAAAAACGAGAACCAAAACCTAAGGATATTGCCCTTGTTACAGAAGAAATCGAAATTGAAGAAGATGAATTGTAATTATAAAACAACTAAAAAACTCAATCTTTAAAATCCCAAATATCTTCAAATATTAATAATTTCCTATTATTAAATTGGAACAATCAAGAATTAGAGATTTATTTACATTTGGCCACAACCTGGAGGTCCTCCAAATCCACCATCGCCACCACCTCTTCCATTCTTTAACATTCTATACATGTTACCAGATTCTTCATCGTTGGGATAGCTGGCGTCGCTTTGCATTGGATTTCTATTCTTCTTGCTTGGTTTTTTCTTTTTCATTTCTTCCAATTGTTTTTGAATATCCTTATTGAAATCATGTTCCTTGAATTCGGCATCTTCTGGTTTTAGTTCATTACAAATCTTTCTTAGTCTAACTTCGATCCATTTATCATCATCAACAAGCGTAGTTTCACCACTACCAGCACCAGTTCCGTTCGATATAGTGTACAGGAATTTGCTAATAGGAATGCAATTCAATTTTCCTTCTTTTCCAATTAAAGTTTCTCTAATTTCCTTAATTTCTGGAAGAGTAATGTTCACTTGCCTCTTTTCAATAGTAATCCAATCTTCTTCTTGGAATCTTGGATCGTTGGCTAATTTGTTATCCCATACAGGTTTCCATCCAGACGATTGATCCTCTCTGCTTTCCTTATCTGCCAAATCAACAATTCTATAAAGTAGAGTTGTGTAAAATACGTGGGAATAGTATTTTGTTGTATGGAAGAATGCATACTTGAAATCCACACAACCATATGAATGAAGAGAGTAGAATCTAGTGTATGATTTAAATCCACACAAGAATTTGTGATCTCTATAGTTTGGACGAATGGAAAGGAATACATTTTGAGCAACGAAATTGTGTAAGTATTCTTTTGATATGGAAGGGTCATACAATTGTCTCATCATGTGCTGCAGGCAGTTCCATATTACTTCAACACTACCATCAAATACTTCATCATCACAACAATCATTGTGCAATTTTTGAGTAATCATTCTGTCATGGAAATATTTAAGCCAATTCAGGTTTTCTTCCTCAGTAAGTGGTTTGGAAGTGTCGAGTTCGAGCTTGAAAACTCTCTTACTCTTTTCACGCCAATCTAATTTGGATTTAATAATATCCTCAGCAGACCTGGTATTGAAATATCCAAAGCTCTTAGAGTATGTATCTACTTTCTTTTTCCATTCTTTAAATTCCTCAATACCTTTCTTTGTATTGGAATAGGACAGCAATTATATATTCTCCTCTTGGTTCAAATTCGCCTGCTTCCTTATATTCACGTTTCCAGTTGTAATATTTAGTATAAATAATTCTAATAGATCCAAGTGGTAATCTGAACAATTTACAAAGAGTTGCTGCCAATTGACCTGCAATAACACTTCCCTTTCCATTAATTTTGAATACATGCCAATCAGGTAATGATGTCTTATCCAAGAATGGCTCTAGCGGCATAACATGTTCCTTGTCTTCCTTCTTATTCGAATTAGCTTGAGTTTCTCTGGTAAGAGCTGCTTGTTCTATAGCAATTTCCAATAATTCCGAATCAAAAGTAGCAATAGGAATACCAACCATACGATCAGTGTGCATTCCATACTCCTCCTTTAATGCCTTAGCACACTTGGAATGAAATTCCACAAACTTTCTCGAATGCTCATCAAACTCAGCACTCGTGGCAAACCTAAGCTCCTTCAGGGTTTCTCCTAAAGGCTCCATATTGAATATATTTACAGGAGGCTTCTTTGATTGTTGAGTAGCAGAAGAAGAAGTAGCAACACTAGTTGGTGTAGAATTAGATTTTGCTTTTTCTGATGCTGAAGCCTTTTGATTGTTATTATTCTTCTTCTTGTTACCATAAATTTCCTCTACTTGATCCTCATCACAATGTAAATTTCTAGCCATTAATTCCTTCATTGATTGTTGACTATCCGATGGTAAATTGCTCATAAACGATGAAAAGGCATTCCTACTATCGGCATGTTCAATCTTTTGACCATTACTATAGACGGTGGCTGGGATGTTAGAGTAGAATTGATTCATCATGTCCATCACGTTCATAGGATGAGTATGATCATAGTCATCTTCATCGGAGGAATGTTGTTGCTGTTGTTGTTTGGGTTTTTGCTTCTTCCCACTTTGATAACCAGCATTATGTGACTTTTTCTTTTTTGTCATTTTTTTTGTTTTAAATTCTAAAGTTCTTGCGTGTGGTGGAATAACGCCACCATTTCATTTATAAGCAAGCTTGATGAAACATCTTACAAAGCAAGAAGCCGACATAGCTCAGTTGGGAGAGCGTAAGACTGAAGATCTTAAGGTCCCTGGTTCGATCCCTGGTGTCGGCAAATTTTAACCTTAAATATTCCATTACTTTGAACTGATACATTTTGCCTCTAAATACCAAAAGAAAAGCAATTGTGTACACTACAAGTACCATTATTGATTTAGCCATTACTTCATACAATGTTTGCTGAACCAAGAGTAAGAGTAGCAGAGTTGAAAGGTAAATAATTTATTTAATTAAAACAACACTTAATAAACCTTGTTGTTGATATGGATATGGATATTTACCAAAAGTATTTTCATTTGCAACAACACCCAATTCATTTTTTAAAATATTTGCAATTAATTGAATATCATGTGGCATTGCATGAATGCAACCATGTGAATTTGGCATTGGATCATTTGGTTTAATATTCCATTCACCTGTATGCATCAATATTCCACTTCTATATTTAGGATATATTAACAAACTATTTCCTTTTAATCCATACACTGCTCTATTCACATCATATGGTCCATATTCTACTGGATTATCTTCAGGTGTATTTAAATCTATTTGTAAATTAAATAAAATTAAACAAATATTAAAAATATTAATGAAATTAATAAAAAAAAATTAAACAAAAAACATACCAAAAGTATATAAACCAGTTGGAGTATCACCATCAGAAGTCAATTGATTTAAATTAGGTTGACCGTGAGTTCTACATTTAAAAGAATGTCTCTTATTTCCAAATTTATCAAATAAATAACAAATATTTTCAATTGATCTATTTCTATAAACAGGTACATAAACATAATATTTATATTGAGATGGTATTTGCTTATACATTGTACCATTAGGATACACATATGAATCAACATATCCATCATTATCCATATATTTATCAACCAATTCTTTTGCTACATTTGGTGTTAATGATATATATGGTGACTTATTATTATTTATATTAACATTTAAATTATTTTCATTCATAAAATTAATTAAACAATTCATAGTTTTAATATCAAAAATAGAAGATAAAAATGTATCTTGTTGATTTGGATATAATTTTTCACAATTATAATATCTATATAATAATAATTGTAATTTATATACATCGGATCCTGTGTCGTTTAATGTTAATGATTTGGTAAATGGATAAACTGGAAATTCTAAATTATCATTAGCATGTTGATGATTGTTATTAATATTTATAATAGTAGATGGTGATAATGATGATGCAGAGTGAATATTTACTGCTAAAAAGAATATCATTAATATCATCAATGAAATGATATTATATTGATGATGTTGAGACATTTTTTTTGATAGGATGTTTGATGATTATGAAATTTGATTTCAAATGGACATGTGAAAAGATTTTTCTGTTACACATTCACAGTTTTTCTTGGTTGTTGAATTTTCTATTAAATTTGAGACTGAACCAATTTAAAGATTGGTATCCATTTTATTGAACTCGGCAGAGTAAAATTGCTTTACTCTTTCCATCATATTAGAATGTTTTTCAATTTGTTCCTCTTTCAGATACATGGTTTGGAAGAGAGAGGAGAGACCCTGTGGTTCTTGTCCACACAACACTGAAACACATTCTTTTACACATCCTGCAGTTTCTTGAATGTTATAACCTCCTTCGAGAGCTAATACAATCTTTCCATTTGCCAATGTTTTAAGCATGCATGTTAGGTGACCAAATAATTGTTGAGAACATAATTGACCACCCAGTTTGTCTCCTTTTACTGCATCAAAGCCAGCTGAAACGAGAACAATATCTGGATTATAGTTACTCGCTATTGGCATGATGATTTGCTCGAATGCATTTAGTATTTCTTGATCTCCATATGTCTCATCGAATGGAATATTGAAAATAAATTTCTTTGCTCCCTCGTAAGCAATTTGTTCTAATGTTCCAGTTTTTGGATAGAAATTATTCTTTGTTTGATGCAGAGAGAAGAAAATAATCTCTGGCTTTTCATCATTATTTGGATTGCAATTATCGAAACGTTCCTTAAATTGGTCTTCCAGTATTGCTTGTGTTCCATTGCCATGATGTACATCCCAATCTACAATTACTATTCGTTTAGCCAATGATCTCTTCACCAACACATTTGCAGCAACAGCCACATTATTGACTATACAAAACCCACTTGCCTTATCAAAGTAGCAATGATGCCCTGGAGGTCTAATAATTGCAAAGCCATTGTCAAACTCTCCATTCATCACTTTGGTTGCAATCTCTATAAGTCCTCCACTGGCAACTCGTGCTGCATCTCCTGATTGCTCTCCAACAAATACATCTGTTGAGAAATTGAACATTTCTAAATGTGACGCCATTACAGCGTCCACATGATGTGGTGAATGAGTCCACTCCAACTCCTCTCTCGTTGCTTTTCTACCTTCAATTATTGTACAACCCTTATCAAAATGAAATTCCTCAATGGCAAAGCTCCAAATTCCAGATAATCTAGCTGGTGACTCTGGGTGAGAACCTCTTCCCATATGTAATCCCATTCTTTTATCAAACATAATGACAGTTCTTTTCATTTTAGGATCGAAGGGAATTTCCTCCACAATTTCATTTGACCTTTTTGTACCAGTCACAATATAAGATATTGATGGGTTGACAGAGCCATCCATAACCATACATTTTCTTCCACATTCCTGATGTAAAATACAATCATCCATATTGAAATAAGACTCAATTTCTTGCATGTCCACTTTATATTTTTTCATATTATTCACCTCTAATTGATCCTTATTTACATCACCAATAGAATTATTTTCATCCTGTTCCGAAGTTGGTTTTCTCTTCTTGCTCAAAAAAGATGGAAGTTTTTTAGATTTAATTTCCCTCACCCTAAATTCACCCTCCAACGAGCCGTCCTCAGTCCTTACCTTGATGGTAGCAGGAGGAGAATTTCCTTGACTTGTTCTTGTGGATGACGAAGAAGAAGTTGTCTCATCATTGGCAAGCATTTTTTTGAGCTAAAATCAAGTAAGTGTTTTGTTGTAGTTTGTTTCCCCGCCAAAATTTGAATGGTCAAACAGAAAAAAAAAGATCAAACAATGAGGGAACTCTCTTCTTGAACAAAGAAACAAATTGGTTTGGGAATCGAGATAATACCTAAGCTGCTGTGCAGCATGAAGGGATCAAAGGTAAAATGGAAAATACGAAGGAAAATTAATGTAATGAAATTTTGTAATGAAAACCAATCGATCACACATAAATGAACGAAACAAAATGGTCCAAGCTACTATTATGGAGAATTGAAAATGTTAAATATCATTATGTTATATTACATTAGACATAATATCAAATAATTAACTGTTGAAGATGTGTTTGAATTTATTTTCAAGAACCTAAACTTTTAGCATTTCCAACAGTTCATACATAAATGCAACAACGTCTTCCTCAAGACAATTAAAGAATTGCTATTCTAAATTTTAGTTAATGACGCTTTCAATGTCTTGCAGTTTTAGGCACCGAATCTTTCAAACAGGGCCTTCAAGTGTCAACCGAAAAAAAAGTAACAAGAACATCACCACATATTATCATTGTGGAAGAGTGAAAAAAATTGTGTATTTGAATTGACAACTTTCATCAAATAACAACAACCTAGACATTAACTCTCTAGTGAATTAAAACAATGTACGAACAATTGGTTCAACATAAAAAGATTGAAAATTACTTGAAGAAACTCAAGACAGGTATGTATCAACACTGTTTGACAAATAATAGTAAATTAACAACAATTATCATCTTTTCATCATAATTGACCAATCAATAATAACTTGTTCTCAACAAATTGTCAAAAAACTGGAAATTTACTGGAAAATGTTAACATTGTTTTTTAATATTATGCTACTGTTCATTGCCATCTACCTATCTCTACTCTAATAACTCCAACATTATCATCAACATTTTCGTACGGAATGTAATTTGTCTTCATTGTTGTTATTATTTCATCATATCAACACACAACCTTCATCAAATTTAATGGCAAATAATTGGTAAAAAATTTCCTTTCAAACACAACAATAACAATTTCTTCATCTTTATGCAAACAAAACAAATTATAATTTCACCATTATTCTTCTTGCATCATTGATGAACAACTATAATAATTAACTTTAATATAATTAATAACAATGTTTTGTAATAATAATTCTATATCATCATCAATATATATTGAATAATATAATAGGCTTCAAATGTATTAAACATGGTCGTCAGGGTTCACCTCATGAACGTTGGGTATCTATAAGTCCTTCCTTTGATAAAATCATTTGGAAACCACTTCAATCAGGCGATAAAGGAGCCACTAAAAAGTCTACAGAATCACTCTCAACATTTTCTAAAGTTGAGAAGGGATGTACCACAAAACCATTCAAACGATCCAAGAAGGTAAAGGAGGAATATTGTTTTTCATTGGTCGGAGAGGAGAGAACACTCGATTTTGAATTTAGTACAACAGAGGATAGAGATTATTGGGCTGATGTCTTTCATGCAATTATTGGTCATCAAAAACAAGATAAATCACAATCATCATCCAAAGCTCAAGATCTTGAAAAGGTTGCAAATTCTTTGAAAAAGTTCCATTTTGATATCGAGTCTAATACTTGGAAGTATAGTAAGGTTTTAACAAAAGGAACAACATTTACAGATGAAGATTTCCATTATTTGGGTTTTGCTTTGAATGGAAATTACAAAATTGAAACACTTGACTTGTCAGAGATCAAGTTGACTGATCGTCAATGTGTGCCAGTTGTGGGAGGAATTCACTCAACTACAAAGAGTTTATCAGCTATAATACTTGCTAATAATGACATTACTTGCGAATCTTTAACAGCACTTTCTAAATCTCTCAGTAACAACAAATCAGTTACATTTATTGATCTTTCAAATAATCAAATTAGTGATCAAGGTACTGAGGATTTGGCAAAGATTTTGGAACGAAACAAGACTTTAAAAACAGTTTTATTGGACAAAAACGAAATTTACGATAATGGTGCCATTGCTCTTGCTGAAGCATGTTTGAATGGAGCTTGTATTGAGAGAATATCTTTAAATGATAATCATATTGGTAATAAGGGTGCTTTTGAACTTGCTAAAATACTGAAAAATACTGAAACTTTCTTGAAACATTTGGAACTTGCTAGAAATTCATTGGAATTCCCAGAACCAGTTGAAGGACAAGAGGATGATGAAGGATTTTCACTTGAAGTTTCTCTTTTCCTTGCAGTTGACAGTAATAATTACGCAGATGTAGTCTTGTTAACTCTGGAAGGTGCCGATCCAAATTGTCAAAACGAAGAAGATGGTAAAACACCACTGCACATTGCTGCTATTCGTGGTGACAGACTTATGCTTGACTATTTAATTGAACATCCGTATATCGATATTAATGCTCGTGACGATAACATGACAACTCCAATTTATTGTGCCATGGTTAATAAGCAATATGACGTTGTCAAATTGCTCTTGGAAAGAGGTGCTGATTTCAAGATTGGAGACAGACACAAAAAGACAATTCTCCATCTTGCTTCGGAACAAGGAAACAAGGCCATAGTTAAGGATCTAGTTGAAAAATACAAGGATGACATTCATGCAACAACAGATGAGGATTTAACACCATTGCACTTTGCTGCACAAAATTTACAAAAGGACGTTGTTGCATTCTTATTGGAAACTGACCAAAAGGAAAGAAAGGAAAAGACAGATAGTGCAGATGACAAATCGGAGGTTATTTCATATGTGAATCAACAAGACATTCTTCGTCAAACACCACTTCACAAAGTTTTCCTGAACAATAATCCAGATATCGAGATTGCTAAGTTACTAGTTCAAAAAGGAGCTGATGTTTCTATAGAGGATAACAACCGTAGAACACCACTCCATGAAGCCAATGAAAAGGTTAAACAAACCCTCCTTAATGAAACTCGTAAATTCATGTCTGGTGGAATGTAAATCAAGATATTTTGGTGTGAATAAAAGCGTAGACAATCGTGTGTGTAAATAAATTTTCTTGTTATTTCATTATTAGGGAAATTGCATTCTCTTATTGTAGTGTTTCTATTTTATTAACCTTCCATGATTACAATGAATTGTGTAATGAACTGTAGTTTGCATCCTCAAGATCTGCATCTACTGAAAATATTCGAAACACTTTCACATGAAAATGCAGAGATATCCTTTTTGTGAAAATCATTTAATTTTTTTTCAAGTATTCATTTGCTAGTAGAACTGATTTCCACAATGTAAAACTACTCTATCCAATTTCCATTTTAGAAACCTTTCTGATCTTCACAATTCTCATGCATGAAACCATAACCAAAACCTTTTCAAAACAAACTCAACCAAAATTGATTTTTCTTTACAACAATTCATTGTCTTTCGCAAAAAGCTCAACAGTGCACTTTCTTCTTTCGTAGGATTTCGTATTTAACCGATTTGACGTTTACAATCCTTAAACAAATCCGTCAAACAAGCAGAATTTCATATAAACTGAAACAAAGCATGATTGGTTGGGCTAATTAGATATCGTTTAAAAGGTTGCACGCAAATATACTTTCTCTTCTCAGCTTCTAACAAAAAAACTAACACAATTGACCATGAGACGTTTCTCTCGATTTATCAAAGGTGAGAATAACCGTGCGTCCATACCTTCGACTACAACGATTGCTGTGGTTACTCCTCTTGCAGAACAATCGAATAGAACCAAGACACCATCTTCGCCTTCTGATAGAAAGGAAACTAATCTGTTGGAACCTAATTGGCGAAATTCAAAGAAACAATCACCACATTCACCACTCATTTCATCTTCATCACAAGATAATACTGCATCATTTGGTGGTGTAAAGAAGGTAGTTTCGAATAGAAAACACCTCTTTCTGAGCCATGTCAAACAGAAAAAGATTAAACTTGACAAGAAAGAACAATCATGTCTAAACAACAATCAAAACTCCACAAGTGCATGTGAACAAGTGGGAGGTGCCAACAAGAATCGAACAAACTCTTTAGAAAGTTTAGAACAGTGGACTAGTTTCCATTCGAAACAAGGCCTATACAGTTACTTTTACATGGAAAATAGTGATGTGATCGAGACTCTTAGATATGGACAATTTGAAATGAAAGAACCACCAAAGATTATCGCTAGACGAAAGATATGCGCCTAAACTAATTTAATCTTTACAACATTTGTAAAATCTCCATAAAAAAACAAATTCTTACCATCAAATTCTTGCTTCTTTCCAATATTTTCTTAAATTATCCTGATTTTCAAACACTTTAATTAATAAATTATTAAATTTGTAATATTAAACAATGATTATTAAGGTAACTAAAACCGCTTATGGAAAATTCCCCAAACTCAGATGGGAACTTTCCATAAGCACTCTCTCTTCATCTCTTCATAAAAAAGTACGAACTAACTTTTTGACTAACTCTTAAAAATAATACCGGCACATGATGATGATTAAGGCTCCTTCCCTTTGTGCGCCATCACCATTGTTTTTTAAGGCGCTTCTTGTTGCGGTGGCTGCAAGTTTGTGTTGTTGTTGTATTCTTCTTCTTCAGACTTGTATGGTTGAGGCTATTCCGAATTACTTGTCTACGAAGAAAGCAATTGTAAATCCTGTTGATTTTAAAACAGCCTCACCACTTCCTTATAACTTGGTATCAATAACACCCACCGAAATATGTATTATGGAGGGTGGAGACGTTGTTTTCCGTGATGGAACAATTTTAAGAAGATATTTCGAGGCAAATAAGACTGTGAGTATTTACTTGGGTAAGGGAACATCATCAAGTGATGGAGTTGATACTACACAAGTTTCGGCCACGGTCAAGTATCTTACAACATCCTTAACAGGAGAATGTACCTATGTTGATTCCTCGTTTAAATTGAGAGTAATTTCCAAGGTTGATAATAGAGTGAGAACAGTTGCTTCTTTTCAATTCTCAGTAGTTAGCTTTACCTACGATGAAATGGGTAACGTGTACACTATTGAAGTCAACAAGATTAGAAAGCTGAATACAACAGGAAGTATTGTTACAATTGCAGGATCTAATGCTGTATCAACGACCATACCTGTTGATGGATCCATTGCGAGTTCAACCGACATTAAGACACCAACTTCCATTCTTGCAAGCAATGGTACCGTTTATTTTACTATTTCTATTAATAATATATATGTAATTATGAAGATTGAGAATGGTAGATTTTACAAGGTATCTGGTTTGAAAGACAGTTGCACGTTTAACGTAACTTATGACGGGTTTGCCACAAACGCATGTCTTAATTCTCCCAAGTTGATGGCTGTTATTGATAGTGAAATTTATTTCAGTGATGATACCATTATTAGAAAGATTTCAAAAGATGGAAGAATTGTGTTATTGTTTGGAGTTGGAGAGTCTCTCGATTTTACAAGAACTGACCAAACTTTGCAAAATGTTTCATTACCTTCTATTAAGGGAATGAAAATCGTTCCAAAGGAGAATTACTTTACTTATTACATTTCATTCAGTGGGAATATTGTAAAGGCCAATCAGGATTCAAAAATCAAAACTATTGTTGGAAAATTAGCAATTGATTTTTCGTATTCGACTTACTCATACGGTTTTCAGTTTGTATTAGGACTGAAACCAATCAAAACATATAGAAATGGAGACATTATCCTATTTTCAACTGATAAAAAATCAATATTCAGATTGTCTGAAAGGACTGGACTTTTGAATCCCTTAATAACTTTTGAAATGCCAATTTCTGAAGTAGTTACTGATAAAAAAACATGGGAGGATTTATATATTGTTAATTCTGTAGCAGACGCTAATGGTAATGCTAATTGCTTTATTAACAAGTTTAATATTTACACAAAATCTTTAAAACTAATTGCGGGCAATATTTCAGGAACAAATGGCTATCAATATGATGGGCAATCTTCATTGGATATCTCTATTATCAATTTAATGTATATTCAGTATTTGAACAACTCTATCTATTACAGTGACAATAAGTTTAGAATTATACAAGTTAGTTTATCTGATCTGACAATTAAATGTGTCCTGGGTGTTGGGTATAGTCAAGGAATGAGTCTTTCTGGTTTGAATTCAGATGCAATGAATGTTGAATTCGACTCATTACATCAAATCACATCAAATCCTAAAAATGGAAATTTGATATTAAGAACCAAATATTTGATTTCTTATATTGACAATCAAAACAAGGTTAGACCACTCGTTGGAAAAAAAGAAGATAGCCCTGATTTTACTGATTTTCCTGCGCCTGCAGACGATATTGTCACTGGATTAGAAGATCAACCTATGGGATTTCATCCAATCTCAAACAACCTTTTTTTTGTTTACAAAAACTATTTACTTGAATATGTTAATTCAACATTTGTTAGAAAAGTTTTAAATACAACAAACACTATAGATGATATCACTTTCAGAAAATCCACTGGTCATATTTATTACTCTAGTGGTTATTCCATATTTGATTACGACCCACAAACAGATAGTAACTTGAAAGTATTGACAGAGAGTGGAACCATGTATCTATGTATGATGAGTGATGACACCACAATAGCATATTCAGTTAAGGATTCCTACAGACTTACAAAATATAATCTAGTCACCAGGCTAACAACTAGCATAAGTTTATCATTAATACCCCCTCCTGGGACCTTTACATATACATTCTTGGTGCAAGCTATTTTATGCACTGAAAATAATGAAATATTAGTAGCCTTTGAAAGAAAGGGAGGTGTTAGTACAGCATATGGTATTTTACAAGTCAGTTCTTCAAATATATTCAAACCAATCTATGAAATGCCGTTTAAGCCATTATCAATAACCTTACGAAATGGAACGTTAATAATATCAAGTAATCAAGGAGTTTACAAAACAAACACAACTCTAATTGCAGGTAAGGCAAAGAAAATTCCAATAGAAAATCATCCTATCAGTACTAATGGTTGGACAATTGATTCAAATGGAGATATTTACTTTGTAAAACTGTCTAACCGAAATTTAATTAAGAAGGCAGTTCGTGCAGATGGCTTTGTTATTGACGTCATTGGAAATGGAACTGTTGACAGTGAAACTGCTTTTACTACTTCATCAAACTCTCATCTTTCAGACTTTGTTGGTGGGAGTTATTACGGTGAGGTTGTACCATATTTTTGGTATTCGCCAAGCGAGGACAAGTATTTTACAAATTCAAATTTAAAATCCTTTTCTATTGGAACTTCCAGTTTTACTAAGGATGAAGATATACTTTTTTCAAATTCTAATGGTATTTATATTTACAATGTTGTGTGTGAAAGAGACAGATATGGGTATTGTTTACAAAATTTTACATGTTTTGGTATTTTTTACAATAATGATGCTTCATGCTCTGGTAGAGGTGATTGTACATTGAATGATTTTTGTGAATGTTATGATAATTATTATGCTGAAGATTGCTCTCTTACTACTTGTTTTGGAATAATGTCAAATCAGTCTAATGTTTGTAATGGACACGGAGAATGTGTTGATTTTAATAGTTGTAAATGTAAAGATAATCACTATGGTGAAGATTGCAGTGTGATTAGCTGTTTTGATTTCCCTTCTACTGACGCTAATGTTTGTAATGGAAATGGAACATGTGTTGGCAAGGATTTATGTGATTGCAATCAAAATTACTTTGGTGTGAATTGTAATGAAACAGCAGGTAATAATCAAAATTTGAATGTTTCAAATTTTGGTAACGATACATCAATTTCTAATAATTCATCAGCCAATAATTACACCAGTTTTGATAATTCTACCAATAGCAATTTAACAATTTTCAATAATTCATCACTAGATTTGAATAATTCAACAAACCAAAATAGTTCCATATTAAGTAATACCACAAATGTTGACAATTCTTCTAACTTTACCAATTTAAGCAATAACACAGCATTTAATTCAACTTCCAATTGTACCATTGGTGTTTATTGTAATAATACTATTGGTAGTAGCAATGGAACAGTTAGTAACAATAGATCGGTTGACAATTCTACATTTACAAATACAACTAATTTTAATAATTCATATAATAATGCCACAACAGGCATTGATAATAATTCAACAAGCATTTCTAATACTACTGTGGATGCAAGTAATTCAACTACTGTTTGGAATAACACTATTAATAATGTCACAAATTCAAATGTTAATGGTACAAATCTTAACAATACAATGTCAACTAATTCAACTGTTTACAATAATAATAACACTATTGCTAATTCAACAGTTTTCAATAGTACAATTTCTAACAATTCAACTTTAAACAAAAACTCGACTAGTTCGGTCAACAGTACAATTAATAATTCCACGAGTAGTAATGTAAATAATAGCACTACTAGTACAACTAACTCAACTAGTACTATTTCCACATCTCCACCAATCAGTTTTTGTTTTGGGCATGAAGCAAATGATTCCAGAGTTTGTAGTGGACATGGAAATTGTTTTTCAAATGATTCGTGTCAGTGTAATTCTCTTTATGAAGGGGTAAGTTGTGAAAATAAGAAAGTTTCTTGTTTTGGCATATTGCAATCCAATGCTATCGTTTGTTCCGGACATGGCTCTTGTTTGAGTGAAGATTATTGTCAATGTGAGTCTGGTTATTTTGGAAGTAGATGTTTTTTATCTGTTTCATCTCAACCAAAATTCAACTCTTTGGGGAATACTTTGGAATTTCATTTTAACACTTCTATTGTCATATCCAATGGAGTTTTAGAGTGTAGCAAGGTAGTGAATGAGAAAAGTTTTTCTCAATTGGGTAAAAATCCATCTTGTTATTGGAAAGACGGAAATTTCTTTATTGAACTTGGAGGTCAATATTCTATAATTCCATATTCTAATATTTCTTTAATTATTAATGGTTTGGACATTATTTACACCCCAATTCCAAGATATATCTCACTGTTACTGCTTCCCTCCAACAACCCTGTGAAACCAATAATCAATATTTCATTTAAGAATACAATTAGTCCATGTGAACAAATTGCAATTGATGCTTCTGGATCATATTGTGGTGATTTGAAACCTGTGAAATTTATTTGGTCTATTGAATCATCTCCTGATTCAAATTTCAACTTGCAACAGGTTTCTTTTGGTGATTTCAATTCAACTTTGACCTCAAATAGTATTTCGATTTCAGGAAGCTATGTCTTTGGCTTGATTGCTGAAAGTTCTCTCAGTGGCGCAAGGAGTGAAAAGAAATTTATTGAAATTATCAAATCAATTGTTCCAAATCCTACTCTTTCATTGCTTACAAACAAAATGTCACTCACCAATATTGAAAAGGGTTCGCTCCCAATAATTGTTAAGAAATCTATTGAATTACCTTCATGTTATTTTGATAACAGGGAATTTGACTATATTTGGGAGAAACTCTCAGGTCCATCCACTATTAATTATCAAATAGATTCAAATAATGATTTGGTTATTACAGAAATATTATCAAATGGGGATGAATCTTATTCATTTGGTGTAAAAGCAATTTCAAAATTCAATCCAAATTCGAACGCAACACTTTTAATTCCACTTTCAAGCAAATCAAGAGATTTATTACTAAATATTTATGTTTCTAGTTTGAATACCAATCAAGCTGATGTGATAGTTGAGAATTCAGATCCTGATAATATAGATTCAGTTTCAGATTCATGGAATTGGTCATGTTTTGATAGAGTTTCAAATCAAGCATGTCAAGATTCAACAATTTCCAATATTTTAACACATTATGCCATTACCAAATCATCGACATGTCAAATTCCTAAAGGAAGTCTTTCAAAAGTTTCTCTGACATTGAGCATTCAGAAAGGACTACGTTCCATTTCTAAATCTCTTGACATTGATTATCCAAACACTGAATTGTTAATTCCACCAGTGATAAGTTTAATTTCTGTTTATCCAAACAGATTCAAAGTTCTCAAAGATGAAGTATTGAGTTTACAATTATCAGTTATTTTGGGAGGAGATGAAAAACAAACTGATGAAGAGGATATGATCAGAGAGTGGTCAATTAATGGTAATTCATTGACTAATTCAATGATCTCTAAAATGTCTACTCAACCATCTAAATCTTCATCATTAATTCTGTCGCTTCTTGAGTTACTGGAAGATGGAGAGTATGAAATTGAATTCCAAGTTTCAGACAGGAGAAATAATCTTTCATCAAGATTCTCGTACAAATTCAAAATTGTCAAATCACCAAAATCATGTTTGTGTTATATTAATCCATCATATGGTTATGCATTGGAAACTGAATTCTCGTTCTCATGTCCTGGATGCCAAAATGCTGAACAATCAATTGATTTTGTATTTGGGTTCATTGATGACAAGTCAGGAACTAAAATTCCACTTTACAATTTGGGTGAGAAGTTTGCTTCCTATCTTCCTTCTCCATTTAGTTCAAATGTTATGGATACATTTGTGGATATTGTTGATTTGGATACTGGTGCATCAGTTGAGTTTATCAAATCAGTGGAAGTTAAAACACCCACTGCCTCTTCAATGTTACAAATCAAAAACAAAGTGAAAGTTTGGCAATTAAAGGCTGCATCTCTTCTGCCAAGTGATAGTGCCAAGTTGGTTTTCAATTCTGCAACTATTTCAAGAACATCAGAGTTAATGATTTCCAATTTGATAACATCAAGAAAATTGGCTGAAAACGAAGCGGGTATTGCTTATGAATTGAGAGATGAAATGCTTGACAGTATGATACTTGGATTAAATCAGAGAAATCCTCTAGAATTGATTTCAGACATTCACTTTAGAGTTTATTCTTTTGGGTTGGAATCTTTGGCTTCAAATTGTGATTCAATTAATTCACTTCCATTCGAAAAGTTATTCAACTTGACTGAAAAATTGATGGTAATGGCTGCCAAAAACACGAAATTCAGAGTTGCTGAGGGTGTAGAAAAGTTATGTAGCAGCTTATTTAACAATATTATTAGATTAACTGGTGACAGTAAACTGCAAGACACGTATAGAGTGTTAGATTCAATTAAGATATTCAGCAATGTGTTGATGAGAAGTTATTACGTAGGTCAGAAAGATTATAGTGTAAACCTTTCTCATTATTCAACTGTTTCTCTGTTGAGTTATAAGAATCAACAAGTGAAGAAATTAATGACATCTGATGGTGGAAATAGCTCACTTGTATTTGATGCTATTGATACAAGTGTTTCTAATAGACTTGTTTTGGAAGCATCATTCTTCTCAGTTACTGACCATTTGGGAGTTTATTATTCTTTGAAACAAGTATCAAATGTTCAAACAATCAAAATTTCAGATTTGGAAGAAATTGAGACTAAAACAACTTTCAAGTCACTCAGTAAGATTGTTTCTGTTGAAAAGAAGTTTACTGCAGATATTACATTCTCATTCAATCTTGGAAATGAGTATAACTTTTCAAATATCAATGTGAAAAATACTTTTGAAAGTACAAGCGACAATATTGAACAAAGAACAAGTGTCTTTTCAACTATTGAATGTGTTCTAATTGACAATATCATCTCTCTTACGTCCAATCACACTTGTTCCACGACAATATCAGCACCAGTAATTTACTGTAATTGTTCGAAATCTGTCACTTCACTCATAGTTGTTGAAAAGACAATTTCCAACTCAACCATAACACAACTAGAACATGAAACAAGTATTTCACCAAGAACGAGTTCAAATCTGGCATTGTATGGTCTGTTTGGATTATTTGGATTATTAGTTGTCTGCTGTTGTGGAATCATGATTGTTATTATTTCAATTTTAATTGTCAGATGTTTAAGAAGGAAGAAACGAACATTTGAAAAATCAAAACCACAAGATGTAGAACTGATGACCGTCTAACATTTCAAATACTAAATCTATTTTTCTAAATTTAGGAACTAGCCAAATTTACAAGTTCAGTTTTCATTGACTTGACGACAAGGTCTGATGTATTGAACAACGGTCAACTTCACATTGAAATGTTGTGACATTTATCCATCCACCATCTGTATTAACACCTGAATGAAAAAACTCGAATTTCAAACTTCAAAAAAAACAAATTAAAAATGTCATTCTGTGAAGATGTTCAAGCTCTAGTTGTTGACAATGGTTCTGGTATGTGTAAAGCTGGTTTTGCTGGTGATGATGCTCCAAGAGCTGTCTTTCCCTCAATTATTGGTAGACCAAAGCAAAAATCAATCATGGTTGGAATGGGTAATAAGGATGCCTATGTTGGTGATGAAGCTCAATCTAAGAGAGGTATCTTGACTCTGAAGTATCCAATTGAACACGGTATTGTAACTAATTGGGATGATATGGAAAAGATTTGGCATCATACTTTCTACAATGAATTGAAAGTTGCTCCTGAGGAACATCCAGTCTTGTTGACTGAAGCTCCTTTGAATCCAAAGGCCAACAGAGAAAAGATGACTCAAATCATGTTTGAAACCTTCACAGTTCCAGCCATGTATGTTTCCATTCAAGCTGTCTTGTCCTTGTATGCTTCTGGTAGAACTACTGGTATTGTTTTGGACTCTGGTGATGGTGTTTCACACACTGTTCCAATTTATGAAGGTTATTCCTTGCCACATGCCATTTTGAGATTGGATTTGGCTGGTCGTGACTTGACTGAATACTTGATGAAGATTTTGATGGAAAGAGGTTACTCATTCAACACTACTGCTGAAAGAGAAATTGTCAGAGATATCAAGGAAAAGCTCTGTTATGTTGCTTTGGATTTCGAATCTGAAATGAAAGTTGCTGCTGAATCATCCTCAGTTGAAAAGTCATATGAATTGCCAGATGGAAATGTTATCACTGTTGGTAATGAAAGATTCAGATGTCCAGAAGTTTTATTCCAACCTAATTTCATTGGTATGGAAGCTGCAGGTGTTCATGAAACAGCCTTCAACTCAATTGGTAAATGTGACATTGACATTAGAAAGGATTTGTACGGTAATGTGGTCTTGTCTGGTGGTACTACCATGTTCGAAGGTATTGCTGACAGAATGACCAAGGAATTGACAGCCATGGCTCCAGCCTCAATGAAGGTTAAGGTTGTTGCTCCACCTGAAAGAAAGTATTCAGTGTGGATTGGAGGCAGTATCCTTGCGAGCCTTGCAACCTTTCAGCAGATGTGGATATCGAAAGAAGAATATGATGATGCTGGTCCTGGTTTTATTCATAGAAAGTGTTTCTAAATTGGTTGAACAGCTCTGTTAAAATAAACAATTTCAAAAAATTTTCGCAGAATAGAAAAAATAATTTTCTAAATAGATGTGGTATTAGAGTTGAACCTGGATGATTGTTTTACATATTCTGAACATTTCAAGATTTTAAACTTTATTGCAAAAAATACATAATCAAAATACATAAAAATTATGTATGTTACCTTATCGAAACTATACTGCTCAAATAGTAAGAGGCAGATATTCCCGTCACTAATTGTCTAAATTGTTTCATTCCATCAAGTATTCTAAGTGCTTCTTCAGGAATTGGATTATTATAAATTGAGAGTTTGGTCAATTGAGTCATTTTACAAATTGATAAAACTCCTTCATATCCAATTCCATTATTTGAAATATCAAGTTCTGTCAATTGTTTCAATCCACTTATATATACAACTCCTTCATTTCTAATTTCATTTTCTGAAATATTAAGAACTGTCAATTGTTTCAATTGACTAATAATTTCTACTTGGTGAGAGGTAATTCCATTCTTGACAAGATACAGTTTGATAAGCTGCTTCATCTCACCAATTGATTTCAATATTTCATTATTTGTTAGATTATACGAAATATCAAGCTCAGTTATTTGTTTCATTTTGCTGATAGTTTCTGCTTGCTTTGTAGAAAGTTGGCAATCGTAAAATGCCAAAATTTTGAGATTTTTCATTTCAACTAAAGGAACAAGACCCTTCTCACTAATTCCAACAAAACTAATATCAAGATTAGTCAATTGATCCATCTTCTCACTAATTGATTTGACCCCTTCATCTCTAATTCTATTATGAGAAATATCAAGTATAGTCAATTGTTTCAATTCACTAATTGACTTGGCACCATTAGGACCTAAATGATTCTCATAAATTTGCAATGTAATCAAATTCTTCAGTCCACCAATTAACATTGCACCTCCATCTCCAATCCTATTTGATGAAATATCCAAAGCAGTCAATTGCTTCATTTCACCAATTATCGTTGCTCCCTCCAAACAAAGTGAATTTTGTGGAATGAACAGTTTTTTCACATTTTTCAATTCTAGCAAGGTGTGAATCTGATTTTTAGCTAACACGTTATTAGCTAGTTCGATGGTTGTGGCACAGTGTAAAAATTTACTTTTGATAAAGCCTGAAAATTCACTTCTTTTCTGAAAATTGATGGCCAATTTCGAATAATTTAATACGATACTATTCCATTGTTTGGAAATGAGTGAGCAAGTGGATATGAATTTCCAATCAATGAAGGAGAGAATTTCATGGCAAGTATCATCAGAAAATATTGCATTCCGAGTTGGATTGGTCGATGGTGTGATCAGTGACATTTTTTAAAAGGTTTTATTCAGAATTGATCTTTTCAACAAATGTTGTAAATTGACCAAACCTAATTCGTTGTTACTTTGGAAGAATGCATTCTTGATGAATATGAAGGCGTCGATGGTTTAGTGGTAGAATACGGCGTTGCCATCGCCGTGACCCGGGTTCAATTCCCGGTCGACGCATGATAATTTTTATGTTTTCTCAGTATGTATGAGTTCTGTAAATATATTCGAGTGAGACAATCAACGGTTAACAGTTTTGGAACCATTTTGTTTATAGATGAGATGGCACAATTATTACGCATCTCAAACTTGAATATCTCAGAAGAATAAACTAAGTACTTGATGAGATTAATCCGCATGAATGGAAATTAATTCGAAATCATTTGGTGGTAAGTATTCTTACCTATTGATCTTCAACAAGGGATGTTTTCATGACGGTGGCTAACAATCCTTGAATTACAGCTGATTTGTTTTTGGAAAGAAGTTGTTTAGGATTTGGAAGTGTCTTGCTATTCAATATTGAAAGGATTCCATAATATTGGATATCATTTCCATCTAGTATGAGAGTGGTTAAATTAGGTAGATCAAATTGACTTAATTCATAGGCACCAGAGCATGTAATGTTATTTCTTGAAATATTCAATTCTTTCAGATTTTTACATTTTTGAAGTTTGTTCAAGTTTACATTTCCAATCATGTTACAATCAATATTCAAAATGGTCAATTTCGAAAGTAAATCACACGAGTTTAAACGGTTTAAACATCCCATTGATTTACACTTTGATAAATTCAATTCTCTTAAATTGTTCAAACTGACAAGTTCATTACCCATACTTATGTAAAGACCACTCATATTCAAACTTGTCAAATTTTTACCATTTTCACCAGAGAATAACAAAGGCAGTGCCAAATGACTAAATAAAAAGTTGTTACTGATATCTAATGTTTTCAAATTTTTCATTAATTTACCATTACTGATAAAGGCACAACCTTCCCTTCCAATGTTATTAAAACTCAAATCCAAAGAGGTCAATTGTTCCAAATTGCAAATATGCTTAACACCCACATCTTGAATAAAGCATCCTCTCAACTTTAATATCTGTAACTTTTTTAAATTATTCGAAATATATTCTGCACCATGCTCCTCAACTCTCTCATAACTCAAATCCAAACTTGTCAAATTGCTAAGAGTTGAATTGGACGAAAACCCATCCAATTTAATCAAAATTCCACCAAATCCACTATATCTCAAATTCAAAGCTCTCAAATTCCCCAAACATTTCATCATTCTCCTACACAAGTAATCAGTTCCAATATTATTATAACTCAAATCCAAATCAGAAATATTTTGCAAATATTTTGAACAGATTATCATTTCTACGTGTTTTGTATTGAGATGATTTTTACTCAAACTCAAACTCTTCACCTGCAACATTTGATCATCTAGAAGAGAAAGAAAACAATTAGCCTTCCTGAAATTATTTTGAATGACAACATGAAGATCTACCTCCGATGCGATAATTAACCATCGATGAGAAACCAGAGAACATTGCAGTAGAATGGTACTTGTATTTAAATATTGAAAAATAAAAGAAATATTCTCATCTGGAAGATCATCAAGTTGCATTTTTTTTTTGTAAATTTATTTGAATTTATTTTACATTTTGCATTTTGATTTTTAAACTTTGAAAGAAATTGGAAAATGTAAAGGAAATTGTAAAGGAAACATTTAAGAGAAATGAATTATCAGTAGATGAAATGAAAAACGATAATTTTTATTATACGAATCGAAATTGATGTGGCCATATTACAACTTGTCTCCTCTGTGATTGGATTTACCACAAGATCCACAAACATTGGCAGCTTTCATCTTTCCAAAATCACCTTTTGAACAGCTGCTGCAATATCCAGTACCACAGAACTTGCATTTAAACATCATGTTAGCAGTGGAGCATCCCCATTTACACATTTTCTTAGTAGATTTTTGGATATTTTGTTTTGATTTGTTTTTTGAAAAGATATTTAAATAGATTTTGGGTATTATTTGAAAGAACGCCCACTGTGATAATAATTATTGACCAATAAATTGCCACTTGTTCAATATCTGTTCACAGTTTACAAAATTATTATACTGGTACTAGTTTGATTTTCTTAAAAAACTTAATCCAATTCTCTCAGCACGTTCAAATGAATTGTAAATATTGTAACAACACTTTTAAAAAACCCATTTCGGGGTTCTTTTTTCAAACTCCTCAAACTCTCCGAAATTGCGAAACAAGGCACAACACTAAAAAAAAATATCTTTTTGTGGGCGAGGAATTTTTTCATCATTTTTCTGAACACAAAATCATCAAAGATTTCGGAACGAAAATTTATTCTTCATATATATTGTGTATTTTGTGTTTTGTAATAGTAGAAGACTAGGATAGAGGAGGACATCACAAATGATGAATTTTTCGGAATTAAGTGGATGGCTTTATAATTTTGTAAGATTACAACAGGAAAATGATGGCTATGTGAGGGATGCGGAGAGTGATGAAAGAACAACCGAATTGGTGTTTTATATTATTGATGGTTGTTTGGCAATTGTATTTTTGTTGTGTGCATTGTTTTATGTAATTTTATTTGTAACAAAGAGAAGTAGTTTGACAAAGAGATTCCTTATGGATAGTATTGTACCAAGTATTTCTATTGTCATGTTGGTATTTTGTTTGGGTAAGTGGAAAATGTGATGGAATATATTGATGATCAAAAATAGTGAAATCAATTCATGTGGTGTGTCCGATTTTTGAATTGTTGGATAATAAGATTGCAACCTTTGTATTGACAATTGTTCAATATGTCACTCTCTATTTTACAACAATTTTATTATTCTCAGTGTCATTGGTTACTCTCTATTATGCTATTAAGCAATATACAGTGAATGGTTATGTGGTTTCTAATACAGGACTATTGGTTTACAAAATTATTTTCACACTAATTGTTGGATTTAATGCCCTATTATTAGCTGGGTCATTTGGATTATCAATTGCTCAACATACTATTGATGTATTTTTCAAAGAGTTGGAACCAGCAGTTCTTACTGAAGTTACCTTTTATGTATTTATTGGATGCTATGCATGGCAATTTTTAATTCAAGTTTGTGTTGGACTTTATGGAATTGCATTCCACATTTTCAATGGAAGATATATTCTTTTGGATGATTATATTGCAAGAAAATGTACTCGTTCAGTAAGTTTCATTGACAAACTCTATTTAATAATTTTTATAGTTCCTTGGATCTTGTGTTGGTATCTCAGCTGCCATGGTTGTTTTCATGTCAACTATATTAACAATTCATACACTTGATTTTCAAAATGTTTTGAAAGAGTCATTGCCATTCTTCACCCTAGCTGGTGACGCTGTTTTGGCCTTCCTCTGTGTTTGCCTTATAATTGTTTGGGGTCCACTGAATCCATCATTATCGAGCTTGTATGCATCAATGCAAGGTGCCATGCACTCAATGGAAAGAAGAAGCTTGCTCACAGGTGGATCTCAGGCATCGATCTCCTCCAATTCTTCCCATGTACATAATAGAGCATCTGTAAATAGACATTTGGAATAAATCTTATGATATTGGAATAAATTGAAAGCATCTTAATTGGTATTCGCAGTCTCTAATTTTTAAAGATTGTAAACCCCATCTTAATTCTTTCCACATAATATTGTCATGCAAAATTGTTGGTTGAAAACTTTCCTTGACTGTTGATTGGTCATTCAGATGAGGTAAGGGAGAGTGACTCATATGGTCCTCATTTACACTTAGGGAAGAGAGAGAGAAAAGAAGCGAAATAGGTTTGAGGTCTAGTGATGGGTTGGAATCTGCACTTTCTGGTAAATGTAATTTCAGTACGTATCTCTGTGCATTATCCTCAATGTGAACAAAATACTTGTTAGGAGGGAATAACTTGATCATCTCTCTAAATAATGTCAAGTCATATTTCAAAGATAGATTATTCGATAAATTGTGCACCATTGAAATATGAGGTGCAAATTCGGCAAATTTGACTCCACTTAGTAACTCATAATACCTATTTCCATAATTCATCATTTCTTGCTCGTTATTTCTGACAAAATTTCGTTTTCTCTTACTGTTAGAAACATGTGGTGGTGAGTTTGGTTGTTGTTCAATCACCTGTTGTTGAACTGTTTCTTCCACAATCTCTACAGTATTTACTGTTTCGAATCTAGGCATTTTAGGAGAGTTGTTGGATGCGGAAGAAGCACCACTGTAATCATCGTCATCATCACTAGAATAATCCTCCCTAGCTTCATCTTCCTTAAACTTTCTTTTTTGTGATGATGTTTTTCGTTTCCGAACTGTTCTTGGTGTTATATTATTACTGGAAGGTGATGAATTATTTTCCACTTCCTCTCCAGAATCAGACTGTTCATCAATTTGTGCAGATAATTTGTTTAATTCTTCCTCCAACTCTTGAGGTGTTTCTCCTCCATTCTTTTTTACTGCCTCAGTCAGCAGTCTCTTCTTCTCCTCTTGTAATCTTCGTTTTCTCTGTTTATCCTTCCTTGTTGTGTGATGGTTATTTCCTTGTCCTCCAACTCTTGGATGTTGTCTCAAATCCTCATTGTAGTGAGCTTGTGATTGTTATTTAATTTGAAAACAGTAAAAACACATACTTGTGCAAATTTTAAGTCCTTCTATATTCGTGCTTTGAGCATGCTCTAATTTTAATTTCCAAATACTACCCATTTACATTTGAAGTAGCAATTTAACAAATTAATTAGTTTTACAGATACGGTAGGAGTACCAAACAAATCATCCCATTTTCAAAATAGGCATCAATTGCCGGGTTTACCAAATTCATTTTCCGTATGTTTTTTCAACACAACAACATGTTTCAACCATTACATGAAAGACAGTGAATATGTGGGCATGGCAGCAAATAGTTTGCATTCAAAACACATACCATCAAGAAGGTTTAGCAAAACAGTGAATAAAGAACATGATGTAACATGTGAACACTACCACACTAGAAATTACTTACCCTTGCAAACAACTAAAATTTCTTATAGAGGAAGGTTTGTTGCAATTAAGAATACAACATGTAGAGTTGATGTTCGATGAAGAGAAAGAGGCATTAGCTTTTCCCCCTTTCATAGTCCTTATAAATTGTTTCTACTACTACTACTGCTGCTATTAATGTTGTGATGTACTACTACTAGCTATTCAACTATTAATTCTTCTTTTAAATGTAAATATTGTTACTAGAGAAACTTAGTGTTCCGATTCTTTTTTTCAAATTCCAGAGATTTGTGTTCATGAAACAGAAAGTAAAATTACAAATGAAAATTCCCAACATGGTGGAGATGAATGCCAAATGTTGCATTGTCGTGACATGAATAAAACAAATGGTTAGTGTACTCACCTTTTTTTCAATTACTCAACAATGTCTAAAGAGGACCTGCATATCACAATTTCTTGCTGTGTTCGGTGATTTGTCGTTTAACTCTTATTCTTTATGGTAGGACAGGCTGGATAATTGAGCAAATGCAATGGTGTTTGTTGCCAGTGTCAGTTGTCAGTCTAATTATGCTTGTATTCAATAAGAGATTCAGTCGGCGATGGTCCTTCGAAAACTTGCCTTTACAGTATTATTGGGAAGTGTTCTTCAATATGGAAAGTAAATTTGCAGAGAGTATGAAATTGCCACTTGTATCGTGTGTTTAAATGATAGTGTCTCAGTAAGTATATTTTAAAAATAGGATTCCTGTGTTTCTTGCCTTATATTGATGTAGCAAGTATGTTACGAAATACAAGTAATGCAAAGATATTGTCTGTTGTTGAAGATGGTTATCACGTGCTTTTTGCAGTTTGTAACCAAATGTTATATTATTCGTATATTCGTAGTGCTCCTCAACAACAATTTTAGAGAATTGATGAGAGAATGTTGATGATGATGCTGCTTGTGTTGAATATGCTTAGTATGTGTGTGTTACGTCGTTGTTCCTCTTGTTTTATGCTCAGAAAAGAAGACGACGTATCGTTGTTATAGGGTCGTAGTCGTCGTTGCTCTTTTTTATAAGGCAAAAAGCAATTCTACTTGTGATGCAATATGTGGTTGTGGTGATGCTGAAATTATGTTGTTGTTGTCGTTCTTCTTGTTGAGGTTTTTGTTTGGCTCTTATTCGCTTCTTAAGCATGAACAACATCTCTGGGCTAAGGCGGGAAAGGTTCTCCAAAATGCATGCAAATAAAGAAAACAACCCGTTAAACGAGTGAGGAATAATCAGCTGCTGCTTGGGATTCAAAAAAGTAAGGGGCACATGGCTTCTTATGAAAAATCTCCAAATAGCGAGTGGTGCGACTTGGTGGATAAATAAAACAATAACGAACCTTAATAATGTGTTTGATTTCACTAAAACCTCTCAATAAATACGCATATCCAAATGTTCTCTCAATGACAATTCCTTAAGGGACCAATTCCTTCCTTTAAGGGTAATTGGTTTATAGAAGGACTGTTCAACGCACCGTAATTAAGCGATACAATATCAATATTCAACAATTGAATCCTAGTTTTTAACGATGATGTGCATCTTGTGGTGCTGGCCATTTAAAACTGTGGAAGTTTCCAAGGCCAAGTGAAGGACAAATTTTGCTCCTTGATGTGGAAAAACTAGACTTGAATCAATTATTCCATAATTCAGCTTTCGGGTTGAGCATCTTATTTGTCTCTCATTACTGTAGCAGCCCAACAAGGGGTTGTGTTTAGCTAAACAAATCCACAAGAGTAGATATTTCAGTTTACTATTAATACGTAGTTGTTAGTTTTATACACTCTACAAAATATACCCAGTAACTAGTGAGTGAGGGAAATTGAATTGGTATGGATTTTCTTGCTCATTCATAGAGTTCACTGCATTAAGCTCGATAACATTCACAACAAGGGTATGTTGGTTTTGGAAATTGTCTTGATAGTATGATTGAAGTGCTTCAATGGTTTCTGGAGAGAGGAAGTACTTGTTGGTTCTAGTGGCTGCTTGCCAATAGATCTTTCCACCAATCTTGACTGGTGAGAATTGGGCCGAATCTCCAATAGATATTTCTTGCTTGTTCGAAGAAGATCCACTGCTGCTTGTCTTGGAGCTTTGTTCTTTCATTATTTGTTCCTTGAGCTTCTCCAATTCAGTCTTTAGGGTTGCCTTGTCTTGTTCAGCCTTCTTAAGTTTCTTCTTTTCAGATTCCAAACTGTCCTTCAAAGTTGCAATAACCTTGAGTTGAATGACTGAGGTCTCACTCGAATTGTCAATACTGGCCTGTAGCTCTTCAATCTTCTTGTTAAACATCTTTTTAGATTGGGCTGCTTGTTCCTCAGTACTGGTGAGCTTGGTTTGCAATTGCTTGACAGCTTGTTGTAACTGATCATTCAGAGTAGCAAGGTGTCTTACCTCATCATTGCCTTGTTTGATACGTAAGTCTTTCATGGATTGAAGTTCCTTTCTGGCTTGATCCAATTCAAGAGACAAAGTTTCGGCAGAGTTTGCCTTTTCTCTAATTTCTCTCATTTTCTGGTCTTGGTCAATTAATTTGATACTGAGGGTGCTCATTTGCTTATCCATTTCTTGATATTTACTCTTTAACAACTCATAATCCTTTTCAATCTTGTTGTAGGCAATAGTCTTGCTGTTCAATTGTTCTTGATAACTTCTTTGTTCCTCTTTGAGTTGATATTTGAGACTTTCGAATAAATTTCTATGAGAGTCAAGCTCATTTCTGAGTTTGAGAATTTCAGCTTCCAATTCTACTTCTCTACCCTTAGTCTTGATACAGGTTGGAATGTTGGCAGCAGCTGCCATAAGACCAGAGTAGAATTCAGAAATTTCTTGGTGCTTCTTTTGAATTGGAGTTTCTTCAACTACAACTTCTTCCTTTGGAGGAGTTTCCAATTGTTTGATGTGCTCGAGTTGTTCATCAATGTGTCTATTTACCTCTGGGAGCTTATTAACTACATGAGTGATGAGGGTACTTCTAGTCATGGTTGATGCAAGCATACTTTGTGTAAAATCATTATCAATAATGACAGTATCACCAAGAGCATTATTCTTTTCAGTATTTGGAGAAGAAACAAAGAATTCAATATCCTCCAATTTAGTAATGTCTGGCAACCCTGAGTCAACGGATCTGAGCATACTAGTCATGAATTGTTGAACTCTCGAGACGAGAACCTTACTACTCACTCTCTCACCAATCAATCCAGGTACCAACTTGTTAAGTTCCTTGATGTATTTTGGATCAGGAGCCAATCTACGAACTTGTTCTTCAAATTCTTCTCTCTTCTCATTTTCGAGTTGGCAGTTAATCCAAATAATTTGTTCAACAGTATTCATAGTGTCATTTTCAAGCTTTTGTGCTTTGAATTGTTGCTTTCTTCTAACAACTTCATGCATTGAGATTTGATAGAGGTTAGGTAATGTAGAAAGGAATCTGAGTCTTCTTAGCAAATTAACTCCTTCCTTGTAGGTATTTACAGAGTGTAAGCATGTCTCAATGGTAAGATTGAGAGTATTGAGTTCTTTCATGAGTGATGAAAGTGGAATATTACAATCAATACAGTATCCCATCAACTCATTCATTGAATTTTGGAGAAGGTTGTACTTGATGTGGGCCTTTTCAATCAAAGTGTCAAGAGTAATTTCAAAATTTGATAATGGCAACTCTCCACTCACTGATGATGTCTTACCAATGGTTTCTACGATTTGTTCCTTAAGTGGTGTCCAAGTTTCAATCTTTTCCCAAACTTCTACAATACTCTCATAGAGGTGGAGTAATTTTTCTGATTCTTCTGACTTTTGAATTGTTTGTACTTTTTCTTCAGATGATTTGACTGCCTTCAAGATGTACTTTTCAATTTTCAAACATTCAATTACAACTTCATACTTTTCCTTTATCTTTTGTTCATCTTCATTGGTAACTTTTAAGAGAGCATTGTCTTTGGTTGATCTCATCAATTGAATAATATCGTCGGCTGAACTGAATTTCTTTTGGAATTCTCTAAATTCTTCACCAATTTCTTCCAACTCCTTCTTTGAACTGTCTGACAAATCTCCCAACTTTTGATCCAATAAATTGTTCAAACAAGTATGCATAGCATCCTTTCTATGGCTAATATTATTGTACAATTCACTACATTGATTGAACACTTCATCTAAAACTTGAACAGCATGTTTCAAATGGGAAGCTTTAATAAAAACTCTTCCCTTTGTATCTTGCATATCATCTACATCGTTTGGCAAATTATTTAACGTCTTTTTCTCAAATCTATTAAAAAGATCATTCACTGATTCAATTGATATGGACGGATCGTAAAAGTAATAACAATTCTTGATCTGATTTTTCAAAACAAAAGTTCCGTATTGGTTTGATGATTTGTTCTCCAATTGATTGGCACTATTCGATAACAATTTACCAGTGATGGCACAAAAAACAGGTAAATCAAAACTTTGCTTTTCCACCATTTTTAAATCCGGAATAAATCTCAACTGATTAAATTGCAATCTCTGATGATGAAGAACACAAGCACTCGATGATGTTGTTGTTGTGGCTTTTTGTTTTAGAAGGTTTCATCAACCGTTCTTCAAATTCCGGTCTATTTTTAATTTTACAAAGTTTTTGTTACCTTTTTATGTTGAATCGTGATGAGAGTTTTCACGTTTTGAAATGATTCAATGGTTTTTGGGACTGATGTGATTGTATAATAGAGTGTTGGGTTGGAAGGAGGTGAATGGATATCAACAAGTGGTGTTACAAAAATTGAATTGAAAATGGAAGCAAAATATCTTGGAGTTTCAAACTAATTAGCAAATATTCAAAGGAATTGGAATGAGCAGCTGAAATTCGATCATTTCTAACAGACATTAATTAAAGTAATTGTTTAAAAATACAACCTCAATCCTTATTGTAATGTTCTTTTTTTCAACTCTTAAAACTGTCAACCCTCAAACTCAAACTTTGGATTTTTTAGATTTTTATTAATTTGACAGAATTTTTTGGCGCCTGAGTAAAGATTCTCAAAAGCGAACGAAGAAGAAAAAATTAACACCAAATCCTTACTACCACCATCAATACACAAACTTTTGGATTAATTGACACCCAAACCAAGATAGTTTTCCCAACTTCTAAAAATCCAATTAATACAAACCTCCTTCCGAAACCATCATCTGGTGTTAATAATAGACAACAACACAACGAATAGAAACTCGACGCTAACAACAGTGAGAAAACTATTAATATTTCATCCAAAACGACAAGTATTTATTCAATTTTGAAAAAACAACCTTCCATCAATCCCCTCTCTTCCCACACTCCAACCCTATTTACCTCATCATCATCCAATATACAGTCAGTGTTTTCTAACAACAACAATAACAATAGAAAACAACTTGGAACAACAAATAGCAAACATTTGAATTTTCCCGTACATTTTAAAAAAAACAACAACGACTACTCTCAACAAGTAATTGGAACACAACAACAACAATACAAATGGCAGTAACTCTCACAAACGCTCCATCTCTCATCGAACATGGTGGTATCAAGTTTTTAATTTCTGATGCTCCATCCGATACTAATATTCATCTTTACGTTAAGGAATTTAAACAAAATAATGTGACTCACTGTGTCAGAGTTTGCCAAGCAACCTATGATAAGGAAGTAGTTGAACGAGCAGGTATTAAATTCTTTGATTGGGCTTTTGATGATGGTTCTTCTCCACCAAAGCACGTTATCCAAGATTGGTTGGATCTTGTTGATAAAGTATTCCCACCAAAAGAAGGAGATTCCGATGATCTTCCTTGTATTGCTGTTCACTGTGTTGCTGGTCTTGGTAGAGCTCCTATTCTTGTAGCTTTGGCACTTATTAAACGATGCAACATGACAGGATTAGAAGCAGTTCAATTCCTCCGAAAGAAGAGAAGAGGAGCCATCAACAAGAACCAACTTGATTTTATTGACAAATTCTACAAGCAAAAGAAGTCTTGCATTATCTGTTGAATCACGCAAAGGCGAAAGTTTACACTCTCTAATAATTTTATGGATGACAATAATTGTCATCATTATCATCAACAACAACAATTAGAGGAGAGAATACACGACTCTGCAAATCAACACCATAATTCCTCCACCTTTCCGTTCACTTCCCTATTTTCATCCTCCAATAATCGATATTTCATCCAAAATTCCAACAAGTTTGGAAGTAATTTTAATACCACCACTACCAAAATTCCCAACTACTACTCTTTTCATCCAATAATTTCTTTCCTATTCTCCAATTCATTTTATCAACAAAAGAATTACCAACCATTGTGTGGAAATATTAACCAATACTTTTTAGATGTTTATTTATTTATCATACTATTTATTGTTTGCTGTAGTGTGTTTGATGATACTATTCTATTAATGCTTCTACTGCTATTGTTTGCACAATTCAATTTCAATTCTACTTTCACCTTTCATTTAGACATTATCAATGAAAATAAAAAGATGGTTGCTGAAAAAAGATATTTTCATACTAATTCGTACATGATCTAAATGATATAATTCATTAATTTCCAATTTTAGAAGGTGGAATCTGTATCTTCTAATTCTGCATCAATTGGTAGCATTGTGTAATCTACATAGGTTATTGGTTCAGTTGCACGAACCATGAATTGCCATTGTAGTAAACCTTGTTCATTCATTCTAATACAAACTCTATCAGAATGTGGTAAAGCCTTTAAAGCTTGTTGAATATGAGATAATTTAAATACGCTCATTTGGGTGTGATTTACCTCAAAGGAACATACACCCTCATTTGTACTTGGAATAATAATATCCATAGATCCAATCACATTATCAACTGTTTTGAAAAATAATTTTCCTTTTGGTAAAGTTATGGCAACTTGGTCCTCACCTTGCTCTTGGACATCCATTTCAACACCTATTTCCATAGTCTTTGCAAGCCAATCAATTTCTGAAAGAGCATCAGTCATAACTTCACTCTTTAAAACAATTTTACATGTTTCTTCAGAACCTTTGAATTCAAAATCTAAAGGTTCTGCTCCATGCCTAATCTTAATATTACAATCTGTTACTACACGTTCTTCTCCCAAAAGTAATGATAATGTATTTTCAACACCAGGATAACAAAGTTTCACAATTGTTCCTTGTGATGAATTAGCTCCGTATAAAATCAAACATTGAATCAAGATTTGTACATTAATTTCGAATGAATATTTTGCATGTGCTGCACCATTATAAATATAATTTTGGAAAATATCCCTCTTCATACTAGCAACTCCTTGAATTGATTTGTCTTGAATGTAGAATTTAATTCCTTCCTCCATAATTTCGCAAATCACCCAAGCATCTTCCTTCTTCTTATCGGAACAAATACAGTGCATAATATTTGCAAAAATCTTTGCAGAGGCAATATCAGCCACCATAATATACTTTGTATCCTTGTGCTGTTGGGAAGAAATTGGGGCAACCACTGGTCGGTTAGAATTTTGACTAATTTGTGATGGAATGTTAACAGTTGTTGGACGATCATCGGGTGTGCTGATTGGTCTCTGATGATTGTTATTGCTAGTGAGAGAAGGTGATGCAGAAATGTTGTCTTGTTGATTGATCATTTTTTTAATAAAAAATAGTACACTATATAGACTATTATTTAACATCATAGCAAGGAAAATAGGTAAATGGGCAAAAGATAACATCAATATTAGACAACAAGCATTCACATCCAACAGAGAAGTTAACAACCATATTCTAGTAATCCAAGCATTAAGAGTCAAATACAAGAAAACAAATGCATTTGTAATCACCAACTTGGACATAGAAAATGCATATGACGGTGTAGAACATTGTGTCCTTAGATTAGCTATGAAACATTGTAAATTCCCACCAAATCTCACTACATTCATAATCAATGCATACAGCAATCACAAAGCATATATAGAATGGAATGACATATTAATTAACCCTCTCACCAAAACAAGAGGTGTTCCACAAGGATGTCCACTAGCACCACTAATGTATAACACAATCACCCAAATTATAATAGATTACCAAATCGAGAATTGGAAAATACCTGTCACACCATCATTCAAAATTGAAGAAATAGGAACTCTTAATTTTGCTGATGACTGCTCATTAGTAACACAACCCAACAAGAAACACAATACCAAACTCAAACAACTGAACAAATGGATAGGGAATCTCAAAATGAAAATCAATGCTTCTAAATCAATAACTTCTGTCACACCGGAAAGAATAGCCCTTAAAGACTTCACAGTTAAGCTTGACGATACGTTAATACCAAGACAAACCAATCAAAGAACATTAGGAAACTACATCACAGAAGACCATCTCTTCACAAAAGAAATTGACAAAAGAGAAGCTAGAGTAACACAAATACTAAAAATACTTCCAATCCATTTGATAGAACCAGAAAATCTCAAAAGAATCATAATGGGCAAGACAATTAGTAGTTTTATCCATCTAGCAGGAGGAAATTCAATTTCCAATCCTCGCCTACAAACAATTGACTCAACAATAAGGGGTAACCTAAAAAGATCACTGAAGATCGATGCAAAGGTAAAACCATCCATAATGTATGCACAATTCGAAAGAAAAGGACTAGAAATTCCAAACCTCGAATACATAGCCAACTCAATCCTTTGCAATAACTTAATCAACAAATTCCACTCAAGTAACCCACTTGTCAGAGAAGCAGTACAGTACGGAATTAATAACTGTAACACGAACAAAACAAAACTACACAACATATTTGAGAAATTCCACTACATCCTAAAACAACACAAACTTACCACAACAAAATGTAACACCAATCATCAACTTCTGGAAAAGGAAAAAGATGAACAATACTCCTACTCAGAATTCACAATATGGACTGATGGATCCAAATCAGAAAACAAAGTAGGATTCAGTGTAATCATTCAGAACAACGAATTTACAAAAGGATACAAATACAAGCTCCACTCATACCACTCAAACAACATGGCTGAATTATCAGCAATTACAACAGCACTACACATCATACCACCAAACAGCAATGCAAAGGTACTCACTGACAGTGAAATAGCAGTCAAAATAATTAACAACACAAATTACAAAGGTCAATTTAAGCAAATCAAAGATGAAATTACCAACCTCATCAGCACTAAAAAACTTCAAGCATCCATCGAATGGACAAAAGCTCATACAGGAATAACAGATGGAAATAACTACGCTGATAAGAAAGCCAAACAAGCCTCAAGAATAGGACATCGAATTACACCCCAACATCTACTAACTCAAGGGCAATTAATTATCACCAATTCGAAAAAAGTTTGGAAAAGTAGAATCAAAGGAGTACTTAGTGAAAAGCTCTACGATCAAGGAACATCCGAACTCATCAACAGAACAAATCTCAAGTACCTCAAAGAACATACCACCCCAACTCACAAATACTCAATCTGGAGGCTCATGATAAATGGACACTTAAGAAGCCTCATAGTAGACAACCCACAATGCCCAACATGTAACAAAAACCTTGACACAGAACACCTCTTCATAGAATGCCCAGAAATGAATTCAGCTAGAAACTGGATGATTGAAGAAATCAAAAAAAATACCAATCTCGAACCAGTACTAAGCACAGAGAGGACAGAAACATTAACACCAAACTCATTCCAACTGAATATCTTTGGTATTCTGACAGAACCTATTCAAGGTATTATCAAAGAACAATGGCCCAAGATACAAGGAGGCCTCTCACTTTTTGGAGGAAGAGTACAAAAACAATACAACAAAATCTTAAAAATTCAATAAGACGTTCCAAATGGACGAACCCGTCGGGTTCATTCGATTAATAAACGTTTAAATTTTTTTAATAAAAAATAAACATTTTTCAAATTTATTTTAATCTTTTTTAATTTTCCAATAAAAGTTGGAATTCTGTGCAAAACTGGAAGGAATATTTGGCGGGTATTTTTTCTTAACAAAAAATTAAGTAATCAAGAAAATTTATTGGAAGGTATCTCAATATTTCCTTCCATCCTAAAGAGTAACATAAAACCGTAAAATATTCTTTTTTAGTGATAGAGAGTTTTGAATACTAGTTTCATTTCGGTGAGCACTTTTTTCCCTTCACTTTTAATACTACACCGAGTGATGTCAAGCTTTTTCAGTTGGGGTAATTTAATAATGTGGAGGGCTCCTTCATCTTTGATTGGATTTGTGTTAATACTGAGTTTTGTTAAATTAATCAATTTACTAATTGATTCAGCCCCTTCATCACCAATTCTGCATCGAGATGCTGAGAGTTTTCTAAGATATATTAGTTGACCAATTGATTTTGCCCCTTCGTCTTCAATATTATTTTCAGAAATGCCAAGTTCTGTTAATTGTTTCATTTCACCAATTGATTTGGCTCCTCCACTTCCAATTTGATTGTAGTCTGTATATAATGTTGTTAATTCCTTCAATTGACTAATTGATTTGATTCCTTCATCTCCAATTTGATTGTGCGCAATGTAAAGTGTTCTTAATTTTTCAAGTTGACCAATTGATTTGGCTCCTTCAGATCCAAGATGATTAATTCTGACACTGAGATAGGTAAGATTTTTTAATTGACCAATTGACTTGGCTCCTTCACTACTGATTTCATTTCCACAAACATAAAGTTTTGTCAATTTGATCAATTGACCAATTGTATTCGATCCTGCATCACCTATTTTTTGGTAAGAAATATCCAACGTAATTAATTCTTTCATTAAAATTAGAGATTTGATAACATTTGACAAAACACCACTTTGAGTCAAAGTCTGATTAGAAAAACTCAATTCAATAATGTTTCCTAAAAATTGACTTTGTAATAATTGTTCACTTGCTTGATAATTCATCTGTTTCTCAAAACTGAGTGAATGTTTCACATTTTCTTTAATTATTCGAAACCATTGTTTTGAAATTAATAAACAATTATTTAGAAGGAAAAAAGATTCAAGAAATGATGAAATTTCCTCACAGATATCATCAGTAAATATTGTATCCTCAGCTATTTGTTAGATCCGATGATTTTAATATAATGGAATAGCATCACAAAAATTCAAAATAAAAAACTCACCAGAAAAATGCTTTTCGTGACCAGAACTAGTGAGAAATCTGTCCATTTTTCTTTCAAATTGATGTAAAGAATTAATGAGAAATTCAAAAGCATAAAATTGTTATTCTGTTTTCTATATATTCAATCAGGGTTAAAACGCCCGGAAGATGTTATTTCCACATGTATGATTGAGCGCGAAGGAGTAACCCGACGCCGTGTCTTACTCATCAGCTTGAATATTAAATTATCGCTCAAGGCAATAACAAGCTATGAAGGTTATTCTTTTCGCTCAAAATTCCATTCACCACAAAAGGTCATCCATGCAGTTATGGTTTGCGTTATTTTTTTAAATTTATTTTTGGCGGTTTTTTTTGTTAACCAGTTTGTAAGTATTCAGAACGAGTTGACTATTTCCAGGGACAATAATTGTTGATTTAATAGTATGAATTCATAATGGATGAAGCTGAAGAAAGATAATTCGATCCCTTTTCGAATGCAATCTTAATTTTTGATTGCATCGCCTTAATGAATGGATCAGAACTGTGTGGAGAGGCAGGGAATGAGGCAACTTCTTCTTCGTAGATATAAAGTGATTCTTCATGTTCGTACCCAACCCAGGAATCCGTATAATAGGTTACTTTCTTATAGATTGTAAACGAATCCAAGAGAGGTGGAAAGGCAATTTTTACCTCTCTATTTAAACTAAACATGGACAGAGAACCAAATGAGTAGGACATGCTAGTGTCATTCTTATATCTCAGAGAAAGAGAAACAGTTACTTCATAGAATGAATTTGCTACATCATTCGAAACTTGAAAAATGTAATTGCTGAACTCTGGATTTTGAACGAATGGAACAACTTTCACATTAATATCCACCCTTTCTCTTGGAACTGTTCCAATAATTAAATATTGTCTAACATTCATCTCCAAAGTTTTGTAAGTAAATTTCACTTGGAAATAAATTGGAGATGAAAATTTTGTCATGTCAACTTTAACTAATTTAGCCAAATTTGGACCACTGTAGTAAGTGTCTGTGTAGGTAGTTATTCCATTGGCGGCACTTAATGTAATTTGATTGTTACTGTAAACGTTATATGCTGTAACTGTTCCAGTTGTGGCTGGAGCATCACCTGCTGATGCTATGGATGGTTCTGTGCTATCAAATAAACGATATTCGAAAGAGAATTTAGTTCCATGAAGAGAATACAATCTAAATGGTCCTCTATAGCCAGAACTGAAGAAGGCAGTCTCTGTGACTGCATATGGAATTTGATAGGAGGCACTTGGTGAAAAACTTGTATCTCGATACTCAACTCCTGAAGTGGTTGTAATTTTTACAGAGAATTTTACAGTGTTATAATGAAGGAAAATGGCACTCTTTGGAAGTTCAATTCTTGTCTTGTTTCCACTTTGAGCAATAATTGCTTGATATTGATCGTGACACTTTCCCTTATACATGTGATAGGCAAAACATGCCCACTCAACTGATAAAATTGTTACTTCTGGTGGAATGGATAATGATATGACAGCTGGATATTGAGCATCAATGGTCATATCAGTAGGTGTTCGAGACAGTGTAATACCATACTGCTTTTGCTCAAATAAATTGAAATGAATTTGTAAACTGTCACTAGAGACGACAGTTCCATTTTTCTTAACAACAGCTGACACATTAAAGACTGTATAAGGTACATTGTAGAAATCATAATACAGAGTATCTTCAGATGTAAACAAAACAGTGCTATTGTCACTTGTATATGGTTTCAATGTAATAAGGGTGAGATTTGCTAAACCTATTCCAAGATCAGGACTTAGACTCCATTCAATTGAGTATCCGCTCGATATAATGTTGGTGACTTGCACACCGTTTACGGTCAATTTGCAATTGATTTTGTAAGGAAGTATATCATTGAGTATGTATAATCTATTTCTTGCTGTTGTAATTTTGATTTGTACTTGATTGACTGATGAGCTGGCAGTTGACAAATCTTGTAAGATAACTTGCTTTTCAGATCCAAATTGTTGATAATAATTTGCAATTCTTAGTTTGAGATTGATAAGGTTCACACTTGATGTGAAAGAACTTGGAATGGAAATGACTGATTTACCCCATCCTGACTGAGAGCTGACATGACTATTTAGTGAATTCATAGTAGGGTTAGAATTTACAATACTCCACTCATAATACAATTCTCTTTCTCTTTCAATACTTATCAAACTCTTTCCCCTGATGGTTAAGGTTGTTCCTTTCTGGAAACTTGTTGCAGTTTCAATGTCAGCATGTTGCGTGATAATCTTGTTCACATCACTTGCAAATGACGTGATATTTCGATACTGAGCTGGTTTTGCATATTGTTCAAATGAATAAACATTAAACTCTAAGAAATCTCCTGGTATAATTGTTGCGTTTTGAGGAATCAGCACTGAAAGATATCCGTTGTAAACGTCTATCCAATGACAAGTGAATTCTCCACCCAGTTTTAATCTAGATCTAGGGGGGAAGAAAGTTTTGCATTCATTTTCAGTTTGAATCTTGTCAATATTGAGAGGAGGAATTATTCTCAAAATTAGCTCATTTCCATAATTGTTAAAAGTGAAATTTGATCCAACAAACGTTGAGCAGTCATTACCAAAGTATCCTGGCGAGCATTTGGAACAGTTTTCTGATTGGAAATAACCCAATTCTCTCGATTGATAGCAATCACAAAATCCATCTCTTGAGCACACTCCATTCGAAGAACAATTCAATTCTGCAGAGCAAAATATTTCACACAAAGGGCCATAATAACCAAGAGCACATTCTTCACAATTCTCTCCATCAAAAGAGCTTTCACAACGACATAAATCATTGTTTGAACACTCACCCAAGCTCATACAAGTAGTGGAAGAGTTGCAAGATTTCTTTAGATTACAGAGATTTCCTTCATAGGAATTAGCACACACCGAACAATCATCTCCATACCAGTATCCATTTGTAGAATTTGAATAACATTCACAATTGTCCAAATCTTGACAAATTCCATGACCATTACAAACTTGTGAACTATTTGATAAAACTGAAAAACATGAAGAGATTTGGCAAGATTCTCCATAATAACCCTCATTACAAACACATCCTAAATGATCTATGCATGCTCCTCTCCCTGAACATACTCTCACATCGGTGGAGTTGTAAAATTCCAAGTCAACTCCTCGACATTGAAGAATTCCACACTCCTCACCCACATATCTCAAAAAGGGTGAATTATTATTGCATGAACAAGTATTCAATGATGAACAAACACCATTTCCAGAGCATGTCTTGTCACTTGTTTGTAAAACTCCAAAGCAAAATGTTTCATTACACCGAGCACCTGTATAACCTATCTGACAGCTGCAATAATCATTTCCAAAACAAGATCCTTTACCAGAGCATACATTCACAGAATCATTTGAAAGCACTCCATAACAAGTCACTATTCTCTCAACTTGTTGATTACTGGCATCAAGTTCACAATTTGTTCCACTAAATCCAGAAGTACAAGTACAATTATTTGGTTGCAGACATTGACCTCGTCCATTGCACACTCCCTCTTCTGTTGCTAGAAAACCATTGCACTTGGGTGTCGAACAGTCAACTCCACCATAATCATCCGATTGACAAAGACAATAATCTTGATCGATGCATTGTCCACGCCCAGAACACACCTTGGAATTTGTTGCATTGATTCCACTACATTTGAAACCAGTCTTGGTACAATCATAACCACCATATCCAACATGGCAATCACAGATATTGGTTTCTACACATGTGCCATGTCCTCCACATTCGTATTCACGTCTGTACGGATCTACAAGGAGTGGGAAACAAACTGGTATTTCACAAGTGAGTCCAACGTGTTGGGTTGAACCAAATCTTTCATCCAAAGTGCACGCACAATCTCCATTATAACATACACCCCTTCCTCCACAAACTTTCGGATCTGTTGGTAATTTACCTCCACACAATTGTGTTTCGCATTTGGTTCCTTAATAAAAGTGATTACCATAAGCAAAAGTTTGACAAGCACTACTAACCTATTGCTACGTTGGGGTCACATGAGCAAGTATCATTCCCTACACATTTTCCAAAAGCACCACAAGAGGTAGAGCTGGTACTGTCTTCTCCAAAACAAGTGGTAGTTCCTTTAACAATAAAAGACCTTCCAACCATCAAGTAAATGACGGCTATCAGCTAATTTAACAAGAGAGTGATAGTTATTCATTTCGTACCCTATACAATGAACTGTTTTTCGATGAATTCTTTAAGGTTAAGCGTGTGGTGCAACTCTGTTTGTGTGCACAGCCAAGTTGAGGGGTTTTTTTTGGTCGTTTCAATGTATCCATATGCATACACATGGAATCAAATGCAAGTTACAAAATAGAAGGGATTCTTTAAGGCGAATTGATAGGTGAGGAGGGTCCATTAAAAGTCATGTTTACCTTAATCAACAACATCATCCTCCTTCAGTTCTGAACTTCACACAAAAAAAGGGGAACACTTGGTATGGTTTCAACTATAACGAAGCAGGCCACAAGACAGCCTTATCTTTTTCAGAACTTTTCTGCCTCTTTATATTCAGCAAGCGTGTTTCCTTTTTGGACATTAAGACCAAAAACATTCGCATCCTTTCCTCCCGCGCAAATAACAAAGATTCAAAATGTGTAAAAAATAATGAATTTAACACGAGGGGACATTTTGCATCTCCTCAATTGCTGCTGCTTCTCATTCCCATAATTTGGATCAGTAGATGATTGATCGCTGCTGTTGTGGTGCCATCAGAGATTATTTGAGTAAGGGCGAATCATTTTCAATTGTCTGTGGAAATTGTTTCTTTTGGATTAAGGTTAGTTATCAAACCAAACGTTGAATGCTTTCTCATGCCGCCCAAGATTCAATACCATAACTAATATAGCATTGTAAGCTCTGAAATTGCTGCATGTTTTGGAATTAAGGAAAAAATAATCAATTTATTGAAGTGAAACCCATCTTTGGTTTGAGCTATAAGTTGCGAATTTACATGCACCCATCCAAACTAATTCTTCTGGTTTGTATTCACTCTTAGATATGTTTGGAATTGATTTCCATTCTTTCATTCTTTTAAACGAAAGTGAGCGACCTGAAACTATTGTATCTGTGAAATTGTAATCATCTCCAAGATCAGAAAGGAGTTCAATTACAAGCTTTGAAATTCCAGTAGAGGAAGCATTCACTGTTTCTCCAAGTTTTGTTTGATTCTTCATGTAGAATTTTGTTAAATTCTTATAGTCAACCAATGAATTTTCAAATCTCAATAAGTAATCAGAAGATTCGCCTTCAATAACAGGAACAATATTAGTTGAGATGCCATCAGAGTGAATGATAATTGCATTTTTCTTCTCTAACGCGAAAGCTGCCATTTCGGAAGGTTTAGTGATACAGAGATGAGTAACATTCGAACATTCGAATAGTAATTGAGTCATTTTCTTTCTAATTTCGTTATCATAATCTAATTCTGGTCCAACAATCAACAATCTAATCTTCTTATTGCCAAGATCTGACTTGTTGATAATATTGGTAACAAAATCAATGAAATATCTTTCAACATTCTCTACGTTGGCCATCAAAAATTTGTATTCGAAACCACACTTGGAATATTCTTGACAATTTCCAAAGTCTAGAGTTGAAAAATCAGATCTGAACCCAACAGTAGACAACATGTACATAGGACTTGACACTCCGTCACTATTCTTTGGTCTCCCATAATAACAATCAAATAATCCCAAGTCAATGATCAATGGAACACTTTCGTCCACTTCTTCATGAGTTGATGATAGAGGAGCACTACTGCATGTTGGCAATGGTTCAAAAATTGATGACGTGTTGTCTTCTTCCTTTCCGTCAATGCTTACCGAAGGAAAAACATAAATTTCATCAGAATCAAATTCAGTTTTACAGAGAATGATCAACACAATAGTGAAGCAGATTGCAAAGATTGAAAGAAGGACAGATGCTAACAACATTTTTTTGATTTGTAGAATTCAAATATTTAGGTCAGACTTTTGAGCAGATTTTGTAAAAGCAAAAATTGTTGAACAACAAACAAGCTTTTATGTTTTGTGTTTGAAAATGTTGATTGATCGTAATCAACGGAATTGAAAGCAAATTTAACAAGAATGTTACACGGTAGGTTGGTATAGGTACAGAGTGAAAGAGCATGAGCGTGTGTTAGGATTTACAAGTCAACTCGTTATTCCCATGAACCTGATCCCAATTCAGAAAATTCATAGGTGACGCTCTCTTTGGCAATTTGTACTGCCTGTTTCTTACTGATTGATAAGGTTGAAACCAAAAAATTACTGTGCTCTTCTTCCAACTCTTTAATTTCCCTCTTTTTCATGGTTTTTTCAAAACTCTCCGCCCATAACATGAGTGGAAGGAAGGGCAATAGTATGGTTCCAACAATGAAATTATGCTTTGAGGTACCATCTACACCACTTGTCTCAGTTCTGTAACAATCCGATAGAAATTGAGATACTGTGTGTTTCATGACAATTCTTGTTGGGGAAGCATAGGGAATAACCTTCTCGAAGAATATCCTTTTGGATGCTTCTCTAATTTGTTGAAGGATTGATTTTTCACCTTTTGGAAAAGCAATTTGTTGAATGGCTCGAAAGGTGTCCTTTCCAAAAGCTTTGTAGAATTCATTCAGATTTGCTCCATTATTATCATTGAGCCACTTATTTTGACAGATGTCATCAATTTTGTTAGCACCAGATTCAGACTTGTTAACAAGTAATACTGTTGGAATGGAGTTTTTACAAAGTATCTCTGTGATTAGCTTGACATGATCAACATCAGTTTGAGTAATTTTTTTCTTTGTTGTCACAAATACGATCAAATTGTAACCAGAGTATGAATATCTGACCAATTTTTGAATAGATTTGAAAGCAACATCTGGTTTTACAGTTCCAACTTCAGAAACTTCACCAAATCCAGCTGTATCGATTAATTCGAATTTTTGACTTTCGTATTCACATTCCTGTCGTTTATATCCACAGGTACATCCATTGGCATTGTCACTTGTTGCTAATGTACTTCCAGTAACTCCATTGACAAGGGATGATTTACCAGAACCTGTAATACCAACAACCAAAATGCGAATTACATCACTGGAAGGATTTGAAATACTTGATCGATCTGAATCAGTTGACTGTTGTTCCTGTTCATCAAAATAATTTTCAATGGCTTTGGAAACGTCACCATTCGATTGGTTTAGATATTTGATAGCAATGGTATTGTCGGTATTGTAGGTAACACTGTTGAAGGCAGTTATTTGTTGTGTTTTAGAGTTGGAAGAATTTATGACTTGTGATTCGAAACTTGGTGGTTTCATTTTTCTTTTTGATTTATTGGAAAGTATTCATTTGGTTCAGAAAATGGGCAGACTAGGGTTCAAAAAAGTATTTAATTTTCAAATTAGGTTTTTGTAATTCTCACAACACTGGAAAATGGACATTGCAAACAATTAGAAGGATTCGAATAAGAATTATAAAAAACAAAAAATGAAAACAGAAAGACGTGTGTTAATCTATGGATGTTCAGGATCAGGCAAAACCACAATTTTAAACAATTTGACTGGTGAAAACTTTAATACTGACGACAGTGCTGTTGGTGTCACTTTTCAAATGACAATTATTCCACCAATCAACAAACAGGGAACAGAGATCAATGGTAAAATCTATCGTTTTGATGATACAGTAGGTTTGAATGAATGTGAATCTGGCACAGTTGATAACTTTACCGCCTTTGTAAAGTTGAAAGACTTTTTGAAAGATTCCTTGACAGGTTTCAACCTATTCATCTATGTATTCGAAAAGGGACGAATCACAAGTAGTGATGTAAAGAATGTTCAATTATTCTCTCAAATCCTTGGCCAAAACAAAGTTCCAACACTTATGGTTGTTTCCAAAGCTGACACAGATAACGGTTTGAAATCTCTCGATGATTTAACCAATAATACTTGGATTAAACAAAACGAATCTCAATTGGCAAGTGCTTTCGGTGAGCAAACCTTCTGTGCAAAACAAACAGTTGCCTTCCCACAACCTTCCTTTACTAGCAACAATGAAAGTATCAATTTATTATGCAACACCTCAAGAAAACTATTGTTTGATCTGATTGACCAACATGCTTCTGATGAAAGTATTTTTATTGTAACGAAGGAAAATTTCATGACAGTCCTCACAAGAGTATTGAATTGGTTCTATATTAATACGAAAAAGACCTTTGCAAGTATTGGAAATGCTATTGCTGGAATATTTGGTCATAAGGATGTTTTCAATGTTCGTGATGAGCTTGAAGAAAAGTTGGAAAATGTTACTCAAGCGCTAATGATTAACTTTGGTGTTAGTAAGGAGAAGGCACAAGAAGTTGCTAAGGATATTTTGGGATTCTAATAAATTTATTCGAAAGTATTACTTTTCAGTTTCGTCCATTACTTTGATAGATTTATTTTTTATTACAAGCAACATCATGTTCATTGTTATTGACACCAATTCCATAAAGATCCATAGCCAGTTCAAGAAAATTAATATCTGCCTTAAAGATCACCTTTAGTTTCTCTGCCAACTTTCCAACACTTGAGAATGATTGTAAATCAATTCCAATCTTGAAAGCTGTCTCTCCAGTTTTAAAAAGAAACAAATTCCACATTCGAACGAGTTTCGAAAATAAATCTTGACTAGATCTGATAAGTACTACACTTTCCTTGGAAGAGTACTTGTTAATCATTGCGAGAACAATCCTTCTCGAAGCTTCACTAACCAACTTCTTTTCCTCTTCAGAGAATGTCAAATCGTCTCCTTTCGTACATGGGAAAGAAGTCGATTTAATACAAGCAAAACAATCCTTTCCATAAACTTGTTCAATATACAAAAGATTTTTAGTAACCCACTGATTACTCTCCAAATCTAATACCATATTCTCACAATCTTCAAGATTTTCACTCTTATTAACCACCATGATTACTGGCACTTTGTCATCACCAAGAATAGTCTTGAATAGTTCGATATTGGCTTTATCATTACCTGTGATTCGATCTTTGGTTGTTACAAAGATCATTAAATTGAAACCGCAAGTTGATTTTTTCAATAGATTTTTGAGTTTGATGAAAGAATCGATTGAAGAGGAGGTGCCAGTTGCTGATTCGCTGAGACCTACTGTATCGATGAGAAGTATTTCTTGATTGGACGAATCTTTAAACGAAACTTCTTCGCTTTCAAAGGTGGTTCCAACTGCTCCATCCAAAACTGGGAGTTTGCTATTGGCGAGAGCATTGATCATGGAGGATTTACCTACACCTGATTGACCAAAAATTAATACACGTTTGGTCATTTTTTTTTGAGTCATGAATTGTTTGGGTTTTGTAATTGACGTGTTGAAGATTTTGACATCTGGAATTATCTTTTTGAATAAATCTTAATTGTACTTTCGAATATTTTCATTGTATAAGAAATAATGTTGAAGACCTGTAAACAAGCTTTTATTGACCTTGATTAACTCAAACTGGACGAATTCAAAACCAAAAGAAGAAAATCAATGATTCTTGATATGAGATAAATTCAAAATCAAGTACTTCAAGAAAGACATGTAAAGAAGGTTGTGAAAGTTTACAATAACTTCATTTCATTGTAATAGATCAAAAAAAATGAATCAACAACATGTTATAATTATGCTCTCCGACTCGGCACCAAGTTCTCTCCTGAAAAACCACTATTCTATTGATAGGAAATTTAGAAAATTATGGCTGGAGCGCAGAGAAGACAATTATCAATACATTCCGATAGAATTTTCTCATGATAAGAATTTTCTACTCAAGTTTATTAGAAGAGAAAATTGTGGAAGGGATTTTCCAAAGGCCATTTCGATATTTGAACAGATTCCTCCGAGCCTACAACAAGATGAAGACATTTTCGTTGAATTTTTTGTAAGCTTTTGTAAACAAGGGAAAAAATTGCAAGATCGATTGACTGAGGAAATGGTTGTAAAATTAGCTAAAAGATACCAATTTAGTGATATTATTAAGATTGGATCAGTAAAAAAGGAGTTAGTGAAATGGATAAATTGTAGGAATGTACTATTGGAATGTGTAAGAAATGGAGATTCAGAAATTCTTTCGCATGTTTCGCAACAATTAAGAAAGGACAGGGAATTAATGATGGAGGCAGTGAAAAACGAGCCATTATCTATCAAGTTTGCTGATAAATCATTACAGAATGATAGAGAATTGGTATTTGAGGCTGTGAAACGAAACGGAAGAGCATTGGAATACACATTTTCATTTCGAAATGATAGGGAAATTGTGATAACAGCTGTCAATACTCATCCTGAGATTCTTAAATATGTAAATTCCAATTTACAAAATGACTTTGAATTAGTAATGGAAGCAATCAAAAGCCAAGGTTCTTGCATCCAATATGCATCAACAACTCTCAAAAAAGACAGAAACATTGTCATGAAAAGTGTCACTCGCTACGGAGCAGCTCTTCAATATTTGGACGATTCACTAAGGAATGATAGAGAAATAGTGCTCCAAGCAGTGAATCAAAATGGTGCAGCTCTCAAATATGCCTCCAATGAATTGAAAAATGATAGAGAGCTGGTCATGATAGCTATTCAAAAGAATCCAGAAGCATACGAATTCTGCTCCACAGAATTGAAACATGACAAGACATTGGCTTTGCTTGCAATTTCAAAGAATCGATTTCTTACTTCCTTAATTCCCCTATCTCTACAGAAAGATACTGAAATTCAACAACATCTTTATCAGAGTTCTCCACCAAATAGCAATATTTCATCTCTATATGATCCTCAAAGAAATATCAGAATGGATGGAACAAATTTGGGTTATTTATTAAACGGACAAAACAGAAAGAACAACTTGCTACTTCAGATCGAAGCAGTTAAATCCAATGGATTCTATGTACAATACTCGAAAGAATTATTTGACATTCGCATGAAGGAAGCCTATCAAAACATCACCTTAGGAAATCGAGTCCAATATCCCTAATCATCCAACAATGAAAACCAAACTTTCCTCTTTCACAATTCATTCTCACTCTCTTTGAATCCTCAAGAATATCTACCATTGTAGATAAGTAACCACTAGTTTCCAACAATTCCAGATTTCACATACTATTGCCTTGCCTCCATTCCACTAACATTCCACATTATTGTTGCTACTGTAAAACTTTAAGAAAAAAATAAGCGCCAATCAACGATGCAATTCTTTCGAACGTTTTTTAGTAGTAGCACGAGTCAGCCGAGAGAACAGGGCTTATTATTGGGAGGAGGTGTTGGTGATGATGCTGATGAGGAAGAGCCACTGATCGAAACTTTGGGTTCGGAAGTGATATCGAAAGTGATTTTTACCTATTTGCATAATAGAGAGGTGATAAAGTGTGCTTTGGTATCGAGGAAATGGTACAGATATGTACAGGAAAGTAATGTTCAGATTAATATTGTGTTTGATTGCATGAAAAAGTATGAAAGATGGAGGAAATTAGCTGAGAAGGGAGGTTTGAAATTAATTTCTCATCTCGGAACGAAAATTAAATTTAAAAAAGTGGAAAATGATGATGAAATCAAACGGTTGATAATACATAGTAATTTGAGAGGATTTAAATTTGATAATGAATCTAAAATCAAGTTTGATAATAATTGTTTGAAAGAATTAGGTAATTTGAAAGAGTTGACAAAGATTAGTTTGCGAAATGTAAAATTGACACTTGCTGATTATCAGTTATTTGGCAGCATGAAGTTGAAATGTGTGGAAATTATGGACAGCTGTGTTTGTGAGCTTGGAATACAAAATATTTGTAATATAACTGCATTGAAAGATCTGAAACTAAGAAAATTGAAAGCAAGGGTAAATACTGACGAGGCTTTCAAATATCTACCAAAATTAACTACCTTGACAACACTTGATCTGAGTTTTACTCCTGTTGGTGATGCCATTTCATTCATTTCGAATCTGAAAGAATTGAGACAACTCAATCTTTCACTAACAGTAATCAGCCAGATACCTCTCACAAAATTAAGAAAATTGGAAAAATTGAACATTTCCGATAACCCATGTATTACTTCTATTGATCTTTCTAATCTGGTAAGATTGAGAAAGTTGGACATATCGAGCACAATGATCAGCAAGCTTACTGGTCTGAATGATTTGAAAGAACTGCGAAAGTTGAAATTATCCAATAATATTGAACTATTTAACTCATTAGAATTTTTGGAATTCATGCCATCAATCAATTTACCCAAACTAAAGCACTTGGATATGTCCAAGAACAGACTTGAATCTTGTAAATTAATGCCACTCACCAAAGCTAACCTCCCCGAGTTGACAACTTTCCGATTTGGAGGAAATAAGGTGGATGAAACAACTGCTCTATTGCTTTGTAAATGCTTCCCTAAACTCAAAATAGAGGAACAAAGATTTAATCGACGATTGAGCATTGATAAAGTAGAGCACATGTATGGTCAATGCTGCAAAACCATACCAGATTTGTAAATTTTCCATTTTGAATGATTATCATTGTAAAACATTCAATTAAACCAAACTTTAAAAAAATGGTAACAACAACTAATAATCACAAGATGCATTTCCATGGCATGTCCACTGACTTGATGAAGAAGTGGAAATGGCCAATCATGGCAGGCCTTTCTCTTCAAGTAGTTTTGTACTTTTCTCTTTTTGAAGCCAATCGATACAATTACAATTTGAACAAAGAAAAGTATAATAGTTATAAGGAATCAAAATTTCAAGGTTTGCAACCTCCTTATCATACTAATTATAGCAGAACTTTGTTCCATTCAAAAGATCCAGTCCTTAGAGTGGATTGGAACTCCTTTAGGGAAGACGTTCAATAGTTAAGGATGTAATCAACAGGGCGGTTAGCTCAGCGGTAGAGCACCGGATTGCAAAGTTAATTGCAGCAGACATCCGATGGTCACGTGTTCGATCCACGTACCACCCTTCCTTTTACCTGTTTTAAGGAAATAAAAAATTATGAATTCCGAAGTTTTTCCTAGTGTCACTAGGTCTCAAGACACGTTCATCTTCCCTTAAATATGCTTGTTCATCATTTGTTTTTAAACTCAATGTGTAGGGCCATGGCGCAGTCGACATCAATTCTGTAATGGAATCAATTTCATCAAAAATTAAAACAACCTCACAAAGAGAAAATTCAGTGTGAGACTACCTCTTCTTCCACAACAACTAATTGAGACATCTTACCTTGCTGAACTACTATTATATAGTCATAACAGTGAAATGCAAAATATGAAGATGTTTCACTGTTTTCTTGGTTTTTGATGTCTGGCAACCCACAACAAGACCCCTGTCAAAAGTTATTTTCCCACTTATTGATATTAAAAAAATGCTGCTAACAAAACACAAATCTCTCATTATTTTGACAATTATTTCCATCCCTACCATACTATTCTTCTTCCTACAAATACAAACAACCACAAGAACATCCCCACAAAACGAAAGTACAACAATATCACATAATAGTTGTATTACCACTCCTACACCTTTATTGTCATCATCGCAAACTTTACCAGCAACAACATTAATTAACAAAGATAATGATAAAACTCTATCAATTACCATTGTTTCTGGTGGAAATAGAACAACAAGTGATGAAACTACACTATTGATAAAATCTATATTATTAAATCATGTTGGAAACACTCAAATTGAATTAAATATTGCTACCGATTTATATAATATGAATTTTCTAATAGAAAATGTTTTTAATAGAATTAAAGTTTATAGAACACAATTGAATGTTAATTTTAAAATTGTAAATTTAACTAGAATTGATGAAGAATGTAATGAATTAAAAATACCTATTGTACATCATTCAGGTATGTTAATATTTAAATTATTGTAATATTTAGATTATTTAAATATTTAATTTACAAAAGGAAAATGGGGAATGGTAAAATTATTTCTTGATAAAGTATTTGATACTGTTAAAAGAACAATATTTGTTGATACAGATATGGTATTTGGAACAAATCCTGATTTATTATTTTCGGAATTTGATAAATTTAAAGAAGAAACATTATTTTCATGGACAAGAGAACCTAATTGGGAAAGTAAAGGGCCTAACCATGTATGCTCATGTATTTTTTTATGGGATATGAAAAAGACCAGAAAGGTAAATTACTTAAAAGAATTTGCAATTCCTGCTTCTATTGAAATATTTGGATTTGATGAAAAAACACAACAAATATCTAAAGAAAAGAGAAATGGAAGTGATCAAGATTTTTTATTTGCCCTAAATAAGATGAAACCAAATTTTTTTAATGAATTGGATCCATCTTGGAATTTGGCAAATTGTCAAAATTTCTTTGGAGTACCATCACGTTCACGTTCAGCTGATAGAACAACACATTTTATGGGAGCAATACATTTCAATTGTGCTGGTAATACATATGATGACTGGAAAGGATGGGAATGGGTAAAAGAATATTTAATTTGGTATAGATGGGATTGGTTTAGTAGACCATATGAAAATAATAAGGATTTAGGAAAATCTATAATAATTAAACATTCTTTTTATTAATAACTTATTTTTGGTAATAATATTGAAGTGAACACTCAATCTTTACTGCAATTTCGCTTTTCACTCAGAAAAAGCTGCTGGTGTGTTTTCGAAGATTAACATCGAAGTGTCAATAAAGAACATAAACAAACTACGTATTAATCATTCAAATTATGGTTTAACCTATTTTCTAATAACAAATGAAAATTCAACCTAAATGAACTACTTTGACACTTTTAAAAGCTTCTGCTTCATACTCTTGAGCAAAACTAATTCCTACTGAGGCCAAGAAATTGTCTCTCTGAGCTATTCCATCAGGTCGTCCATACAAATGCCTAATGAACGTTCCTTTCGGAGATGTTATGTGGTAACTACCAGCTGTAATGATATAGTCAAAATATCTTGCTCTCATAATTTCTAATATCTTTTGTTCCCATGGATGACTGAAGAAATATTGGGGAGATTTCTCTCCTTCATCCCACCACTCTCTGAGGAATCGAATTGATTGGACATTATTTCTGAAAAACAACGTTCCAGAATTTAAAAAATCTCCATATTCATCCTTTGGAGCTAGAAAAAACTTTGTTCCATTTTCCTGATTCATATCATATAGATCAATTATTTCACTCTCAATGGTCGCACTCATAATTCTGAAATAACAATCACTGTCAATAAATAGAACAAATTGACACTTTTTTTCATTCTCAATCAAATACCTCTCAATGAGTTTTAATTTGTACCAAGCGGCATGTCTAGTAACGTTTCTTCCATTCTCCTCTGCAATAATAAATTCATAGGGATAGCCATGTCTTTTGGCATATCTCTGGTTCACATAAATAGACAAGTCTCTAATGAAATAACCCTTCTGGCCATCCTCTAAATTTGCACTTTGTATAGATTTCAGTTTTCTTGATTCGTATTGGATGATACAAATATCGCGTAGTTTTTGTTCTTTTGATTGAAGTGAAGAAGAGGACTGTGGGGTGGATATTGTTGCTGTTGCCGAAGGAAGAGGAGTACAAGCCGTAGGTAGATTTGTTTTGTATGAAGAGGGAGGTCGAAGGCTACCAGAAGTCAATTGAGATTCATGAACACTATAGTTTCGGTGTTGAATGACAATCAGGGAACCAAGTAAACCTCCAAAGCAAAAGGAAGCCAAACACCACAAAAGAATTTTAGAGAGCATTTGATAATATGATGATTCTTGACACTACCCGTATTGTGAGTTTGTGGTGTTGATTTTTTTTAAAGGTATTTTTAATAAAATACTAAAAGATTGGCAGGTTTACTTTGTGGAAGAACACAAAAAATGACAAATTAAAACTCAATGGATGTGGACATGATACTCTCTTTTTTATTCATCATTTCGATTTGTTTTTAATGAGAAAATTGATTTTGAGGTGTTTTGCAATTACACGCATTTACAACAACCAAAAATGCAAGCTAAGAAGAATATTGTTTCTAACTTTTGACCTTTGAATTTGGTTGTATAATTCTGGTAAAATTGTCTTTAGCAATGTATGTAAACAATCTCTTGGCATAAATAAAGCATATGGAATTGACTTTATAATATTGAGTGAAATAATAATTCTTGCAATGATTGCCATTGGGTCATTGTAAGGAAATAAGTTCAATACATTGGCATCATCAAGACACTTATCATAAAATATTAAATATCCACTCATTCCAACACATGTAATGGTGAGAATTGTAATAATAACAACAAATAAGGCAACTAAAAAGAAGCTAAATCTGGTAGGTCTTTCGTGATGACTCATATGAAGATTTCATATGAAGATCTATTATTATTGCTAGTATTCTCATAATTCTTTCGGTCTCTCTTCTTATCATAATTAGATGATGAAGATATATAATAATCATTTTAATATTTGAGAATTCCAATCTTCAATGTCATTGTATTTTGTTAAAGAATTTGTCTCGATTCTCTTTTGTAATTTTCCTTTTGTTTCATCATCACCAAACATGATGATATTCTCCATTGAAAAACCATACTCTTCTTTAACAAATCTTTCCAACATTTTTATCAACAATGATCTCTCCATCCTATCTTGATAATCTTTGGTGATGTATTGATAGCTATAATCAATAAATAGTGCTCAAAATAAATCTCTGTCAGGAGGATTTCCTAAATCCAACACATAATTTCCAATGAACTTTCCAACATTGCTGGCAAATATAAATATCCCCAATGGAAAAATAATGGCTACCCGTATATCTCATAATCCTAAGGTAGTGAGTTCGATCCTCACTGACCCCATCTTTTTAATCATTTCTTGGAGTTAAAAAATTGGGTTGCCGCCAAAATTTAAATAACAAAAAAATGAAAGTAGCCATCTTCCATCAAAATGAAGAAATTTCTTCACCATCATCAGATAATTTATCTTCTGCCTCCAAAGAAGAATTAATTAATGACAATGTTTCTCCTCCAAAATCCAACAAGAAGAAATTTGTGGAATTAATCAGCAATGAAAAACAGGCCAAGGCGAAAATAGATGAATGGAAAGAAATGATAAATGATCCGAATGTTCATACTGTCTTTTATTTGGATACTGAAGTTGGTGGATTTAAAACAAACTCGGAACGTCTCTCCTGTATTCAATGTTTGGTGGTTTCTAGTCCTCGTGTAAATGATCAAATTTTGAGATTATTCAATCCTTTGATTGTTCCACCTTCAATTTCACATTTATTAGAGGAAAAGAGAGAATACACTTTAAAACCTGTGGAAAATGTTGAGGAGGAAAATGTAGATCAATTCATTGATAATAAGGTAATTCGAGAAATTGAAAGTGTATTAATTAGAGATGCTCTGCCGAATGGGAAAATTGTAATTTTAGATGTTTTGGATATGTCTGATGATCTTTTAGATTACTTTGAAGATAATATTATGTTTGATGAGAGATGTGAAAAGGTGTTTCACTACAAGACTTTTGATTTGAAATTCCTTGGAGGAGCTTCCTATTGTAAAAATGTATCCTGTACTCATGAAATTTCTAGCAAATACATTCCATACCATCTTTTACCAATTTCCAATTATAAGCTTGATACTCTTTCTCATTATCTTACAAGTAGAATTATTTCCCATATCAATAATGTCTCCCAGACAAGTAATGACATTGGAAACTTGGAGGAAATCAAGGAATTATTGACATACTCCAACAAGAAGGAATTACAAGAATCTGATTGGTTCGAAAGACCACTGTCACCTACTCAAGTTGAATATGCAACCCAAGATGTCATTACATTATTTGGAGTGCATCAATTATTAATTAATATTCTTGTTCATCAAGACAATTCATTCCACTTGCAGTCCTATTTCAAATATTTGTATAATGCCAGATCTGCAGATTCAGAGGAATCTCCACAGGATCTTGAAGAAGAGGACAGTAAGAATGAATACCTTCTTCCACTAGCTGAATTTTCTGATAGCTCTAAAGACATTACTGATATTGAGGATTCTATAAAGGAAATTGAGGACGAATACAAACTTTTAGAATCTAAAATGTCAACCCTGCAAGACAGAATTAAACAAGTAATGATTCGAGAGAATATTACTGATACAAGATTCTTCAAACTCTCATCCTCCAAAAGAGCTACTCAACAAGTTCCACTCCATCTCTTGGTTGAACACATCGCTAACCAAAGATCCACAACCAAGGTAAAAGTCAATCCCATCAATCTACCAGTTGGTGTTACAACCACAATGAAGAAAGCTCTGAAAGAAGCTGGATTCGCTGATATTCCAACCCAATCCATTATCAAACAAGAAAGCTCATCCTATCGTATCACAAAGAAATAATTTATTAAAGAAATGAAATCTTAGATTTCTTCTTATTTTCCTCATAATTGGAAAGAATTTGATCGAAAGGAAAATCTTCTTCAAACTCTGGACTTGAATAAAAAGTAACCAGTTTTTGATTATCCAATACTTGTTCTATACTTTTGGGTGGTTCTGTTTGTGAGATAAGCTCAATAAGCTTTAGTCTTTTTTGGTCATTGAGAATTGGTGAGTTCACTTGGTGATAAAGCTCAGCTCGTTCTTGCTCTTTGGAAATTTTTTCCTTTTCATTCTTTTCCATTACTTTAATGGCATTGAAAACTTTGAAAATCCACCACAAGACATCTCTGGTTAATATTTCCACACCACTAGAACCATATCCATGAAGTTCCATTTGTCTTTTAACTTGTTTGCACAAGAAAAGATAACTCTCCATCAAATTTTCATGTACAAGTTGATGAAACAATTTTTCCAAGGGTTGCCTAACTTTTGTTTTGTGTTGTCTCTCCTGTTCTTCATAAATTTCCAAAACAATATTTCTCAAAGCTACATTCCTATAATTTGAATAATTAGCATTTGATTGATCTGTTTGTTCATACTCTTTCACAATTACATTCATCAAGGAGGTCACATAAAGTATCTGTTTCATCAGAATATTATACTCTTTAGAGAAGTGAAAAATTGAACTGGATGAAGAGTCAGGATTCTCCACTTGTTGTTGCTGACTAATGGATGATACACCAGAAGCAAATATAATTTGAATAAAGTAGAGAATTAGAACATTTCTATAACATGCTCCGATAATCCTCTTTGCAATGGTAATATCCTTCTCCACAGAAGTTTCTTGAATGGAGAGTGGTAAAGACACTTTATCAGCAGCTTCAAGAGTTGCCAACGAACATTTCAGAAAGGAACCAAAAAACTTGTCCGAATAATTGGCTACATTCTCATCCTTTAAATTATTCTCAATAGTCATGTTGCAAATTTGAAGGAGAAAGTCAGTCTTCTTTTCTCTTGTTTTCAATGATGATGGAAAGGTAACACGAGCACCACCTTCTAAAGATGACGATGAGGAAGCTTTGAGGAAAGTCTTTTCTATAAACTTGTTTCGTAACTCTCTGATAGAGTCCACGTCCAATCTCTTACTAAACAAACCGTTTGAAGATGATGAGTAGGTATGTTGATGAATTCTTTCCTGTAGGAACATTAGAAAAGCTTCCTTTGATGGATTTCTACAAAAGATGGTACTGATGGGATCCATCGTCCTATTTGAATTCGAGGTTATTGTTGGAGAAGGCTGGAAAGAGTGGTGAAACCACTCAAAACCATCAAACAAGCAATTCTCTTCAAAGTGATGAAGAAATTTAGGAAGCGAATTTCTCTCTGCTCTTAAATCAATTCTTATTAGCAAGTCCTCTGTTGTTTCGGAAGCTTGAATGTTTTTGTGTTCATCTATTAATTGTTTGTTGTTGGTATTAGATGTTTCGAGAAAGTTTGTTGTTGTGAGGGAAGTCTTTTTAATTTCCTCTCGTTCCTGTTCTTGTTCAATATAGAGAAGATGTTCTACTAAAAGAAGATACCCACTCATGGAGTAGAATTTGATCACTTCATCATGATTATTATCTAGAGAATGTTGTTGAACAATTTCCGTCATGTGTTGATGGATTAATATGTGGCAACATGGCTTTCTTTTTGACTTGCTGCGTAGAATGACTGAAAAAAATCTCATTGTAAAACAACAATACCTGGTAGTCATCCAAAATTCTGAAAAAATTTGTTGAAAAAAAAAGTCAGTATGTCAAACATTGTTGAAAAGCCAAAGAGAAAGGCCTTCGTACCAAAGAAGAAGCTCCCATCCGAAGTTGCTTTGGAATCCACTTTCAATCTCCATAGAGAATTGGTTGGTAAGCCAATCCAAAGAAGAGCTGCTAGAGCTGTCCGTGCTATCAAGTCCCACGCCAGAAAGGTCATGAACTGCTCCAGAGTCAAGTTGGACCCAGAATTGAACAAGTATGTCTGGAATCAAGGTATCCACAATCCACCAAAGAAGGTCAGACTTATTTTGAGAAGAATGGCTAACCCAAATCACGAAGACTGGGATAAGGTCAACAAGTTCCAAGTTATTGTTGGTTTCAAGATTGTTCCAACCTTCAAGGGTCTCCATACTGCTGTTGTGCAAGAATCTGAATCTGATTAAATAATTTAAAAAACTAAACTATTCAAAAATTCTAAATATTATTCCTTTTGTTTTGCCATGTCTAATGACACAATTTAAGTCGTTAATTCTTAACCTCGTTCGTTGAAATTATCGTCATCATCTGTTCTTCTCCGATATTCTACAAATTGAACGTGATTGAACAGTAGCATCCGAACACGTTTTACACGCAATTTGTTACTCAGTATTATTAATACAACATTTATTAATAAAACAAATTAAAAAAAGATTATCCATTCATTCAACACATCTTCCTTGAACCATCTTTTGTAGGATTAAAACACCAAAATCATTCATGCATACTCATCATCAGGAGATACTCTCCTCACCCTCTCAGATGGGTCCAACTGGAAAGGGAGGATTTCATGCTTCCTCAAATTTTCCCTTCATCAAATCACAATATTATCTAATCATTGTTGTATATATTATCATCATATGCACTTGCTTTTATTACATTCAATTGGATGATTTCCAAATATCAAGTTTGATTTCAGTTAATCAATTGGAAAGTAATGTTTTTAAAAACTCGAGTCGACACATTGAAACAGCCTTCAAACCAGCTTTAGGAAAGTTAGCAGAAAAGACCAAGACTGTACGAGGTCCTGTTGTCTTTGCTTCTTTAATTATTGCAATTTTGACTTATATTGTGATGAATCACTTAATTCCGATCCTATTGAATTATTGGGTCATTTTGGATTGGAGAAAGAATCACACAGAGAAGGATGAATTACAAAACAAAAGTAGAGAAATTGAAATATTGGATTCTCCTACAAGTAGTGGAAGAAGATATAGTTGTAAAACTCATTCTAAATCTTCATCTCAAGTTTCGGAAGATTCCAATTACATTTCAACAACAACCTTTGATATTCAAAATTCACAAACTATTACCATTGTCAGCTTTATTTATGCAACCTTTGTTTACCTTTCTCAGCCAATTCAAATTTGGTGCTTGATTATTAGTTTTGTTCAATTATTTGTCTTTCACACTGGTAAATCATTTTATCCACTTGCAGTTTTTACATTGTTCATTGCAATTGTTGAAACTAAGAGTCAATTGACAAAGTGGAAGACTGATAAGGAAAAGAATGAGAGAAGAGTAAGAATGGCAACAGGTGGAGAGAAACAAAGAGGTCAATTAAAATGTGGTGATGAAGTTTTAATTGGAATTGGTGAAGAGTTACCTGCCGACCTTATTTTGACTGATATTATTGTAGAAGACACTGATGTTCAATTCAAAACTTCAAGAAAGCCTATTCTCTACATGAATGAAGTTACAGTCACTGGTGAAAATGATCCAGTTAAGAAATGCTTACTTCCAGAATCTGTACACACAATCAAAATTGATAACTTGCTTATAAGAAGTGCTACAGTCAACTCTAAATATATTCTGGATGAGTCTTATATTGTATTTGCCAACTCCATGATTGCCTCTGTAGATCAAAAGATTACCATTAGAGGCATTGTTGCTTGGTCTGGTACTGAAACAAAAGCTTTGCACTCTAGTGGAGCTACCACATCAAAACAAGCAACTCCTTTCCAAGAGTATACTCAAAAGGGATTCTTTATCAGTTTAGCCCTCATGCTCTTCTTATCAATTGTTAACACAATTGCCAGTTCATTCTTTGGTGTTGAAGGTAATGAGGAACATTCATTTGGAAAAGTCTTGATTACTCAAATTATGTACATTAACATGATGGTCCCTCAAGGTTTGGAACAATTAAGAACCACCGTATGTCACTTATTATCTTTCAACTTTAGAAGTGGAGTCAAGTGTAACAATTCATTGGCATCTGATGTAATTGCCTATGTGAATCGTATCATTTCAGACAAGACAGGAACTCTTACAGTCAACTTGATGCAACCAAAATATGCCATGTTATTCCTTGATGAAGAAGATAATATAATCAACTTTGATGAACATCACATTATTTATGAACATGATGTAAAATGTGAAATGGAGGTTACCAAATGTCATAAGGACAATTGCTTTGCTATTTTCAGTACTACAGGTGTAGAACCAGAAGAAAGAGCTATCAGAAAAATGGTCTCTCCATACTCTAATCTTGTTTCCCATTGGCCTATTGATTCTCAAGATATTGAACCAGGTTTTGTGGAATTTGAAACTTTATGCTCAGAAAAGAGAGAAAAACATCACTTAAAGATTATTTCATTCTTTGGATTCACTCGTGAATATTTGTGCAAGTCATGTCTTGTTCAAGATGCTAACACTGGAGAATATTATGTCAGTGTTCAAGCTGGTGATGAATTGTTTTGGAGAGGAGAAACTGGTATTACAACTCATCCATCTTCCATTCACAAAATTGAAAAGTGGACTAGTATGCATCAATCTCAAGATAATGATGACCAATTAGGATTGGGAGCTCCAAGAACATGGAGTCATGGTATCAAGAAAATTACAGAGTCAGAAGCTAAAACAATCATGACATCTTGGAGAGACAGTTTCATGATTAAGGATAATGAAAAGAAAACTGAAACACAATTAGAAATTGTTAAGGATGCTCTTAAGAACATTAAAATGACTTCCATTACTTACATGGTCGATCGTTATAGAGATGGTGTCAAAGAAGGCATCAAACAATTGACCCATGCCGGTAAACAATTCTGCATCTGTACAGGAGACTCTTATAAGAATGCTAAACTAATTGCAACCCATCTATCACTGCCAAACCATATTAATATTTGCGGATCTAATGAAAGGGAATTATTGGAATCTCTTGAAAATGCTGATGAAGAAACCATGAATGGTCCATCTACATTCTTTTTTGATAGATCTTGCATGGAATATATGAGAACACTCTATGCCTCTCAAGGATCCAATTTCAAGGGACCTGTATTTGAAAAGTTGCTTGACCTCATCAATATGAAGAACAAGAAGAACAAGTTTGTCAACTCGATTGTATTTTGTAGATCTACACCAGGTCTCAAATTGTGGTGTGTCAAACTACTTCAGCATTATCACTCAAGAACATTATATGAAAAGTTCTTCCACAGAAGAAATTATGTTCTTGCCATGGGTGATGGTACCAATGATCTTCAAATGTTAAGAGCTTGTGATATCAGTTATGGTGTCAAGTCTGGAGAAACTGAAGACGTTTGTAAACAAGCTGATATTTGGAGTACAGAATGGGAGCCAGTTTTGGATTTATTAGCAAAGGACGGTTTAGAAAAAGCAATTATGCTTAGCACCATGGTTAAGGCCACTTTCTGGAAACATTGGTGCTTTGCCCTAGCATTGTGGAGTGATTTGATTTTCCAAGGATTCCCTCTCTATCCAAAGGATCCAACAGATCCAATGCTTATGTTAGTGTTCAATGGTGTAGTATTTGGACAAATTGCTAGTCACGTATCAAGTGATCTCGTTTCTGATTTTTCTCAATTCAAAAAGACAAATATGATGAGTATGAGAGCATTCTTACGTTGGGTATTTGGTGCATCCATGACAGCCATGTTTACTGATTGGATTATTAGATGGTTCTTCCCTAGTGCCACATCAGGTCATTTTGGTGCTTATGTTCAAGTTTCTCAAGCTGTTGGTATTACTATTTATTTATATTTGACTACCAATACTTGGAGTGATGATGAGGAGGTTATAACTTTCCAAAATCAGCTTGACAAGTTCAAGAATTCATCAGATATTGCAGCATCTCCAAAAAGAACAACTAAGATCAGTTATTCTCGTCTCTACCTTTCTATTTTCTGTGCTGTTGCAACCTTTGCTATTTCATTATTCATTAACAAACGAGTTGAAGACCAAATTACCAAATTTACAGCACTCTCCGTTATAATTCCAACTCTTGGATACCCAGCCATATACTTGTTCAAGTGTTTTGTTCATGACTTGCCTCACATTGAAAATTCAATTTCAAAGCTTAAGGAATTGGAATTTAGCAAGCTCGTTGTTGAATTTGTCAAGTTTTCTCACACTCCCCATATGAGAGTATTGCCAGTAATTGCCTTTTCTTTATTGATCAAAATATTAAGTGGTATTCCAGTTATTGGAGCAGTCACCATTATGACTCTTAGCGGTATTGCCACTGTATTCACATTCTTGGTATTTGTCAGTAGAATGGGCTTTATGAGGGCTCTTCTTGATGGTAGAAGTGTTGCTGTGGGTTTGATTTGTTTCTTGATTGGTATTTGGGTTGGTAGAAGCTCAAAGTTTTAAATTGACTTATTAAAATAAATTAATTTATTAAGAAATTAATCGTATTGCTTTTTTACATGTTTGGCAATGGTGACCAAGTTGATATTACTGGTACCTTCATAAATCTTACCAATAATACAATCTCTATAATATTTCTCAGCACTGAAATCACGACAGAATCCCACACCACCCAACATTTCAATACACTTGGTTGCAACATTTCCAGCAACTTCTGAGGTGTAAAACTTGGCCATAGCAGCTTCCTTAGTAAATACTTGTCCAGCTTCCTTCATTCTGGCAGCATTATAAACCATTAATCTACCAGCTTCAATTTCAGTAGCAAGTTTACTGTAATGATATTCCATCATTTGGAAATCAGCAATTGGAGTACCAAATTGCTTACGAGACTTTAAGTATGGCATTGTGTAATCAAAGACACCTTGAGCCAAACCAATCATCTTATTAAATGTCAACAATCAAAATCATAAAATACATACTTGAGCAGCAATACCAATTCTACCTTCATTGAGCATTTCAATAGCAATCTTGTAACCCTTACCAACACCTCCAAGAATTGATTCTGGGCCAACTTTACAATCTTCCAAAATAACTTCACATGTTGATGAAGCTCTAATAAAAGTGTTAAGAAAACAAGTTCAATAATAAATTACACACATACCTAATACCGAGCTTATCTTCCTTCTTACCAATCTTGACACCAGGATTAGTCTTGTCAACCAAAAAGGCAGTAATACCCTTGTATCCCTTAGAGAAATCAGTATTGGCCATAACGATATAGAAAGATGCTTCTTGTGAAGAGGTAATCCAACATTTGGTACCATTCAAAACATAGGATCCATCAGATTGGAGTTCAGCCTTGGTCTTTAATGAGAATGCATCAGAACCTGAGCTTGCTTCAGATAAACAGAAAGATCCAAGACCTTTAGTAGCAAGAAGAGTCAAATACTTTTCTTGTTGTTCCTTATTACCATAATTACGAACCAAATTATTAACCAAAGTATTTTGAACGTCAACAATGACAGAAATTGAAGGATCAACTTTGGCCAATTCTTCAATTGCAATAATTGAAGAAGTAAAATTAGCTCCACTGCCACCAAATTCCTCTGGAATTTCAATACCCATTAATCCAACTTCAAACAATGAATCCAACAATTTTGGGTCAAGTTTTGATTCCTTGTCCATCTTGGAAACAAGCTCCCACGGAAGTGATTGTTTACAAAAGTCTTGAACAAGATTACGCATCATGACTTCTTCTTCGGTAAAATCAAATAATGGTGATCTGGAGACACATCTTTGTGTTCCGGCCATCAATTTGATGCATTTTTGATTATTATTCTTTAAAACACGTGAGGCAATGACTCTTGATTTGAGCATTTTTTTTTAAATTTCATATAAAAAACTGTTTTTTGCAATTTTTGAATTCGGAGTAAATAATTTTTGTTCTTGTTTCCCGAAGGACTAGATATTGGTAGATGGATGAAACTAATACTTGCATCATGGAGGATAGTAGGAGGGTGACATTGGCTTGGTTTTGAGAGATTCTTAGTGATTAACAGCGCCCAACCAATGGAAATGTGGCTAAATGCTGATGAATGGATATTTTTCAAGTGATTGGCTAGTTTTGGAATTGAGTTTACAAAATATTTTGAAAATTCACCTGTTTCAGGTTCTTGAATTGTTTTTTGAATTTCAACTGTGTTTGAAGTAAGATACTATTTGATACATGATTATGAATGGGTCGTTTCATTTGTGGTTAATGTCAAATTTCATTCTTCGGAATATTATTAATAATTGAATAAATTCATAATACAGTTCAATCTAATTAAATTATTTTCAATATTCTAAAGTCAATTTATTTGCTTATTGTGATAACTGTATTTAATCAAAATTATTTAATTAAAATTAATATTAATAATAAAAAATGTCTAAAAACAGCGAGTTTGCAAAAAGACAAGATGCTGTGGAGAAGAACCTCGCTCTTACATTCCGATTTGATAGTATAGATGTTTGTTTTGATAAATGTTTTAAAGGATATTTTAAAAGTGTGGAATTAGGCTCTAACGACAAGGATTGTTTAATGAATTGTGCAACAAATTACACGCAAGCATTTGATATTACAACAGAGATTTTTAGTGCTAGATATAGAAAGGATATGCAAGCAGCAAAGAAATAAAAGCAAACTCCATCCGGTTCTTTCCAATCAGACCATATTGAACATTTTAGAGTAACTATAAGAAGCGTCGATGGTTTAGTGGTAGAATACGGCGTTGCCATCGCCGTGACCCGGGTTCAATTCCCGGTCGACGCAGTCATTATCTTTTTTCTTGATCAATTTGCATTCTACCTTTTGCAATTTTTAACCACTAAAACTAGACATTAATATCTACGTATGGTCGAAAAATTACAACTCCAAAAGCAATATCGATCGAGAAAGAGTCCACAGTTTCGGCCCTATTTTTTTTCAATTAAATTTTTTTAAAGATTTTTTCAATATTTTTAAGACAAATGCGATTTTGGGTGCATCGTATTATTGAAACAAGTTTCGTTTGATAATTTTGGACGATTCTGAACAGAGCAAGTATCAAACTCAGTAATAGGAGATGAAGTGTATTCGAAAGTGATGAACTGCTTGAAAATTCTATTCCAAGAAATATTTAACTCAAAAATATTTTGTAGACTTTATTGAGTGTGGATCTTAATAAACTTGTCAACAACAATTTGGCAAAATCCAATAATTGCTTCTTCGAAATTTTTTGATTCAGGATTTTCAGTCTTGAGGTACAAAATATCGGCAGCAATAGATGTGTGATAGAAAGCACGAAGGAGTTCAAACTTTTTCAATGATTCAACATCCAAATATTTTGCCATAGGTGGATAGGCATTTTTGTAGGCATTGAGGAATAGTTCTCTAAATCTATCACCATCGAAACCTTCAATTTTACCAATTCCAAGACCATCGTTTTCAAAGAAAGTAACTGTATGAAGTACGACACCAAGCTCATGTCCAAAGTAATTATTATGAACTTGATCAAAATCGAAAATCCACAGCTTGGTTCCTTCTGGTTGAACCTTGGCAAAGTAATTACTGACATTGATATCACCATGTACAATACCATAATTTTCAGAGTCAATTGGGTGAGATTTCAAAAATTCAGCCAATTCTGCATCATATATTTGAATTAAAGTCTTTGAGATTTCATGATCCTTTTGAGCTCTTTCTCTAATACGATTCAAATCACAAGCTCCATTATGAGTGCCTGAAATTTCTGGAATATATTTAGCCATTTCGTCCCATCTTTCAGGATTTCCAGCCTTTTCAGAAATAATCTTGTGTAATCTTCCCATAGCATCTCCAATTGCAACAATCATTGAATCATCAGTCAAACCAATCCATTTATCAACAACAGAATTACCTTGAGCATATTCAAACAAGACTCCATACCAAACCTTTTCCTTATCAGTTTCGTATGGTTCTTCCAATTCAGCAATGAGCAGAAATTCTCCATTTTCATTCACCTTCTTAGCAATTGGTGGGCAAACATTGAGAGCATACTTCTCATCTTGACTATGTAATTTAGCTTGATCATGAATTAAATTCAAATATTCCAATTCAGCCCAAATACTCTTCACTGAACGATGATGTTTAGGAGTGAGTCTCAAAATATAGGATTGTTCGGAATTATCCTTCACCAAATAGGTATGATTTTCCGATTGTTTAATCACAGTTTGTGTTGAGCTTTCAAACCCCCACAATTTATTGATCGTATTGATGGAATTTTGTGAGAGGGAACAAGTATTTGAAGACATTTTTTTGATTTTAAATTGCTTTGTGTTGTTCTCGAATTTGAAAGATTTTAAAGGTGTTGTGAATTGATTTCAATTTCCACCTTGATATCAAGTTGTACTCACAGTAGTAATAAACGTAAGCATCTGGAGTTCTGGAGTTGATTACTGATAAATCCCGACGGAATTATCTCATATTAAGATATATCGGAGCTCCAAAGAAAATGAAAATAATTTACTTATGTTTACAATAATAATGAATGTAAAATAAATGATTCAGAAATATCATTGTAAAACAATCCTGAATTTTCAATTAAAAATTGACAAAAAATAAGCCAACCAAGAAAATGAGAGAAATAATTTCTATTCATATTGGACAAGCAGGCTCTCAGATCGGAAACACTTGTTGGGATTTATTGTGTTTGGAACATGGAATTGATTCTTCAACTGGTGCTAAAATTCACAATCATTCTGCAGCTGATAAATATTTCTTTTCCGAGTCAATGGACGGAACGATGAGAGCAAGAGCATTATTCGTTGATTTGGATTCTGAAATTATTGATAAAATCAGATCAGGAAATAATAATATTTATGATGGTGAGAGTTTAATTAGTGGCAATGAAAATACGGCCAATAATTTTGCTAAAGGAAGAGGAGTTGGAGGAAATTTAGTTTTGGAAAATTGTTTGGAAAGAATTGAGAAAATGGTTGAAGAATGTGACGCATTACAGGGTTTCTTAATAACCTCATCTCTTAATGGAGGAACTGGCTCTGGTTTTAGAGATTTATTGATGGAGAGACTAGCACCAGGGTTTGAGAAAAAGTGTAAATTAAGTTTTGATATTTTAGCTTCACCAAGTTCTGTATCTTCATGTGTGGAATCATACAATGTCCTATTTGGAATGAATTCCATTCGTGAGTATTCGGATGCTTCAGTTATTGTGGAAAATGAAGCTTTAATTGACATTTGTAAAAACAAGCTGAATGTAGAGCACCCAAAGATGACAGATTTGAATGAAATTATTGCAAATGCAATCTCCTCGGCTACAATATCAGTAAGGAGAGAAGGAAGTTTGAATTCATCTATTTCTGAAATAATGACAAATCTTGTCCCGTACCCGCCTGTTAAATATCTTATCAATTCAATGAGTCCTTTGTACCCTAAGGAATTTGTTTTCTGTAGTTATGAGAAACCAACTATTACTGAGCTTACTGAAAGTTGTTTTATGGATAAATATTCAGTGATGACTAATTGCAATTTAATGGACGGCAAATTCATGGTGTGCACTGTCCAATACAGAGGGGATATTTGCATTAGACATGTTAGCTCTGCCATAGCCAAGATCAAGACATCCAGAGAAATTAAATTTGTTGACTGGTGCCCAGCTGGTTTTAAATGTGGAATTCATGATGGTCCTCTGTCGAATATTCCTGGTGGAAATATTTGTTACAGAGATAGGGATGTTAACATGTTGTCAAACTCCACCAGCATAAGCCAAACTTTTTCCAGAATCGAGAAAAATTTTGATGAATTATACTCTGAAAGATCATTCGTACACAGGTATCTTGAGGAAGGAGCAGAAGAAATAGAATTCACACAATGTAGAGAAGAAATACGATCTGTTCAAAATGATTATATTGAAATAAGCGAAGAAACTGATTATGAAGAGGAAGTTTAGAATAGTATAGCTTGTCGATGATACATTTTAATTATATCATCAACAGTGGTAATATCCTTTGGTTTCCTGAATGGCCTCTCTTTGTTAAACATTGGAAATCTAAGTGCAAAGCCTGCTCCCTCCTTTATCAATCCATGTCCAGCCATATGAACAGTTGATAACCCAACATCAGCAGCTTTTACTTCCCAAACTGTAATTGGCAAACCAAACCTGAGCTGGCTGTTTTTCATTGAAAATAACATTAGCACTTGGACTTGGTATTATGAGTTTGGATAATCTTTCTGAGATCTCTTGTTTTAGTTCTTGTGTAAATCCGACTGATAAAGAGCAAACAGTGACGAATTTCCCACACGACTTGTCATAACATGCCATTTGAAATCTTGTAAAGTTATTATTTGTATCTCTCAAGCAACCAATCACAACAAGCAAAAGCTTATTCCTCTCAATTTCCAACATTTCATTTCGAATAGTTGTATAGTTTTGTATTAGTTCTTCCGACTTGATGTGATCATCTAAAATGCAAAATGCTGTTGGCTCTTCACTTTCTGACATTTTTTTCAAATTACTAAATCCACTTTTAAGAGGAAATTCATTGTAACAGTATGTGATTAATGCTTTGGTTTTTGCTTTTTCTAATAACCATATTGGTGATATTACGGAAATGACGTAATTTCAAGTAAGTTGCTCCAGAACAATAGAGAGAGCGATGCTAGATATTCGTTTAAGATATCAATATTAAAAAAAATGTTCTCTTCGGAGGGACCTCTGCTTGATTCAAGTAACAAACCATCCACCTCAACACCATTTGGTGTAACCCTTAATCATTCGCTACCAAATCATACGTCATCACTGCATTTCCAGTCCCTCAATTCATCAAATGCTAATCACAATGGACAAACATTTAAGGCCCTACAACCTAAACGATCCATCGTATTCTTCATCAAGGTTGTTTTTTATATTTCATTGTTGATTTTCTTCTTAAATATGTTGCTGTACTTTTTCAGTAGCGTTGCTGAAAGACAGGATTTTGAAAGGGATATTAGTTCTTCTTTTGAGCATTTGGACCAACACCATCATTCTCAATTCCAAGAATCCATTAATAAGGAATTATCAGATTCAAAGGAAAAGCTGTCCTTGTTGAGAAAGAACACCATTCAACCAACAACAGCCTTATCTAAAATCAAGGGAGTGTTCTTTGGTGGCTTGAAATCAGGTTCTAGTAAAACTGCCTTCCCTCTTTTGAGCAGATATAATCCTCCCAAAGTTCCTTCGATTATGGAAACATTTACTTCCGACAAGAGATTAACTAGTGTATCAGAGTCAGATATATCACAACCTTTGATATCTATTTCTAGGGGCCCAGAAAAGAGTGAACCTGGATTTTACATTGACAAGGAAAATGAAATTAAGGCAAGAATTGATGTATCAACAATTCCTAAATCAACTCTATCTGCTATTAGTTACATGTTTGAGAGTAAAGACAATTGCATCAGGAATGATGTGGATATGGATAGTGTTAAAAAGACTGATGTTCAATTTACAACCTGCAGATTTGAAAATATCTGTTTGAATAGAAAAGGAGAGTGGATTATTTACACAAACAAACCTTTGGAAACAAATGAAAGGCCTTGGGTTTTTACATCTTCTGTTTACAATGAAGAGTTTTCTCCAGCCAAATTCAAGTTAAAGATAGCACCACCTCCAAAATCTGTTTTATATAAGGGCTCTGAAAACTTGACTCCTGAGAAAATTCATCCAACCACAATTACATTAGCCAAGAATTTCAAATGGGTCTCCACTCCAACATTTGGATTTTTCAGACATAATGCTGAAGAAGTTGGATCACTTGTTATGAACAACTACTTGCCAATGTTTAATCAGATGGCCGATTACGAGTTTGTAAATTATGACAATAATATTTTGTTCCTAGATGATGTTCACAATGATGGAACTGGTAAATTCTCTAGAGCACAATTAGAAAAGGCATCTATGGCTGAAGACCTTTCAATTGATTTTGGATCATTTGTTTCATCTAGTCTTCCTCTTCAAGTTTGTGATAATGACGAGAAGGGTACCTATGTTGATTTTGCTCCATGTAGACAATTGAGAAATGCTCAATCCAAACCGTTGGATAAGGAAGGTGAGGAATTGGACACTTGTTTTTCAAGTTTGGTTGTAGGTTCTCCTGACTCTTATTTCCTATCACCTGAAAAGAGACATCACTTGATTCCAGTTTTCAGAGATTACGTTTTGAATGGAATGGGATATGTACCTCCAAGAAGCTACTTTGAAGGAAGAAAGAAGATTTTGATTATTGGTATACTTAATTCTTCCAAGAAAGAAAGTATTGTGAATGCTGATAAATTGACTGACTACTTAAGTGGATTGGCCAAGGACATTTTACAGCAAGTCAACTCTCACAGAATTCCTGATGACAGATATGAAAGTATTAGAATTTTGAACTTGAAATTGGACGATATGACTGTTGTTCAGCAAATAAGACTTTTCACAGTAATGGATGTATTCATAACTAATCAAGGATTAGACTCTTACTATTCATTGTTCATGTATAACCCAAGAGCATTAGTAATCTATGCACCAATGTGTTTCACTGCAACGAATCAATGTACTGACTATAATTTGAGAGTTCTTCATACCTTCTCAAATATCAAAGTTGTTTCCCTAATGGAATACCTTTCTTTGGTAGAGTGTGTTAAAGAACCTACAGATAGTGCTAAAGGAAGTCTTGTTACAGCTATGAAAGAGGTTCCAAAAAATCTTACTGGAGATTGTCATATAAGAATCAATGCATCTGGACTTTACTTGCTCATCATAAAGGCTGTAAAGCACATTTAAATAATATTAAACTTATAAAATGGTTCTCTGTTTTCCACATCCATCATCTAGATGAGATAAAAAGTTAGGCCCCTTTGTATTTGTCTGATGCATTCACCTATTCGTCCATAAAAGGGAGCTTCCATATTTACATATTAAGGATGATGTACATCAATAATAAAAAAACAATAAATTGAATAAATAGTGTTGTCAATATCTATTATTAACATATAAAAAATGAAACAACAAACATTCTTCAAGCACTTGAATAGTATTATTTCAAAAAGTATCAAATTACCGACGACCTTTCCAAGTATAAGGAAAAATTATAGAACAATATCGGCCACTAATTCTTCATTAAGGGTGTTCAGTACAGCCAGTCGGATTTGCAGTACTAATAATCATGATGAAATAACCATCCTTCAAACAAATTTGAAATTTGAAGACGAGCTAACCTTTGCTGAAAGACTCATTACTCTTAGGAAAAAAGGAGACACTGTTGTCATACCTCCACTCATCATAGATCATATTAAACAAGAAGCAATGAATGAAAATCCGAGAGCCCTTTTCAATTTGGGAGAATTCTTAGTATTAGGTCTTGGTGGAAGAATCAATCACAAAGAAGCATTTGATTGTTATTTGAAATCAGCAAAATTGGGTTACAATAAGGGGAAACATTTGGTTGGATATTGTTATAAAGAAGGTCTTGGAGTTGACATTGATTACAAAAAATCAATGGAATGGTTTGTTGATGCAGCCAATAGTGGAATTCCTCTCTCTGCATTTGAAGTTGCCAGTCTGTATATTGCAGGTCAAGGATGTGAGCTAAATGTTATGGAGGCTTTACAATGGGCTCTCAAAGCTGCATCAAGTGTTGAAAGAGATATTCCACGAGCAAAAGAAATGGTAGGAAAGATTTACCTCTTTCAGAAAGATTATGAAAAGAGTTTGGAATGGTTGACTAAGGCAAGTGAGTATAATCTTCCGGAATCAAGACATTGGCTTGGTTGGATGTATCTTAATGGCACAGGAGTAGTTCAGAATTATAAGAAAGCAAGGGAACTTTTCGAATTATCACAGAATTCTGAATCTTGTTTCAGACTTGGGTCCATATATGAAATGGGATTGGGAGTGCCAATCGATAAAGAGAAAGCTTTGGAATGGTTTACTAAAGCAGCAGATATGGGACACAAATCAGCTCAATATATGACTGGATTAATACTATTAGAAAATAAGGAATACTCGAAAGCTTATGAATACTTACTAAAAGCTGCCAATCAAAATGAAGCAAATGCAATGCACTTAGTTGGTGAAATGTTACGTGATGGTTGTAAAGGAGTTCCAAAGAATGCATCAGAGAGTGAACGTTGGTTGAAGAAGGCCGAGAAAGCAGGTTACAACCTAAACTATTAACATGGTTTTACAAAATTTACTGATCTATTTGAAGATTGGTTTATTTCTGATTCAATGCTTGAATAATTTCATCAACAGTATCAACAAAATGGAAACTAATGCAAGTTATCATCCTTTTCAAATAATATACAACTTACCATTTCAAATATTTAGGTGATGAATTCAATTCAGTTGAAATAAATTTGATAATCTTTTCCCATGGGTCTGTAAATATGAATACATTAAGTTTTCCAAGTTTTAATTCAATATCCTTACCTCTAAAGACGAAAATCTTCTTCACTGGATCTTCAGTAGCAGGGAAATGTTCATTGATATAGTACAAATTCCAAGCAATCATCAATTCAGCAGCTGTTCCAAGACTTCCTGGAAGAACTACTATATAACTTCCAGAATCAGTCAATCCCTTAATTCTTCCATACAAATCATTGGTATCTTGAGTGGTGGTCAAGTATTTATTTCCCTGTTCAGTTCTCTTGTAGAATGTTTTACTACTAATGACACCCTTTACATCAACTGGATGAGAAGCAGCTCCTTTAGAAACTCCTTCCATAGTTCCACCATATCTATATTATCAATACATATTGTCATTACATTATCAATTTAAATTAATATTAGCATATGAAATGTTAGAATAAAATTGATTGTGACGAAATTTACCCTCCAGTGCAAACAGAATAACCTTCTCTTCCCAATTTATCACCAAGTTCTACACTCAATTCATATAATGGTTCACCAGGCTTTGGTGCAGAAGCTCCGAAAACAACAATATGACCATCATATTGGTTGAGTGATTGATTTTGGTTTGTAGACATTTTTTAAATTTTGAATTTGCAGTTATCCATAAAAAAACATTAAATATTTCCTGAAGAAATTGTAAGATAACAATATTATAAGAGTATTATCCATTGTATTAAATTAAAATATTAAATATTAAAAGTTTAACAACATTTTGATTCGGAAAAACCAAATTAAAAAATTTATCTGTACATCATCTCCTCCAATTACACTGTAGCAAATTTGCTGTTCCGTGATGATGATGCAAATGAAAAATTACTTTGAAACCATAGAGGAAGATGAAGACTTGCATAAAATTGAAAAGATTCATCCGGTGCCATCAATGAGTACCGATGAAAATCATCCTTTAGGAATTATTATTGATAATGGAAGTTATCATTGTAGGGCTGGTTGGTCTTCAATGGATGAACCTGTTCTCAATTTTAGGCCATTGTGTGCCAAGTTAAAAGCGAGTGAGATTAAAAATTTGGATTTTGTTTCCGATGATGATAAATTAGTACTTCATAATGGAGGATATTTAGTTGGAAATGATTTACATCCTTTTGATTATTTAAGATATAATGCAAGATCTCCTTTTGATAATGATTTAGTAACAAGTTTTGAATATTTTGAACAAGTGATGGATTATATATTCTATAAATTGGGATTTTCAACAGCTAGTGACATTAGTTTAAAAGATATTCCATTAGTAATTACTGAATCTATTTTAAATCCTGCATTTACAAGACAATCTACTCTTGAAATATTATTCGAATGTTATGGAATACCTGCTATTAATTTATCTATTGATGCTTTATTAAGTTTGCATCAATCTTGTACAGAAAAATCATTGAATTATTCCAATGTAAATTCATTAATTATTAGATCTGGTTTTCACTCTACTCACGTGATACCAATACTAAATGGTACAGTCCAGTGGAATAGTTGTAAAAGATTAAATTTAGGAGGTTTTCATGCCACTGATTTACTCTTAAAGACAATGCAATTGAAATATCCAAATATTGGGACAGATTCTAAATATTTTATTCCTATTTATGACGTTTTGGGAATACCTTCCTTGTCTGTAACAAAGGCAGAATTCTTAAAAGTCAACTATTGTCAGGTTTCTGATGATTATCATTCTGTATTGCAAAAACTATCAGAAGACAAGGAATTTTATGAAAATAGCACTGTTAGAATTTTCAACAATAAGTTGCAATATGAGGAATTTTTAAAAGCAAAAGAAGCTGCAGCACAATTAACAGCAGAAATTAAACCTGATGAACACCCAATTCCTGAGTTTAAAAACTTATCTGAGTGTGAAAAATGGTTAGAAACCAAGAGGAACGAATTGGCTCAACTTCAATTCAAATTACAAAAAATGCAATTTGAACTTTCTTCACAAAGCAAAGATCACACCCTTAAGAGCAAAAGATCAGCTGCCTCAAAGCAAAGACAAAAATCCAAAATTGCAGCTGAAATTCATGATGCAGAAGATGAAACCTTTGATGATTGGAGTTTATACGATACTGATAAGAAAAAGAAGAAAAAAAAGAAGAAATCCTCCACTAAGGAAGAAGTTGTTGATGCCAAGAAGGTAAAGAAAGCTACTTCTGAAGTTAATGATTTAACAAATCTCATCCACAAAGTAGAAATGAAACATTTCGGTGAGAAGAGGACTGACTATGTCAAGTCACATTTCATTTCTCAATATAAGAAAAGTAAGAACATGTCAGATAATACTGGGTTAAGATTGACAGTTGAAAGAATTCGTATTCCAGAAATTGTTTTCCAACCATTAATTGCTGGAAGAGATCAAATAGGTCTTGCTGAGATATTGGAAAACACATTACAGGAATTTTCCAAAGAGCAACAAGCAGAATTAATAAGTAATGTGTTTGTTTGTGGTGGAAATACTTTATTTAAAGGATTCAACACAAGACTCGAAAATGAAATTAGAAAAATTTCACCTTCAGGCTCATTAATTAATGTTACTGGTGAAAGTAATCATGAGAACTCTGCTTGGATGGGTGGAAAATCTCTCTTAATCAATAATTATAATAATAGTACGTATTGGATGAAACTTGATGAATATCAAGAGCAAGGAGCTGAAAGGCTGATTTTCAAACAGCATCCAATGTCAAATATTTCATAAATATTAATCTTCAAAATCTCTATAAACTTTGACCTTGTTTTGTTGAACCTTTCTCTTCTCAGTAACAACATGTTTGAATTTTCTTTGTTGATTGAAAGCATCCATTTTCTCTTTGGCTTCCTTCAATTTTGCAATTAATTCATCTTCGTGTTTCTTAGCTCTGGATTCTTTACCCTCTTGTCTGTATTTCTTCAAAGTTCTTCCTTCACATTCTTTGAAAAATTCTGGTTGTAAAACTGAAGATCCTTCTACTGTGCAATGTTTAGTCTTTTTGCTTGTTTTTTCTTCATTTGATGAATTAGAGTCACTATCAGAAGAATCTTCTTTGGATCTCTTCTTACTCTTCTTTTCTTTCTTTTCTTTCTTTTCCTTCTTCTTCTTGTCGGATTTTTCTTCGGATTCCTCTTTCTTTTCCTTTTTTTCCTTCTTCTCCTTCTTTTTTTCCTTCTTTTCCTTCTTTTCCTTCTTTTTCTTTTCTTCCTCATCAGATGAATCACTGCTTGAATCAGAATCGGAAGTAGATTTCTTCTTGGCAATATTATCCAACATTTGATTATAAGAGTTTTCCCACCAATAATTTGGTTTCTTTTCCTTTTCAGAACCAATACCAATACCTGTTTGATGATACTTTTTAGAAGTAGTTACATGATCCTTGATGCCATCCTTGTTCTTTCCCAATCCTTCACCAGCTTGAAATCCGTACTTTCCCAAAATTTTCATACCAAATCCAGAGAGTGATGAGAATTTGGAAGTATAATGAGGAGTAGACGGTTTGAGAGAATCACTAGTAGTGGTGTTATTGGTGGTAGCTTCAGAATCACTTGATGACATTTTTTTAATCAACAAAATTCAACAAAAACCGTGAAGCAAGAAGTCAAAGTATTAAGTGGTGAAATGATTCTTATTAATTGGAACTTTATTTGAATATTATTTGCAATAATGTGTTATTTAGTAAGGTATTAAATCTATAATTCTTTTTAATATTAAATACAATTTACACTGATCGGAGTGATTCTTTTGATTGAAAATGAAATCTATTTCCCCACACTATTAACTCCTAATCACTACATTTCTTATTTTTAATCCAAGTAAAACATCCTCAATGACCACGGTCATCATCAACACAGCAAATACTAAACTTCGGATTTTTTAATTGATGATAGTGGCAGCTTGACAATTTTTCCACCAGCAGAAGCGAATAAAAATAAAAAACGCTGCGTTGTAAGCAACACGAAAAAAATATAAAAATGTTGAGCAAGACTGCCCGTTTGTTGAAGGCTAACAAATTCACATCATCCTCCCTCATCAATAAATCTATCCAAACTCGTGCTTATGCCGATGTTACTGATGGTAGACAAGCTGCTATGGAAGAAGCCATTCAATCCATCTTGACTAACACAAATAACGAATTTGAAGTTACCAAGGAATTGGCTTTCGTCGCTTCGACAGTCAAGTCTGAAGAAGACTTTGCTCACGTCATGAGACTTGCTTCCAGAGTTGTACGTATTAATATTTAGAAAGTTTGGAGATTTATCAACATGAATTTATTATAATAACAATAATTTGATGAAAACAAATAATCACAAACAACAACAATAATTTTGGATTTTACTGATCCTCTACATGATTTAAATAATATTTAGGGTGGTAAACTTTCTTATCAAGGATACCAAGATGTCGGATTCATGCAAAAGAAGCCAGTTGTCCGTGTTGCTATTACTGGTGCTGCTGGTCAAATTGCTTACTCATTGATTCCAAGAATTGCTAGTGGTGAAATGTTGGGCAAGGATCAACCAGTTCACATTGTTTTGATTGATATTCCAGACTCAATGAAGGTTGTTGAAGGTGTTGTTATGGAATTGCAAGACTGTGCCTTCCCATTGGTCAGAGGTATCACTGCCACCAGTGATTTGGCTGAAGGTTTCAAAGATGTTGAATATACATTGCTCGTTGGTGCCAAGCCACGTTCAAAGGGTATGGAAAGAAAGGATTTGCTTTTGGAAAATGCCAAGATCTTCCAAACTCAAGGTAAAGCCCTCGGTAAGCATGCTAAGAGTAACAATTTGACTTTGGTTGTTGGTAATCCAGCCAATACTAATGCTTTGATTGCTGCTTCAAATGCTTCCAATATTGATCCAAAGCAATTCTCTGCCATGACTCGTTTGGATCATGATCGTGCATTGGCTCAAGTTGCTAACAAGTTGAAGGTTCCAGTCCGTTCATTGTCTAAATTCGCTATTTGGGGTAACCACTCTGCTACTCAATATCCAGATCTTTCATATGCTTTGGTTGATGGTGTTCAAGTTTCTTCCAAGGTTGAAAAGACTTGGGTTGAATCTGAATTCATTCCAACTGTACAACAACGTGGTGCTGCCATCATTAATGCTCGTGGTTCATCATCTGCTGCTTCTGCTGCCGATGCTGCTATTAAGCACATGCGTGATTGGTCTTTGGGAAGCAACGGTGAATGGGTGAGTATGGCTGTTCCATCTGACGGTTCATACGGTATTAAGCCTGGTGTTTATACTTCATATCCAATCGTTTGTACTGGTAATGGCAAGTATGAAATTGTCAAGGATTTGAAGATTGATGCTTTCTCTCAAAATAAGATTGACCTCTCCATTAAGGAACTCCTCGAAGAAAAGGCTGGTGTTTCTGCTTTGTTGAAATAAATTAAACCAAAAATAATTTGGGCTTTTTGTAATTGACTATTTCAATAATTGAAAAACAAGATTATCTTTGATCTTTTCAAAGATTGTATGGAAACTATTGTTCTTGTTTTCAAAAAGATAAAGTACAAGGTTTAAAGACAAATTGACCCTAAGCGTCATTTTTATTGTTCATGACCCAAACGGAAGAAGTACGTGTTACATTTTAGTTATTTAAAAACGATGATGTATTCGTTCCAAAAATTTAAACTCTCTTAACAGTGAGGTTTGAGTGACTATCGAAAACAGTTTCAATTTCAACAGAGTCCCAAGCCTTCTTGTCAGTCTTCTTTTGAGCCCAGATGCTGCCTTCGAAGAGAGACTTGTAGAGTGGATTTTGGTTGAAGATCAAAACAAAGATACCGATTGGGACGAGCAAGAACAAAGCAGAGTAAGCCCAGACGGAGAACTTTCTGTTAGTAAAGGTTGGGTGAACATCGAGGAGGAATTTACCATTATCAACAAACTTGAAGACTCTTTGCAATTCCTTTTCGTATTTGATGAGAGCGTTCATACGGCCTTCTTCAGCGTTACCGAATGGAGAGGCAAACTTGACGTGGGAAGCGTTAGCTGGGACTGGCTTAGTGGAGATGTTATACTTCTTCATAACCCATTCCTTGTCAATAGTTTGTTCTGGGGCTGGAACGTTATCGTGTGACCACTTAGCCCAATGTTCAACAAAAGAGTCTTGGAGTTCCTTTGGGACAAGGTTCAAGGCTTGCTTGTTTCTTCTACGAATAACGTCTTTAAAGACAAGGTTAACGGTCTTGCTCATTCTGATTATTTAAATTTAAAAGTGATGATGATAAATTTTTATGATGGCAAAAGAAATTTGTTCAGCAATCAATTGCGAGTGATATGATGACTTACTTTTCTCTGTATTTTTTTTTTAATTTTTCTAAAAGAGGTGCATCAAGTTTTGCCCAAATATCGGCTCTTGGTTGGCCTTCTTTACAATTTCGACACAAGTCGCCTATGAACAGAGTAAGGAAGCCAATTGGAGAATTAACATTATATTATTTCAATACTTTGTAACGGATATATCAGTCTTGCACAACAATATTTGATTCTTATTGAACGTAACAAAATATTCCTATCATCTTCATACAAAAAGAATAACAAATGAACGAATAAAAATTTTGGCGGTTCAAAATTTGAAGAATGTCTCTCAAGTTGCTCCATTCAAATAGTGCCAATAAGAACTTTATCTAAGAATTAAAGAAAATAAATATACTTATCACATTTGAGAACATTTTGACTGATTCAATTAATTCTCATCACAAAACAATTTTAATTATAAAAATTGAAAATAAAAAAATGCTTTTCTTGAACGGAACAAAGGCTATCAAAACAACAGCTTTACGATTCAACCAAAGAGCTGGACAAAAATTTTATAAAGCAAGAGGAATGGGAAGATGTGGTAATGAAGGAGGTGCTTTGCATGATTTACCGGATTGGAGTTATACCAACGGAACACCTGGACCAATCAGTCACGGTGCTGAACATAAACAATTAACTAGAAAATATTTCGTAGAACGTGTTGTTCGTCTTGCTGTTGAAGCTGACCAAGACGCTTCTAAACTTGTAAATTTTGAACCATCAGTTAGAGCTCACCGTCAAAGAGATGTATCTTTTTACTTTGATTTATTAGAAAAGGGATATACATTGAAAGGAGTTAAAGACCAAGTTAAAGTTTTGAAGGAATCAGGAAAAATCCCAATGTAAATTCATAATATAGTCAAGGATAATTTTCGAATTATTTATTATTTAATAATTTATTGAGCGTTTTTGTTTATCTGCAGATACTTGTTGCTTGATATAATTAATATCCTTAATATCCTTCTTCAATATGGACAATAACTCATTTAATCCATTTGTTTGTTGTTCCAAAAAGTTCTTTACATTTTCTTTAGTTTCATCATCTAAAGTATTATTATTCAGTAACAAGTTAGATTGTTGTAAATAGTAATTGACTTGAGGAGATAATTCAATAAGTCTTCCTCTAAATTGATTTGGTTTGTGTAATTCTCTTTGTAAGGTATTTAATTTGTTTCTCAATGAAATGTCTTCATTTCTAATACCAATACCTGATTGTGTCAATACCTCGAGTTTGCTTTGAATTTTAAGAATTCTATGGGATAGATCAGTATGTCTTTGTTTAATACCACCAATTCTACTCATAGTATCAGCTTCATGTTTAGTTTTGCATTCAGAAATTTTAGAATCCAATACTTTCAAAAAATCGTTCATTAATTCAATTCTCTTTTGTTGTTTTTCCACACGGTCTTTGACATCTTTAAAAGATGTTGCAGGTATTGGAACTAATCTAGACGGATCTGGGTTTTTTTCCATAGCTTGTCTCCATAATTCTGGGTTAATAGATCTAGCATATTTTCTCGTCAAGGCTTCTAAAGTTGCTTGTTGCTTCCCATCATCAACTACATTATAAAAGAAATGCTGTTAAATAAAATTAGTACTTGTTAAGTTCAAATCATCAAAACCTACAATAAATTTACAATATGGATTGTCAGGAGTATCAGTGGAAGATTTATACTTTAATTCAATAATTTTGAAACTATTATCAATTGGATTATTTGTAGGAGTTCCTAAATTAAATCCAGTATTTGTATTAGCAACAGTGTTTGTAGTACCAAAATTAAATCCGGTTGTTGGCTGAGTTGGTTGTGTATTTGTTGCTGTACCTGTTGTACCAAAATTAAATCCAGTTGATCCTGTTGTTCCAGTTGTTGGCTGAGTTGGTTGTGTATTGGTTGTACCAAAGTTAAATCCTGTTGTTGGTTGTGTGTTAGCTGTTGTTGTTGGTGCTCCGAAGTTAAATCCAGTTGAAGTACCTCCTGTTGTTCCAGTGTTATTTGTGGTACCGAAATTAAATCCTGTGGTTGCAGGCTTATTTTGATTTGAAGTGGTACCAAATGAAAAAGACATATTTTTTTGAATTTTAATAATAATTTATTCACTATTCTGTACGGAGGAATTTCGAATAGTGGGATCAACTTTTAGGCCTATTCTCTCTTCATTTCTCTAAGAGCACTAAAGAACTACATGTAGTTCCTCCACTTATCAACGATACAAAATACATTTACATTTAATAATTTATTTAAAACTACAAGGAGAATCGTGTATGATGATCAATTTACAAATTATCTATTCTTTCTACGTCCACCAGCAGAGGCACCACCAGCAGGTCTGCCACCCATCATTCCCATCATACCCATCATGCTCATCATACCACCAGAGTTTTCATCTTCAATGCTGGCCTTGATTGATTCTTCAATATTAGCAATTTCCTTTTCATACTTCTTCTTGTGTTCATTGTGTTCCTTGAATTGCTTGTTGGCATATTCCACGTTGGCATCGATACCTTTAAGAATTTCCTTTGCTCCGACTGTCCAGTTCTTTAATACAGAAATCATTTGATCAATATCATCTAATTTGATATCTCTACCAATTGTCTCATAAACTTCCATCCACTTTGACTTTTGATCCAGTTTACCTTCTAACAATCCTTGATACATACAATCGATCAATGTATCTTCCAATTCTCTGACGTTAGTGATATCCAACTCACGTAATAAATCTTCATACTTGAGAAGACGACTCTTTGATGCAAGTGTAACAATTGAAAGCTGTTTAAGTTTGTTCAAATTCTTTTCAGAGAGTTGGGAATAGTTTTGTGGGTTAGCCTTGTATTCGCTATAAGTTCCAAAAGCGAAAAGCTTTAATGTATTTAAATCCTTTTGATTTTCTGTTCCCTCTAATTCCTTGATACCTTTCAGATCTAACATTTCAGAGAATACAAATGTGTTAGGATGGTTAATAGCTTGTTGGATAAGATTAACAGCTGATTTTCCCTTCACAGTTTTACCTAAAAGCAAAAATTGTTCAATTGCTTGTTCTGGTGATTGAGCCATGTTTTTTTATATTGTGTGGTGATGATTATTATTTGTAGCGAGTGAATTAATCAAAAATTCGTGATGACGATATGATGATCAAGTTGCACACCAGAAATTTTTTTTTGATGAAATCTATTTTCGGAACACATTTACAACACATGTTCTCTTCTTCACAGGCCAGAACAGAGTGGAAATCATTGGTTTTTTATTAGTGTCAAGTTCACTCCACCAGTAAAATGCAAAATAGTCAAAGAATTGAAAAATATTAAGATTTCCATCCCAACAATAAAAATCAACAAAATATTTATTTTTGAAATGATAAGTAAGAGAAAAAATTAATTAAATCTATATATAAAATATTTTAGTCTAACAGTTTAAATAATTTTACATTTACATCACAATGTATTTCAAAAAAAAGGAATGTAAATTTTAAAATTTAATTTATTAATAGTCACAAACGCATAGATGATCATGGTTTGGAGATAAATTACAAGACGATACAACTAAATTGAAATGAGAACAGAATTAGCTCATTTCTTTGAAGAGAATATTCAAAGGCTTGTTGCTTGCTGGTTACAAAAATTGAAGCACACAATAAACAAAAACCCGTTTTTAAAAAAATATTAACACATAACAAACTTACATCATGACAAAGAAGACAGTCAAAAAGAACGCTAGAGGTAATACCGTTGATTTGCAAACTTTCTTAACTACTAGCTCCGTTGACAGCTGGGCTGAAGAAATGGAAGGAGAACCAACAACAACAACACCAACTGCTGCTTCCACAACATCAACTGGTCTTACTCTTGATGAATTAAGAGCCAACAATGAAGGTTCTCACGGAGGTAGTAGATTCAATAATAACAGTGGTTTTGGTCAACACAGAGAAAACAATTACTCTCGTGAATTGGGTAATAGTGCCCAATCTAAAGTTAAACCTTCATCTTTCTACTCTGAAGGTGCTCCACAAAAATCATCTTCTGGTTTCAGCGAATCATCTTCATTTGAAAGAAGAGAAAGAAGACCACAACAACAAAATGAATTACCAACTGAAAGACCATTTGTTGCTTTTATTGGTAACTTGTCATTCAATGCTACCAAAGATGATTTGTCTGATTTCTTCGGTGAATCAAGCCCAATCAATATTTCCCTTCCAAAGGATAAAGAAACTCAACGTCCAAAGGGTTACGGATATGTTGAATTTGACACTGTTGAAGATTTAAAGCTTGCTATTAGTCTCAATGGTAGCGATTTCATGGGTAGATCCATCAAGATTGATATTGCTTCTCCTGATACTGCTGCTAAGGTCACTGTTGATAATAGAGATTCATTCAGAGGAGGAAATAGAAGAGAAGGTGGATTTAGAAGAAATGATAACTTTGAAAGAACTCAACCACAATCTGTTGCTGATAAAGCTGACAATTGGAGAACTGGTGGTGATTTGGATGTTAACCCATTCGGTAGCAAGAAGAATAATACTAACAACACTACTCGTAAACCAAGAGAAGATAACAATGCTGGTGGAGCTTTTGGATCTTTCTCATCAAAGCCAAGATATGAAGAATCAAAGTCATCTCAAAGACCAGCTAAACCTTCACTTTTCGGAGAAGGAAAGCCTTGGGAACCAAAAGAAAAGGATTTGAAAGCTTTGGAACCAAACTTGGATATTTTGTCTTCAAAGAAGAAGGCTACACAACAAAAGAAGGAAGGTGAAACTAACCAAGAAGATGAATTCCAAACTGCTACTTCAAAGCCAAGAGGTGGTAGAAGATATCAACAAGCTAACAGAGGTGGTTTCTCAAACAATACCAATAATACCAATAAGAAAGCAACCTCTTCTAAGAAGTCTGAAGAAGAAGAACAACAAGATCTTGAAAGCAAGAATCAATATGCTGCCCTAAGTGAACAAAACGAATAAGGTTATTTCTGTAAACCCTAATAATTTTGATTTCCTATTTCTTTTAATTATTATCTAAACTCTTATCCCAATAAATATTCCCCTCCAATTTTATTATGTAAATTGTCGTTATTCTATTGTAATCAATTATCTCAATTATTTTCAATTAACATTTACAATATTCTTTAATGATATTCATAAAACAAAGAAGTAGTAAACTTGAGAATTTTAAATAAATTTCAATGTATTATTCATCACAAATGTAAAAATAATATTTAAAAAAATGAATGCAAGAAAAATCGCAACTTCCCTCTTCAGAAGCTCATCTTTGAAGCAACATTCCCACATCTCTTTCGCTCATAAATTTAATAAATGTACCACCAGATTTGCTCAAGGTAGGTATATTAAATTGTTATTAGTAATAATTTAAAATAATTATTTGGATATTATTATTGTGATGGTGGATGATACTAGTCAATGCCCAAAGAATAAATCACGATGTTGAATCTGCTCAAAAGCCATCCGTTATGGATAAGGTAGTAAACATTACAGTTTTTGATAGAGAAGGAAAGGTCCACCAAGTTCCGGCCTATGTTGGAGAAACTTTAATGGATTCAATTAGAAGAGCTGGTATTAACCTTGTTCCTGATTCAACTTGTCTTGGAGAATGTGCTTGTGTTGGATGTCATGTTATTGTTTCTAACGATCATGAACACAAGTTAACACAATGTAGTGAAGATGAAGCCGAAATTCTGGAGGATGCCCCATTCGTTCATGAAAATTCTAGATTAGCCTGCCAAATTATTGTTGACAAGAGTATTGCAGGACTTGTTTTGGCTCTTCCTCAATCCAGTACTGATGAATCATTGGATCCATATTTTAGATTCTAAATTATTATTATTTTGGACTTTTTTAATTATTAAAATTATTATTTAAATATAATTTAAATTGGAGAAGGATTATTAGTGTGTAAATCACTTACTCTAATTGCTAATTTGTTTTGCAAACAACAAACGCAAAGGGAATTTTAAATAAAAACTTTGGCGCCCAAAAATTTAAAAAAAACAAACCAACCGTTAATTGGTGTTTTATTATTTATTTGCTAGTATTTTTCAATTATTATTATTGGATGATCATTATACAATTATCATAACCAACAATGTCATCAAAAGGAAAAACAACATCACTGATTAGGATCAGGGATTTTAACATGTACAATGATCAAGTCTCCGAATTAAAAAATCTATCAACACAAATTAAAGCAAGGAAGAGTGAAAATCTATCACAATCCGATATAAGAATATTAGAAGTTCAACTGTCGAAAATTCAAGATTCCTTCTCAAAACATTTGTATAGTAATGTCAGGGTTATGAAACCTCTAGAAAAACAATTTTCAGGTAAGGATTTCATTTGTTTTTTTGGATTCATTCTTTCAATTAAAATAGTTAAAGAAACAAAAGAGCCTAAGGATGTTAATTTAGAGGAAAGAGTTCTAAATTATCACAAGAAAATGATTGAAATTGTTGAAGAGATTAATTCACATAAAAAGAAAGTAATGGAAATTTTAAAGAATAACAATTTAGCTCAAATTGATCTAGGAAAATTCAAAGAAGAGTGTGAGAAACTGAATGTAGATTTTGAAAAGGCTCAAGAAAATGAAAAAATTATCCAATCAACCTCAAATTCTACGAATGAAAAAAAACAGTTTGGAAGTGTTGTGTGGGATCCTGAAGAAATTGATAATCAAATAGCTAAATTTGCAAAGGATTCACAACTGCTAGGAACAGAATTAGGAGGAGTGTATGCTAAATTGGCAGAGTCACAAAAAACTATAGAGCTCATTAATAGGAATGAAACATATTCTGTAAGAGAAGAAGAAAAACAAGCTCTTCGTAAGGCGATTTCCTCAACTAAGAATACTCAGGCATCCAGTCAACTAGACCAAATAATATCCTCTCAACACTCTGTAGAAAGTTCTCAATCTCAAACAACCTCTGGAGAGCAACAAAATAGAACACCAAAGAAGAAAAAAAAGAAAAAGAAACACCAACAACATGACAATCAAAATAATAACAATCAACAGAAAACACCTGAACATAAGCGTAAAGGTAATTCTCAACAACCTCAATCTGCAAGCAAAAAAACAAAACATTAAATTATTCTTTAAAAATTACAATTTACTTTCTAATAAAGTTGAAAATAACTGGTAAAGAAATCAAAAAGACAGCAAAAATGATAATAATGATCATGATACTCTTTGGACTCATTGTCTTTTGAACTTTCTTTGATTCTACATAATTGAGGAATTGGAATAGTTCACCAATTTGTTGTTCTGATGTGATGAGATTAATTAATTTTGTTCGCACAGTTGTATCATTACATTTTCCTGAGGTTTGGAAGACAGTATTCAAACTAGAAATGCATCCAAATCTGGTATATCTATTGAAGCAGAATTCCTTTAAATCGTGTGATTGTGATTGCTTGTCTTGTTTCTTCTTATCTTTCTTTTCAGCACTCTTTTGAATAACTTCATAAATTGATTGAATAACACCTGAATCAATAATCTTTTCTAAGAGAGCAGCAATCTCCTGCTTCATGGATTCAGAAGCATTGGCATAACTAGCATTTAAACTATTGCAAATAACCTTTAACAAAACCATTGAATGGAATCTGATATCACGAAGATAGACATCAATTTTTTCTCTAGTATACTTAATATCCTTAATCAAAAGATCGACAAAATCAATTTCGTTATTCAAGTCGAGAATTGCTTGTGTTGATCCTTCAGCTGATAAAAGACCTTGGAATGCAAGGAAGGCAGCATATGTCATATGACTCAATGTAGAAGCTCTATTATTCTTAATCAAACTGTTGAAAATGGTAGTCATCAAAGAATAATTATTTGGAGTACCATATTCTTTGAGAATTGAAGTTGCAACAGAATTATTCTTAATACATGATCTACCAATAATATAACAACATAATGAGCAAATGTAGGCACTGAATTTTGATCCCTCTTCTCCTTTGACAACATATTTCTTCAATAAATCAACAACCTTTCCAATCAAACCTGAGCTATTGACAAGTGGAATAAGTTTTTCATTGCTGACAAAACATGAAATGAGTAAAAGAACCTTTTCAAGCATTAATCTATCCTTATCAAAATAGTAATCAATAAAACTGATCAAGAAGTTTTTGGACAATTCAGCAACCATATTAGAAATTTCTTCAAATCTTGGTTGAGAAACAGAAACATCCAAAAGTTCAACAAGAGTTTGAATAATCAATTTCGAGTTATAGTGATAACAAACAGCAATATCACTAGAATCATCACCCTCCAATTTGGACAAATTCTTAATATTTTGTTCTCCAGCTTCAATCAAAACTCCTAAAATATTCTTATTAATAATTCTCTTTTTAAATTCAAGTAAACGTTCATTTTCATCCTCATCAAAATATTCATCAACTTCTCTTTCATTATCCATCATTGGTTCTTTAAGCTTTTCTTCATCAGCCTTATCCATTTCTTGAAGCATAGCTTCTTCAGGATCAATTGTCTTGTTTGGATCTTCCTTCAAACGTGGTGTCTTTTGATTAGATTTGTTTTCCTTTTCTAATCTATTTTTTCTAGCCATATTAATATTAAAAATATATGTAGATCTAGCAACATAGTTAACCATTTCTCTGAATGAAGAAACAATCTTGAAGAAGAATCTAACAGATTGTGTAGTGTAGGTTAACAATTCCTTTGATGGTTCATTTGAATCAATATAGAGTTTTAACAATGGTTGAATCCAACTTTCAACAACACCTGCACCAATAATATCAATAGATTTTCCTAAGAAAGTTAAATGGATTAAAATTTCATGGAAACGAAGAGCCATAACATTAACCTTTTCTGAAGTCAAGCGTGATTTTTGTGATTCTAAATATTTAAAACACTTTTCAATAGATTCCTTTGAAATTGATTCAGTTAAATTTTTAATTTGAACCTTGTTGGAAAGGATAGCTGGACTGTGAATACGCTCGTAAACCTTTGTATATTGTTCTACAATTTGGTTTGTATTCAATGCTGATGAAGATGATGAGAGAAGTCCTTGTAAAGCTTCCAAACATAACTTGTTATTTTCTTCACTATCGGTAGTATGATCATCCTTTTGTAAATTATGAACATTACTTGTTGTGGCTACATTTGACAAAGATTCTTGTAATAATCTATGTACCAAGGCTTCATCCTCTGGCAAGGAAGCACCAGAAGATGTTGTAGAGGTTGTTGATTTTTTGATAGCCATTTTTTTTAATTATTAAAATTAATTTTAATTACGTAAGGAAGAGGCTAGGGAGAAGGCTCTCCATTCAATAGAATCATCCTAATAATCAACGTTGATAAAGATATTGCAATTTCTTAAGAATTCCTTTTGTTTTTCATAAAGTTTTTTATCAAATTCAAAAAAAACTCTACATTTATTCAATATAGACAAGTCTTGAATGCAAAGTTAAAAAATCCCAATTGCATCAAGATGAAACAAAATTACAAAATTGTCACAGGTATTATTTGTTGTTGTCTATCTCAAGGCAACAATAGCAGATTGAAGAGCAATAGCTCTTTCTTCACTAGAAAGATATGAAATATGGGAAATCAATTCTTTCAATTGGTGTTCATATGTACAGAGGAGTTGATTATCACAGTTGACTGGTTCTCCATCATCAATTTCAAGGTTGTGTTCTGGTTCTTCATCATCATCTAAATAGTTAGATGGATTAGTAAGAACGTTAGCAAGAAGGGAAAGAGAACCATCTGAGAGATGCATATCATTATTAACACTACTAGGGGTAACATTAATTGATTGAGCATAGGAAAAAGTATTGGAAATATTGTTACAAAAGGCATCTTCTACCTTTGGTTGTTTTGATGACTTGATATTGTCATCAGTTGCAGACAAACTTCTCTTTGTAGCACTGTTCTTAGTCTTCTTGGTCTTTGGAGAAACGGAACCATCTTGTTTCTTTCTAGCAAATACATTGAAAGAGACACTGTCTAAAACACAAATAGCATGTTCCAAGTCAGACAAATCAAAGAGACTAAGCTTAAAGTGAACAGCTTGCTTATAGGATTGAACCTTTTCAATTTGGAGACGAGAGTCAGCTTTGAAAACCTTTTGGTAGGTATTAGACAATTCAGAACTATGGGAAATGACACCATTAATCTTTTCCTTGATGGTACCACCAATAAGGTCAACTCTCATGAACAAAATTTGTGGAAGGTTAACATTGGTTGAGGAGGTCAACTTGAAATCATGTTTGAGAAGATATCTTAGGGAGGAATACAAGACGATATTACCGCTTTCAAGTGGTTCAAGACAGGAACTGTCTTCTCTTGAATAAGTCAATGATATGGAAGTACTTAATCTACAGTTATTTCTCTTGAAATAATCTTCATCACGTTGAACAACTTTCCAAGAATCTGAAATATTGTCAATGTGTGATTGGGAAGGAAGGGAAAGGTGAGGAGCAGTTGGAGAATACATTGAATAGTTGGAAATTGTACAAGGATTAGTGGTAGTATCTTCAATCTTGATATTACCCACAGCAGTAGTGGTAGTGTTAACTACCATAGAGGAAGAAGTGTTTGGACTCACACCATGGTTGGCACACCATTTTGAGAGAACCTTCTTTTTAGGATTAATATACATGGCTTTGGGCGCGCATTAGATCGAATAGTTATTACACTCAATACTCACCATTATTGTTAATAATGTTGTTGTTGTTGTTGTTTAAAGTTTGGAGCATTTTGATATATGTACAAATGGTTGGTGTGTGGTGAATACAGAATGTGTTGTTGTGGATTTGTTAAAATACAAAGGTTAGAACCTTGGGATTATATACTACAGAGTCAGTTTGAATATTAGTGATTAGGATTTTAAACTATGGAACAGATTGGAGTTGTTTGATCAAAAAACTACCAATAAAAATCTGATGATTAGGAATTTGGATGAATAGAATACAGAAAGGATTAAAATCAATAACTTTTGTTGGTAGTAATTGATCAGATTGTTGTGGAAATTAATGTCAGTTGGATGGATAAATATACAAAAAGGATTTCTCTTCTTCTCTGCTCTGCTATTGAAGGGTTCAACGTAACAAAGAACAAATTAATAATTCAATGAAGATCAGCACTTGCGCGGGAACTGTTTGATTTTTTTATAAATATTATTAGATTGATGAAAGGAGGGAAACAAAATTGAAGTGAGTCATTGAACGTTGTGTGAAGAAAATCGATTTGAACTTGTTAGTGCCCTTCCCGCCAAAATCCAAAGAGACTTTTATGGATAGCAAGTTCGATTTTGTGTCTTGCGTGAAGTCCAGCCATCAAATTGTCTTCACCTTGGTTGCCTTGTAGTTGTTGCTGTAATATTTTGTAAACTCAAAGGAAGATTTTTATAATAAGAGTGGTATTTTGTTGTTTTCTCAATGTGTGACTTCATGTTGAAGAAGAAACTCTTTGAGTTGTTGTGTCACATTTTGTTGTAGTTAATGATCAAAATCAGTTGTACTAGTTTTTGTTGATGAATTCTGTTATTACTATATTGATCAAACTAAAGTAAACTGAGTCTATTGACTTTAGCTTTCCATTGAGAAGTTGTAGATGATGATAATTGTTGTGTTGACCATATTATCAACCTCAAGTGTTGTTCTTTTTTTTTTAATTCTGATCAACAAATCGAGAGCATCCTCAAACCTGGAGTAGAAGTGTAATTAACTTTTTTGATCTCTATTTTCTCCTCTTCGGTTTGTATCAATGCAATCAATTCATGTTCATACAACAGAGATTCAATCAATACAAAGATACCTCCTCATTATTGTTGTTCGAGAATCCTTTCACCTTAAAAAACAAGATCATCTATTTCATTGTATTCAATGATTTCTGAATGTATGAGTTTACAATTTTTTAATACATCAATAAAACAACGTGTTATTGAAATGACTTCTTCTCAATAAACACGTGTTTTCAATTCTCTAAGTTACAAATTGACTAAGCCATACATGTTTGTTTCTTAACTTTAAAAAAAATGAACAAATTTCTCTTCCTCTTCTTTTCCTTGTTACTCCTTATCAGTACTTATTCTCTAACACAATATACGGATTTGATAATTAGCAATCCCGAATTGAAAAACAAACTCAAACCATACAAAATAAATACCCATCATCTTCATCAACTTGCTAGATTCATCTCTAAAAAAACCCAACACCTGCAACATATTGAAGTCATCAAGTATTCTATCAAAACGAGGAGAGAAAATGCAAAACCCATCAAAATTGCACAATTTACAGATTTGCATTATGATGCATTCGAGGATCCACCTACACTTCCTCAACATTTAGAAAATGAAATGATTCAAAAAATTCTAGAAGAAAAACCAGACTATGTGTTAATAACAGGCGATTTTGTACATGGTGAGGTTATTCATTCATCTCGTGGAATTGTTAATGACATTCTTAAACCAATGAAGATAGCTTTGCAACAGATTCACAATGATACAAAGCAAAGGATCTATTCTGTATTTGGTAATCATGATTTACACACAGGACAGAGACATTTTTTGAAACAAGTTCTTGAATATGGCAATATGACAGTTGTATTGGATAATGAATATTATTATGATGAGGATAATGATATAGTAATAATTGGATTACCAGATTATCACAAGGATGATTTCAATCCAGTTCGTCTTGCTAACTTGATTTCAAAGAACCCAAAGATTACAAACAATTCAACACACATAGTTATGTCACATGTTCCAGATAGTGCAAGTTGTTTAATTGAGAAACAAGGTAAAATTCCAAAATATGAGAACTGTAAGGGAGTACAAACAGACGTACTATTGACAGGTCATACTCATGCAGGTCAATTCAAAATATTTGGTTGGAGTATCGTCCAGTTTATTTTCCAAAAATTACCAGAATCAGTTATTCAGTTTCTTTTAAAATCAATGAAATTCAAAAATCCAATAGATAATTGGGATTGGAATGAAGGAATGTTTGAAACAAATGAAAATAATCATTTGGTTCCATTATTAGAGAGTCACAGACAAACAATGAGTTTAAGGGAAGGAAAATCCTTTTTTAACATTAACAGAGGAGTAGGAGGTCACTTTGGAATCAGATTAGCATGTCAACCAGAAATGACCTTATTAGAATTTGACTAATTCTGTTGAATTCATTCACAAAATTATTCTTATCTAATAAACAAACATAAACTCCAAAGAAAAAACAACCATCTCATCCTATACAACAATTTGAAGTTGTTTATCAATCTGACATCACGACCAAAAGAATTTCCTTGAACAATTACCTCAATCACTGGGAAATCAGTTAATCAGTTATCTTTCGATCTCTCTGAATGATTGTTGTCAGTTTCCAACGATTAAATCAAAGAAGTTCTTTACTTTGATGGACTGTGGTTGCATCGTTGACATCTATTGGAAATGACCTTATTGGAATTTATAATTATTCCATCACCACATTCAAGTAAAAGTTTGTATAATACAAACTCTAGGCAATGAAAATTCATCATTTGTTCTTCTGTTATCCATCTGAAAAGTACCAATAAAAGAGCTCAACATTTCTCAGGTACCACCATGACAGTCTTCCAATGATCAAGCAATTTCTGATTCTTGACAAATCTTTTTTTATTCCAACACAAAAAAATTACGGTTATTGTTATTGATAGGCCTCATATTGTTGTTTTCAGAGTTGTTGTTTCCATTTTATTGTTCATAATTATCTATCAATCGGTGATACCAATAAGAAAAAGTACACTTGGAGATCATTTGTATAGATTGTTTTTACTATTTTCTAATGAAAATAGGGACAAACAATTAATTGAATAATAAGTTTTGATCCGATCCAAAATATCATCTCTTTAAAGCCTAGAAAAAAGATTGGGACGAGAAGAGAACGTTATAGTAGTAGTTTATATAATATGGCAAGAACATCATCTCCTTCATCAACATTTGCAATTCTACCACCAACATCTGTATTTGGAACTAATAGTCAGTCTACAATATACAACAATAATATGATCATCAATAATCCTAATTCATCATCCTTCCAACAAAATTATCAACAATTTCCTTCTCAATTCTATCATCATATACCACCATCACATCAACAACAACATCAATACAGTAACAATGGTGGATCAAATTTATTGCTTTCTAATAGTAACGTACTTACTACAGCACCAAATAATAATAATTATATAACACCTCACTCTATGAATAACAGTAACAATATATCCAATAATTTAAATTCTATCCCTTTAGTCAACACTTCCAATATTCAATATGATAAATCAATACCATCAACATATCAACAACATTCTATAGTAAATAATTCGATACCAAATCATGATGGTCTTATCATTCCGAGTCAGTTACAAAATGTTCCTCCCTATTCCAACTCTCAAGTTAGTGTTTCTCTTTATTCCGATTTAGCTTCTTCGACTTATCAACAACCAAATACTCCAAATATCTATCAACATAGAAATAGCAATAATAATAATCGTGATATTGTCACTTCTATACTGACTCTTTCAGATGTTGAACAATCTATTCCATCTTCAAAATACTATCAACAACCTCAAAATAATAGATCTTCGACGCATCAATCATTATTCTATTCCAATTTTACAAATGGTGGAAGTATAAATAATTTGAATTCACAAAACTCAATACCTTCAGGTAGTAGTAACGCAGATGTGATTATGAGAAATAGTAACTCCTCAAATGGAGGTTTAATTATGAATCAGACACCAAACATTCAAAATAATAGCTATTCGAGTAACACAAACAAAATTCTATTGAAACCTAAAGTAATTAATCAAAGATCCGATGCACATTACCAAAAAGTTTTGGCAACACCAACATCAACACTCATCGACAACACTTTATCTCAAAAGAGAAAGGAATCGAATACTATCAAATTATCAGTTAACGTCTTGAAAACATACAAAACTATTAATGACATTTACTATACTAGAAAACAAGAGGAAAGAAGATTGAGACATTTAAAAAATGGAAAATCATCTCAATCAACACCATCATCAAAACAAAGAAAAACCTATTCATCAAGTCAATATGTGGATCCACAAAAGAATGGATATCCATCTCAAACGTTACCAAATATTGGAAGCACTCAATTGACAACAAGCCTTTATCAAAGTAATCCATACCCTGAAGTTGCTAATAACCCAAATTACCAACAAGACATTCCTTCTCAACAACAATATAGTCAACCATTAATGTATAGCTCATCGAATTTCAGTAATAACCCAGTACAATTGTATAACTACCAACCAACAAACACATATAACCCTCCACAGTATAACAACAATTCACTAATGCATTCCCAAATATTACAACCTCCACCTCCATATACTCAACAAGAACAATATCCAAAGAATCAAGTACCTAACATTGCTTCAAATAATTCTAATAATCAGAATTTCTACCAACAACCTATTAATGTACCTCAACCATCTGTAAGTCAAAGTTCTTCAGACTCTCAAGGAAATTATATTGTTAAATTGAGTGAACTGATCAATGAAAGGTATTTAGTCGAAGAAATTATGGGTAAAGGATCTTTTGGAATTGTTGTAAAAGCATATGACTGCGTCAATGATGAAAGTGTGGCAGTTAAAATTATCAAAAATAAGCCACAATTTCATAGCCAAGCCCAAATAGAGATTGGGTTGTTGAAAGACTTGAACTCAAAAGATACTGATGGTAAGAACAATATTGTAAGGATGAAACACTATTTTGCATGGAAGAACCATCTTTGCATTGTTTTTGAGCTTCTTTCGATGAATCTTTACGATTTGTTAAAAGCAACAAACTTTAATGGAATATCTTTATTGAGAATCTATAGATTTGGAAAAGAATTACTTCGTACATTGTGCTTCCTTTCAAGACCAGATGTACAAGTTATTCATTGTGATTTAAAACCTGAAAATATTTTGTTGAAAAATTCAAAGAAAACGAGTATCAAAGTTATAGATTTTGGAAGTTCTTGTTACGTAAATAACAAGATGTATAAATATATTCAAAGTAGATTTTATAGATCGCCTGAGGTAATATTGGGGTTACCTTATGGAACAGAAATTGATATGTGGAGTTATGGGTGTATTCTTGTTGAATTGCACACAGGTAATCCATTATTTGATGGAAAAAATGAAGCTGATCAGATATTCAAAATTATTCAGTTATTAGGAATGCCACCAAGAAAAATGATTGAACAATCTCCAAAGAAGGACAAATTCTTCAAGTTTAATTCCTCTATAGGACAATACGAACCTCTTGATTCAACAATTGTACCATCCTCAATTTCACTTTATGATATTATTATTAATATTTCACCAAAGAGACATGTTTCACCATACTCTTGCCCATTTGAAACATTTGAGAATTACCTTAAACTTTACAATGTTGTCACCAAGATTCTCCACTATGATCCTCAACAAAGATTAAAACCAGCAGAAACTTTACAAGAAGAATTTTTCAAAATTAATGAGGTGGCACATAATGTAATGCAAGTTCAAGGCTCTGCAAATCAATCCAATTTTGCATCATCCTCAACAGTTCCAACATTGAATGGTGGTCCACAATCGTTTTCAAACCCCTTTATGTATGTTTCACAAGTTAATCTCCCAGTCCAAAATAACGGAGGATTTTCCATTCAGCCGATTAATGGTGGTGGCTATAATCCGTCTGGTTATGCTCCATCTCTCCCAACTCAAACACCATCCTCTTCGTCAGCTCATCAATTTTTACCTACTCCACAATCAATGTATAGAACTTCTGGTAACTCCTCAATGATTCCCTTAACATCAAGCATGATGAGTACAAACAGTTCCTCAATTATGAATAATGGATATGTTATTACGAATGGCAATAATAACAGCGGTGTTCTTATCAATCATAATAACAACAGTAATAATAATATGGCCACAGACTATCAGTTGTAATAATTCCAACTTGATAGTCTGAAAGACATTCCGATAGGATTGCACCAAGTAAATAAATGCCGAATATTAGTGCCAACTACAGTTTTAAAAAAAACTATTTAGGCGACAAGAGGCGGTTTAATTCTTTCGATGGCGAAACTCTTCACGACCATAAAATTTAACAAGAAAAAATACATCATCCTGTCCACTTCCCTTGGTTTTTCCATTCTCTCCATCATCAATATTATTATTATCAATTCATCAAATACCGATTTGCCGTTCTTTATCAGATGATGAGTGAAGTAAAACAATCATCACAAATGCAATCGTGTATTACCTTCATTATTATCCCTCGGAGAAAATTCTCTTCAAGAAAAACCCAAGTCAATGAGGAAAAACAAAGGACAATCAAATCTAGCTGGAAATTTATTCTTCTTTGGTAATGATTCATTTCATCATTGCCTACAAAAACCTTCAAATACTAAGGCTAAAAAATTTGAATCATATTATTTCGGAGCAAGCACCGATGCTCAATTTACAAGACATCATTATTTATTAGAAACCAATGAAATTATTAAAGTTGCGAGTGGAGATTTTCATTCCTTATTCTTAACAAGGGATAAAAGAGTAATTGTAGCTGGGAAGAATAAGGTAAGTTTGAATTTTTTGTAAACTCTAATCATTTTGATAGAATGGACAATTAGGATTATATCACTTTGATCCAATAGAAGAACCTCAATATTTGGAATATGTAGGTGAGGAAAGAAGGCCATGTCCACCCATTAGGAATATCTACTGTGGAGGTGATTATTCCTTTATAGAGACTGAAGAACATCATATCTATAGTTTTGGTAAGAACAAAATTGGGCAAATAGGTATAGGGGATTGTATGAATCAACGTGTTTCAATTCCAACAAGAGTATCAATACAGCAAAAAGCAACAACAAATGGAAGTAGTAGTAGTAGTAGCACATTAATACCAGGTGAAAATCTTCCAGTTAAACTGATAAGTTGTGGTTGGCAGTCAACTTTTATTCTATTTGAGACAGAACAATTATATGTTTGTGGAGATAATAGCCACCAATGTAATGTACATCAACAACAACAAAATACAAGCTACAAACCAATCATAAGTTCACAAAAGAAACTAGAGAAATACTCATTCCAAAAAATAGACATTCCAAACCTTTACGCCTCCTCATTGAAAAACAATACAAAGAATTCCATTCAAGATATTCAAGTTGGTCTGTTTCACACTGGTATATTGATGAATTCAGGTGAAGTGTGGATCTCTTGTCCTTGTTGTTGCTCTCCAATTGAATTAGAACGAAGAAAGTTCAAGAAGAAGAGTTTTATGGACAAGAATGGTAAACTCATTGTAACAGAATATGGTGATGATTTGCTTAAATCATTCAAGTTAATGCACATGGCTTATTTGTCGACGTTTCTTTGTACACACAATGATGTAATGTATGTTTCTGGAGTAAATTATTGTGGCAGTTTGGGAGTGGGATCAGATGATTTGCTTGCCTATAAGAGGTTTACTGAATCACCTTTACTTTCTCAAATTGAGGCAGAAAAGATTTATGGTACAAATAGGACGATTATGGTAACCAAGCAAGGTCATGTTTATGTTTGTGGTAGTAATTGTCAGGGAGAATTATGCTTGGATCCAACAACTCATAGCTGTGAAAGTAATGGAAAGTCTTGTCCCTGTGGAGCTGATGATTGTTTCAGATCTTGCATTTCTGCGCCTGCAAGAGTTCTCCTATTGGAAAATGAAGTTAATAAGAGAAGAAATGCCAAACTTGAAATGTCATGCGGTTCGTTTCATACCATTGCTTACTTTAGGTCGTGTGAAACTAAGGATATGTCATTCTTTTATAATCAATTGTATAGTCAACTTGTAAATAGTGAGCACTCATTCTCAGATGTTGATATTAATTTTTCAACGAAGAGAGTGCAATTTGAAGAAGTTTTAGACGAGTTTGTATCACCCACAAAGAGGGTTAAAATGTAATAAATTTATCAAATACTTGTTTTAACCATGAGTGCTTATATTTGGTCATCAACATTTCGGATAAAGGCAAAATATTACTGCAATTATAAATAAGGATAACTGGATTCGTTAAGCTGGCAAATCTCGTTATTGGATCCAGGGCTCAATCAGCACATTAGCGAGAAAAGAGAATAAAGTCCACCGATCATTGAGCCTCTGTTTGATCAAATAAGATGCGGCGTACTGAATCGTTCCACATCATACATTGTTTATTAAAACAAACAAGAAAAAATTGACTTGATGGGAAACAAATCATCTTCTCTTCAATTAGCACAAACTGAACAACAACAGAAACCAACAACAGATAATGTTTTCCTACTCCACTCGAATCACTATAATGCCAAACAGAGACTCTACTCTAGAAGTCAATCACTACCAACGAATTCATTAAGGGTTCTCTCCTATCAATATAATACATGGACAGATGAGGGAATACCAATTCATCCTGAAGAATTTCAAAATAGAAGACACTCTGCAGTTTCCTACATTCCTCATAGAAATAGAGTAATACCAATAGATTTGAGACCTAATGCTCTTTCTCAATCATCTTCATCGTCATCACCAAATTCGCCAAGAAGTGGAGCATCCTCTGCCAAAAGTGCCAGCTATTCAAACATTTCACCTCGATATTCACCAAGAAAGTCTCAAAGAAGTAACAGTTATTCAACACCAAAACAATCACAACAAACAAACTCTGATTCATCATCTCCCCGACCTTACTACAATTCAATAGAAGAAGCTGAGGAGGAAGCTGTCAATTTAACAGCCTTTCGTCTTACCTCTTCTAAATACAATGATGAAGATGATTGTAATATAATTAATACTCAATCATTTATTAATCCTCTTAATCATCATCAATTTCATACTCATGTAAATACTCAACCTTCATCAACACTTAATAATAATACCACGTCGACATTATCAAATATAACACTTCCACCCTTAGAAAAACCAAATCTAAGGGCACATCCCAAGCGAATTATAGTCACACCACTAACTCAGCTCTACACACGAACTAGTAGTGGTACAACAACAAACTCTGGAACTTCACTCAGTAACTCTTCAACATCCATATTGGGAACTACTGGATCTTCATCAAATTTGAATGGAGTAATTGGTTTAACAAGTCCATTTAAATTATCAAGTCCATCACCTGTACCACCAGTGAGTACTTCAAATTCGAATGCTCAACCACAAATCAGAAGATACAGCCTTAGTGGATATACAATGAAACGTAAATCAAGTATTTCATCACCAACAACAGTTCCAAATTCTAAACTTGAAGAATATGCATCCACCACCACATCTTCAATAGATCCATCAGTGAATTCTTCATCATCACCTACAAGTAATAACATGATTGCCAGTGCAATAACAGTGCAGCCAACAAATCCATCATCAATAACATCCAACAGAAATAATGAAAATGTTAATAATCAAACATATCCTTTGGATACTCCAACACCACCCCTCACTCCAAAATCATTGAAATCAAGGGAAAGATCAGGTTCAGTGACTAAAATTCTTATTCAATCACCTTCAAGATTAAATCCAATGGCCTTATTTTCAGATAGCCATAAGAGAAAGCAACCTCCAACAGTTGCTCTGACTACACCTGATGAACCACCATGTTTCGATCATTTGCTTAATCCTCCTCAAGAAAGTCTTCCAAAAAAACTAAAAACAAAAAGAAATAGATCTTATAGTTTACCTTCCAATTCACCAAAATCACCTTCAAAATCAAATAGAAAGAATAAAAGGTTTTAATTTGGTGTGAATGAAAACAGCAATTAGGAGGTGTGTCTCTTCAAGGATAGTGACTTCAATGGTCTTTATTTTGAAACTAACTCAGATGTATAAGTGAGTGCCCAAGATTCAATTACATACTATCATTCAATGCCATATCTGATCTTCAGTTGTTCATCTAAATTCTCTTCATGGAGCAATATAGAAGATATTTGGATTTGGTTTGAGGTTGGGCAATGGTTGTGAATTACATTGTAAGGGAGTTGAAAAGAATGAAAATCTTGTAAAAATTCCAACAAACATCCTGATTCCAGATAACATTTCAGAATAACAATTAACTGCCACAGCACTGTCAACAAGTTACCAAACTAATGACTAAAAAAGGTCCCAACATTTTGAATTGGAAATTATTAGGCAAAACACGCGAAAAAACCACATACAAGATTCTCTGAGAGAAAAATACACTAAAAAAAATGTCTTTAAAACTCTACGGTTCTCGTTTGTGTCCATTCGTTGATAGAATTAAATTGATTCTTGCCTTCAAGGAAGTAGCCTATGAAAATATTAATGTTAATTTAAGTTTGAAGAGTAAGGAATTTCTCTCCTTGACTCCATATGGAAAGGTAAGTAATGATGATCAGTGATATATTGATCGGGGCTATGAAAAGGTTCCAGTTCTTGTTCATAATAACAAGCCTATTTATGAATCTGCAGCAATTTATCAATATGTCAATGATGTTTATACTCAACATGATTTGATGCACAAAGATCCATATATGAGAGCTATGCAACGTAGTTGGACTTATTATTGTAATACAAGATTGGCTAAATCTATTTATGCTTACATGTTTAATCAAGATCCATCTAAGGAACAAGTTTTAAAACAAAAATTGGAAGAATGTTTACAATTCCTTGAAAATGAAGGATTGAAAGCAATGCAAGAATCAAATGGTGAAAAATCTCCATTCTTTTTAGGTGATATTTCTGAACCTTCAATGGTTGATATGATGTATTTACCATTCCTTGTCAGACTTGATGTTTTGAAACAATTTAAGGGATTTGAAATGGGAAGTGATTTGAAACGTATTAAGGAATTTTACAAAGTTAATACTCAACAAGATTATTTCAAGAATAATAAGGAACTTCCTTCAATGGATGAAATTATTAAGGGATATACTCCATATGTTAAAGGTGAAAAGACAATGAGAGAAGATTGGATTTTATAAAATTTTTATTTACAAGTATTTGAAAGTAATTTGATAATCTTTTCAAAAGATTCAGATTCATTTCTGAGATATTCTCTTGTTTGTTGAGCCATTAATTCAAAAACTTCTGGTAAAGTAGAATCTAATGGAATATCAGTTGGTAAAGATGGATTAAGTCTAAAATAGGTAATATTCTTATCTGTTTGTTCATTCACAATATCTTGAACTCTTCTTGAAATTGCTTCACTTGACATACTCAATTCAAAGATATCTAATAATGTTGTCAAATTAGCTGTAATCTTATCAGATCCCTTATTTGAAGATGGAGTAGGAGGATTGGATTGACCAAATGAAAACCATGACTTTTTTTCTGGTTGTTGTTGAGCTGGTTTAACATATTTACCAGTACCTAAACTAATAACACAAAAGTTTGTGTGATTTGGAAAGATTTTCTTCATTTCAGTAATGGCAATTTCAGTTGGATTATTGTTACAAATACCACCATCAATGAAATGAGAATTACCAATTCTCTTCTTATCAAAATATACAGGTGCAGCAGTTGATGCTCTTAAACAACTTGAAAGTGGAATATTTTGTCCATTCCATGTTCCCTTATATCTTGTAGGTTGATTTTCCTTATTGAATGGACATGGATAAGTTCTAAAAATGTATGAAATTGGTTCATCTGACCTAGCACGTTCATATTCCAACTGACCAGATGTAGTATTATTATTTGATTGATTGGAGGAGGTGGAGGTGTTGTTAGTGTTGTTGTTGATAGAATTATTATCACTCATTGATTGTAATGATAATGTGGATGGGACCAAAGTACTCACAAAGAATGCCTTTGGTTTAATTTGATATAAATCTTGTAAATAGAGGATATCATTCTCTTTGGATCTTGAAATTTTACTCAATGTAAGTGCTTCTAATTTACTTCCTTCATACCAATTACCAGAGGAAACTGTCTTGTAAAATTTTGTAATTTTTTCATTTAAAATTAATTTAGAACTGAAAATATCAGTTGCTAATTGAGTATAAAGAGTTTGAATTTCTTCACCAGATAAACCAGATTGAACACATCTTGAAGTTAGAGCACCAGTTGATGTTCCACAAACTAAATCAAAAATATCATTCAATTTACGATTAGTTCTCTTTTCAATTTCACGTAAAATAATTGAGAGAATGAGACCTCTTGTACCACCACCATCCATACATAATACAAATATGGTATCAGAATTCTTTTTATCTGTATTTGAATTTTCTTCTTCAATATTAAATGAAGATGAAATATATTTCAATGTATTAGTATTAATTGAAACATTTCCAAATAATTGTTCAGTATTTGAATTTACAATATAATCATGTCTTAGTGAAGGTTCAAATGTACATGACATTGATAATAATCTTAAAGTTCTTTCAAATGATTTTAAAATTGACCATTCAAATGAATATTCACTTGAATAGGTAATATTATATTGTAATAAATTCTTTGAAATTTCAATAAAATGTGAATAATCTGTACAATTATATAAATTATCAGATTCAATATATGGATTTATAATAATTCCACATTTTTCATTACCAAAAAACTTTTTCCAATGAGTTTCAATAATTTTTAATAATAAACTACATTTTCCTAATTTGAAATTAATTCCAACACATTCCATTAAATCTCTAATAAATTGAATTGGACTTTTATCATATAAATCATATTGATATTGAGTATTATATTGAATTATTAAATTTGCAATCTTTTTCAAATTACTTGTATTATATTTAATAGGTGTTGATACTGTTTTAATAATTAAAGATTTTTGTAAAGTACTTGGAGAGAATTGTTGTAAATTAATAATATCAACAATACCATATTCTGTCCATCTCATTAGAAAATTACCAAATTTAACTCCAATTGCTAACATTCCATGATATGGAATATGAATACCATATTTAGCATTATTATTAATATTAGTATTATTAATTAATGATGGAAATTCATTCCAATAATCAACATCAATAATAACAACACTCATTGTATCTTGTTGTGGAGTATAGACTTTATCTGTTGTTGTTGTTGTTGATGATGTATTATTGCTATTATTATTACTATTACTAGGATTCCATGTATTTAATAATTTTGTAAAACCAGCAATAGCAGCACCCTTCAGAGTATCTAATTGTTGATGAGAGAATATTTGTAGGAGGAATTGATCAACATTGATATGTGCATCCAAGTAGGTTTGTAAATTAGAACCATCAAAGCCTAATCCATGTAATGTTCTCTCGGATGATAATTTACATTTCAACAAGGCTAATTGTGTAGAGTTGGTACCACTTGTTGTTGTATTATCATTAATGAATTCTGATGATGTTTGAAGTAACATTTTCAATCTCGCTCTCAGCAGGTGTGTGGATGATGAATTAACGTGTATGAGTTTTTTTGATTTTTGATTTTTGAATATTTATTTATAATTCAATGTATTGATAAGCAACCTCTATTATGCGAATCGACATGTGATATAAATATTGAGTTATAAATTGTTATCTGTCTTACTTTGTGTGTCAAAGGTTCATCTGAGTAAAAATTATTAACTGTGGAAAGTTTCGCATTCAATATTTAACCCACAGGTTTTCAAGTGGTTATTTGGAACAAGTTCTTGGATTAAAATGGTTCAACCATTAGCAATACACAAAATAGCAGAATTATTACTTTGTCATATTGAGTGATTGCTTGTCCAATAGGCTACATCTTCAAAATTAATATTTTAATAAATTTTAAATTTAAAAAAATAAAAGATATTTATCTTCATCAATTATGATGGATCACTCTAATCTTCCATTTAATACCACCACTAATAGCAATAATACTACTACTACCACTACTAATGCAAAGAAAAAACTAGCAGATACTTTTTCATCAAGAACAAAATTAGAATTTAAATCATCATCTTCGGAATACAATGATGTTGATCAACAAGAAGAAACAAGCCTAAATAATGAATCATCATCATCCACTTCTAATCAACAACATTCAAATCCTAAATGGACCTCTCTATTAGAATCTAGAGAATCATCATTAGCAGATGAAGAAGAAGAAGCCGATACAAGACCACTCTATGAAAGATTAATGGAAAATAAATTGAAAAAACAACAAGAATTAGAACAAGTTATTGGAAATCAAGCACCAAGATCACTTGATGAAGATGATATTCTCTATTTAAAGGAACAGGAAGAAAAATTAAAGAATGAAAGATTGGAAATTATTAATAAGGAAAAGGAAGAAATTCAGAAATATTTACAAGAATCTCATATTGTAATTAAAGATACAAGTATTAATAGTGGTATTGATAGTATTGATAATATTGGAGTAGTATCAGCAGATGAATTAGTGGAACAAACTTTGGAAAAAGAAGATTTAATTTCTCAATTAGAAATTGTGGAAGTAAAAAAGAGAAAACGAAAAGATGAAAATGAAAAGAAGAAAAAGAAGAAAAATAACACATCATCAAAATTTACTAACTGCCTCTGCATTGAATTATGATAGTTCTTAATATTGAAAATTCTCTCTGAATAATGAAAAACATTATTGATTAGGAATTTACAATATTTTCTAATTTAAATTAGTATTTGTGTGGATATTTGTAAATTTTGAAAATGGTTATTTTCAGTGAATATAATAATACTAATAAATAATCATGAAAATTATTTAATATAGATGAGTGATGTTATGTTACAACAGAGACTACAAATATCATATATTGATGAGTTTTACAAGTTCATATTTCAAACATACAAAAAAAAAATGGGACAACAACAAACCTCAACAACCCAGCAGTCACCATCATTGTTTAAAGAAACAATTCCAACTAATAATTCTTCTTCATTATCTAATAACGATCAAGATGGATTAAATCAAGTATTTTCATTTAAAAATAGTATTCATTTTCAAATGACAATTCCAAAACAATTATATGATATAAATAGTAATGATGAAAAAGTATCACAATTAACAATGATGGCATGGATTAAACCTACTAAATCTGGAGATGTCAGAATATTTGATTCATATGTAACCACATTTACATGTATCCACATACATGTAATTTATCCATAACAGGTTTGGTGGAAAATTGGATAAAAATGTAAATACGTCCATTGATAAATTATATAAACCTGTTATGGATAAATTATGTATTGGTTATGCTATGAAAGGAAATCCAAATTCTGGATTTTATGAAGGCTTTATGTCACACATGTC